CCGACACATTGGCTTCACTCTTGGGCGCCGCGGTTCGACTCATCAGCCAGGTTGGAGTCTGTAGCTTCTGTGAGAAGTACAGTTGTGGATGTTTACTATAGAAATGATTCTATGAAGTAAACTGTATCGTTGTTAGTAGATGATTCGAAGTGTAGGGGTGGGTTGGGGGTAGACTTGCATCGCTGATCAGAACAAAGAGGAGGGCGAGGGAGAAGCTGGCTATATACTTGAGAAATTTCTGGCGGGCGCTAGCGGGAGGGAGCGGCCGTCGGCTGGCGGCTTGCGGCTTGCGCCTGAGATTCGGCCTGGCGACGACATCGATTCCTCGGCGCAACGTGAACGATCTCGCCGAGCAAGGACCGCAATTCAGGTCATCGCATCTCCGGCAGAACTGCGAGGAGGTGGAATGATTTGGAAGTACTACCGGCTTTGTCCGCGATTGACTGATAAGAGAGGTTTGTAGCCGCCGAACAATGAGGACAAGCACGCTCATCACCCGCGAGGGACAATTCCTGGGATCTAATGCATTTGTCGTTTCAAGCAGTAACAAACTTATTGCTGCTATAAGTGTCTGCTCAGGCCTGGAGTGATCATAACTTGTCCACGTTCGACATCTGCGATGGCCTCCTTCTCTTCTCTCCCGGCCGAGCTTCGCATTGCGATCTGGCAATTCAGTATACCCGAGCCACGGAACATCGTCTTATCATGGAATGGCAAAGAATTCAGGTCGAACGGCACACCGCCAAACATCGCTCACGTTTGCCATGAGGCACGAGAAGAAATTTCAAAAGTGTACGATTTGACTTTTGCTTCACCCAGCGGTTCACCTGCCAAGACCTGGTTCGACTTTGCTCGTGATGCCCTATTCATCACAGACGATGCGCTGGAGCGCATGTCAGCAAAGACACTGTCACGTGTCCAGAAGCTTAAACGCTTTCGCTACACTGCTGCGATGGCCATCAAATGTTCGTCCTGATGCGTTGTCCAAATCGTGGCCAAGCGAAAATTTCTGACTGGCGGCTGCTTACCATGGATTGCCATTTTCTAGGTCATTTGGGGATTGAGAGTTTACCCGTACCATCTTCTCAAGAGCGGATAGGTGAACAATTTGAGGACGCAATTCACATTTTGTGAACATGTGGTTGTGGCCTCACGCGTTTAACATAGTGAATTTTTGGGTGAACCGGGAGACACGACCCGCTTCTCGATGCTCTCCAACTATATAGATTACAGTGTCCCCTGCTGGATCCTGCTTCTTGTTCACTCCATTCGCATACTGGTATCAGAAGACAACACTGCATATCACCGACGCTCACGGAGTACCCAAACCACACAAGACTATACCAATCACTACACACAAGACTATTATACCGGATATCACGCAATACTCCTTCACAATGGACTGCTTCCAAGAATTGACGCTCGACATCTGCCACTGCGGTGCCGCCTCATGCGAACACCGCCTTCTGGCTCAGCTCAGAGAAGAGGAAAACCGGGCCCTCAAGCAGATGGTGCGAGAGCTCACTGCTAAGATTGACTCTCTCCGCTCGAATGACGTTCGAGCCAATCAGGATCAAGATGCTTCGGCATCGACCGACTGCGCTGGTGCGGAGACAAAGCCACGGGACGGTGCAACTCTCTGGGGCGAGATCGATTTCCCAGCCAACGAATCTGGATCTGACTCGGGTTACTTCTCGGACGATTTTCAGAGCGAAGAGGGTGGTGCCGACGCGATCTCCGCTGAGGCTAGCTCTGACGATGCCACCGAGGCTGATGACGCCTCAGATTGGACGGAGACATGGGGGCAGAGCGAACAGCCCACTTCAACCACTGCTTGGGATGACATTGGTGAGGAGACTTTCGTTTGCACAGTGCCAGACGATAAGAAGGCATTCTGGGAGCCCTCGGCTCACTCTCGCGTGGCTGCAGAGGTCCTTTCTGACGTTCTCGACGAAGCCCTGCTATCTTGCTCTCGGACCGTGTACAGGGCGTTCGACAAGCTTGACAGAGAAACGTGCTTTGAGAAGTGGGATGGCCCGAAGCACGTCGGATGGGGCCGCTCAGAGATTCTGGATGCTCTCTTCACGCGCACGAACTTCTATCAAGTGTTCGGTGGGAACCAGGAAGCAGGTAAACTGGCTCTCGACGCAGCTGTCAGGATGCGCAACGCTGCTTGCCATCCTTGCAACCGTCGCAGAGATGATCCGGAAGCATGCACGGTCGAGCATGTTGATCACCTGCTCGCGATGGCACAGGATCTCCCGCGTATGCTTGGCAACAACGAAGAGGTGGTTGTCATGCAGGGGCTCAGAGACAAGCTGCAGACGGAGGCACAGAAAACATGGACCGAGCTTCTGGAGTTGGCCGCTCACCCCGTCGAGCCCACGATGGACAACGTCTCCAAGGCACTGTGTCGCACTTCCTGGGATTTCGGCTTCGCCCTGCTACCAAAGGAGAAAGACATTCCGCTCCTGGTCGCTGCGCTGAGACAGGAAGCAGAAAGCCGCCGGAGGAACGACACTGCTGGTCCTCGCTGGTGAGCTTTGCGCACGCTTTGTGGAGCCGAGTCTCAGATCGATTGATGCCAGCCACGCCACTGCTGCGACGGACAAGGTTGATGCCAGAGACGAGTGTCGGATGGAATCATCATCACGACGAATAGTCAAGGCAAAGAGGAGGGAGTTCCCGAGACGAGTGTCGCATAACATTGCGACGAATAGTCGAGGGCAGGGCAGGTGGATTGAGCCAAAGACGAGTGTCGGGTGAGAACATCACGGCGAATAGTCAAGGCGAGGAGAATGGATATCCCGAGACGAGTTTCGCATAACATTGCGATGAATAGTCGAGGGGAGGGCGAGCCTGAGTGGCGGGATCGAAGTCAGGTTGACAGAGACATTGACATTCGGGACTGGAGACTCAGACAAGATTGTACTGTCAGAGCAGCTCTGTGCGGCCTAGACAGAGATTTTGGACGCGAAGGATAATGGAGGCAGGCATATGATAGCTACTTCCACAATGAACTGACGTAGAATTACCCAATACACGACATCTCTCCGCAGAGTTTCCAATTCTCTTTCTGTCCCATTTCTCCACACTTTGCCTTTGTTCGATGGCTGCTAACAGAGCTGCTGTGCATAACTATTGCATAGACTTGAGAGACAAAGAAACAATGCTTTTGCGTTTTCGTTGCACTCTTTTGCTTAAATATTGGTCTTCTTGCGTCTCCGTACTTCAAGAACTCAGCAAGCAAATATGACGGACCAAGACGATCATCAGCAAACTGAGAACGAGATGGAGAATGATGACTGTCAAATCGCGCGGCTACGTGAGCAGGTCTCACAGCTGAAATACGACAATGATTGGCTACGCGAGAACAACGTGAGACTGCAAGAGCAACTTGACCAGTCAACCCAAGAAGCTAACGAGAATGAAGCAGACTTCGAAGAAGAAGAAGCTAACGAGGATGAAGCATATTTCGAAGACGAAGAAGCTAACCAGGATGAAGCATATTTCGAAGACGAAGATTATCCTCAAGTATCCACTATCACTCGTGTCAGGAAAAGATTCTGCAAGATCTTTACACGACTGATTACTGGCCCAGTGAGATACTGGCAAGCCAAAAGGCAGGCGAAGCGATGGAATGCTGACCTTGGCGAAGAGGTACAATACGACGACAATGACGGTCCAGAGGATGATCGGTGGAAGCCAGCTCCAGAGCGCGAGCCCGAGCCTGACCATATGATATGCGATAAGTGTATAAGTTGGAATGCTCTCTGGGAACAGAGGCAGAAGTACCCGCAATGGGATCCGGTACAGTCTAGTCTGGATGAGTTCTGGAAAAGCCCTGCCCAGTACATCTACATCAGCTGGGAAGACCAGTATACTGCTTTGCACAAAGCGCACGCCCTTGCCAAGCAGACCTTCTGGTACGCATTTCACGCACATTGGCCCGAACAGGCGCGTGCACAATTCGGAGAGCATTGGGACCAAGTTCGTTTCGGCAGGGACGAGATCGAAAAGTCTGGTCTGTCTTGGGCCGGTCGTCCTGAAAAGACACTCCAGATGTGCAATGCAACACGAGAGATGACAATCGGCAGCATGTACTCGGTCACGTCACTGCGCAACGCAGTTTGTCACCCATCCCAAAGCCTGGCGATGCGTAATCTTGATGCCCTACTTTGCACCGCGGAGAACCTGGCCAGAATCCTCGACGACAAACCCCGAGTCTGCGAGATCCAGAATCTGAGACGTGGTGTCATGATCAAAGCTATTGAAGCGTATGAGATCATCGAAGCTCGAACGACGACACCGTTTCTGAAAGGACCGCCGACCGAGGGAACTAATCTGCAGCTGAGAGCACGCAGGGCATTCGACGCAGTGGAATGCGCTCCTCAAACTGTGCACGATGATCATCCGTACCCCTATCATATTCAACACACGCTGCGTCGAATCTACAATGATGTGTACCACAGTTCACCGCCAGGCGACAAGGACTATCCAGCAGTGCTGCTGCAAGCTGCGAAGTTGTGGAAGGCAAGGGGTTTCGGCAGAGGTGAGGATGATCCAGATTATCAGCAGAGGGTCATCACGTCTCAGTCTTGGGTCCGAGATGATGACCGGCCAGTTGACGAGGACGTCGCTGAGCCGCCATCAGGAGACAACTCGACAGAAGCTCAAGAGACAGCTGAAGTCAGGTCTGAGATCGAGCAAGTCCAAGAGCCGGAAGCTGAACCACAATCGCAGGATCAGGATGTTGACGCTGGTGAAGAGGCCCAGGCGGATCGCCTCTCGCTCCTAGAAGCTGAATGCAATGAGTAGCTTTTCGTTGCCGGCAATTTTCAGATCGCTCATCTGCAGTAGAATTATCTTCGCAATCCAAAGTCAAGCACATCCTTTTCCAAGTATTTCCAAAATGTGTTAATCAATATAGGCAACGGGACTGTAATGACCATTAGCTCGAGCTGAAATGATGAATTGCATGCAAGCAGGATTTCGAAATTTTTTGTGCTCCGTATCCCTTTCATATCCGACCTTGCGTTGATGCATTCTTTTGTGATGCAGAACCTCTCCTAGAATATTCGGCGACTCCGAGTCTAGTAATTTGCGCAAGACGTACCGTGGCCGCTCCAAGCTCCTCGTGGCAAAATTCGATTGCCGAGATTACCGTGTTTGAGACTGTGGCACATTCTTTCCGCACCGAGAGCTTTGCGTCAATGCGGAGTGAACACACAAAGGAAGATGCCAAAAGTATTGCTTTCTCTGAAGCTATTAGCTCTTCTCAGCCAATCCGCTTGACCCAGCATGACTTTCTGGAGCAGATTGCGAAACGGAAGACGATGACCTTCGGCCGATGACTTGGACATCCTCTCCCAAGATAATTGCAAGAACGCACATCTTTCTCTGACAGAATGGAGCATCCCTCGTCAACAAGGCTGGCTGCAGCCAAAAAGTGCGCCTTAGATGCTGCGCGGAGCGATGCCCGCAGATACAGCTTTCTCTGAAAAAGGCGCAAGGTCTGTGCTTCTTCATTTAGTCCTAGGATGAAAGTGTGGCACCGCGGCTTGAAGGAGCGATTGCGACCTTGAGTCGACATCTATGATGCATTAATGTCTATTCCTGCTTCATAACGCTGTTTCTCGTCAAGTCCTCGCTCCAGTGCTTCGAGAACACTCTGCTCCAAGTGGTAAGTCAGCTCCTTCAAGTGTCGTCGGGTCCTGCGAACGCTCCACGGTCTCAGCACCTCGCGGCCAAAGCCGATCTCCTCACGTAGCTGCACTACTTCGGCCCATACGTCTTGGTATTGTTGATGATCACCCGCGTTCTTGAAACATACGGCATACATTCGACACAACGCTCGCCATTCGGTCTTCTGGTCTATCGCTTGATCGCGAAGAAACAGGAATGGCCACATATGTTCCTAGATCGCAGATATCAGTAATGACGAACTCACATGGAAGTGTGTCCGATTACCCAGACGCGTCCTGTCAGCTGATCCGGCCAGTCCGTATCTGTCAGCCATTTCATACTGTGTTCATACTGCTCGCGAGGTCTGCTCAGAATCGCATCTTGGGACACAGCAAATTGTGAGCAACATGGGCCAAGAAGGATCTCTGGTACCGCAACATCACTTCCAAAGTTGGCGCGAAGTGCATCAGCCATGTATGGCTCTTCCGAGTTATTGGTCTGGAGTGGCGTTTTTGAAGTGTTGTAGCCCTCAGGACGACCGCCTTTCAAGCTGGTATAGAGATTGAAATAACGTTTCTCCAGAACCTGGCTGAGGTCGAGATGTGATAACGCGAATGTCATTGACTGCCAGAGAGCACTGTCGAGATGCCAAGGATGTTCTTCGGCATGTATGAAGATATTGACGTCTGCAAGGTCTTCGTATCTGTCGAAGAGATAGGTGAAGTACATGAGAGCTTCACGTCCTTGGGCTGCTGGAGGATGGTACTCTGCAGTAGGGTCATCGCTGACATATCGGAAGATCTTGAGATTCGGAATTTGTGGGATTAGAGCATTTGTCCAAGAGATGTCCTCTGCTTTCGTGCTGGCTATCACGAGATTCGTGGTGATGTTTGGTTTTTCGACTTCTCTGCTGAGCTGAAGGCGGACTGGCAGCTGGACTGCATCAAGAGGCTTGTATGTATGCTGGACAGCCGGAGCTAGGTGGCAGAGCACCAGATACAGCATCAGTATCGCCAGTAACGCGGCATATCGCCTCGGAAGCCTGACAGGGTGAGCATATTGGAGAACTCCGGCATACTTTGGCATCGCAAAGTCTTCGGGAGCTTCATGTCATGGCAAGAGGTAGTGTCTGCGGCACAAAACCTGCGAGCGTGTGTAGCAGAAGAAGGGGCGCTGCCAAATTAGGTTCAGCCACTGCCGCGCCGTAGCGCCGTATTCGTAGATCTTGTACGACCTAATTGTTCGTAAACCTGTGAGTGAGGTAATGGCATCTCTAGAGTGAATGCCGTTTGATAGCATGAGAGAAGGAAGACTATTCACAAAAAGTCTTCTGTGATCACATGAAGTTCAGAAAAGTAAGTCGCGAGCTGAAGCATAAAGGCAACAGCCCATCCCGGTCGTCCAGCAGAGAACGTTTCTTGGCATCTGCCTCAGGCTCCAGAAACGCCTGCCTAACCAACAAGCCCACTTTCCCGTTCTCCATCTACAACGCCCCTCGCAGCACGCGTGGCAACATGGCTACCGAGAATTTGTCCGAATATATCACGCTGGTATCGAGCGATGACTTCAAGTTCGTGATCCGCCGCTCGGCCGCCAACATCAGCGGCGCCATCAAACGCATGCTGGATCCTACGAGTGCGTGATCGACGCGCTGCTCTTCATCTAACGCGACATTGACGTTCTATAGACGGGTTTCGCGAGTCCAAGGAGGGTGTGTGCCGATTTGATAACATCAAGTACGCGTCTTCCAAAGATTGTATCATGAATCATGCTGACTCGCCACAGCGGCCTAGTACTCGAAAAGGTCTGCGAATACCTCTACTACAACGAGAAGCACAAGAACTCGAAGGATGTTCCGGACATGGACATTCCACCAGAACTCTGCCTCGAACTGCTCATGGCTGCCGACTATTTGAATGGTGAGAAATGCGAAGCAGGACATGGATCTTGTTGTTGCTGACGGAAGCGCAGTCTGAACGTCCAATGCTACGCAGAAAAGCGCGCATAGATACGTATATGCAATTGAATCTGGCCAATATCTACGCTTGGCTTCCGAGAATTTTGCAAAGCGCTCCAGGCAACGAAACCGAATCTGCTGAGGCATCTATCCTCGCGCCACACATGGCCCGACATGCCGACCCGACTGTTGCGCAACTCAGCTTATCACAACGCGGACGAGCTTGTGTCGCGCATTTGCTGTGCCATCCTGAGCAAAGCATAAAGCGTTTGCGTACGTGGGACCTCGACACCCGCATCGCGAGCCCGCCTGAGCACGTTTCCCAAGATAGCTTCTAATTCGACTTTGCGACCTGCTGCCCAATCATGCCACATACTCGGCCTGCTCCCACTGTGGTCTTCTTGCACGCCCTGCAGTACTGCTTCGATCGTAGGCAACGATTCCGGGAGAGGAGCGCCCAATACCTTCACGGCAAGTTCGAGGATCTCCCGCATCACACCTTCTACATGAGCGTACAACTCTGGGTCCACGCCGGTCGCTTGGGTCGTGCATCCTCCAGCGAGCACTGACGTTGGGTTGATGCTCGCGTTGATCGCTGTCTTATGCCACCGCGCAAATTGCATTCCTGTGTGCGAGAGCACGTCGACATCTGGAATCCCGGCATCACGCAAGAGAGAGGCGAACTCTTCGACTCGTTTCTGACTCAGCTCTTGATCAGAAGAGTCTGGCGCATACGGTCCTATCGTAGTGCGAGTCCAATGCGCGTGCTCTACATGTCCTTGTGTGGGTTGCGACACAGATGTCCTGCAATGCATTCGTCAAAGTTGTCTTCATGCTGAGCTGAGAAGCTAGGAACTCACCTCGTCACTGCGCTCAGAATGGTGTTCGCTGGAAATCTCTTCTTGTAAGGGTCCTCGATGCCCAAACCATTCTGGAACACCACGAGACTTGACTCATCGTCGACCAAACCTTCAGCCAGAGAGCTCGGATCGCCTAATACCTTCGTCGTCACGATCAAGTAGTCCCAAAGCAAGCTCTCCTTCCTCTTCACTTCTCTGGCTTCGTCTGGGCTTGCGAAAACATATGTAGGTCTGAAAGTTGTATCGCCGAATATCGGACTGGTGACTCTGATACCATTCTTCTGGATCGCCGAGAAGTTCGAGCGACAGATTGCAGACACCTTCGTGCCTGACACTGTTGATAGCCGAGAAGCATAAAATGCTCCGATGGCGCCTGTGCCAACGATCAAAATGTTCTTGGAAGACATGGGAGACTAGGAACGCAATGCTATGAATTGCCGGCTAACACCTGCAGGTGGGATGCTCGGCACTCCGAGTTCTCCACTCTGAGCCATGCCAAGATGTGGCGCCCTACCAAAGACTGTGACAGGAGAACCTCAGGCAGAGCCAGGACCTCGACGAGTTGTCATGCCTGACGCTTGACCTGCAGCATAATGGTTGACGATCTTCGCAGATGCTTTCCTTTCGACACCGACACAAGGCAAAGCCAAGAAGTCTGTCCGCTCAAGCATGCAAGCGAAACACCTTCACGTACCAGGCATCGTGGAAATTGTGGGATAGGCCAATAGCAGTATGCCGACAACCAGTATGGCGTGCATATTCACGACGAACGCCTGAAGTTCTTCCGTCAGCTTGTAAACTCTTCTCAAGCTGCTTGCTTGCTTGCCGATCGTACCTCCTACGACACAAATTTCGCGCCAATTAGGAACGTGCATGCAACAACAGACATTGAACTCTGTGTTGGTGGCCCAACTTATGCCTCTGAAACTGGTGTTCTACATGGGTGGCACGGAATATATACGAGGGAGCCCACATGCTCTGTTGAGATGCTTGAGCTGCACATACTGAGCTGGGCTGATATCGATACACTGCTAGCCATTTCTCAACATGCGCTTGTCCAACCTCATATGCATTGCCAGCAGTGCGGCATCAGTAATTGCTACGCCGCTTCCACGAGCAGCAGCCAATGCAGGTTATCTGGCTGCAATTTTCAAGGGCGCCGAACCTAGTGTCTTCTTTTACAAAGCATCAGCGAACCAGCCAACGGCCTTTCAGGCTTTGAACAATGGTCGAGCGACGCTTGTGCCAACAACTGGAACTGGAGGTGCCAGAGATCCCTACATATTGAAGTCCCATAGCACGTCCGAGATGCAGGTTGGCATCGCCAAAGCATGAACCCCTTAAGGCTGAAGCTGACAGAATGCAAGCAATATCATGTTTTGGCGACCGATCTTGACATCGGTAAAACCGACTGGACTCAAGCACAAGCGAATGGCTCGAGAAGCATATATGTATGGGAGTCGACGAATGGTGTCAACTGGTCTAAAGAGCGATTGGTCGAACTCATGCCATCAACAGCCGGATATGTAAGTACGCCTTACCCATTCCGAACACCAGCAGGGAAGTCTGACTGGGTTCTCGCCAGGTCTGGGCACCATCAGCCATCTGGGACGCGCAGAAGTCCCAGTACGCAGTCTTCTGGGCGTCACAGGTCTACGCAGAGAACGATCCAAAGCACAACGGACCAGCTACAGGCCCGTACATCTACTACTCGCACACGAGCGATTTCAGAACCTTCTCCGCACCCGCCAGATGGAATCCAAACGACAGCCGCACAGTCATCGACCAGGAAATCCAACAAATCGGGACCAATTCTTATATCCGGTACCTGAGCGACACGAATGATGTCAAAAGGGTGGTCGTTGATCGCAGCGACAACGGTCTTTTTGGAACATGGAATCGCATTGGGGTTCCCGTAGACCAGGTCAGAGAGGGTCCGGTGTCCTTCCAAGATATCAACAACCCGCGACGATACTATCTCTGGGAAGACAACTATGGCGGTAGTGGCTATGAGTGCTATTACACTGAGACCTTCCAGACGCCATATACCCCGTGCTCGCCTTCATTGAGTCCAGCGGGGATGCGGCATGGAGTGGTAGTCCAGATTAGCCAGACGTTATATAATGCTCTCGTGTAGCAGTCAAGTCACAGACTGGTTCGTCTCTCCTGAGTCTTCGGGAGGAGATATCCACGACGAATCCGCTCCAAGAAGGTGGAACTGGTGATCTTCACACAAATGGATAATCCTGGCTGTCGTTTAGCAGATCCAGGCTTCACGGCACGCTTGTGATGTCTGTGTGCAGCTTTCTGCGTGAGCCTTGGCCGAGTGTGATGTGCAGTGTCATGGTATTGATGGTCCTGGCGTGAATGTTGGGATGCGCGGCGGAAGGCGAGATTTGGACTGCTGAGCGCGAAACGACCACAGAGCCATCAACATTGACTTCGCGGCACGCGTTCCACACGCTCCACCAACATCTGCAGGATCTCATGCGATATGCTGCATGGACGGCGACACTGGCCACAGCTCTGACTAACTGTGGGCGAATTGCGCCTTCAGAGGCGGCAGAGCAACATCATGTGCGCACTCGTCCTGCAAACGAGCCCATTCCCATACTGCCTCGTCGCACCACTTGCCGACAAGCCCCCATCAGCTTCAGTATCGGGCCCGTGATGCGCATTGGAGAAGGGTGTGGGTCGAAAAAATGACAAAAGATACGGCTGTCAAGCAGATCGACATTTCCCGGCGAAGAGGCTGTGTATCGGGTCCAAGTATTCCTTTATTGGACAATCCGCCTTTCAATCGGTCGATCGTGGCTGCCCACTGGCCATAATCACGACGATGGTTCCAGCAGCAGCACTGAGCACTGCCACCGCCCAAGTTTCAGTCGACCAGCCGGCATGGCCGAGGATTAGTCCCCCGAAGATCGGACCTAAAGCACAACCAGTAGAATAGGCGGCCGTCCAGACTCCCTGCGCCTGTGCAAGACCCTTCTCGCGGTCTACTGAGTCAGGCCGCTTCCTTGAGTAGGAAGTGACAGCGCGGTCAACCTCAGCAGAATAGATACCCAATCTGCCAGCGCTCAGCAAGCCAACAAGGAAGAGCAGTATGCATATCAGGGCTTTCTGGCTGGTCCCGTCGTGATCAACGAATCTCAAACAGACCAGAGGAACAATTGATAAGAACAGCGTTGTGCTCAGCACGACACGCGCTCCAGAACGGTCGGCCCACCTGCCAACCAAAGGCCCAAGGAAGACTGGGGCCACCAGTGCCATGTAAGTCAAGCCAACCTGAAGCGTATTGTAAGAAAATATCTCTCCGAGATGGATGGCCAATGCACCGTCGAACGACGTGAGCAGCGTGGCGTCCAGAATTGTAACCACAATCATCGCCGTAAATCTTGGTGATGTCCATAGCACCAGCGCTGGCGCGAGTGCTCCTTTCAGAGTCTGGCTGGCTGGATCTGTCTTCTGGATTGGTCACGATCGGATTGTCTGGGCCGTCGGTTGTGGGAGGGGATGACTTTGAGTCTCGCGGCTCGATCAGCAGTAATCGCAAGATCGCATCAATGACCAGCAAGGCGTAGCACATTGCCCATACGGAGTAATAGCCGCCGCTGTAATACACGACTCCTCCTAAGACTGTCCCCAGGAATAGGCCACAGCTGAGACTGATGTTGACGAATCCAAGTTTTTCGCTCAGATTCTCCTGCGCAGTAGCATCAATAGCTATCGCTAGACTGGACGTCCATACAACCCCCGACGACAGGCCTGTCACAATTAATCCTGCGATCCAAAGAGCAAGGGAGTTGCCAGCAGTTATAAGGCTGATGCCCGCAAATTGGCTGAGGAGAGCAGCCATGAACAGTGGCTTCCTTCGGCCGATAGCGTCGGAGTAATAGCCCGCCAGTGCTATGGTGGCTTTGGTCAGTAAGTGGCTTGTAACAGTGTAGAGATATCTCACGAGAGCTGACGACAATTGCAATGCTGTAAATGGCAGGCAATAAACTTGTCCATAGCTGCACTGGAAGCCATGTCAGTACAAGAAGCATTCCATAAAAAGAAGCACCGACCCTTGTCTGCTTGAACGTGGAGCCTATCTCGAAGGATGCTCGGGAGTATTGGTGGCAACAGGCCATAGAAGAAGACATCGGTGAATATCGCGAGACCACATGTCACAAGAATAAAAACATGGGAGCTTCGCCATCGTTGTCCCGACATCATGTCTGGCATCGTATTGTAGGGAGAGATGTCTGATGTTCGAGTACTCAATTGTGTGCAGTGACAAGGAGTCTGCCAATACTTGGAAGATCTTTGCACTTGATCGACATATTTGCACACCTTATGACCTAAGTGAGCGTACAGTTCTCGTTGTCGCGGGGTAAGAACTGTGGAACACAATGGGAAGTTCTGTGCCTTCCCGAAAAGATTTCAAGGTTTTTCGTTTACTGACGCCAGCGCTGGCACTGGCTGTGCCGGACCTGCTGCTAGGAGGTACTTGCACTTGCACACTTGGTCTGCGTTGGCGATCTTCACCGCATCATTGAATATGATGATGCAAATCACAGCGCCTAGAATTTTGTGTTTTCCTAAAACGGCAATCATCACCATTCATATGGGCCTCAAGCTTTCTGAGCACCGGTCCTTGAAAAGCATGGCGTCACTTGATTGCGAAGGTATTGCGTCCTCGTCCCGAAGTTCAGCGAATGGGGCGATGGCCCGCACATCCGGGAGTGCTTTCAAGATGACTGTATTACACTGTCGAACGATTGAGCAGTGTTTTCTGCAGGACAGAGGCAGTTCGAGCACTCCGTTCCTCAATCGCACCTGCAACAAATGAAGATGGACTCTCTCACGACCTTTCCAATACAGGCGGACGATGACGGAGATCAATCACCAGCATTTTGGACACCGCTGGCGCACACCATCAAGCTTGAAAGCTACGAGCGGCAGAGTGATGAACAGGATGTGAAGAAATACGTTCATCAAGCTCATGCAGCGCTACTTTGGGCTTATACCGGTGAAGAGGTAGTCAGTTTCGTGGCAGGCACAAGCACGGCAGACGGAATTCAAGACCTTGCTGTACACAACTATGAGGTTTCAATGACGGAAGGATTGGAAACCCAGTGGTCGCGATGTCTCAAAGAGAAGCAGCGAACCGCCATCGATATGCTGGTCAGTGGCGGCAGCATTCTCCTTCAAACGACTTCTGGAAACGCAGACAGCGAAAAAAGCCGCAACGATATCGAATCAATGACACTTGAGCGAACTCCCCTCCGGATGGTTTACTCCGCAAACTCAAGCATATGCTGCATAGACATGGTAGCATGGTTTGATCGACGTTGTCTCAGTACTTTCCATGTGGAAAGATATTTCCAGCATCTGATATCTAATATATCTTCAGCCTGGCAGACTAGAGGTCTTACTGAATTGCAGATTGAGGAGGTCACACTTCCGGACAAGGAATTTATCCACACTTGGAACGGAAAACCACAGGAGCTGGTAGATCGATGCATCCATGATTGCGTAGCAGAAAGAGCCACTGAAGATGGTACCAAGATTGCCATTGATGCCTGGGATGGCCGTATGACTCGTGCGGAGCTCGAAGAGGCAGCAAGTAGTCTGGCGATGATCCTCGTACAAGCTGCGGTACAGCCTCGCGGCGTGGTGGCAATACTGCTAGAAAAGTCCATGTGGGGGATAGTCGCCATGCTTGCGGTCAACAAAGCTGGCGCCGGGTTTATTCTGCTGGATCCCTCTCTTCCTGCAGAACGACTGAAGATCATGGCGAATCAGCTGTCCACGACTCATGTGATTACTACAAAGAATCACATGACTGTGGCATGCACACTGGCATCGATAGTCGTTACGCATTCTGGAGGAGGTGATTTTCGGGTGACAGATACCGAGAGTACTTGTCAAAAGCAGAGCACTTCGAACAAACTCCCATTGGTCTCTCCTACGGATTCAGCGTTCTATATCTTCACATCAGGGAGCTCAGGCATACCAAAAGCGATAATTATCTCTCACAATGCATGGGTAACAACATGCGGCGAAGGCTACCAGTACGGTATCGACGAGTCAAGCAGAGTACTCCAGTATGCTTCCTGCAGTTTCGTCGTCGCAATTCTTGACATTACAGTGACCCTGATAGCTGGCGGGACTGTACTCATTCCCGGCAAGGAAGAACGTATGAACGATCTGAGTGGCGCAATACGACGGCTTTGGCCGAATTATATTTGTATGACGCCTTCAGTTGCTAAGATCTTGGAGCCACACGAGGTTCCCAGCATACAGACTCTCGTGTTAGTTGGCGAGCCTATCCCATCAGCCTTGGGTCGAAAGTGGTTGGCGGTCGATACGGTCACACTTCGAAATGGGTACGGCCAGAGCGAGGCCTGCAGCATGAATAGCACCGCCGTTCTGAACAATGACACAAGTCTTCGCAGTATTGGCAGAAGCAGCTGGTTGAACTACTGGATCGTGGATCCAGCAGACCACAATCGTTTGATGCCCGTCGGCGGCGTAGGAGAATTGCTCCTTGAAGGCTATAGTATCGCGCAAGGCTATCTGGAACAGCCTGAGAAGACCGCAGCGGCTTTTATTCAAGCGCCTGCATGGGCAACAAGTATGAGCGCAGGACTAGATGGCCGGAAGTGGTACAAGACTGGTGACCTCGTCCAGTATCAAGAGAATGGTGATATACATCTCTATGGCCGCAAAGATTCACAACTTAAGGTCAATGGTCAGCGGGTTGAGGCGGCCGATATTGAGAGTCAAATCACGAACGCCTTCCGTGGAGAGATTGAGCAAGTTGTGGTTGATCAGGTCGGGTCTGAACCGTCGCGAAACTTGGCAGCTTTTATCAAGCTCAGGGCATGTGAGGGACCCTGCACAGTCGAAGATATACGGGCTCAGGTACATGCTCGTTTGGATCCCCTCGTGCCAGCATGGATGGTGCCGAACCACATTGTCCTAGTGTCGGCTATGCCTCGTACAGCCACAGGCAAACTTGATCGGCGGACTCTCAAACAAAGATGTGAGAATGATTTGCAAAACTCACAGCGGCTCGAGAAATCAGAGAACAAATCCGGAATCGAATCGCAGGTTCCAGAAGGAACGGATGATGACCCTGCCATCACGGATCTTATCTCGCTATGCAGCCAAGTGCTTCGCATCGAGGAGAACGATATCTCAAGCCAGAGCAATTGGACAAAGCTCGGCGGAGACTCTTTGAACGCAATGAAGCTCGTCAAAAATGCGAGAGATTCTGGGGTCCATTTCACCACAGTAGATCTCATGATGGGAAAAACATTAGCTGAATTGTGCGCATCTGGTTCCGATGCGTCAGCGATACGGCGCGTTGATGGCGAACCCGCACAGCCGGCGCAGAAGGATCTACCACTCACGGACTTCCAGAGCCACTACATGGCACCAGGTGGTGGCTCAGAGAGAGGCCATCTGTACAAGTATCGCATTGTTCTCCGAGGTAATTTTGATATCACGGAACTCCAGCGAGCAGTATATTTATGGTTCGAAAAGCTTGAAGCGCTGCGTCTGTCGTTCCGAAGAGATACCTCAGGACAAGCAGTTCAGTCTGTCATCGAACCTGATCAGGCAACGTGGCGATCTCGAATCATTCTGGAGGGGAAGAATCAGACTTCTGGCGATCCAGCTGCCCAGAATGATTTCTTCGCAGATCCGATTCTTGTTGTGCTGCATGGCAGTGATCAGACAGCACATTCAGGTACTTGCATGTCTCTCTACATCAATCATTGCATCTTCGACGGCACCTCAGTAAATCATATGTTCCGGGATCTTGCCACTTGCTATGTTCACGCAAGCGTGAGCTCACGACCAAGCTTCTTGCAGTATTTGAATCGCCGACTGCTTCAGCGACGTGAGAGTTCGCTCGTGTACTGGGAACATATGCTCAAGGGTTCCCGCCCAACCCTTTTGCGAAGCGACATTGAAGGATCACAGAAAAGCGCCTCCGATCTGGCCACAAGGACGGTATTCCGAGTCTCGTATCTGGCATCGAGGGAGCGGATGGACGCATCAGTCTCGACCCTGGTCTACGCTGCTTGGTCGCTAGTCTTGAGTGTTCTTTCAGGCCGCTCTGATGTGGTGTTCTTATATCTCGTTCACGGCCGAGACGAGGACATCACGGGGAGCGATGCCATTGTTGGCTGCTGCGTGAGTGAAGTGCCCTGCCGAGTGCAATTCAAGGACTCCATGTCATTGGGGAATGTCGTCCATCTGGTCCAGGCTCAGATCCTAAGCTCAATGCCTCACGCTCATCTCGGCTCACAGACGATCGCGACCCAATGCACCGACTGGCCGGATGAGCATCGAAGTTATGATCATAGCAGCCTGATCGTACATCAGAATGTGCCCATAGAACAGAACCTGGCCGTGGGCGATTATGGATATATGGATATTCATCAAGCGGAGGCTGAGCATAGAATGACTTATGATTTCGACTTGTTGACCACATCTTCGTCGGCGAACGAGCTTTCCTTCACGATCAAATGTCTCGAAGGACTTTACAGCGACGAGGAGCTTTCTGCCGTCGCGGAGGCGTTCTTGCTGGCAATCAGGATGATTTTGGGGGCCGAACTGAGAGTGCCAGATGCCTTGGAGCGCATCCAGGAGATACCGAGTCTTCCATTAGTGGCTCCATGAAGTGTTTCGGAGAGAGAGGGAGGGAGAGAGGTTCGATAGTGATAACTGCGTCTTTGATGGCCAAGGCGACGGAGGAAGTAGCTACACACCATAGTTCGTGGGCCGAGATAGCCGCCCGACCTCCGCCTCCGCCGCGCCTGTCTGCCTGCCTGCCAACCGAATTTACGACTTCTTTGTAGTGGCTTAGCTGTCCGAAGATGCGGAGCAATGCACCTATGACAGATGTCTACTGTAGTAGGTATGTCTGAACTTCGCTTGCAGGAGATGCCAAGCCCGATGTGATGGGTCCGTCGTCAATCGGACCGACGAAGCAGAACCTAATTCCACAAACTCCACCTTCCAAACTCTTCCCCAATAGCTCCTCCATAACTCCACAGCCCGCGAGAAACTATGCCGCGGCACAAAATACAGATTCATCAGTCACCAACCAGCTGATGACTCGGCGACAGTTGCGCAAATCTGCCACTTTGTGACAAGAGATGAGATATATTATCAAAAACAACAATGCCCGCGGCTACTCGTCATACCAAGCCTACTACAATGCTTGTCTTGATGTCCCACGTGCAAAGCCACTGATCATTGGTCTACCCAGCACATACGTCGAACGCCGAGCAAGACAATGACGACAGAACTGAAGCGGCCGTGCTTCCTTTGCACAGAAATCGATCAAGTTCTGATGCGTTTGCGCGCTCGGCGAAGGCGATTGAACGTGTCGCGTGCCATCGAGGGCTTAATCTCGGGCCTCTAGTACGAATAACATGACGTTGAACTGGTCATTGGCGTCCTTCTGGAAGGAATTGGTGCCACGAGGCTCTAGTTCGGAGGCTCGGACCCATCGTGTTGTTGTGGAGAGCCCGCGGGCAAGCAGAGAGGCTTAAAGCCACCGTCTGCTTCTTCTTCTCCATAGTTTTGAAGAGTTTGTTTGCTTCAACTCTGCTCCAGGGCATTTCTCTTTTTGCAAGGAAGTCTTCGATATGTCTGAGAAGGACGCGAAGTCCTCGCGGACTCCTTCAGCGGAGCGCAATGTCTCCGTCCCGGACATTCCAGCGGCGGCGGACTTTAACGATGACAGCAAGGTCCCGTTCCTGACCTTTCGAACATTCAGTATGACTGTGATTGTTTCGATTGGTGGTATCTGCTTTGGATATGATACCGGTTTGTTGAGCAGCAATTCGGCGGCTTTGCAGCATGCTAACACAGATGACATTCAGGTCAAATCTCCGGCTTCTTGCAAATGGAGGACTTCCGGTACCAATTTGCAGACAACCGCGATACTCTAGAACTCACTCCAATTCGAACCGGTCTTCTTGTCGCGACACTATCTCTCGGAACTCTCGTTGGCGCTCTCATCGCAGGACCTCTGGCAAACAACCGCAAATTGGGCCGCAAGTACTCGATTGTCCTCTGGTGCATCGTCTTTATCATCGGCAATTGCTTCCAGATCGCTGCTCAGTATCCTTTCTGGTGGATTATGATGTTCGGCAGAATCATTTCTGGTTTCGCGATTGGTGGCTTGAGTGTCATGGTTCCAGCCTACCAAGGAGAATCTGCGCCTACTCATCTTCGAGGAGCGATCGTGTGCTGCTATCAGCTTTTCATCACGATTGGCATTCTCATTGCTTACCTCATCAATTTTGGTACCGAGAGCATTTCTGGCTCTGCTAGCTGGAGGATTCCTGTTGGACTTTCGTACTTTTGGGCACTTGTCCTTGGTGGTGGAATTCTGTAAGTGGACGCAGTTTTCGAGTTGCAAAATCTCCTGTTCTAATGTCCATCACAGCTTCTTCCCAGAAACCAGTCGCCACGAGTTCAGACATGGTAAGGTCGAATCTGCCGCTGCTAGCATTGCGAAATTCTACGGAGTCAGCACTCGCCACACAGTAGTGAAGAAGCAACTGGAAGAAATGCGAGAGAAACTTCGCCTAGAGCAAGAAGGCGGCGATCACTCTATTTGGGAAGTGTTCACCGGCCCTCGCATGGCATACCGAACTCTGCTCGGAGTCAGTAAGTGAAGCCGCCAGAAGATTTCTGCCCCCACTGGTATCGGTATAAGACAGATTGCTTACTTCATTCCCAACACAGCGATCCAAGCTCTCCAGCAAATGACAGGCGCAAATTTCTTTTTCTACTACGGGTCAGTTCCCCTTCACTGGTTGTTCATTCAATTTGAGCTAACACAGTGTAGAACAACAATCTTTGCCAGTGTTGGACTCGACAACTCCTTCGTCACACAAATTATCCTTGGTGCAGTCAACGTTGTCACTACATTCCCAGGTCTCTACATGGTCGAGAAGTTTGGCAGGAGAAAGTGTCTCGGTCTGGGCGCTGCTTGGATGTTCATGTGCTTCATGGTATTCGCAAGTCTGGGATACTTCGAGCTTGAGCGTCCCGACGGTACAAATCGATCTAACATCGGTATGGTGATGATCATCTTTGCCTGTTTATTTATCGCTGCCTTTGCTTCCACGTGGGGTCCTATGGTAAGTTCGACACTGATGATCTTATTGGAGACCATGTGCTGACAATGTCTAGGCCTGGGCCGTCACATCCGAGATCTACCCGTCCAGATACCGAAGTACTTGCATTGCTTTCTGTGCTGCATCGAACTGGGCCTTCAACTTCTTCATCGGATTTGCCACGTAAGTCGCAATATCCTACCTCTGCTTTCTTCAGCGTTTACTAACAGAATCGATAATCAGACCTTTCATCGAAGCAGACATTGGCTTCTCCTACGGATATCTCTTCGCGGCATGCAACTTCATCGCAGTCTTGGTCGTCTTCTTCTTCCTCCCAGAGACGAGCGGAAAGTCGCTTGAGGAGATTGATACTATGGTAAGCGCGTGCAGAAAGTGCAGGTTCTCTCGGGACCCATGACTAATCGCTGCACAGTTCCTTCTCGAAATCAAGCCATGGAAGTCCAGCAAATGGGTTCCACCTCCACCAGAGGACCTCGTCACGGCCGACAACTTACGCCTCAGCTCAGGCGGTCGCGACATCATCAAGAAGAACGAAGCTGGCGAGCCAACGAATGCTCAATATGAGAATCTCAAAGACACCCAGCAGAACGAGTCGAATGTGATGGCTGGTGGCGTGCGAGGAAATTCGATCACTCAGGTATAGAGCCCAACTTGTATGAAGAAGCGCGCCAGTGAGTCTTTTAGATGACTCAGTGTACGACTTGAATACCTGATGATTCATTCCATGCCGCAATGAGAGATACCATTGTTGATTTTTGTCATTGTTGATATACTATACAATAGTAAGACTAAGAGATTCGTCACGGTCTCGATCGACCACCTAGCTGCTGGCTCATCATCCCACCACATCGACCAGCAATGCGCAAACTCCCCAGCCCTGTTTCCTCATCCTCCACAGTCGGAACGCCAGGATCATCGGCGACTACCGCTTATACAAAGCAATCAACCACTCCCAATTCCTCGACATACGACTATCCTTCCTCTCCGGAACCCAAAGCCCCTCCCTCCTCAACGCAGTTCATCTCTGCTGCCAACGCTCCGAAAAAAACGACCCGGGCGAAGCATCCTCCGACATTCTCGAATCAATCGTACTCTGCGGCCTCAGAGTCTCTCGTACAGAATACTGCGAAACACTCGGCCCACTCAAACTCATCTGTCGTCGAACCCAGCGTCCCGTCCGAGGATCAAATCCCATTTCGGGCATTTGTTTATAAGCAACTCCGTTGAAACTGCTAATATCTTCGTGGTTTCCGCAATTTGCGCAGCGGACACAGGGAGGACGGGAGAGGTCGAGGCTTTCTTTTGTGTTTGTGTGGGCGACTCCTGAGCGGCTGTCGCCTCCCCAGGCGGAGTCGACGCGGGTGTGAGAGGTTCCGGCCCAGGTTTGGGAAACGCTGTCCCAGGTTGAGGTTTGGTCCATGCGTGGGGAAGTGCGGAGGGAGGGGGAACGGCACATGTAGCGTCTTGCGCTTCCCCAGGAGCCCATTCGGGATGGTGGCGGGATGGTGCTGCTGCGGGTGGATTGGATGTCGAAGCCGTGATGTGGTTGGGCAAGGCGTTCGCGGCCGTAGTGAGCCATGGCTGGGTGTTGATGTGCTGACTCGCCGTAGGAGATGAATCCCTCGCCATAGGATTGTGGTCCCCAGGCGCCGTTGGGGATGATGAAGAGCTTGTCGACACGGATGACCATCCAGAAGATGATGACAAGGATTTCCAGAGTGAAGTTGAAAATGTAGAAACAAGCCTTAGAAAAGTACCAAGGAGCGGGCATTTCGACTCCAGTCTGAGGAGCGAAGCTGGTGACTGCTCGGAAAAGCGCGCCAGTGAAGAGCAAAGCGGCAGTAGTCAGACAAACCAGAATCTTGCGAATAATCGAGTGTCGTCCAAAGTTATCCTCAGCGCGATCCCTAAGATCCGGGTGTGTTTTCGCCAGCGCAGAAGCCAGCAGGATCGGAAGAGGCAGAAATGCGAACATCGCAAAGAGCACAGCGCCATATTGCCGAATGCCAAGTGCTGCATCTTGTGCTCCTTCAGCATCGGTATAGAAATCGAGACAAGTGCTCGTGATCAAAAGAGATATCGTGAAAATGCTGAGTCCGACTATAATCGGGATAGTGAAAGTCGGTACAACGGTCCAGCCGAAGTGCGGGTGTTGCGCTCGAAGAATGCGCTGCGACCACCAGAGGTTGCAAATGATCAAGATGATAGTTCCCAGGAAGACGAAGGCGTGAGAAGATGCTGCGAGACTGACGTTCGTGGGATCGTATGCCCATCCGACACGTAAAGAAGTGGCGAAGACACGCGTGAGGCAGAATACTGTGAACGTGATCAGTGGGGAAAGAATTAGTGTCTCGGGTCCTTTGCAAGCTCACCTGTCGTTGCGGCGTTGAAAACGAACAGCCTTTCTTGCTTCTTGTTTCGCCAAAATGTCTCAAAGTGCACCACCCCACATATCGTGAAAAGTATGAGAAACGTGATATTGATGCCAACATCGGGCTTGGGTGACGGCGTGCCGCCCAAAGCATGATGCTTCAGCGCACTCTCCATCTCGTAAAACGCTCCGCTAGAGAGTTTGTTCTTATTGCAATCAAGCTCGTGTTAGTCCAACAGCACAATCGGGCACGTTGTCAACTCGTGTCTGCCGTTTTGCGTTGTATCGAATGAAGCGAGCGTCGTTTTTTTGCCGTTGCGAAAGTCAAAGAATGTGTAGAATCGGCCGATGGAGATGAGAAAATATTAGAATTGCGAGACTGTGATGATGGAGATGAATGAGCGTTGCACCGATGGGCCGTTAGTTAAGAAGAAGGAACTTGTACGAGATTAGTATTCAACTGTGAGCAAACGTCTTCTCCTAAGTACGAGCGCTTCGTGTCTCCCTATTGATCAGTACCGTGGAGGTGTACGCAACGTAGCTGCGACGCGAACTGTTCTGCGAACCATTGTGTACAGAATGAGAAATGGGTACTCACGGTCCCAGAATGGACGTTCGATCGCATGTCTGCATAGTGCTAGTCTATTCTGGTGCTCATGCAGGAGGTCCGAATCCGGTAGCCAGTGAAAGACTTTCCGGAAGCACAACGCGACTTCCGCGTGGAAATGTCGTACATTGTGCTCTTCGCACGACCTTTGGATGCGCAACGACGGCGTTTGAACATCGCAAACTTGCTCAACGCTGGTAATTTTGCTTGTGATGCCGGTATTGCACACGTTGTGCAGTCATTCTAGTGCAAAGTCACGATTTCTTGGCAGGCGCCAAGGCGAATGGTCTCTGCTGTGGTGTGGCATTATTCGGTATCCTGTGTGCGCACTCGAGATGCACAAATGGAAGGAATTGCGGCATGATTCTTCTCGATAGCGATGACAGCAAACGCAGGGACAGCTTATCGTTCTCCAAAGTGGCTCGCGAAGCTGTGTTGATGGTTTCGTCCGTTGTCCAGTTCTATTGAAAAATGCTGTTAAGCCAACAGCTTTCGCGGACCAGGACGGGCAACCAACATTCGCAGCTCAAGGTGTGTCGTCCTCAAACATCTGTTCATGGTCCGAATTGGTTGCGTCCACCAGCCTCAGTCCGGAGGCAGTCCCCAAGCTAGCTTTCTGGCTAACGTTTCGCTGCCGCACATGCAACCCACGCAGTGGCTCACCAGCCGCAGGGCCATTGGTCGACCGCTGCATCGAGGCGTGACTGGAGCTGGTATTCTGCAACCGTCTCTCAGGTGCTTCTTTTACAACAGCAGGGTTCCGGCCCAGCATTCCACCAGAGCCATCCGCACCAGGTTGGAAGTCCCCGCGACCATCATGACCTTGAGGACTGGGCTGGATGTGACGGTATCCCCGCAATCGGAAGACTTGCTGTAGCCGAAGTCGCTCACCGTCTGGGTCGGTGGCTTTCATTCGGTCAAGATGTTCTGTCGCTCTTGTGGGGTTGGCCAGTGGGGTCTTTGAGCTGACCATGGACCTTTCTACCAGCCCGTCTCCATCAACCAGTGTTGTGCCACTGCTCGTTGATTCTTGATGCAGAGACGATGGGACAACCCATTTCTGTTTCAAAATACGCTGCATCTCGGCATTCTCCCTTTCCATCCTCGTTACCAACTCAAGCAGATTCGGAGATTTATCAGTCAAGCTGGCAAGCTCCGAGGGCGGTATAGGTCTTGCTCCGGGATTGTTCAGCGCGATGGATATCAACAGCTGTTGCACTTTCAATGATGGCATTGCTTCGACAAATGGCTCCGAGGAAGCAGAATCGTCCGATGGCCTCGCAGGTGGCTTGGGCTCAGTGGCCATCATTTCCTGACCTGAGTCGTGCTTGTCTGGTGTTGCAGAACGCTGCAACGTCTCATTGCTCGCGGCTCCACGCTCGTCTTGAGAACTTACAACTGGCTGGACAGCTGTCGTGAAACATGGAGAATGGTTCCAGAATGCTTCTTTGCTGGGAAATCCAGCCCCACAGCCATAGCAACGCCGCACGTTTTGGGAATTCGAAGGAGCATGGTATGGGGGAGGTGGACTCGGTTGACTCTTACCGCTCTCACGTGCGCCGATAAGCATTCGCGTGGCACCTCTTAGGGGCGTCAAAGCCGACGCAGGCACAGGTCGATGCTCAGCTGGGGGCGGAAGGCTGGCCGTTCGCCGATCTGACGCAGTAGATGTTTGTACTGAAGGCTCTCCAAACCGATGCCGGGTCGCGCCGAAATCCTTGTCATGCAATCGACCATACTGGTGATCCTGAGACCGCTCCCGGTCTCCTCGGTCTTCGGTAGTCTGGTGGGCAGCTGAAGTTTTGTGCGCAGTCGACGTAAGTTGTGGGTTTCGAGGAGCAGTTTCAGTTCCCTTTTCGACTGCGTCCTCGAACAGTTGACCATTCGCTGCTGCCACAAGCTGTGCCTCAAAATCGTCGAGCTGGTCAGCGTCATCCTCAGACTCTTCCCCAGGCTCGCTGCCCTCCTGCTCCGCTTCAGCTGCGTCAGATGGCTCGTCCTGTTGTTCCACATCCAACCTGTAGCAAGGTGCGTGATCAAAGAAAGATGACTCGTCGACGAAGATCTGTCTGCAACCAACGCACTCCTGTGCATAACCAGATTTGCCAGAGCCCGTTGCAGAATTTGAGCGCTCATCCGAAGCAGTCGACGGACCAATAACAATTAGATTATGCACGCTACTTTCCATGTGCCTCCGTACATGCGACGTGCAGTCGAAGCTCTTTGGACAGAGTGGACATTGATATATTCCTGGACGGCTCGATTGACGTTTTGCACGAGACGGATCAGGTAGATATCCGGGTCCATTATGTTTCTTAGTGATCAAGTGGCGTTTGAGATCGTGCGGTCTATCGAAGAATTTGCCACACAAGTGACACTCCTGAGGCATGTCTGGTCTTTCTATGAACGTGTTGACGAACCGTGAACGACGGCGCTTCGGTTTCGTAACGGCAGGATTCGAGGCTGATGCAGTAAACTCCGCATCTGGTGAGCGTGGTCTCTTCCTCCCGTGATGGAGTTCCACATGAGGCTTGAGCTTGTCCATTCTCGAAAGGCCTTTGCCGCAGAACGGGCACTTGACGGGGCGCGAATCGCCGTGCGCTTTTCGATGCCGTATAAGATCTGCTTGATGGCTGAAAATCTGGCCACAGTTTTCCCATTCACAGACCAGGCCAAGCTTCTTGAGAATTTCTGGGGGCAATTTATGTTTGTTCAAGAGCTCATGGGCATCTTTGTCCATGACTGCTTTTTTGTCTGCAATTGCCAACCGACCGTGACTGATTGAACGATGTCGCGTCAGGTCCGAGGGCCTTCCAAAGGATTTGCTGCATAATGCACAATCTAATTCCATCACTCTGAACGTGCCATGTTTCGTGGTTCTCAAGCTGGAGACCAATTCGTCCAGATTCTGCCGCTTTGCTGTGCTGTCCTGGCCCGAAGGAAGAATCCCATCAGGGGAATTTTGAAGAGCTGTTGATGGAGATGTTCCGCGTGCCAGCGTCTTCGACTTGAGTTCCATACTACTGCCCCTCCCGTTCGACGTGCCATGTGCCGAATTGCCGACTTCGTGAAGATTGACATGAGCATTCATGTTATCCTGGCCAGGAGATTCATATCGTGCTTCATCCGCGTATGGCGAGGAAGCAGTCCCTTCAGCCTCTTGTTGGAAGTTCCCAATCTCCTCCTCTCGAGAACCAAATGATCCACCTGGATGCAAGTCCTTCGGATCGCGACCAAGATACTTCTCATGAACAAGACAATGGCGATTCAAATAATCTCTCCGCCCAAACCGCTTGCCACATCCCTCAAAAGGACACGTGAACCGCTTCTCTCCAGTATGCAAGTGCATATGCCGGTCTCGGGAATGGGGTGAAGTATATGTTTTGCCGCAAGTCTCACAGGCGTAGCGTTTTTGGGCGGCTTCTATTGAATTGATCAAGCTCTCCGCGTGAGCTTGCGCGAGGTCCGCATCTGGCATCTTGATGTCCGGCGGCATGTTGTTGTTTGCGAGATGTTAACCCAAGGCAGTCCTGATTTCCAGTGGCGAGTCATTGGTATTTTGAGAGATCTGAGTTCATCACGATGCCCTCTGATAGGCGCCGCATCTTCCTGCTGCTTTTAGAGTGCTGTTATTGTTTCTTGAAGGGGCTGTTGTGGATGAGCAGGTCAAGTTGTTCACAAACGAAGTCGCGGCGCGCCAAGCCAAGCTTCACCTTCCGGCCCAAGCCAGCATCCTCGACCGCCGTTTCGAGTTATGGAATGGAAAGAACACATTTAGCAGCGACGAAGGACTTCATGTCAGAGACGTGTTTTACTCAATGCCGTAGGACGCAAAGCTGCGCAAAGGCTGTTGGTCTTCAAAGATACACGGACGCGACAAAGAACACCTCCAGGACAGCAACTTGGCGACAAGAGAAAGAAGACGTGTATTACGAGCAACCATGGTATTGAGTTGCATATCTACAAAATAAGAGAACCCGCAGTGAGCGTGCCGCGAAACCCTTCGCACCGCATATCATCGCCCCCTTCATCCACTCAGCACGCCAGCTGAACTGCTATACCCTAGACTCCTTCGCTTCCATACATTGACAACTATGAGAGAAAAGATCCAAAAGAAAGGCCTAGAATACCGCTTGAACGCGCCATGTCCGCACATCTTGGGAATTTTCATCAACATTAAAAGAAATATCAGCGGGCGGCGAGCCGTGATGTTCGCATTTGAGGCGCGAACCTCCCTCCCGCTTTTTGGAATTGGAATGAAGAGACGTTGAAGTCCTCGCCGTCAGAGGACGATTCATCGTCAACTTCTAACACGTCGACTTCGAGGTCACCATCGCTGGGCACCGAGATATCGGCGGCAAGATCGTGCACCCTTTTGTTAAGGGCGGCGTCAGGTGGTAGCTTCTTGAGAGCAGCCTCTGCTTCTTCATCAAGACAATGTCGCTCTTCACTACGTCGACGACGTTCAGCTGCCTTTTCAGCCTTCTTGCGGAGAGCGGGTAATTCCTGGGTCGCCATTTGCAAGGCTTCAGAGAAGTGTTCTTTAGCTTGCTTGAGTTCCGTGGTGCAGTCTCCGTCCCGGAGAATCTGGTGGGCAGCACGCTCACAGAGTGACTGCGCCTTCTCCAAACGACCGTCAACTTTATCAAAGGCCTCGGTGCCATCGTTCCTGCCGAAGGCTGGTAGCCGAGACCGACTTGTCTGATACTTAAAGTCGGAGATGATGCGGTTGTGTTCCATGTCCTCACCACCACTGAGGAAGCTGGAGTCACTGCTGCTGGACCCAGAGCGACTCAGCGCATCCACCTTTGCGCTCATCTTGCCCTTGCGAATGGCATTCCTCGAGCTGCTGATCGCACGGACGAGTTGCTCAAATCGCTTCTGTGTGTCTCCATCATAGTAGACGACAACTTCTGCCCTCGCGCGAAACTTGCATGGGCCGGATCCATCTCCAGATGCAACCGATGCCGTCTTGCGTTTTCGCTGGGAGAGTCGTAGAGCGTCCGAGTTCGTAAGATGCTTCAGAGCCGGGCGCAGTCGACCATTTCTATCCTTGGATGATGTTGACTTGAGGGACGGCGACTTCGAATCATTTCGTGAAGGAACGTTGCCCTCTGTGACGGCCCTGGTGGCATACAATATCTCCTGCTGTGTATCCTTTGCGGACTGCAAAATGCTCTCCAAGTCCGCTATCCAACCCGGGACATTCTCCAATAACGACGTAAAGCAATTCAATGCCTCGTCTGCCATTCCGCGGGGTGTGCAACGCTGAGTGTGGAGTCCAAGCAGTCGGTCATGGAAAGAGAGACGGCCGATGAGTCCAGTGGTCGGATCGGGAACCGCGATCTGGCGGCACCTGGCAGCCGAAAAGCGGATCAGAGTTTTCCAAAGCGACGTCAAGTGTCGTGGTGCAAAGGCCCTGTTGCTGTGGGCGTGGAAAGTATACAAAGGCGATGAAGATGGCGATGGGCGTGGTGGTGGATGGGTGCGAGGTAGAAAGGAAGCAGCAGCGGGAGGAAGTGAGTAAAGCCAACGCACGCCTCGTTTCTGCGGAGAGAGGTGAAGCGCGCCAATGCAGCGATCGGCGACCAGCGAGCGGATTGGCCCAGTCGGCTGCGCGAGAGACGAGTGGTCCAGCGCGGAATCCCGCAGAACACGAGCGTGTCCACGGTGGGCCGATGCCTGCGTGCGTGCGTGCAGTGCGTCGTCGTCGTCGCTGCAGGATGCACCGCCCGGCACCGATGTGATGCTACTCGCTGCAGCTTGCTGTGCCGCACTCGCAACAAGCCGTGCCCTCGCTGTGGCACAGATCTGGTGATGATGGGAGGGAAGGATTCTGTCCGTCCGCACACAGTAAGGTTTGCGCCTGCGACCGTGCCTTTGTGGTTCCGCTGTTCCGCTGCGCCGTACCAAGCCTGATATCACTGATCACCGCGAGGCCTCCTTGCTTTGATGACCATTTGAAAGACCAGCGTGCTGGGCTGATACACAAAGAGCACATCCACTGCTGCCACGTCTGTGTTTTGCAGCTGCCGTCTTCCATAGCATCGAGCAAGGGTCGAATTAGAGCATTTACCGTATACAACAGGTCCAAGACATACTGAATCAATCCAATACGCTTGTCCAGAATGGCGCGATGCCGCTGTCTTGCCGAGCCTAGCCTCCCCGCAGTGCATTGCTCAAGAGACCTGTGTCTAGACAATGCCACATCCATCCGCGCCTGTTTCCTGCTTCCGCACGCGCCTGAACCAGACACTGCAGTTGGCATGGACTACCAGCAGGCCCGTCCGAAGCGCCTGCCATGTATTGCAGGATTCGCAGCAATTCACCAACGTGGAATGAGCACTGCGATTCAGAAATGCCGCGGCCTAGCACTATTTCGTGGATCAACATCCACGTGCTGGAGATCGTCGCCGCTACGCCGCACAAGATCAGGGCGCTGGCGAACAGGGAGTTGACACGACGTCCTGCTCCTCCACCTTGCAGCATCGGCCTGACAGGCGTCGACATCCTTTGACAAGGACTATTACGGCAAGACATGCGCTCCCTCTTGGCCCCTACTGTATACCACGCAAGTCATTTACAACAACGACAATTTACCATCGCGGCACAGCCCGCGTTTTGATTTGAATACTTCTTCCTCGGCGAGAAAGCGCCCTGGCTGGCGATCACCTCTCTTCTGCACAGCGGAAATGAGCAAATGATGTGACTCTCTGTCGATCAGGAATTTTCATAGAACTTTCCATAATGGCGCATGTACCACGAATCGCCGCAAGCACCGGATAGACCAGCTGCTCTCCAGTCCTTGCCTGTGAGCTGAAACTGCCTACTCTACTGTATGCAAGAACACACATCAAAAACTAGGTGATCAAACTTGCCCGCATTGGACTCGCGGGTCTCAATGCATTTCCACAAGTAAACCACAGCAGAGCTCAGTTCTCCTCATCAGCTTCTGATCGTCACCACTAACCCCCCAGCCCACGCTGTGCCTCCCGACGGCAGCAATCCTTCTCATCACTGCAGTGTGTTGTGCGCAGGAAAGCGCACGTGTGTAGTCATGTACCACACAAAGTACAATAGAAACCCGAGAGAATAGGAAGAACTTCCGACGGGACAGACGGCCATACTCCCGAATTCATCTATTCCTTCCGATCGCGCATCTCATCGTCGTAACAGCCAAGCATTTTATAGATGCTACCATGCGTATATGCCTCACGATGCCCGCACCTGGGATTCATGAATCCACGGATACACATCTTCCCCATCATAAGCCCAAACAAGTCACGTCTTTGCGTAGCCCACTCTGACCCCCGCGCCAACAACAGCAAAGAGCACTCACTTATTTATCATTTATTACCACATCTTACCTCAAGGTGTCAAGATCCCAAGTCCCCTGCCTCAACTCCCGCATCTCTGTACAACAGCGAAGCCATCATTGACAAATACTTCCCGTTCCACGAAACCCATCCTGTCCCACTTTATCTATGCATCACCTAACAAACATCCCTGTAGCCTTTCTTCTTCAGCCCTCCAACCCTTTGGCGAGATAAATTACCTCCAACCACGCCACAGCACAGCACACAGTAGTAGAAATCCCGCGTCAGTGGTTTCGGTGTGTTACACGACAGCCAGATCCCGGGTCAAGCCAAGAGAGCGTGCATACGAGACGAAGCGGTTGTGTCTGGATTGGGTAATCGCAGAATTCCTGATTGTATACTACAGAGACATGGGAATGCTTTCGCGTGCGTATGCTTGCTTTGGATCGTTGGGAGTTGTGGATTATTGGGAAGCTGGTCGCCTACACTGCTATGTGTTGGGGAGACGGCGATCGAACCATTGACGAAACTTGGCATTCGGGTTCTTTGGTCGGGCGACTTCGTTGTCGTCAGCAGAGCCGTCTTGTACTGTATTCCAAATCTTCGTTCACATCATGCTTGACATTCATCTGTACATCTGGTCGTCTCTATATCTCATCTTGCTCGGCCTCAAGCACCCACTGTGAGCTTCAATACGAAAAATTGCCAAGTAAATGCGATGCACTGCAACTTGCAACTATCATGGCCAACACGTCTCATGTGACCACGTGCCATCTTGGTGGTTAAACTTGTAAACCTCTCGCCTTCCCTTCTTTGGATCACTCAGATCAACACTCTCCACTTCCTCTGGCTTAATCACCACAACACGAAAGTTCTCTCTCGCAACTGGGTGGTCCAGGTCTTCGACTTTTTCACCGATTTGGTGCTTCTTCTCATCGTATGGCTTATCGACCTGCTGACCTGGTGGCGGGTTCTGAAAGCTGCCTGTGCGCAAATTTGTGGTCAGCTGAGGTGCTCTTCGAAGATGAGGATTAATGCTAGCGTTGCTTCATGAGTCGTGGCTTGCATGCAACAACCAAAATGCTCGTGCGCAGCGGCAGCTTCTGCACAGCGGCCCAATGATCATGTTTGATCGCTTTCGATGTCGTGCATTGCGCTATTCTTGGGCGAAGGTGAACTTGCTCTCTGCTTGCGCAGAAAACCACACCTTCCACAATCACCCCAGCAGTAGTTGGTGGGCAGCTTGCTTGTAGGACGGCCAACTCGCCCCGTCGCCCAGACACGCAGGACGTTGAAGAAAACAGCACAAACTCACCTCTCATACCAGGACTCATATTTCCAAAATGTCCTCTGATCTCCTTCGCCCAACTCCATCCCTCCACGCCATCCTCCTTGACGACCCTCATTCTCCTCCCCAACTCACTCTTCACAGTTTTCACCCCACTCGTCTGCTCCTCTCCCACGGTATCAATATCCTGACTCGCAACCACATATGCCTCTCCCTTGATTCTCCACTGCATCATAATACCCTCATCTGGCAGCTTAACCCACCACACCGCCTCACAAGGACCCCCACCACCACTTCCCTGCACCAAGCTCTCATCGTCCGCCTTCCCCGCACTCGATGCGAAGATCTCAAAAAGCTTTTGCATTCGAACATCGGTGGTGAAGCATGGAAGATCGGATTCATAGACTCTATCGTTCTTCTCTGCGGTGTTGTGTTTGTTGTCTGGGAGCTCGGCCCAGAAAGCACGGAAGATGCAGAAGCGGGCTCGTGGGACGTAAGGGACTGGTGTCTTGCCATCGCGGGATTCGGAGCGAGTGGAGGGTGTGAGACTGCTAAAGACAAACTCTGGTGAGTCCATCTTGCTTAAGTGTGAGTGGAACAGCTTCTTCCATGGTGCTTCGCTCGTGGGCGGGCTGTTAGGGTTGGCGGTGGTGGCCATGCTTCGTCGAAACCAGCCGTTGCTGGTGTTTCGGGTGGGTGATGTGTAAGGTGTGGAAGCTGTAGTGCCCGATAGGCTGCGTAAATGGTGAGAGAGACGATTGAGCTGCTTGGAAGCTATGGTGGCTGCTGTATTGACTGATGAAGTTCGAGTATGGATGCGAGCGAGATCTTGAGGATAGCGTTTGCAGGAATTGATGTCTTCTGATGACGAGTCTGCAGAGCGAGTAGAAGAGGATATGCGAAAGTGAATTGGGCCAAATGTAAACGACAGATTGAGGTCATGTTCCATTGTGAAGCTCGTCCAGTATTTGGCGTCTATGACGACGCGACGCGCATTGACTAGGCACAAGCTCCGATTGGCGTCAGATTAGCGAGGCTTTAGTCGATCTTTGATTCAGCCGACAAAGAAATCGTCACTTGGTGGAGAAGAGAATACTGACTGACGAAGATGAAGTTCGACTTGCCCATTTTTGCGTGTCCATGGCATTGTTATTATTTATTGTACGCTGCAAAGCAATCTCTTTTACAAACTCCTGCGTTTCGTTGCCCATTGCGACTTACGCATGCGTTGCGCCCGTCCGCCAGACAGAAGTCAATGTACCGCCAAACCCGTTGTTATCAAAAACGCCGTACCCAAGCACCCTCAAACACAGAGAAGCAATGCACAAACATATGCAGATTAGTCCTTGAAGCCCTCGCTGGCAGCTCCTTTTGGCGCGACATTCTCATCCTGAGTAGCCTGCTTGCGTGGGGAGCCGTTCTGCTTCTTCTGTGCATGAGTGTTGCTCTTCTTCTGTGCATAGTTGGTGCCCTTCTCGGTGAGGGTAGGGCCCTGCTCTCCGGCATGAGGGACACTCTTCTTCTGTGCATGCTTGAAGTTCTTCTTGCTCTTCTTCTTGTTGAGGCCACGATGTCCGCTCAAATTGCGCTCCAGAGACCGAACGGCTCTCTGAGCATACCCCGACAAAGTTTGCAAGAAGGCCGCCTCGAAGCAATGGCCAGCGCCCCTCGCGGTCGTGTAGACCTTCTCGATCCACTGCTTGGCGGCCATGTTGATGCTCCAAAGGTCATCTACTTCAACGCCCAACACGTTGTACTCCACTTCTCCCTCGTTGAAGGCATACTCGAGTGCGCTCTCGTAATTGCCAACCGCGAGTGCAGTAGTCGAAGCGAAGCGGTAAGCCTTCATGAGTTGAGTGCATAGAAGCTGCTCCTCAATCATGAAGCGAATCCCGTCCTCAGCCTGGACCAGGGCCATGGCTGGCGAGGCGGGGACGAAGCGTCCGTCAGGAGCCGTACCATGCATGTACTCATTCAAGCCCCAGAAGATACCGTTGAGGAGCTCGCGTCTCTGATCAGACATGCCAGTGGGGTCAGAGCAAGCAACGCAAGTGCAGTGGAATCCGTATAGATCGTAGAGTTTCGGTAGACGGAGATGCTGCATCTCATACCCAGCTCCTGCGCCCAGGTAATTCACCTGAAGTTCTTCACCAGGCTTGATGTCGCGCACAGCTTGTACGGTCTGCTTACCAAGAACTGGGTTGTTGGTATGGTGTACGTTGGGAACGCACGAGTGATTCAAGCGCGATGAAACTTCGAAGACTCCCAGGTTGCCATTGGCGAGTATGAAGGTGTTGCAAGCGAAGATGGAGATCACACGGACGTGCTCGGACAGGTACTGCTCCAAGTCTGCCTCGCGAATCTGGCGATGGAGCGCGCAGACTCTGGCTGCGTGCTCGGCATCGAGATGAGGCGGCAAAAAGCTGTGCAGCGCATCGAACGCGGCCTTCTTGGTGGGCGAGAGGCGAAGGTACTCGTGGTAGGCGAGGTCGAGATTGCCCTGAGCGATCTCAAGGAGAGGCTTCTCGCAGATGATTCGAGTGCCGCGAGGGATGTACTGACATGCGAAGACGCCGAGACCTTTGCCTGCACTGGCTCGTAACTCGAACAGTGGTTGGGCAACAGTGCGAGGCACGAAATCCGGCGCATCTGCTTTCAGTGGCGAGGCGTTGCCCTTCGAGGTGGCTCGATCAGAAGCGCCACTCGCCGGCGTTGAAGCACGAGTAGTTGGGGTGGAGCCTGGACCATTGCTGACAGAGGTTCCGTTCGACATTTCGTGGCCGGCGTTTGATGGGGTCGAGTCGGTGGGTGAGCTGCTGTCGTCTTGCGGCTTGTTTCTGTAGAGGAAGAAGAGGACGTGATGCAGCGTCGTGCTGACCGCATTGACCGTGTTATCCATGTCGCCGTGATTCTGTGTCTCAGGGATGGTGGATATTGACGGTTCTTTGTTCTGTTGTCGTGTTTGACGGTGCGGTTGTTTTTCTCGCGCGACAGTTTGGAGCAGCAACTTAGCGCGTTTTCCAGGGGTGCCTGCGGCAGGCAGCCTTGCGTCACACAAGGCAAGTGCAAACGCTGCAGCGGGCAATCTGAAGACCGAGGACACGCGTAAACACTCTGACCCGGCACTGTTGGTGCTGAGAGCCGTAATTCGATCATGCTTCACGCATTGTCTTCGCGTGCAGGTTCCCGAGACTGTCTCAAGGAGCGACTCGCGGCGGTTGCCCAGGACATCAGACAGCAGCGAGCCTACATCTTTGAAGAGCCATTTGACTCCAGCGTCGACTGGAGCAGCACGTTCGAAGGCCTGCCATGGACATTTTGCAGAGGGACGAAGGCGTTTAGAGGCGTTGATGCCTGCATTGGGCGAAATTGTCGCGAGAATATGGGGGTATCAGTGCCTGAAGCGATTCGACTTCATCCTATGAGGGGCGAGCAGCGACCACGTTCGCTTCAATGAGCTGATAGTCTTCCTTAGAAGCTGCAATATGCTTCACCCTTGCCAATTGTCGAGCTGGATGACACAGGACCGTCAATTGAATGACCAGACCAAGTGAAGCCATAGCGCGCCACGCCTCAGCCTCCTCAGCACGGTTGGCATGTAATGCTCGTTTTTCCGCGACCTCTGCCAATTTCGTTCGGCCTGCTCATATCGCCCATCCTGTAGCTTTCTTCTTCGTGCGCACTTTCTCCGCTACCACATCGGGCTCGTGAGAGAGCTCTATGGGCTGTAGACCAAAGTCTGCCAGATTACGAGATCGCATAGCAGCCTCGTCCTCGAGTGCCAGTCCCTCCAACCTTGACTCCAGCTCAGGATTTTCTTCATCTGCATCGTGTGCGACATCTGCATCTTCGCCGTCTTCAGCCTCACTGTCGCTCGCTTCATCCTCATCTCCATTTTCATCTTGGGCCTCGTCAGCTGCTTCAGCCTGCGTGCCATCGAGAAACCTCTCACTCTCCTTCATCATCTTCTTGGAGAACCCACTAGCTTCCACCTCAATATCTAGCCTCTTCTCTGGATCGACGTCCTTCACCGCGTCCTTCAGGAAGGGTCCCTTCGCATCACTTGTGTACTTGAATCGTCGCTCGAAATATCTCTTCACGCAAGCCACATCCCGATCGAAGTAGTACTGCGCATTTGCGTGATTTGTGCTGACTGTTTGTGGAAAGTCAATCAAGATTGGGATTACCTGTACTGATCCGTCCGCTTTGGGCTTCTCCTTGATCAGGATGTTGAACTCGTTGAAGTCACCGTGAATCAGGCCTCGCTGCGCGAGTCGTACGATCAAGTCCATAAGCTCGGCGTACAGCTTGCCGGGATCGCCGACTTCGTCCACCATGCGGAGTGGGAAGGAGTCGATGAACTCCATGACAACAGTGTGGCGGCTCCATGCCAGCGGCTCTGGCACCGGGAAGCCTTCCCGGTGAAGTACTCTCATGAATTCATACTCCTTGTGTGCCGCCAGGCGAGAGAGATACTTCCAATCTCCCGTGCCTGAGTTGCCAGTTTTGCGAAGATAGTCACGATTCGCTTTGACTGTTCGAAACGAGATGCGTCCTAGTCGATGCAGCTTGAGGACTTGCTGGCGGCCCTCCGGTGATGCTGTGATGTAGATGTCTGACTCCTTGCCAACACCGATCTGATTGCCAAGTGAAAAGATGACATTTGATCTTCGATGCGCGTTGAGTGCGAGGTAATCGAGGCCGCCATAAGTGAGTCGGTAGCCATCATCTGAATGGTGTCAGTCATGGGTCGCGGGACAGGTGAGGAGGGCCATACATCTTGCGTTCTTCACTTTGGCGATGAGACCGGCTTTGGCGAGATTGGAAATGTTCTTGTGTATACCACTACCGCCTCTGAGTCCAGAAATCGACTGGATCAGTGGTGTGGGAACGACTTCATGATTCTTGCTCCCTTGCTCAAACTACACACTTTTTCTCAGTACGAACTTGCAATATGAAACTTGAAGAAAGTGCACCTACTGCAGCAAGCACGCGCCAGTCTTCGCTGGACAAATATCGTAGTGCGCCAGTATCGAGCTTCATCGTGCCACTCTGTGTTGTGAAGTTCGAGATGGCCACTGCATTTACATGTGACAGCGGCCAGAAAATTGCGGTGATGTCGTTGTCCGGGAGCCGCCACACCTTCCCGAACAAGCCGCGCCATCGAAGCTGCTGCTGCTGTAACTAAGCACTTGGGCTCAGGCGACGACCAGACGCGTTGACAACATCGACTTCCACTAAACCTCCCCATCAATCAACACATCTTCACTGAGAGCGCCCGCAGATAGCTCTCTTGATTGCCACTTGTATCAGCCCGCCGGATCGATCGTCCGTCTCACCATCGAGCAGCGACAACACTATCAACACACCCGAGCTCTCGTGATCGTCAGAGATGGCGAAGGAGGCGGAGAAGCCCAAGGCCGTCGACAAGGGCAAGGGAAAGGCTGAAGATGGCAAACAGGCCAACGGCGTCAATGGCGCCAAGGCAAATGGCAAGGATGGCAAGAAGGACAACGACCTCGATTTGCCGCCAGAGGAGTTGAGCGAAGAAGACCAGAAGCTCAAGGATGAGCTGGACATGCTCGTGGAGCGACTAACAGAGTCCGACTCATCGCTGTACTCCGCGGCACTTGAAGCCATCAAGACGAGCATCAAGACATCGACCAGTTCGATGACAGCCGTGCCAAAGCCGCTCAAGTTCCTCCGACCACATTACGAGAAGCTCACCGAAGCATACGAGAAGTGGCCAAAGAGCCCCGAAAAGGACTCACTCGCCGACACACTGTCCGTATTGGGCATGACATATTCCGATGACGAGGATCGACGGGACACCTTGAAGTACCGACTGCTCGCGCCTGGCACAGACATCGGCTCATGGGGCCACGAGTACATGCGCCATCTCGCGCTAGAGATCGGGCAAGAGTACGAAGTCCGACAGCAGGAGGAGAAAGATTCCGAGGACATCACATCTTTGGCGCTGACGCTCGTGCCCTTCTTCCTCAAGCACAATGCCGAAGCCGACGCCGTCGACATTCTCTCCGAGCTCGAAATGATCGAGCATATCAAAGAGCATCTCGACGAGAACACGTACAGCCGCGTGTGCCTGTACATGGCATCGATGGTGCCGCTCCTCACATATCCTGACAACGATCGCTTCCTTCGCACTGCACACGATGTCTACTTGCAGTACAAACAATACACGCAAGCCATCTCATTAGCGATCAAGCTCAACGATCTTGAGCTCATCAAATCCGATTTCAACTCTGCGCCCGACAAGACCACAAAGCGTCAACTCGCTTTCCTTCTTGCCCGACAGCGGATATCGATCGAGCTAGAAGGAGAAGACGCCGGGGATGAGGAGCTGCAAGAGTGCTTGAACAACACACGTTTGCCTACCTATTACAAATCTTTGGCGAAAGAGTTGAACGTATTGGATCCGAAGGTACCGGAGGACATCTACAAGTCACACCTGGAGTCGAATCGCACCGCAGGCTTGACCAACACAGATTCAGCGCGGCACAACCTTGCGTCAACATTTGTCAACGCTTTTGTTAACGCTGGTTTCGGCGAAGATAAGCTGATGCTGGTGGAAGGTGGTGTCAAGCAGAGCTGGGTGTGGAAGGTGAAAGAGGAGGGAATGCTTTCAGCTGCAGCATCTGCCGGTCTACTTCTCCTGTGGGATGTTGAGCTCGGTCTCGACAAGATTGACGCATATACATACGTCTCTGAGGATAAGATCAAGGCCGGTGCGGCATTGGCCATGGGCGTCATGAATGCAGGCGTGAAGGTTGAAGGCGATCCAACTCTCGCACTCCTGGGAGACTTTGAGGGCAAGACTGTCGCCGACAAGGTTGCTCGCATCCTCGGTCTGGGCCTGGCATACGCAGGCTCAAACAACGAGGGAGTTCTCGAAGTCCTCCTTCCTCTCGTTAGAGACACTGGGTTGGAGATGCAGTTGTCTGCGAGTGCGGCGCTGTCTCTGGGCCTCGTATTTGTCGGCACAGCGCACTCGGATGTCAGCGAAGCTATTATCGAGACTTTCCTTGATGAAGATCGTAACAAGCAGCTCAAGGACAAGTGGACGCGCTTCATGACATTAGGCCTTGCAGTGTTGTACTTCGGACAGCAGGAAGAGGTCGATGTCATTCTTGAGACACTGAAGGCTATCGATCACCCGATGTCCAAGCCTGCATCCGTGCTCATCGAGATGTGCGCATGGGCAGGCACCGGTGCTGTGCTCAAGTTGCAACAACTTCTCCACATTTGCAACGAGCACATCGAGGACAAGGATGACAAGGATGATGAGGACAAAGAGGAAGAGAAGAAAGAGGGCGACGAGAAGAAGGATATTGCCGGTGAACAACTGGTCCAGGCATATGCTGTGCTCGGTCTGGCTCTAGTGGCCATGGGCGAAGACATTGGCCAGGAGATGGTCCTCCGACAGTTCGGTCACTTGATGCACTACGGTGAGCCTAACATACGGAAAGCTGTGCCTCTTGCGATGGGTCTCATCAGCGTGTCGAATCCTCAGATGAAGATCTATGACACCCTCTCTCGGTACTCACATGACAACGACGTTGATGTTGCAGTCAACGCAATCTTCGCCATGGGCATGGTTGGTGCTGGCACAAACAATGCTCGTCTCGCACAGCTTCTCCGACAGCTTGCATCATATTACCACCGAGATCCAAGTGCGCTGTTCATGGTCAGAATTGCGCAAGGTCTGCTGCACATGGGCAAGGGAACACTGTCCATCAGCCCCTTCCACACAGACCGAACTGTCCTCTCAAGAGTCTCGGCCGCTGGTCTGCTCACCGTTGCCATTTCACTCATCGAGAACCCGAAAGCATTCATTCTGGGCGAGCACCACTACCTGCTGTACCATCTAGCTATTGCTATGAACCCTCGCTTCCTCATTACACTCGACGAGGACCTCAAGCCCGTACAGCTCAACGTTCGTGTGGGTCAGGCAGTCGATGTTGTTGGACAAGCAGGACGACCGAAGACAATCACCGGCTGGCAGACACAATCAACACCCGTACTGCTTGGACACGGCGAGCGCGCAGAGCTCGAAGACGAGGAATGGATCTCAGTCGCGAACACATTGGAGGGTGTATGCATAGTGAAGAAGGTGAGCACATTCTCCCAGCATTATTTCCCAATTCAAACACATCACTGACAACTTCACACAGAACCCGGATTGGGAAGCGCCGTAGAACACGCTACCAATGCAAAACCTTGTTCGCTTTCTTGAAACGATCCCAAGCAACAAGGGCACGAGTCGTCTCGCCGAAGCTTACAGATTCGTCCACTCACTCATGGAAGCCCCAGATCCATGGCAGGCTGTCGCTGCGGCTTACAAAGACGAAGAGCGTCCTGTAACTCGCGATGAAGTCTACAGAGCATTTGGCGGTAATGTCGTGAGGTTGAGAAATCACTTTGATGACCGTCTTGCTGGATGGCGATGGGACTCGGTTATTGTGGAAATGCTGAAAAGTCAAGAGTGGCATGAACGTATACGACTAGAGTTGAAAGAGAAGAAGGAGAAGAAGACAGAAGATGATGGTCATGATGATATGAATGGGCATCGGGATTAGATTGGCTGGCTTGCTGATCTGTCTTTCTCTCTCTGCGCTTCTTCGATTACTTACTTGGTCTGCACCTTTCCCTCATGCATCCACGTTGGTATTCACATTCGTATAGGCATAGATGAGTACAATAGTGATGTTGTATGGTATATTGTATCATTGGCAGTCCTTTCTCCTTCCTACATTTCACTATCCGATGGTATGTCATGACTTCATCTTTCTCGGCTCTCCGCCGAGACATGGGATATGCGCGGATCCCGGTCTATCGGGATTCTACAGTAATCCCGAAGAGTGCACTCATGCACGGTGAATTGCCTCTAGAACGCGAGGGACAGAAGCCGATACAGATTAAGAGCAAAGAAACATGGTTGAGAATGCGATCCGAAAGTCTCGGACAGTTTGCGTGCAAGTAATCTTTTTCTCTGGGCCACATTCTCGTGGCAGATCTATTTGGTATATCTACAATGCACAGCTTGCAAGCCATACAAAGCACAAGACTGGTCTCTTCCGTCGTGCATGCATCGCAACGCGTGACCCATAGCCCATTCCATTAACAAGAAATTGTGAACGCCTCCCTTTTTCTCTCTTCGCTAAAGTGTAAAGCAAACTCGTAAAAGGTGTGTATCGTGTCATGACTGCTATCCCAGCTCTTACAAAGAAACCTCGACACGGCCCTCGTTACCTGGAGCACCCTTTCCAAGCTCTGGGAGCATGTAAGTGATGTCATCCCAAGGATGTCTGTAGAGACCGCTACGCAGACGCTTCTGGTCGAGGAAGTGAGCAATCAGACCGATGGAGCGACCGAGCACGAAGAGACCGTTGAGAACACCCATCTTGAGGTAGTCCTCGGCTTCTTCGTTGGAGAATGCACCGGAGTTGCGGAGGAGATCGACGAAGCAGACGGCGACACAACCATCAACGTTGAGGATCAGGTTGTCCTTCTTGGATGTGGTAACGGTCTCGACGGCGATAGCGTAATCGAGGAGCTTGGTGGATGGGAAATTCTGTTGGCAGTATTCCTTCACGAGCGAGACACGGAGATCAGGGTTGTTTCGTGACTTGACACGGTGACCGATACCGGGAATCAGCTTGTTCTCCTTCCTCATGGTGTCGACGAAGTCACGGGGCGAGAGACCCTTGTCGAAAGCGCGAGTGAACTCCTCGGCGGCGCCATCAAGAGCACCGCCGAAACGGGAGCCGATTGTGAGCAGACCAGCAACGAGAGATGAGATGAGATCCTTGCCTGCACGAGTCGTGATGATGGTGTTCATGGCACCAGACACAGCTGGACCGTGATCGGCAGTAAGCATGAGAACCATCTCCAAGAACTTGGAGGCGTATTTGGGCAATCTGCGGCGGAACCACAGAAGGGACATGACACCACCAATACCGATGTCCTCCTTGAAGACCTCAGTGATGGGGATACCAGCGTACAGGAGTTCTTGGCCACGGTCGTCGGAAATGGTGGAGATGAAGGCAGCTGGCTTACGGATAAGACCGAGCTCCTGGGCCCACGAGTAATCGATTGGAATCTTTGGAACAGCTGGCTCTGGAGCAGGCTTGATTTGGCCTTCCTTGACGAGCTGTTGGTAGACCTTGGAAAGCTCCTTTGGCAGGTCCTCGAAGGTCTCTGGGACGAAGAAACCAGCGTCCCTCATGGCCTTGTTCTTCACGGCGGCTTGCTCGAGCTGAGAGTTGGCCATCGAACCAGCGTGACCGAATTGCACCTCAGTCTTGAGCATGCTAGCAACGGTACCGATGGCCCAGGCGACGATTGGCTTCTTGATGGTGCCGTTCTTCTTGGCTTCAATCACACGATACTCCTCCACACCACCGACTTCACCGAGCAAGAGCAGGATCTTGCACTCAGGATCGGCCTCGAAACGGAGCATGTGATCGATGAAAGTGGTGCCAGGATATCTGTCACCACCAATAGCAATACCCTCGTACACACCATCGGTCTCTTGCGCGACAATGTTGTTAAGCTCGTTGGACATACCTCCAGACTTGGAGACGTAGCCGACAGAGCCCTTGCGGTAGAGCTTGGAAGCCACAATGTTATCCATCATACCACCAGTGTTTCCGATCTTGAATGCACCCGGCTTGATACCACCAACGGTGGCAGGGCCGATGATTGTGACACCCTTCTTCTTCGCAACGTGGAGAATCTCACGTGCTCGTCGCTCAGGCACACCTTCGGCGATGATGGCAATGGACTTGATTTGTGGGAACTCCATGAGCTCCATGGTCGATTGGTAGACGGATCGGGAGGAGGCGAAGTTGACGACGGTGTCGACATCGCTGTGCTTGGCCATGGCGTCCGAGACCTGCTGGTAGACAGGGAGGAGAGTTTCGGAGGTGCCCCAGTACATCTTGCTGACGAACTGGCCACCGAAGGTGTAGATGATACCGGCGACGGAGGGAGTCTTGCGCTTGCAGATGAAGTCGAAGTCGAGCATGCCCTGCACGGCCTTTGTTTGCATGCCGCTGCGGAGGAGTCAGTATTGCCATTGCCTGCCATTGGGGTCTCCTGCACCTACTAGACAAAACATCTCGTCTTGGGGTGGAAGAGAGTGTGCTGTGGAGTGGGGCTCAGAGGCCTACTGGGAGCGACGAAGCGCTGGATGTTGTCGTTGGCGGACAGGCTGCTGTCCTTGTGTGTGCCATTGACGCCGTTTGCGCCATTGGTGGTGGCCATGGTGGGCGGATTTCAGCCAAGGACAATTCTATCTGATTTATCGAGTGCTGTGGATGCTTTCGTCAGTTCACGTTCAACTTCGCAACTTCCACAGCTCTGCAACTGCCACGTCTGCGATCGCGATTGCCGCTGCGAGGGTGGAAACGAGGGCAGCCAGTCTCAAACAACCCGAACGCGGGCAGTTTCGAGCTCTGGCAGCTGACGCCAGAAATTCTGGGGACCAGCTGGGCGGGAATTGGGAATGCAGACTTACCACGGAGAGGATTGTATTGTGCCTCAGAGAAAGAGTGAGTGCGAGAGATGGAGGAGGAGGAGGTGCGGCGGTGAGTGCGAAGGAGAGATGGGCAGGCGGGTGTGATTTCTTGTCGTCGGACTTTGTCGAGCTGGTGGTGATCCCTGCGTGCACCAAAAGTATATTGGCTTCAACGCTCCTCTCCCGACGCCGGTGGGAGGCTGACGGGGATCCGCTGGACTTCTCGTAACACGCGCCATCTCATCGGTCCGCCAACATCAGGCCTCTCGTTCTCGTGAACGCGCGGGTCCCACCGCTCAGCAACTGCAGAATCGTACCATCCGTGCTCAACTCAGCATTTTTGGGCCTTTGCACAATTAACACGCGGAGCAATTCACACACGCGAGCGAGCCCGACAAGGCTTAGCCCCGCCAGCCCTCGTTCTCGCTTTCCGGCAACATGCGCTGCCCTGAACTTTGGGGAATGGACATGTTTCTGCTGAGGCTCTCATCGTGCTGCCCCTCCACGCGAGCGAGCAACGAGCGGGCGTTGATATCTGCTTCCATTGCAGCTGCATCCACGCGCGCCGTGGAACGCATTGGGCGCGGCTCTGCAGCGCCTGGCGAGCCGACCACGCCCGTTGCAACGCAGCCCTCCACGGCAAAACATTTTGTAGGGAGGCCCAGCGTGCGTCATGCGCAGGGTCAACAGTGCGCGCTGGGGTTGGATTGTCGATCGCCGACGGGAAGCTTGCGCGTGGGCCTGCATTTGCGCCCGCGTCTAGCGCAGCTCATCGCCTGGGAGAGCTTCAACATGTCTGTGTCGAGCGCTGATGAGACCGTCAATCCCGAAGCCCATTGTCGTCCTGTCCGACTTCCTGACCGTCCTTCATTCCTCTCCCACTCGCTCCTCCCTCTCACACCTTCCATTACACCTACACATCTAATTCCGGCAACTCGCTCCAGCGCAAGTGCAGCCGCAGGACCTTCTTCAGCCTCGAGGTGCGTAGTCAGATTTTATTTTTAAAGCTCCAGCTGGGCCCTGGATTCCCATTCCCGTTGACTGCTGCACCGCTTCGGACTTTTTTTGACACCACACCACATCTGTCCCCCGAACGCACTTTCCCGTGGCCTGTTCCCTGCGAAGAAGGAATTGGAAGTGTGCGAGCCTGCGCAAAAAGAGCTGAAACCTGCACACAACCCACGGCGAGAGAAAGACATTCGCAGGCGGCAGCACTAGAAACACCTCTAGCGCCAAGCTGCCACCGCAACTCACCCGCGGGCGCCTTCCCATTGTACAGCTTTCTCGCTAAGCTTTCCTCACCGTCACCCGCAGTTTCAACTTGGAGTCCGGGGATCATCAGACCAGCTTCGCCGCCAATTTTTCACTGCCCGGAGCTGTCTTGTTCGGACACCTGCTTACCAAAAGCCAGAAACAGCTTTCTGAAGAAATTCACTTAACAACAATCTCACGAACACCACCACAATGTCTGCGAAGCCAATCACAGAAGCAGATGGCAAGGCCATTCTGAACTACCACTTGACCCGCGCGCCTGTCATTAAGCCAACTCCTCTCCCACCTTCATCAACGCACAACCCACCAGCCAAACTTGCCACAATAACTTTTGCCGATGGCGACGATGTCAACGGTGTTCTGGACGCTGCTGAGGCTAAATACCCATTCCTCCTCCAGCAAGGCGCCAAGTTCGTCGCAAAGCCAGATCAATTGATCAAGCGACGAGGCAAGTCGGGACTTCTCAAGCTCAATGCTACTTGGGCAGAGGCGAAGGAGTGGATCGCAGCACGCGCAAACAAGATCCAAAAGGTCGAGCACATTGAGGGTGCTTTGAGGAATTTTCTCGTCGAGCCCTTCGTGCCCCACCCTCAAGAAACCGAGTACTACATCAACATCAACTCCGCTCGTGAGGTATGCAGGAATCCGCTCTTTGGCCATTGTTCAATTTCGTCTAACCAAAATTGCAGGGTGACTGGATCCTCTTCTACCACGAGGGTGGTGTTGATGTGGGAGACGTCGACGAGAAGGCTGCTAAGCTGCTCATTCCAGTCGACCTCAAGGAATACCCAAGCAACGAGGAGATCGCCAAGGCGCTCCTCCCTAATGTGCCAAAGGGTGTCCACCCAGTCCTCATTGACTTCATTTCACGACTGTACGCCGTCTACGTCGACTGCCAATTCACGTACCTCGAAATCAACCCGCTCGTCGTCATTCCCAACGCCGAGGGAACCTCCGCCGATGTCCACTTCCTCGATCTCGCAGCAAAGATCGACCAGACCGCAGAGTTTGAGTGCGGTGTCAAGTGGGCTGTTGCACGCGCCCCAGCAGCTCTTGGTATTCCAGTCGCGAACACTGGCTCCAGCAAGGTCTCGATCGATGCTGGCCCACCGCTTGAGTTCCCCGCTCCTTTCGGTCGTGAGATGAGCAAAGAGGAGGCATACATTGCAGAGATGGACGCAAAGACCGGTGCCTCGCTCAAGCTCACCATCCTCAACTCACAAGGACGTGTGTGGACACTTGTCGCTGGTGGTGGTGCCTCCGTGGTCTACGCTGATGCCATTGCATCTGCTGGCTTCGCTGGTGAGCTCGCCAACTACGGAGAGTACTCTGGTGCTCCAACCGAGACACAAACCTTCCACTACGCACGCACAGTCCTCGACCTCATGCTGCGAGCACCACAACACCCAGAGGGCAAGGTCCTCTTCATCGGTGGTGGTATCGCTAACTTTACCAACGTAAGTCATCTCGCCAAATCCGTAACATATCTACCCGAAGTCCGGCGCTAACTCCTGCACAGGTCGCCAGCACATTCAAGGGTGTCATCCGCGCACTCCGTGAAGTCGCACCTCTTCTCAACGAGCACAAGGTCCAGATCTGGGTGCGTCGTGCTGGTCCCAACTACCAGGAAGGTCTCAAGAACATCAAGGCCGTGTTCAAGGAGCTCGACTTGAACGGCCACGTTTTCGGCCCCGAGATGCACGTGTCGGGTATTGTCCCACTTGCGCTTATTCCTGGCAAGTACCACGAGGGCATCAAGGAGTTCGAGGGTTAAACAGCTCAACTTCGTTCCTCGTACTTGTATGATGCTTGATGCTGGAGTTCGGATGAAAGAAGCGACCCGGTCGCGGTTATTGCTGTGGGAATACAAAAATGCTTCGTATGAATGACACGCCGGATGAGTACGGACGACACAGGCGCACCCTTTGCGTTGCGCTGGGAGCATTGCACAGGAGTATATAGACTTTTGTACGCGGATACCACTTGCTTGCTCTGATGCTTCTTTCGTGCCTCACCAGTACTCATCCATTAATATATATTGGAAGATGTGAAGGAAGTTATTGCAGCACACTCGCAGCACTATATGCAACGTTGCCACGAAGTTCCTATGTTCCAAATCTATCGCAGACCTTCGTGGCAGGGTACAGTGTAGACATCATGAGCGAGTCGTGTTTTGAGGCACGCCCAAGTTCATGCCTCAGGCCAACTTCCCACTTGTCGCGCGCTCGCGCATCTCAAGCTCCGACTCTCCCAAAATCTCCACCAGCCAGCAACTTCAACAGCATTCACATCCAGCCCTTTGCGCCAACACGACCGCACCTCCCATCTCCTCACAAACCTCAAAACTCTATCGCGCACCGCGCGCCACAACTACCGCAACAATGAGCGTTCGTCTTCCCCACTTACCCATCCTCCATCGCAGCCACGAATCCACGCCCAACTAACACAATGCGCGCACAGTTCATCCCCCTCAACCCTCGCCCGATGCTCCAAGGCCTCGTAAACAAAGACGTCATCGTCCGCATCAAATGGGGACAAGAATACACGGGACGATTGGTTTCCGTGGACTCGTATATGAATATCCAACTCAGTGGTGCGGAAGAAAAAGCGGCGAATGGACAGGATGGTGGGGTTTTGGGACAGGTTTTGATTCGGTGAGTGTATTCCTTTGGGAAGTTTGGTGAAAAGAAGAGGAGGGCGGGGGGCGGGGGAGAAAGGGAATTGGACGCAGCTCGGATTTGGTAGAGGAGGGGAATAGAGAGAAGAAACTTGGAGAAACAGTAATTGAGGAATTTGAGGCTAACAGTTTGGTGCGCGCAGATGTAACAATGTCCTATGGATTTCGGCAAAGGATAAGCAGGCGAATGGGGATGCGGAGATGGCTGGGTAAAAGACGGCAGACTGAGTGGGTGGAAGCGAATAGTTGAAGACTAGTTTCGCACATCTCGCGCCAGAATAATGCGAGAGAAGCATATGCGCGAGCCTTGAAGAGACTCTGCAGTGAAGCTGAGGAGGGTTCGGACGCTGCAGGACGGAACACCTTCCTTCAAGGGACGAGGAAGCAGATGCTCGACATGGACGTGCCGTGGCGAGCTTGTGGAACAAGCAGAGGATACGCCAAACAACCACCAAAATTGCGTTGCATTGGACGCTACGATCAGGTTAGTAGCATGCATCAAATGATCACGAAATATTTCACTTTTGTGCTGAACAGTCATTTCTCTCATCAGCTAGTGCCGAGTCGTCCGAAGATATGGCAATTCAGAATGAGACAGCTGGGAACGCGCAGAAACCATATTTCTGCTGTTCAGAAAACAACGTTGTTCCTTGAAAAGGGTATCACAGAAGAGTATGTACAAGTCATCCTTCGGCACGCGCACTGCGCGACACACTGTTCTCTCCAGCCCATCTCTTCATTTCCGCGTCACTGGTCGTAAAATCATAAAACAATTCATTCCTCCCGCATTCGCATCAAACATGCTCTCGCGTCAGCGTAGGTCGGATACCATTCGGATCAGCAAATGGATCATGTCTTGCTTCCTCCATGCTAGGCCTCAAACTCGCCGGATCCTGCGGAGCCCCCAAGTGAGTCCTTCCGGCCTCAGCATTCTTCATCTCCCAGGATCCTATTCTTTCGTGACCGCGAGGCTCATCGACAACAGAAGCGCCTACCATAGCTCCTCCTTTTGGAATTGTCAGGTCTTGATCACTTTGCATTTTTCTCCCGCCTTTGAATCCTCCAAGGTCGCTCTTGCGGTCGTGCTTTTCGCGTCGGACTCGCACGCCACCGATGAGCATTGCCAATCCAAAGAGGATAGCAGCGATCACGAGCGCGATGACTGCGCCAACGACGCCAGCGACTGCAGGTGCCAAGCCGTGGTGGCGGTGAGAGCCTCGCGAAGCAGAATCAGATTCGTTCCCGTCTTCGTCGAATGCGGCGCAGAAGAGTGTTGTCGCGCCACATTCGTTGCACCAGTTACCGATGCCTGACATTGCAATGTTGTTCATGCCGTCGCGGAAATCCTCCCATGTCATATCGCTTTCGATATTCGCGCGACCGAATAGAGGATACGAGCGGAAGGGGTTGGAAGCTTCATCTGCTGTGCCATTGCGGAACAAGAAGCGGACGTAGAGGTCGTTGGTACTCGGAAAAGTGGATGTGTCGTTTGTAATGCTGAAAAGCTCAAACACGACCGAGGAAGCAAAGTCGGCGGTTCCGAAGAATCGAGAATCACGCTGAGGCAGGCCGGCGAGCGCGAAGAAAGATGTAAGAGGGTGATAGTCGGCGAAGAGGAGATTCAGCTTGTTGCGGCCGAAATCAGAGTAGTTGATGGCTGCGCTCAGCAATTCCAAGACTCGTGAGGCGAACATGTTTCCTGCGACTGTGGAGATGCTGCCATCGACAGGTTGTTGCTGCACGCGTTGCCGAGTTGTCAGCCTCCTAGCAGTAAGATTTCCAAGTTGGCCGTATTGCTGTTCATCAGCCAGATAGCGCAAAGTGTCGAGGAAGCTGGTGTTGGTGGTGGAAGAACGGTATCCGGCCAACTCGTCTCTGACCGTCGCGTTATATGCATTCTGATACCGTAGGTAGTCGTAAATCGCATAAGCATTGTCATAGCTCCAGTAACCTTGGTCTAGGACACCAATGAGTGTTGCACTGCCCACCGCGGCGTATGTGCCATTGAACTCTTCATCTGTGCCATCACTGCCTCCGGCCGTGTCAGACAATTCTGCTGCTATCTCGAATGACGGACAACCTAGATTGCCAGAGAGGTAGATGTAGTTTGGATCATTGGGACCGGCCGTTCGGAGCTGTGGGTATTGGTAGCCACCCAGTGGTGTTTGAACCTAGCAATGTCAGCTGTGGTGCGTATTGAAGGCTGAGGCAACTCACGATTGTGCCATTCGCAGGTGTGTACACTCGATATGGATCGGCGTCCTCGTTGGTCCCATTCCCTGGGGTGTACGCAGGATATAAGCCTTGCATGAACGCCTGCTGCGTGGCCAAGTTGTATTGTTGCTCCAGTGCCAGCGAGGTGGTCTGAAATTGGTCATATCGGTTTTTGTCGAGTCCAATAAGCTCGCCACCCGAGGCCTCATCGCCAACGGTGCCATTGCTCACTCTCATATATCGACTGCGGAAGAAGCTGCCAGCTGCGAAAGCTTCCTGAGCGCCGGTAGAGGTGATCTGAGATGGGATCTTGCCCAAGATTTCTGGCGTTCGTTCGCCAGTCCTCGTGAAGACCACGCTTGACCAGACGACATATCGTGGTGCTGTGGTATTCTGTGCAGACGCCCCAGGCGCAAGCAGCAGTGCTCCAGCAAGAGCTGCGGCGGTGGCGAGCATCTTGACCGCCTTCAATCGCGCGTGGGTGATTCGACAATCCTGCGCCTGCCAGCAGCGCACGCCAGAGGTATAGAGGGAGTCTTGCTCGCCGGGGAGTGCTTCAAATGACGGCAATGAGCAGGGAAAAGGCTCACCTACCTGGACCAGAGGTTGGAGCTACGGGACTTATCATATGCGAGCTCTTTATCGGCCTTGTACCCGATCAAAGTCAGCGCCCAGCACGCCATGTGAGTTGGGCCAGAGCATCGTGTGAGCTCCCAGCCGCACACCTCGCAGCACGACATGCAGCTACGTGCCATGAAAGGCTGAAAGAAGGAAGCACTTGACCTGTTCCAGCGTGTCTCTGCGCCGTTCCGAAGGTGGGGTGCGTATTGGCTCGATTTGACTTTCTGGCATCGTGCCGATGAGTTCTTGGACTTGTCTCTCGCCATGCAGCGACACCTTCGTATCGCCAGGCTCGTGGGACAAGAACCAGGGCCCCTTGATGCACTTTGGTCGCTTTGTCAGATTCACTGATCGTTGTGATATTGGCGGAAGATGAATGCGACTGGTGATGGAGGAGCGCAGTTGGCTTTGCGGGGTGTGACGACCGGCTGAGTCGGGGCTCGGCAAAAAGCTTGGACGCAAGGATGGAAAGAACGAGGTTGGTGAACTTCACGTCCATGCCCGATATCACGATAGAGCACGATCTGTGCTACTTTGCACTCTGGTTGACTTTCGACCCGCTCGCAAAGACCATGGAATCCTGCCAACATTCTGGCAGTAGTCAGGCTGAGCGAAGAACGGAGCATAGAGGACGTGTGCGACTTTCCCCCATCTGTCAGCTTGTAACACAGAGTACTCAGAGTTAAGCATGTGGTATACCGTCGCCAATCCGCAACCGATATTTGCGTCACCCAGCAGTCTCATCTGCGGTGGAATTGAGAAGCGTAGCCTTAACATCGAATCCAGAAAATGCGGCCCTCTCCCACGTGAACTGAACTTGAAATTTCTGGCAAGATCCATCGACATTGCGATGCCCACATATTCCCTCGTCGAGCCTCATCGAGGATTGAATTGCAACTACTACAGCGTGCAATCATGCCTGGAGGCTTCTCTACAAATGCCAAGATCTCGCTACAAGTGTCCAGAGAAGAAGAGCTAACAGATCTTGCCGAGGCTGCGTAACCCCGACTTCATATGCTCGAGGAATGTGGGAATTAGTGCCAGATATATAACGAGACGAGACAGGAGTTTCTTCATCTATCAAGAACAGACCAACAACGAACAAGAAATCAACCACAAGATGCTCACAACAATGGCGTCAAATATTAACGTCCCTCTTCTCTCCATCCCATTTTACTACGTGCTCGCCATTTTCCCACATGGCTGGGCAATCTCCAAAGCTGCCAAAGGTGACATGAATCGTCACGACAACCGCAATCCAAAGGGCTCGACCTTCCATGAATCATTGCGCAAGCGCCTCACATCAGCTGAGTTCGCTGCATTCGAGCGAGCGGAATCTTGCCACAGAAACCACTTGGAGAATATGCCTCTTTACGTTGCTGCCGTCTTCGCAGGACTGCTTGCGGAGAATAAGTTGGGCAAAGGAAGCGTTGGACTGGAAAGCTTCGTGTATGGCTGGAACCTGATCCGGATTCTGTACACGGCGAATTATTTGACGACTGAGACGAGGACTTGGAGTTATTTGCGAAGTCTTTTGTATTTCGCGGGTACTGGATGGGCGTTTGGGATTCTTTATCGTGCTTCGAAGGCTGTGGGAGAGCAGAATTAGGGCAGCAGCTCCGTGGAATTACATCGCTTGGACCAAGATTGATGGCAATCAGGCACAAAACAGAGAGGAGTGAATTTCTAAGGAACATCTTGAGACTAATTGCACAATTAGGGACGTGAAGATTGACCCGGACTTCGATTATGTCGGTTCGCTCGATTCTTGCTAGGTACTGGTTCCATCGCAGACATATTTCCAAATAACACAACGCTCGACTCCTCCTAAACTCGAGTCATCCTACTATTTCAGCGCATTGTCCTCGGCTTGATCTATGGCGCTCCTCAATTATCTTTAGACCTGTCGTCTCCACTTTGACCGGCCTCCGCCTGCCGTGTCTCCCGGACCTGATCGAAGGCACGAACAGTCGCTACGGGAACTGTGGAAACTGCCTCTGTCTTTGTGGCCATGGCAGCCACCTGAGGCAAGGTCGTTGCAGGAGCCTCGCTGTTGTCGCTATCTCTAGTCGTCTCTGGCGTCGCCTTCGCCATGGAAGTTGAAGTCGTGAGGGTCGTCTTCTCAGGCAGACATTCGCTCGGTCTGTACCCTGGCCGCGTCTTACGCTTTTCGCAAGCACGATACTTCTCGATGGATTTTCGAATTGCCATAACCTCTTCATGAGTTGCCTGCTTTTCGATACCATATCCTTTGAGTCCTTTCTTGAGGTCCGGATCGATCATCAGCAGCCATTTCAGCTCCCAGAACTTCACTTTGAAGACAATTTTCTCATTCTTGAGCTTGATTGGTTTCCTCTTCGGCTTAGGCTTGAAAGACTGGCTTGGTGGAGATTGTGAAAGCCAGTCCGGTTTCTGATCATAAGACCATCTCGTGCTGGGACGAGCAGGCCATCTCCGTGGATGCTGGTATGGCCAGTTGCTGACCATACGGTGGCAGATGTGAAGGAACTCGGCGAGGGCGAATGATACTGCCAGTAGCAGTAATAGTGCCAGGACACGGAAGTTCATGGTGACGACTCGGCCTAGCGAGGGTATCGCTGCTGTGTAATTGTGGTTGCTGTAGTGTTGTCGAGATTATGGGCACAAGAACGTGAGTTGAACGAAAAATTTGAATACCAGGAGTTGACTTGAGCGAGCAGCGAATATTTCCTTCCTCTGGTACCACGGCGCACGAGTGCACAGAACCACCATGAATCGTGCCGTTATCCATGGTCCGGATGCCGTTCAGAAGTTTGAATCGTGCGGCCTCGTGGACTTTTCCCTGGTCCAGGACTGGATAGTCTCACCAAATCTTCAGAAACTTCGCTCTGGGACTGACAGTGTACCTAGCTGCTTAATCACTGTCCTGTACGTAGAGTGGACCTCTTTCCGAGCCTTTGCGCTCATACAAATACGACTTGCATTTTATTGCGATTCCAAAGCCAGGGGGCCATCAGCGGCAACGCGTATCGCACAAATGGCTCATACGACCATCATGGTATTTTTTGTGATGAGGGGAAATTGGAGTGAAAAGGCGTTTCAGATGTCACTTCTGTCGAACTTGGCCAGTAAATTCTGCCCAATGGCCCCATGTGGTGGCTTCGAAAGAGTGAGTGGCCAGAGAGTGGTCACTCACAGAGCTTACCAATGCTGTGAACAAGAAACACCTAGGAATTCCAGAAGACACCACATTGAGCTTTTTTGACCCTCGTTGGCATACAGTCGTACTGTGGCTCAGAGAACAACCGCACGCACGAGATCTCTCTCAAATTTACCGAATGTGCGACATTGCTGGATGTGGAGTCCTGTTGGCTTTCAGTGGTACCGTAGCTCAGAGATCGAATACCTGAAAACAGCCTTTCTGGGAAATGGAAAACCTGCCTCATTCATGCGTCTTGACCTGCGATAGCTTTCAGTCGCAACGTATTTCAGAGAGTGACTGAGAACAGGGTATCTCTGAAAAACGGCGGACACGCCACGTCGATACCTCTTGAAAATCACGTTCGCTCTCGTTAGTAGTGCAGCACAGAGAATGGGACGCAGAAAACTTTATGACTTTGTGAACCGCACTTTCATACCATTATTACCTACTTTCTACAATGCAAAAAAATCAAACTTTCCCAGCGCCGGTGGAATTCCTCCCCCAGAAACTCCGCAAAGACCCTTGCCTCCCCATTCCTCCATCGCTCCTTCCCTTCCCTCCCTCCCTCCTTCCCTCCTTCCGCCCCTTCCCTACAATTCCACCCAAGTCATCTCCTCAAAGTCGCATGGCTCCCGGGTAGCCTGCTCACCCTCTTGCCCGGCGAGATCGACTGTCACCGGGGCCATCTCTCTCCAGCCGATCGATTGTCTTGGGCTCTGATCTGCCACTTGGCCGGCCCGGAAGTTGCACCAGTCCTGGAGCATCAGGAGGGTGCAGGCGTGAAAGCGTAGTGGCGCTTGGTGTGTGCGCCGGAAGATTCTGCCGGTGGGAGTGCGCACCAGGGCCATGTAGTAGACCATGGCAGACATGTTGGCTTGGTGGTGGTGGTGGTGGTGGTGGTGGTGTGTGTGTGTGTCTCTGTTGGTAGTTTTTGTGGAGAGTGGTGGCAGTTTGTCGATTTGTTGGCTCGAGTGTGTCTGAAGCTGCCAGAGAGAGAGGGCAGAGGGCATGGTGGGCTGTAATACATATGGTTGCAGAGAGAGACTCACAGGATTGGTACTGAGGACGGCGCCAGAAGTGAGTGCATTACCGTATCCATTCGTTGTGGTCGGGTGGCCTCATTAAGTAAGTTTCGTCCTTAAAGAAATCGTCCTCGGTTCCTTGACGACACGGTGTCGGATCCTGTCGGTATCCATAAGTACTACATGCCCCCCAGTCAGTTCCGCTCCCATAACTTCGAAGAGAACTCATACCAAAAACCAAGATCAACAACCTCTCTTCGAATATTCCAAAAAAGTCAACATGTCTCAGACATTCTTCGAGCCTACGCCGGCAACAGGGTTCAATAAGTACTCCAATCCCAACAGAGTCTGGTTCAGAGACGAGGCTTACGATATGCCAACAACACCACCACCACAAGAGCACAAGAAAAATGTGGTGCTAGCCAAAGTCCCCAAGCTCTACCGGGACACCAAGATCGCCATCAGATGGCACTTCCGTCGCCTCTTGTCGAGCGATATATCTGCTCACCTGCGCGCTCTCTGCCCACAAGGCCAGGTCCGAGACGTCACGTACTGGGCTGAGGTCTCGATCTACAGCAACAGTCTTCAAGAGCCACACGCTGGTGCCGGGAAGACGACTGTCCAACGCGTCCGCAAATGCCGACAGATCCGTCCTGGAAGTGGAAAGCATAATGCGCAGCTCATGCAGGCGCATGAATGGCTCGAGGAGCAGAGGGAGAGATATGGGGATGCTAAAACCGAGATGGTGATGGGCTGGTATGCGAGGCCACGCGGAGCTGGTCCGGAGACGAGTTGGGAGAAGTGGGGTGGAGAGTGGTGGGACTTGTAGGACGAGACGCGAGATTCGGTGCTGTGAGAGGCCGCAATTGTGGGTACGGAACTGTTGTAATGTTTAGCTTACTTGGGTTGTTGTAGTATGCAGAATGTCAAAGTTTGATCATCTACCATCTCATCAGATCACTGTGCAAGTACGCAGCACTGGTAATCGTGAATGCGCGCAAAGTTTAGCCACTTTGCATCGTAACGTATCCTGGTTCCCTTGTATAGGATCGTGGATAGGTGAGTGAAACCAGTACAGGTACATGTGAACTTCTCGTTAATACCACAGGATATATATAGACCCATTTCGGTGCCTCTGCAGACGCGCAAGCAGGGTTTCCGCACTCTACTTCGTCCGCACCTGCTTCAACTTCTTCGGACTGTGGATGAACTGATCGGCATAAGCCTTGGGCACGAACTTCCTCGTGTTTGGCTCCTGCACAAAGTACTCGTAGCCTTGCTTGTTGGCGAACCGAATGGCGTCTTCCTTGGAGTTGAAGTTCAAATGTGTGCCTTGCATGAAATCGGAAGATGATTGCCAGCCCATAAGAGGGTTCTCCCAGCGGTGACCTTTGCTGAGAGGATCCCAGTCCATGCGCCATGAGTGACCAGTCCAGTCGCCGGATTGAGTTGCGGTCTTAGCGGGTTTGTAGATGCTGCAGACTATGTTAGAAGAGAGGCCTCGCGCTTTGTTTCATGTGCCTGCCTTGAACGTACCGAACGGTGCGTGCTTGCAGCTCGACTGGTGCTCCAGAAAGCACAGCAGCCGGTGTATCGACGCCTGGCTCGCTGCCGTCCATGACACGAAGCGGGACAGGGGAGAAGTTGCTATACCCTCCATATCAGCACACTCGTACGGTGGTTCGCCCAATCCTCCTTACGATGTTCTGTAGTCGACAGCCACATTCCAATCAGGCTGGTGTCGGGGTTGGCCCTCAGACGCTCCTTCTTGTCGGATAGTCACACTCGATGTCGAAGCTCGTGCAGCTGGTGCGGCGTCGGTCGACTCTGGGCGGTTGTCTCGAGACTGCTGGTTCGGGGCGACAGAATCGGTGGTTTGGAAGCGCGCCAGGGCTGGGACGCGCTGCGACAGTGCAGGCCGTACAGCTGCAGCACGCAGCATCGCTGCAGTACGGAGCGAAGCCATGGCGAGTACGTGTAGGTATGTTCGTTGCTGTGCTGTGTGTGAGGGTCATGGCATTGGGGTCGGCATGATTGGCACCCGCCTGCGCGGTTCATCCCGAGAAGCGGCATTGGTGATCTCGAAGCAGACATCACTCAACTCTTCCGTCGCCAGCGATACAGCACACACACCACCGCAGTCATGGTTTCCTCGATAATCCCCCCAAAGGTGCGTTCATATGCTGATGCGCTCGGAGACATTTGCTGAACATTTCCCGCCAGGTTGCTTCGCCCAACGTACGTCAGCTCCTGTCCCATCCGTTACTGCGACCACCTCCGAGCAGCGATATGCACCTCCTTCTTGCTCCACGAACGCCGAGACTGCTATAACGACAGTCACAGATAAAAGGAAGAGATTGTGAAGAGCTGACACGAGCTTGGACAGGCCATCGGCAGCACCAGCGACGCTGCGCGCATGCAAAACGTTGTTGGGTTCTACGAGAAGCTCCCACGAGGAAGCGCACCCCAAGCGAAGCCAAGCGGCCTGCTTCAGAGATACCAGGCCAGATACATGGGTAACAAGGCATCTCCATGGCGTATGTACAATTCCTCGGCTACTAAAGGGCAGCTATGGCGGAGAAGGAAATTGGAGGACTAATACCCGAACAGCACTCGTCCACGTTATCGGCACTCTTCTCGTCGTCGGTTATGCTCAGAACTACTACTTCCATCTTCGTGAGTTGTACAAGTCCTGCAAACTCGAATGGCCGCTGACATGATCTCTCAGGTCACCACAAGAACAACGCGCACTAAGCGGCACATGAGGCGATGGGGTATAGAAAGGTCTCTAGAGCTAAGAAGCAGACTCTGTGTATATAAGGATACGAAGCTGCGTGAGCGAGTTTCTTTTGTGCCATATTCCACGTTCGCTATCCTCTTTTCCAAACAAGTCACGTGACTCCGATCGAGTAGTCTCCGAAACGCTGTCGCTAGTGAGAGCAGAGGGTATGTCAAGTGAAGCGGAGAACATGCCATTTCATTCCTGACTCATCGTGAATTGGGCAGAAGTGCAGTGAAAGTGGTACGCGGTGACCCAGTGAAAGACCCCCGTAGGCTGCATTTGGCTTTGCGCGGAGGCTGACTTCGCCGCCCGAGACGTCTGGATCGTACAGCCTCACCTCCGGTCGACCACCTCACTTCCTCCCCTCCCCCTTCTACACACATCCCACACTACTCCTCCCTCCGCGCTCTAAGCAGCCGGATACCCGCGAACGAGCCGTCGCCGAAGCGCGCAATCCGAGATCGCGACGACCACGACGAACCCGAGCAGACACAGCACATAGCGACCGGCGGAGCACAGAACAGGCTGCATCCGACTCACCACCCACCAGAGCACGCACGCTGGCAGTCTCAGCCTCCTTCTGATCCTAGGTATAGTGCCACATTTTTCCCTCAGACAGGACCGAGTCTTCTTTCACACGTCGCGCGACACGGCCTCTGCCTGTCGCGTCATCACCAAACAGCTGCGCCGGATGCGCGCCTTGAACAGCTGTCTCGCCCCCAACTCAATTGGTCCTTTGGCATGTTACCAACGTTTACTGACTCAAATTTGGCTGCCGATACAGACTTGGATACTGTGATGGCAGAGCAGATCGGCCACAATGTGGTAATCAATTCGGAGTCGACCGGCGCCTCTGCGCCAGTCGACGCTGCTGCGAACACTTCCACCACCGACTCCGCCCTCAGCGGCAAAACGAACAACGAATCTATCCCCGACGCTTCTAACGCTGCAACGACCTCCGCATCGCCAACTCAATCCAACGGGACGACTAGCGACAACGCAGGATCGGATGCGCCCTCGGTCGCAGCTGGGCCAAGTGCTGGCGAGGCTACAGACCGAGAGACGTTGAAGCCTGCAGATGCAAAGGCGAACTCAAGCAATGAGAAGACCCGCCTTGCGCATGGCGATTTGGTAAATGGTGTGCACGAGGATGGTAGTCAGGCGGATGCGCATGCGGATGACAAGAGCACGACGGGTGTATCTGTGGATTTGAGCGTCAATTCGGACACGGACAACAGCAAAGCAGATGCCGGCGAAAAAGGCACTCACACTCGCACCAACTCGACTGTTAAGAAACCTGCTGCTTTTAGTAAAGTCAATGCGACCAAGAGCTTCATGAGCAAGATTGCACCATCAACACCAGCCGCACCGCAAACTGGTGATAAAGGTGAGACAGAGAAGCACAGTGCTGGCGAGAGTGCTACTAATCACAATCTAGCATCTTTGGCGTCAGCGACGCTCCAACCCGCGAACCGGCCTCGGCTCATCGCCAAAACTGGCAGCTCTCAATCGATGCTGAAGCCTCGAGCAGGCACAGGAGGCTCAGGCGCACCGGATGCGAGTAAGGTTTGGAACAAAAATCAGCCCGTAGCAGCGCCTCCACCAAAACAATTGACGGACGAGGAACTCAAGCAACAATTCGGAATTCACCTGGCGACGCGGTTGCAGACCGATGGAGACAAGAAGGATTCGAACTGGGCAGACATCGATGATGACGAGGACGACTGGGCGCCAGAGACTGTGGTCTGGATGGACGGTACTAAGTCCACTGTCCCAAAAGACGCAACCTCTACGCCTGCGGAAGAGTCAACGCCCCCAGCTGCACAACCTGCTGCTAAGCCTGCCGAAGGTGTGAAGCCGACTTTATCTGTCAAGCAGCGCTCCGATCGTCCAGAGCACCCCATGCGGATCCTCAAGCCTGGCGCAGCTGCAATTCAATCGAAGCAGAATGGAAACGCTTCTGCTGCTTCACCCGCAAGCTCGAAATCTGCGCTGACCTCGAAGAGTCCGGCACCCGCGCCGGCCAAGTCGCCATGGGCGCCAGTACCGAAACCAGACTCTGTCGCTCCCATCAATCCGCCAGTGCAAGCGGCGCCGCCGCAGCGTACTCTGCCCTCTCAAGATGCACGAGCCAGTGAACCCATGGGCTCTGCGCCTGCTCGAGAAATTGCGGCCGATACCTTTGATCGATCGTGGCAGCAGCGCGATGGTGGAGCTCGCGAATTGTTCAACTCCTCCAACGGGCGATATGAGCCTGCTCCTGAAGGACGGCGCGGTAGTATGCGCCAGGAAAATGCCCGTAAGCCGGCCGTCCTGCAGCGTCCATCTCAAGCGCTTTCTCCGGCACCTGAGCCTTCGCCTGCGTTTCAGTCTAGGAGTAGCTCTCAGATGGACGGCAGCTGGGGAAGCAGACGCCGTGGCTCTAGCGTAAGCCAAGGTAGCATGCCGCCACCACGACGCATGTCTATGAACAAATCAGAATTTGGTGCGACGCCAGAAGCGGCCTCAGGTCCCGATAGAGCAGAGCCTGCACGGCCCAACTTTAATCAGCCATCCGCATGGGACAAACAGATGCCGCCGCCGCCGCCTCCAGATGCGCAACAAGCTTCTCAACCTTCTCAGCCTTCTGAGGGCGAGCCTGTACCACCATTCGAGGATCCAGTGAAAATTCAGGAGCGCATCATGCAAGAGAAGCGCGAGGCTGCCAAGCGTCGCAAGGAGGAAGAGGCTCGTGAAGAGGCGGAGAAGAAGGAGCGCCTGAAAGCCAAACTGGCCGCGCTTGAAGGAGCAGGCAAGTCACGGAGTGAGCGGGCTGCAGAAGCGGCGGCGAAGACGACCGAGAAGCAGAGTGAGAAGCAAGCCGAGAAGCCTGCTGAGGCTGCGAAACCGACCATCTCTCAGGAGACGCTGCCTGCCAAGCCACCCACCTCTGCTAGCGCCCCATCCACGTCCCCTGCAATTGTGGAAACGCCAGCACCTACACAGCAGCCAACCGAGAAGTCTGCCTCACCACTAGAGTCACAGGCAGCTCTGGCAGGCCTATCCACTCGAGAGGATCAAAATCGAGCACAGCCAGCGGCTGGACGTCCGCCCACATCACGCGCACCTTTTGGCCAGCAGCAGCCTGTCCCCTACCGAGCGCCAGCATCTTCGTACTCCTCGCCAGGCGAGCGTAAGTCGCAACCAGCACAGCTCGGAAGATCGCCAGTCGCAAACAACGACGCCTTCTCGCCTTGGCCCACGACAAGCTCTAACAACAACATCTGGGGCAGTGGTTTCGGAAACGGTGTTTTCGAAGGCGGCAGCTCGTTCGCTCCTCTGGGTACTTCGCAGCAGAACTCTTCACTGCCGCCTCCACCTGGCATGTCTCGTGTTGCACCCGGGTCTGCCCGCATCTCTCCGCAAGGCTTTAACCAGGACAGTCGCTCTCCTAATCTTGGTCAGCCGCAGATCACGGAACAACAGAGAGCATTCCCTGCTCCTGGCATGAACGACCGCTCGGTTCCGTTCGGCCCTGCGCAGCCACGCATGACTGGCGTGTCGCCTCAACACGCCCCTGGCTACGGTCGTCCTCACCACCCTCCCGGCCCGATTGGACCTCCGTCTCGGACTCAGAATCAAGCCCAGCAGCAACAGGCTCAACAGCCACAACCGCCGCCAGAAATCACTGCGTGGAAGGCAGCGGCGAATACGCTCCACCACCAATACCACAACCCGCCTGCTGCAACTAATGCGCCGGCGAGCAATGCACCTATTCCGGAGCATCGCTTCAAGGAGACATTCAAGAAGACGTCTGCGGAGCAAGGCAAACTTGGAGGCCCGCGTAGATATGACTCCATCGAGCATACTATCCATGATGGGTCTGGTTCTAGGTCAGTCTCAAGCTTCAGTCCTGCTCCCCCGAGCACTCAGACGCAACCGATCGCGCCGCCAGCAGTCGCATCCCCTGCGCAAGATTCAAGGCTCAACACTGCGATACGCATGCCGGATCCCTCTCGAAATCCCGCGCACGTAGGGTTGCCGCGACCGATCGAGCCGCCACATCGTCGGCATGCTGAGCGTCTGCAGCAGCAACAGGGTCCACCTACTGCTGCCCCTCTCGCGCCAAATGTCTCATCTAAGGAACAATTTGCGCCCCCGCCGGATATCGAGAGTCACCCGGTCTATGAGGGTAAATCACGACACCCACAGGTCAAGTTGCCGAAGCCACAAGCCAAGGTGCGGCTCCCACCTTCCTCGCCATCTGCGACATCGCCACAGACCCAAAGCCGTCACAACGGCTCTGTGGTGATGCCACCTCAGCGACAATCCTTCAGACAGCCATTCCATGGTGCGCAGCAGCCAATCGTGGCAAACGCGCAATGGCAGCAGAGATTCAACGGGTTGTTTGCACGTGCGGAAGTGTCTAATGAGGCACCTCCATCACCACCAAAGACTCCACCGAAGGCCCAAGGTCTGTCACTTGCCGTGGCTTCCTCTAGCATAGAGCCAATGGCCACACAGACCGGAGGTGCGACGGTGTCCCTGCCCCAAGGCAAGAAAGCACAGTACGGCCGCGTTACGGCTGAGCCAACATCAAAGCCGGAGATTGACTTCAGCAATGAGCGCAGCTTTGGCTCTCTACCTGTGGTCAAGGTGCCACGCTCTGCTCGATATGCGTCTCACGTCGGCTCCGCTCATCCTAATAATCTTTTGAAGATGTCTCCTATCCCCAAAAATGTCAAGACCATCGACACTGGGTACTACGAGCAGATTTTCTTCTGGCGGAACCCTGCTGGGATTTTTGTCAAGATACCCAACACGCTCTTGAACAACAGGTTGTGCTACGCTCCAAATTATGTTCCTCCACAGTCAAAGCAAGGACGGAATGACCGGAAGACCTCGTCCTTCCAGCCGCGCCATTCGCAGGCGCCTGGTCCTGAGCAACAGCCGTCTGAACCAAATCATCGCAAGCATCGTGTTGCTGGCCCTACTCAATCCGGCGTGAACAACCGCAAACCAAGTCAACCCTCTAAGGCTCATCATCAATCACTTCGAAGCACTGAGGACCGTAAGCCTTCGGGAAAGCTTGCCAACAAGAAGTTCGAAAAGCGTGAGAACGGCCGAACGGCTACGAACGATGTCAACGCGGTGACGACACCGGCGAAAACACCCAGTGGGCCTAACTCCAAGCGGTCAAGCGTTCACATCTCCAAAGACCAAAAGCCATCGACTCCTCCACCAACAAAGTCGGCTCCGATGTCCGCCAAGGAGGCTACTACGGAGAAGCGCAAGTCTGGTGTCACCAAGCCAGCTGGTACGCCAAGTGCCAGTGCCAACCGCTTCGACCTGCTCGCTGCCATGAGTTCGCCATCTAAGAACTGAGTTCTCATGGCCGGGATGGAGAAGTGCGAAAATTGAAGAGGAAGAGCACAGGCCGACGCCGAACAAGTACTTCGCGATACGTTCGACGTCGCGCCACAGAAACTATGACAAAATACACAAACTGGAGGGAAACGAAGTCTGCTAGATGCTGCTCCTCGAAGCTTGCTAAGCGAAAGGAGAGTGAGCAGACTTGGTGCGTATATGGCTCGCTTTTTCATGGCGAAGCTGTATTGTACTTTAGTAGCATTACGTACGTTTTTGAAGCGAAGCATGCATGAACAGAAACCAGAATATCCTTCTTTCAGCATTCCTCCATGTCCTGCACAGCATTCTGGCACTGCTACGTCCGTTGAGCGTCAGCTGTGCAGAAACGCCGTACGCCAAGCATTCTGCTATTTTTTGGCTTTGCTGACGATGGATGCAGGAACAGGAACGAGGAAGGAGTTTAACTACTGCTCTGCATGTCCGTTTCGTTTTCTGCTTACTACCACCAAGTGACATACCTTCGGTAAGAGCATCGTCTGCTTTTGACTACGCACGTTGCGCTTTGCCAGCGGACGAAAGATGGCACGCAGAAGCTGCGCTGCAATTGTACCGCGAATGAGATCGTGTCTAGGACCAGGCATGATTCTCTTTCTACAAGTAGTCAGACATCCAGCCTGGAGTTATGACTGACCGGACGCGGCTCAATGATTTAGATATTCTGGACTGCTGATGCGGGATGCCACACTGCATTTTGAGGGTGCGGCAGGCGGCAGGAAATGCGCTTGAGTTGGCGCACCATTCCATTTGCACCGCGTAAGGAGATTATTTTGTGCTCACGGCATCGGGGGCGGCGTGAGGGCGTGGTGTTTGTCCGTTCTGCGTCCGAATTGATGCTGTCATCTCGAGGGGTCGTGAGGAATGGGGAAAGTGCATGTGGGGAACATTTTCGGACGCCTTAGCTGATCGTATATTCCTACTCCTGCTTTGACTTCTGGGGAAGAAGTTTTGTTCCGGTCATTGTGGCTGCGCAGAAGGATGTAGTAAGCGGCACATAGTAGCGAATTGAGCCAAGATCTGGTGTCCGGTGAGGGCATACTGAACATAGCACTGTCGTATGGGTGTGGTCTTGTTGCGGATTTGCACTGTCTGTGCGGATGTTTCTCAAGCTGGATACCCTTCCTGTATTCGTACAGAATCGTGATTCAGAGCGTAGCATCTTGGAAGCGTCCATAGCCGTAGTGGCATGCTCGCAGGTGGCGGATCCTGCGATCGAAGTGCGGCTTTGCTACGACCTTCTGTCAGCATCGTGACTCGCTTGCTCTTTCACCGTTCGTATTGCTTCCTCTCAGCTCGTGAACACCACTCGGCTAACTCATTGCGGTGATTGTAGTGATGCACTGCCTCTCGGTCGTGCGAAGAATAGATCGGCGGACGCGATGTTGCTGATGCTGCCGCTTTTGGGGATGTCGCTTGTCGTCGCGGATTGCGCTTTTGTAACCATGGTAGTTGGATATATAACGTGTTTGCTGGTACGCTCATTGAAAGGCATCACCACAGAAAAGCAAAAGCCAGCAAAAGCAATCAATCTGCCACCGATCAGCTATTCAAAATCAACAACTCACCCGTTATCAAGATGCAGTTCTCCACCGTCGTCGTCCTGCTGGCAACCTTGACCAGCAGCGCTTTGGCCCTGCCAGCTCCGCAACCCTCCGCATCTGCTCCTCCAACCTGGACCATCGAGGGCTTCCGACGCCAATGCGCAACCGATGGCGGCCCATGCTCGTACTCTTTTGCGGTCAACACCAACGATGGTAGCGCGGCAACGCCATGCTCCTACTCCGTCTCCGGATCTCTGGAAGATCCGCCAGCTCGCAAGACCTACCAAGGGCCCGTTTGCGGCGCATTCACCGTTGGATCTATTTGGTCGGGACAATTCGGCGAGGACGCTGGGTTTCAGACGCTCAGCGTGGTGAAGGGACAGAAGATTGTCTACCCTGCTTACACCGATGTGCAATTGCAGTCTGGGAAAGTCGTGGTGCCAGACCAGAGTTATCCAGTGCAGCCAACCCTTTAGGGCAGGGCAGCAGGAAGAGGGCAGGAAGAGGGCAGGAAGAGGGCTCAGGTCTCAGGGGGTTGCAGAAGCAACAGGGCGGTGTGTATGCGGGTCGGCGTGATTGAGTGATTTTGCTGTGTGCTGTTTCCGAATTGTGGAGTTCTAGATAGACGGTCGCGACATGCAATTCTTGGGGTTTCAGAACTTTCGTTGCAAGTCGCGCAGTACGCCTTCTAGAGCTCACATTGTCACTCCTGTTTCTGCCTGGGCATTGGAAGGCTCCGTTGCGTGATCGGCTGCATCGGATGTATCCTGGTACGGAGATACAGTCTGTCGTGATGAAATTACAGCCGGCAAGGTGTCTTTCCATACGGTAGTCACGTCTACTTCACGGTTAGTCAACATTCCTGGCGGGCTGATGCGTGCGCTTCGTTTATGATCCGAGGTTCGGACCCGCTTCTTTTTGCTTCCGAGCAACCTCCCCCAGGCGGAACATGGAAAGAGGTTCGAAGTGACTTCGGTGCAATATGGTATACACTTCGGCAGGTGGTAGACTGTTTGGAAATCGCTCGATTTGGTCGGATGCTCGACTAACGAGCAAGCATTTCGTCTGTCCTGGATCCGAAAATCGTAGGACTTGTGGTGCTTGTTTGCACGGCAGAACCGGATCCTTTCTGTGGCACAGGTTTTGGGCTCCGCTGACTTTAGAAGCTAGTCCATCTTGTCGTTTTTGATAGCCACAGACTTCCACAGAACACCCTGGCAGACTTGCAATGTCCATTTCCGCTCGACGATCAGCTCAAGAACAGAGCAAGTCGACACGGCCAATGGCTTTCACGCGTAGACTTCATACGTAGTGCTGGGCTTGGCGAAGAGGGTTGCGGCGAGGACTCGTCATCGTTGAGACAGCAGCGCTCGCAGATGGCGCGGCGGCTCATATGTATGCCTCCTCAAGCGGCGGTTGCGATGCAGTAGTGAGGTCGATAGCAGCATTACGACGAGTACGACGCGTTCTGCAAGCGTCGGGCCGCGCGGACCACATTCAGCCGATGTTTCACCATCAGGCGCCACCGAAGTGAATGTCTGCTTCGAGTCGAGGCGCTCCCGCCTGTGTTATCCAGAAGTGACAACATTCGGCGAGAATTCCTTCGCGACATGGACGAGTGTGCTCCGAGCACTAGGAGCACTGCGGAGAGGGCGAGGGCTAGAAAGCGGCCTGACTAATTTGGGAGCACTCGCCTCCCGAGCGACTCGGCCACGTCCCAGGCGCCATGCCTCCCCGGTCGGCGTGTCGTCCAGCGGTATGGGGCGGCCGCCGACAGTGAGGACGGACGAGGAGAGGTTGTCGCGGTGGTGATGAGTAGCGAAACGCTGACTACCGCCCGGCGGCAGGGTCCACGCAGGGCCAGGCGCGAACCACGCCAAGCAGTGTGGTTCTCAGAGGTCGAGCAGTGAGAGCGATCTCCCTTCGCGCCACTTGGTAATCTTCGGGCGCGACTGGCGGACGACGACGACTCTGCGCGCCATTGCAGCGTCGTCTGCGCTGCGAAAAGTCCGCGTCTCGATGCTCGAATCTCCATTTCTACTGCCATCGGCCGCGCTGCAGAGGTTCGTGGCGGTGGAGACATATCTCCTTCGCCCTCGCCCACCTCGCCCGTCTGCTACTCCCCATTGATCCGTGTCGCCCGCCGCACAGCAGCCAGGAACGAGCGGTGCAACGACCACATCCACGTCCAGTCCAGTCGCTCTTGCCCACACGTGATCATGTCGATGCCAGACTCGAATCCGGATCTGCAGCCCAGGAAGCAGCAGTCGAGCAATGCCGGCAACCCGTTTGTCTGCAACATCTGTCGCAAGACCTACGGACGCATCGATCACCTCGCTAGGCACTTTCGTAGCCGTAAGCCTGAGAACCGCTCGCAACTTCTCCCCTTGCGCGTGCTGATATCGCTACAACACAGACACCAACGAAAAGCCCTTCAAATGCACTGAATGCGGCAAGACGTTCGCTCGAGCGTAAGTACTTGTATCCCATCCCTCTCACCCATGCGGCATCGTTCGCCAATGGCCCGTCAAGCTTGACTTCCCGGTGCCCAAAATTCTATCCATCGCTGTGCCCTACCGGTTGATCAGCTCTGCAGAAGCCCGGGTCATCATCCCGATGGTGACCACATTTACCGTCCACGGCCGCCACTGCGCAGCAGGCCGTGTAATCATGGGGACCTCTTAGCTGATGAGCGCCACAGAGACTTGCTGAAACGCCATGCCACTCTCCACATTGCGACTGAAGAGTCCGGCAAGAAGCGCAAGATCCGAGCCTCTCAGGCCTGCTCCGCTTGCGCAACGATCAAGGTGAAGTGTGATCAAGTCAAGCCTTGTGCGTATCGCCAACATGCATCGGTCGTCCCTGCCTGTTCCTCGGCCCAACCAACCTCGACCTACATTGACATGATAAGACATCTGTCCGTAGGGTCGAGGTGTTTGCAGGATATATGCTTACCTGTCACCATTCTTGTTAGGCAAACGATGTCGAGCCAAGGGTTTAGAATGCCGCGTCGACGCTGGTGACGCGACTGCCAGTCGAGCAGTAGATCGTGTGTCTCCAGTCACTCGCTGGACTTCGTCGCCAGGGCAGTCGCAAGCGACTCCGCCGCCTGCATATAGCTCGGCCCCTGCCCAGCCTACATACCGAGACCCTACTACTGCTCCTACGTTTGAAGGCGACAGAGCCGCACCAAGGCCGAATATACCTGGTCCGAATCTCAGCCTTGAAGCGAATCAAGACCACTCTCTTATCGACTTCCTGAGCTCCGTTGTTCAACCTGGAGATCCTATGCACCTTCCTACGCACCCACAATCGCAGCAAAATTGGGCGCAGGACTACCATAGTCGTGACCTCATGGATTTTGGCCAGGACTTGAACATAAATTTTGGCGACCTTGATGCCGTACTGAAAGGTGAATGGGGAGGATGGTTGGATCCGTCCCTCGTTCCACAGCCATTCGAAAGACCTTCCGAGCCCTCTCAGATGTCCGAAGTCAGCACGCCTTCGATCGAAGATAGCATCAACCTCAGCGTTGCGGCATATTCTCGTTCAGCATGGAGATGGATCCCGAATCATGAAAAAGGCAATCAGGATCACATTCTAGCCTCTGTGTTGATGGACAGTCGTGGGCCCGATGGTAAGCTACCAAAACCCAAGCAGATCGCCCTCATAGCCCCTCTGGAGTCGCGAGAACGAGATCGTATTGTGGCACTCTTGCTCGCCGAAAGCGACAAAGTCAACTATCAAAAGATCGTCGCGCTCTTCCCGTCTACGAGGTACCGATCTGCTATATCTTGAAGAACAAGCTTTATGCTGACCTATTATCTACAGAGTCCTAGACGTCTTCCTCAACGACTTTCTGCTAGTGATGGAGCACAGCATCGACAGCTGGATACACCTCCCGACTTTCAAGCCCTCCGAATCGATACCCGAATGTCTTACCTTGATGATCGCATCCGGCGCCATCCTTGGGAGATCAAGTCATGCGCAGCGCTTTGGTTACGCTCTATACGAAAAGGCGCGCGTGGCGCTGCATGAGATGTTTGAAGCAGACAGCAACAATACGCGTAAATTAGCGGCCCTGCAGACATATGCGCTTGCACTTGGCATTGGAACTTGGAGTGGTGATAAAAGGATCATGGAGCTAGCGGAAGGATCAGCACTGCCGCTCATCACAATGCTTCGCAGAGCTGGCAGATTCAGAAGGTCGAGAAGGCCGACGGAACATCCCTTACCCACGGATACGCCTGAGCAGCTGGAGCGCAAGTGGCGTGACTGGGTAGAGGCGGAATCGTTCAAGAGGCTCGCTTACCACCTGTTCTTGCACAGCGTACAGCTTTCCGTGGCTTTTCAAACACCGCCGTTGCTGGCCTACTCAGAAGTCACTTTGGAGCTGCCCGCGCCAACAGCACTCTGGCGAGCCCAGAATCCCGAAGAGTGGCGCGATCAATACTACGCACGTCGCTTTGGAGCCGTTCACATTTCGTCCTTCGTTTCGAGCATGTGTGATGCTTCTACTCTCGGCTCAGTCAAGAGTCAAATTGACCTCGAGCTCAGCCTCTATCTGGTGTTGATGAGTCATTTCTGCCTTGCATGGGAGTACACACAGATCAGCTCAGCGAACAAGGCACAAAGCAGGGAGATCCCTTGGGCTGGTACCAATCTTGCAGCCTCAAAAAGTCACGAGATAACCAGACTTATGGACTCATTCTACGTGGCGATCGAGAGCTGGGAAGTATTTGTGCCGAAGGAGGTTCACATGGTATCCCAACTGCTTCGCATCAACTTGTGCGTGGCCTTCGAGGATCTACAGCTGCTTGCTGGGAAGGAAGGAGAGGACGAGGCTCGAAGGGTAATGCCGGCTCTGAAGCAATGGTTCCAATCGCCTGCTTGCCGACAAGCTGTTTGGCACGCTGGTCAGGTACTCAGAGCTGCGCGTAGACCGGCTGGCTTGAGCCCCAACGCATCTTCAGTTGGTGCGCCAGACACTCCTTGGCTGCGGGACTTCAACGCGGTTGTGCTATATCATGCCGGCTTGACCTTCTGGGTGTATGGCGTGCTTGCGAAAGCCGTTGCTCTTGAGCAACGACATGGGGCCTACTCTACGCGGACTGGACAGCAAGGGCAGGTGCATGTCGATTGCGGCCCTCCCATTGATTATGAAGGCCAGCTCGTCCACCTTGATGGCAATGACGAGGAGCTGACGGCCGTCGAACGACACCAATTCATCAATCTCAACAAGGGCCGGGCTGTGATCTCAGCGCATTCAACTTTCCCTCGCGGCTCAATCGCGAAAGTGAATGCAAGTCAAAGAAGCCCAATGCTCAATGCTGTCGATCGAAATCCAGAGACAGCAGCTGCGCTCAGGCAGCGCGAGGTTGTGCCTCTCGATGAGCCGAAAAGGGCTATGGATGCCATCATCGAAGCCCTCACTCCAGCAAGCAGTCCACCAGATTCAAGAGGCTCGCAAGCTCCTCCCAGACCGCAGCGACCTGCAATGGTGGAGAATTTGATTCAGCTGCTGCGAGATTTGGGTGAAGCTGCCTCGGCGGTGTGAACGCGTGTTCAGATGACATGAGATAATGTGGGAAGATAGGACCAGAATGAGCCCCAGTATGAACACAAGTTACGCTCGCACGAACATTTCAGCCTCGTCGCCCTCAATCTTGGGCAGACGTTGTTTGGAAAGCATCTTGCCCAAGGTCGTGGCGGCAACCACGACTTCTGTCCGCACGCGGCGGAATTGATACCGCACTCCACCTTCCTTGCGAAGCCACATCTGCTGGATTGCGGAACCATGAGGAATCACGTCCGCGACGGAAAGTGTTCAAGTACTCGAGCTCTCCGCATAGAGCGGCTGCCACAGCTACACGCCCGCCAGCAATGAGATGGCCCTATAAGGTCGCAGTGTAGGTAAGCTTCACAAAGAGAGCTCACTTCGACCTCTCCTCGCAGAAGCAGCACGAGCAGGCACCATGATTTCCTCTTCAGTCCAATTCCTGCAACAGCAGCTGATCGAACACAGCTTGCGATCTTTCATTGTGCTTCTCTTCCTCTTGCCACTCATCTACGTAGTATCAAATGAGCTCGTCCGTCATAAAGCCCGGCTTCCTAGCTTTACTGGACCAGCAGGATTGCCGATTATCGGGAACATTGCAGATATTCGCGTCAATGCGGCCGAGAAGTATCGTCAGTGGGCGAAGAAGTATGGACCGGTGTATCAGATTCAGCTCGGCAATATTCCCGTAATTGTGGTCAATAGTGCGGAGTCGGCGCGAGTGATCTTTGGCCAGCATAGTCAGGCATTGAGTTCGAGGCCAGTCTTCTACACGGTAAGCCCATAGTCGGGAGTCGATGAATATTGCACAAACTGATAGAATGCGTAGTTTCACAAAGTGCTGTCGAATACAGCGGGCACCACTATTGGGACAAGTCCTTTCTCCGACTCGCTGAAACGAAGAAGGTGAGTAAAGCTCGTCGATTTGCACGGCATTTGAACAATTGCTCACAGATCAACAGAAAAGGTGCCGCCTCAGCACTCAACAAGCCCAGCGTACAGACTTACATCCCTCATCTCGATGTCGAAACCCTCTCCTTCGTCCGCGAAGCCTTCAAATATGGCTCCGCAGGCGCAAAACCCATCGACCCAATGCCACTCATCCAACGCCTATCTCTGAGCCTCTCACTAACCCTCAACTGGGGCACCCGCATGGGCGACAGCGAAAACGCCCTCTTCCACGAAATCACCCACGTCGAAGATGAGATCTCCCGCTTCCGCTCCACCACAGGAAACCTCCAAGACTACATCCCCTTACTGCGTCTCAACCCATTCAGCTTCGGCACGCGAAAAGCCGGCGAAATGCGCCGTCGCCGAGACGTCTATCTCAATAAACTCAACCAAGATCTCGACGACCGAATGGAAAAAGGTAACCACAAACCTTGCATTCAAGCGAACGTCATCCTGGATAAAGAAGCCCGTCTCAATAAAGAAGAACTCACAAGCATTTCTCTCACTATGCTCTCAGGTGGCCTCGATACTATCACGACATTAATGCAATGGGCTATTGCTTTGCTTGGTCAACGACCAGATATTCAAGCCAAAGCTATCGAAGAAATTCGAAAAATGTACGATGATTCTGCGGAGCAGATTCTCTGTGATGAGAACGATGATATGAAATGCGAATATGTGATGGCTCTGGTCAAGGAGTCTTTGAGGTATTATACTGTTCTTCGACTTGCTCTTCCTCGGGCTACAGTTCGCGATATTACTTATGAAGGGAAACTTATTCCAGCTGGTACGACGATTTTCCTCAATGCGTGGAGTTGCAATATGGATGAAGCAGTTTGGGGTGATGATGTTGAAGAGTTTCGACCTGAGAGATGGTTGGAACAACCTGATGCTCCATTGTTTACGTATGGTATGGGGTATCGGATGTGTGCGGGTTCGCTACTGGCGAATCGGGAGTTGTATTTGGCTTTTATGAGGATGTTGTCGTGTTTTGAGATTGTGGGGGAGAAGGGCGATGTGGATGTTCATCCTGTGAGGGGGAGTTCGGATCCTACGAGTTTGGTTACTATGCCGGAGAAGTATGAGGTGAAGTTTGTGCCGAGGAATGAGAAGGTTCTAAGGGAGATTTTGGAGAGGAAGGAGGGGGAGGGGGTTTTTGAGTAGGGTAGATTTGAGAGGAGAGTATAGGTGAAAATGCAGATTTGTTTTGAACCCAGGCCTGCGCACCAGCCAGGTCGTTTTGGACATGCAGTGCCGCGGTCATTGAGCAAGGTGTGTATTTCTCTCGTTATCTGAAGGTCCGAATGGTCTCCTCCGCGAAGTCGTTTCGAAGCTGAAATGGTATTCAACTTCATCATCTTCACGCCGCTTCGACAATCCCCGCCGAGATCCTCGAGATACCAAGCTTCCGCCGACCAAGGACGAGGCTTCATTTCCTTGTAAAGAGATACAATCCTACGCGCGATGCGCGGAAGAGGCCCAGGTACAAAGATCTTGTACACGAAGTCTCAGATCCATCTGGCAAGCACATGTCTCATCGCGACCTGATCCAGGACACCTTCACGAGACGAGATACCACGATTCGAAGAGCTCGAGACGGGATCGGTGCCAACATCATGCGAGAAACTAACTATATTAAGTTGCTTCTGTTTGACTCCGAGAATGCCATGTGCTGTACTTACAAGGCCTGGGGATACAGTAGCTTCGCTGAACACACCGCTTAAGGAGACTTCTGCAAGCAATTGAAGATGAAATCGAACCTCCAAGGCCTTGCTTTACCGTTAGTTCTGTTGATCAGAAAGGACAGTGTTGATAGAGAAGCCCACCAGTTACAACTCGATCTTTGGACATAGACAGGAACGATTTGCCACTCTCTCGGACAAGAGGCTTGTTCTCATTGGTCAGCAATTTCGGTCCTCGTTAGCAACTAGTCGATGCGTCGAGGTAGAGAAAGAAGGAATCCCATATGCTCTCTGATCAAGTGGTTCTTCTCAGTGGTTCAAAGATCCACCCTGGGCAGCAATCAGGAAAACAGTTGAGAAGAGACAGCGGCAATTTGACAAGCTTCCAGGCAAGATGGCTACGTTCCCAGGCAAAACGAGTGCTCTTGTTAGCAAGTCGATTCCTATTCAAGTGGCTTCTGTGAGCTTCGTTAGACAGAGAAAGAGCCGATTCCACACGCTCTCTGGGCTGAACATATATCCTCGCTGGGCTGTGTTCTCACCTGAAGTATCATGGAGTGACACATTTGGTCAGAGACGAGGGGAGTACAAGACGCTCTCAGCCGTCAATATTGGTCTCCTTGGTCCGCATTTCTGCTCCGAATGGCACCTGGAGTTACATTCAAGCAGAGTTACAGGCGATTACTCACTCTCTCGGACAATACGAATCTCTCGCGGCCTTGTCCATCGCTTCCACCAATTGCGTCTTTTCCTGCTTCAGTTGGTCCTTCTGCTTTTCCAGCTCCTTCACTCGCTTGAGCAATTTCTGCTCGTTGGCTTGGTAGCCCGCACCTTGGTTGATGCGCTCGTTTCTGCTGTTTTACTCGCTGTTGGTCAGCAGTTCTACCCTAGACAGCGTGCAAGAACGCATTTAAGCAGAGATGGAGCCAATTTTGCCTGCTCTCAGGCAACATGACTTTGCTCGTTGGCCGGCGTGGCCACGACGAGTGGCGTCCAAGAAGATCTTGATGCAGAGTTACGAGCGATTTGTCACAGTCTCAGACGAAACGACGTTTCTTGATGGCTGGCCGGTTTACTCTCGGTGGCAGCCAGGAATGTATTTGAGCAGAGATGGAGCCAGATTTCTCTGCTCCCAGGCCACAGGAATTCGAGCTTCGGCCGGAATACCCACGCCAAGTGGCATGGAACGACGAACTTGAAGCAGAGTTACGAGCGGTTTTGGACGCTCTCAGGCAGCATAACTCTTCTTGTTGGCTGGCAGATTTCCTTTCGGTGGCAGCGAAGAATGTATCCAAGCAGGAATACAGACAAATTGGCACACTCTCAGGCAAAATGACTCGTCTCGATGGCTGGCACATCCACGCCAAGTGGCATTCAAACCTGGTTTGGAAGCAGAGTTACGAGTGATTTGGCAGGCTCTCAGGCAACTTGATCTTGTTGACAGCTAGCAAATTTACCATCGGTGGCAGCCAGGAATGAATTTGAGCAGAGATACAGGGAATTTCATATGCTCTCAGGCAAAATGATCTGTCCCGTTGGCTGGCAGATCCACGTTGAGTGGCATTGAGAGATGATTTCGGAACAGAGTTACGAGCAATTTGCACGCTCCCCGACCCGTCGAGTCGTCGTGTAGGCCGGCACATTGACTCTGGTTGGCGTAGAGGAGTTGTATTTGGCAGAGTTACAGGCCATTTGACACACTCTCTGGCCCTCAAGATCCATCTTGTTGGCCGGCAGATTTGTTCGTGATGGCATCCAAGAGCTGCATTTGGCAGAGTAATAAGCCATTTGACACACTCTCTGGCCCTAACAATTGATCTTGTCGGCCGGCAGATCAACTGTCGATGGCATTCAGGAGATGAATTTGGCGGAGTCACAGGCGTTTCAACACACACTCTGGCCCAACGAGTCGTCGTGTTGGCCGGGAGATTGACTCTGAATGGCGTACAGGAGCTGCAGTGGGCAGAGATGGAGTGCAAGACTGCATATCTCTGCCTCGCCTCAAGATATATCTCCCGGGCATATCTGCATTCGTTAGCATTCTGGCAACTCGCGACCTGGAGAGATTGGTTCTGAGTGAGGTGTATTGAGAAAATTGCTTTTGTTCAGTTCATCTATCTCGTGCCAAGCCAAGGGGTATCTTTCGCTATGCCTACGCTCACTTTAAACGCCAAGAAAGTCCTGTGATCCTATCTTCATGCTACTTCAATGCCGCCAACTCTCACTCGATACAAGCATGTGTGGTCAGGTGAGCCCCAATTGCTCACAACACGCACTGCAATACGCTCAGTTGCAATGTCATAGCCCTGAACATCTGTCCAAAGCGTGAAGCCTTGCACAAAATTGTGCCAATTGATGTCGTACTGCTCTCCAACGAGGCAGACCCAAGTCTTCTCTCCATTCGGTGGCTTGCCCTGGCATGCGGTACGGGTACTGGTGTGCCATGTGATGTGGCCCTCGAGGCCCTCATTGATGCGGGTAGCCTCAGTTTCATTGGCAACCTGAACCCAGACCTCGAAATCTCTTGGTGCGGAAGTGATATCGCGGGTGCCCTTGGCCGGAATATGCTCGATGATGATCTCTTGTGGGTATATTTTGTGCGCCATCTTGACAGTGAGCTGCGCCAGGGACTTCTCGTCGTTCGAGGTCGCTGCGCACCAGGAATCTGTAGCTTCTTCCCAGGTTGTGAGAGCCATGGTTGGTGGATTCGGGTACTGTCGAGCAAAGCCAGAGAGGTGGAGGAGCGACTGGAAGATGTTCGTGGTCTTGGGCATCTTGGTGGCGGAAGTGTAGTGAGGATCGACCATGGCGCCTTGCCCGAGAGCGAAGTAGTTGATCTCGTGCAGCTTCTTGTCCAGGTTGTAGACGTAGTTGGCATGACCGAGTGACCGTATTTGCTGGCGTGCGAGAGACATAATTTCAGACTTCTCGAGGTATTCGTGAGCAGCAGATCGGGCTTCTTCGAGCGTGTCAAGCTTGAATCTCCGTAGCTTCTGGTCAAGGTCGTCATGTAGGGAGCGAGAAAGGTTCGACAGGGCGCCATGGAACTCGTCGTGCGTCAGGAGATGGTGGGATTTGACCATGCCCTCGAAGTTGCCGGCCATCACCTCGTTGTTGTAGGCGCGGAGTTTCTCCTCGTTGGTGGTGAGGAAATGCTCCCACACCGGTGAGGCGTCATGGCTCTCCATCTTGTGGGCGAGCGCTCTCCAGAACAGCTGAGGGATGACGAACTCGCCATCTTCTCTCTCGAGGACCGTGGCTCTGGGCAAGATGTCTTGAAGCTCGGTGATCATGGCTTGGTGGGTGGCGAGGTGCTGCTTCACAATCTCGGTCTGGTTCTCCGTGCCTTCGATGCGGCCGAGCAGGTGCGCATTGATGGCCCATTGATATTCGGGCACACTGACTTGCGGCAGGAGATCAGAGAACATCTCGGAGTGGGTGAAGCGGTGCCAGCGTGCCTCGAGCTCCTGAGGTGGTCGATCGTAGCCTGGCAGACCGACGATCATGGCGGCACGATAGAAAAAAGCAGTGCGCGCCGGCTCCCAGGCCGTAGGAAGACGAACCATGGCAGCACCGAACAGAGTTCCGATAACCGTAGCGAAAACAGCGAGGATTGCGAGGAAGAAGGTGAGCGTTATGAGGATGGTGCGCCGCCAGCCATTGCCGTAGAACGCTTTGAGATAGCGCGGCAGGGTGTGAAAGAAGACGGTCGCCAACCACGGCTCATGAGCTGCCTCTTCAGGGAAATAATCTGCGGCTGGAGGAAGTGTGCGGGCGGGAACGCGCAGTGGCGAACGTCGAGCAGGGGCGGCAAATGGCGCGTTGATGTATGCGGCGGAATGCTGAAGTGAGGTACCCGGTCTGGCCTCATCGTCGGTCTCGGCGGTTTCGTCTTGGTCAATGATACTGCGAGTAGAACCGTTGATCTCCGGAAAGTCTTCTTCTTCCTCTTCGATCACGGGAGCGGCGACCTTGGACTTGCGGCCAACCTTCGTAGCGGGAGCAGGAGTGGCAGTGTCGTGCGAGAGCTGACGAGTCGAAGCGCGCTGCGAGCGACGTGTGGTAGTCGTGAAGGCGGCATTGACATCAGCTGCGGAGGTGGTGACCTGTTGCTCGAGTGCGGCTTTGCCTTGAGCGCCATATGCGTGGGATTGACGCGAGGGCACTGCAGGGAGAGGGGTGTTGTGGCGGGAACGCGTGTTGCGAGGCGTTGCGCCAGCCATGGTGAAGGTGCTGGAAGCTTCTGATGTGTGGGTGTGTCGGTGGTGTCGAAGTGGGTCTGGGATTCGCGCTTTCTTGTGCTGAAGAAAGTGAGAAGAAGTGAAGAGGGCGCTGGCAATAAGTAGGCGCAACTGCGACTCGAAAGTTATTGTCGTCGACGCGTATTGTCGAGTGCGCGCATAATAGACCAGCTTGTGATTGTCGCGAGTAGTGTTCCAAGTTCTGATGGCAGTCGATGTATCATGTTCAATAGGCCAGTGACAATTGTGTGTTCTTTGACAATAGCATTCCGAATGCGATTGTTTTGACGCGGCAACCTTTCTGGAGGTCCCCTAGTCCCAGAATAGCGCGTCGCGGGCCGAAAAAGCTCCGCGATGCGCGCCAAGCCATGCAACCCCACATCGGATCTTGTCTGGTTGTCTGTTGTGCCTACACTAGCTACCCTGCTATGAGCTGAGCTGCGAGTTCCATACACTGGCTTATGCTGGCATAAGTCGGGATACGTCTACGTTCCCCGAGAAGTGACGACGCTCTGCCGCTCGTTACACAACCTTCGCGGTCCGCAGCTTGCGGAAGTCCCGATCATGACCACAGACACCCTACTGTATGACCCTTTCCTGGCTAACTTGGAACGCAGGGTGGGACCTCTATGCGATCAGCTACAGCGGTACAGGTAGTATTCGAGATGAACGTACAAAGCTGCGACCACAGATCCCTCCCCGGAAGCGGGTCCGCCCACCAACAGCTCGGAGCACATTTGCACGTTAGCCCCTGCGTACTACCTACCAAGGAAGACTCTTCAACCCAGATACGTCCCACGCGCCATAGGTCCAATGCGAACCCTCGATTATGCGGATCTCGGCTGCCGTTCGCGATGACCTTGAGCGATGATTGATACAAACAAATGCAATTTACGACTACATGGGCACATCCACCGCTTGCTCTGAGGCCCATCGTGATATATAAGAGAAAGTCATCCACGCCAGCCAGCAATCTCTCTATTTGATGTACGCGGGCGGAGGATCCTGCGTTTCTTCCCGGCCGTTACTGTCCAGCTGAGCGATCCAGTCATTCTGCTTACGCTTTTCGTCAACCCACGGCTCTTCAGCTTTAGCAACTTGCTCTGACTCTCCCTTCTTAGGAGCGCTCTCCAGATCGTGGATCTCGGGTGCAGCACTCTGCAGAACAGGCTCAATACTGCCTCGGTCGGCCATTTCTCCGAACCCAGCCTCTCTTTGTCGCTTCGCTTCCTTTCTCGCCCTCCGATTTCTCAGTCTTTGCTTGAGAGCCTGGCATCTCCAGACCACGCTTTGAAAGAAACTTAACATCCACAACCCCACACAAGTAAGCCCGATAGGGATAGCAGCCTTCATTCTCTTTTCACTGGCCAACGCGGGTCTTTCGATATTGCCGTTTCCATCGTCCTGCCAGTACAACATCCCAAAGTATCCAGCCTGAGCGGCCCACAAGATCGCAATCGCAAAGTCCAGCATCAATCTCAAGATTCGGTGTTTAACATTCACGAAAGCGCACCAGAGACAAACAATGATGGAAAGAGCCGCAACGACTTCGGCATAAATCCAGGAAGCTGGAGCCCTTGTGTTGGCAGCGGTGAACTGTTTCAAGTCCCGACTATAGAGGACCATAATGGTGAGGGCCAGAATGAATTGAAGCAAGCGAATTCCTAGCCGGAAGCCGAGGTCTTGAGATGTGTTCTGGTACCAGTTCGCAAAATACCGGACAATGGGCGAGCAGGGCTTGGGTTGTGTGTGCATGATCGCCATGATCGAGTGTCTGTGAGGACTGGGATCCTCTGCTCGCTATCCTTCGAAGTATATGATGGCAGCCCTGCCGTGCAAGTAGCGAGCGTGTGTGTCCGAAGAGGTGTAAGAGGAAGCGAAGGATGAAGGTCTGGAGAGAGTAAATGCAGGACGCGGCCAGGGAATACTCAACCACTTTATTAAACCGAGGAGCGGCCAGCCACATACATCAATGCCTCTAATGCCGACGGTGTTGTTCTATTTATCGCTGCCTGGGCGAAAAATGGGTTGCGAAATATGCGAAGGGAGCTATACGAATACGATGCCAAGACCGAGACTTCCCTCGCTCAACACCTTTACAGTGACGGAGTGGCGTGACATCTCGCTTCCGAAGAGCGCGGTCTCGTCTTCGACACCATCACCTGCATTGAAGCGCACGAATATGATGAATGGTCGAGGTGCACGCCAGACGTCTTTCTGGAATTGTATGCGTCGCACAAACTTGGAAACAGCTCCATGAGACCTTGATCTCAAACAGTTTGCTCTCTGGACCTACCAAGAGCCATGAAGACACCATTTTGCATTGATACCAAACGACTGATGAAAACAGAGAGGGCCTTATGATCCTCCATAACAGGACTTGGAATACAAAGAATACTCTTCCCACCTCCACACCAACAACCATCCTACAACTTCTCAAAACTAGTCTTCGTCTTCCTCAACCCACTCATCATCGCCTTCTTAACATCCTCACTCTGCACCATAGCCGAATTCCACGCAGCCGTAAACGCCAACCCATCCGCCACACTGCGATCCCTACTAAAATCCCAAATCGCCTTCGAACTCTGCACCGCCACAGGACTCTTCTTCGCAATAACCTTCGCAAGCTCCAACCCTTCCCTTTCCAACTCCTCCTTCGACCCCAAAACCCTACTCACAAACCCCACCTTCCCCGCCTCCTCAGCCCCAAACTCCCTCGCCGCATAAACCATCTCCTTCGCCCACGAATAACTAACCCCAACTTTCGGTAATCTCGAAAGAGTTCCTACATCAGCCGCCAACCCGACATCAACTTCTTTAACAGAGAACCTGACACCCTGGGAACAGTATCTTATATCTGCCGCTGTGGCAATATCAACAGCAGCACCATATGAGATGCCATGGAAGAGGCCTATAACTGGTTTCTCGCAACGTTCGATAGCGGAGATGCCGTTCTGGTAAGAAACCATATGTCGTCGGACTTTCCATGTTCGACGCGCAACGTCTTCGGATTCTGTAGGATTGGAGACCGGTCCGGAAGATGAGGCGCTTGTGACATCTAAGCCGGCGGAGAAATGGGGTCCGGAGCCTGAGAGGAGAATTACGCGGACGTCGGGATCGAGGGATAATTTGTCGAAGATGAGAGCGAGGTTGTGGAAGATGCTGAGACAATATCGTTAGTATCAATTCATATTTTGAGATTACTTTTGTTATCTTGATCATCTCGGTAACATCTCGTCGTAAACATACGTGGAATTGATAGCATTGTATTTCTTGGGACGGTTCAACTGGACGTGAGCGACAAATTCAGCAGGAAAAGTGGTTTGTAAGTCTTCGAAAATATATTCTTTGGCCTTGTCTGAGGCTGCCATGGTTCAATATCTGTCTATCAGATGAAAGTATATTGCAAAATAGCGAGAGGTTGGTCGTCTAATGAGCCTGGCAGTGTCAGAAGAGACGACGTCTCCAAGCCGTCCCCACATCTCAGCTCGGGCCGAAGAGGATTCACATGCCGAAGTCCAGACTCGCGAGTCGAGAAACCAGGCCAGAGGAGATGCAAATATTATCATTGCGAATAGGGTATCATTCTATACATGTTGCCAGACGCCTCTATGCCCCGCAAACAACACTCTACTTGACGCCTTGCACTTTCTTCTTCATGGCCCTCAGACCCGGCAGTGTTCCATCCTTCCCTCTCTTCCTCCCCACCTCTACCACTACCATGCGAATGAAATCCCTCAGACCCCAGTATGCACTGTGCGCGCCAAGCATAGTCAAGTACTGGATCTCAAATGTGCCGCCACCGTATTTGACAAAATAATCGATTTGTCCATTGTCGTTCAGCAGCGTCATCCTCTTCTCTGCAATCTCTTCCCTTGTGAAATTATGCACCTCCAGCTCGACATTACTGGGAAGACGAGGCAGTACAGGTATGTTCCGTGACGCGGCGTCGCCAGGAGCGGTCGTAGGATAGCCATAGCCGCCTCCAAACCAGCGCTTGGTGTTGGAGGTGCCGGGTGGGAACCAGTAGGAAGGTGTGTTGCTAGGAATGAAGGCTTTTCGTAAGCTGGCCGAATAGTCCGAGTCTACTGCTGCATTCATCCGGTATGCGACGGGGTCGTAGCCGTTGATTATATTGTAGATATTGTCGACGGCGATGCACCCGTACTGGCCGCGTTCGCCACAAATGGCCCCCACGTTGCTCTCTGGATCAGCTTGTGCCTGCGCAGATGGACTGTCGATGCGCGGGCGTAGTTGTGAGCGCCGAAGCAGGACAAAAAAGCCAGCTGGGCTTCCTGCGAGAAATAGAGATGATGTGTTGAAAAGAAAGTGGTCAATCTCCTCTTTCTCGTTGTCGAATACGGTAGGGTCGCTGAGATGTTCCGGCACCACAGTCGGTTGCTTGGAAAGAATGTCGATCGACATTACACTGCCCAGTGAATGCGCAATGATGTGGACTCTGCCATGCTTGGCGAAGCCAGGATTGTTCTGACACCAGAGTTTGTAGACATGGTTTGCTTCTTTGATTACCGCTGCAATCATCTTGGGCTGATGATGCGACATATAGTAGGGAATGTCCAGCATGACATCTGAAACGATGCCACGTACAGAAGGAAGTGTATCAGGGGTGATGTCTTGCAGAGTGAACTCGTTCACTGAAGGATCTTTTGCTGTCGTGTCTTCCGAGCCGTCCTCGGGCCTGTATCCCCCCTCTTCAAAGGATAAAGAATGCCGCCAATTGATGGGTAGCACCATGATTCCGCCCATGTCTTTTCGAAAATGTGTCTTCACTTCTTTGTTGCCGCATTCGACTTGCATCTCTCTTCGAAAGGCGTTGATAGCGTGCGTGAAGTGAAAGCTTTCCATACGTTGGCTCAGCTTCTGCCCAATGCCGTGAATGACGAAGACCAAGTCCGTGACTTTTGGTCGATCACTGGCGGCGAGATCAGGATCCAATTTGGATCGCACATTTGCGCTTGCACCAGACGTTGACACTCCATGAGCCGCCTTCGTCGCCTTACTTCCTTGCTTCGGCGGATGAAGCTTGTCCCATACTTGCTGATCGAAACCGCGCACAACAGGGATACCAATGGCATGCCCTTTGCGAACGTAATTGGCGAGAGGACGTCGTCCGTAGTAGGCAGAAGGCAGTAGAGTAGGTCTCAAGATCTTTGCTTCCCTCTCATTTGCATAGAGGACACCACACGTAGCATATTGCCGCACTGCGCCTGCTCTTGCACGGCCGTATGTGCTTTCGCCGTATGCCTTGTTGTCCGCGACATCTCCAGTGGCCGCATCGATCACGTCACAGGCAGCTTCAACGGCTTTCGCTCGGTGCTGTTCCGCAGACTCTGCCTGAGAAGAGTACAGGATGCTTGCAGCAGTCTCCAGCACACTCGCATCCTGGGTGCTTCTGATCGAGGGTGCCCTACTGTGCTTGACCTTGGTCTTTTGCTCGGGCCACAATTTGTGTATGATCTTCATCTCGCCCACAGCTCCGACCTCTACTGCACTGTTCAACTCGTCTTTCCATGTCTCTGTCCAGCACTGCAGATCGAGGTAGCCGGCTTCGAGCATGTTTGCCACGGGAGTTTCCACCGGCAGCATTGTATCTTGGTAGAACCATGTTCCTCGCACCACTTGTGCAGTGTCATGGACAGGCGTCCAGTAGATCGGCGTCATCTGCAGCTCCGGCATCTCGACCTGATGCAGTCGCGATACACCCACTGCAACTTTCGTGTGAGGTGGCCGTTGTTGAGGAGGCCGAGGCGAGGGTGCTGCGCTACGCTCCGCAAGTGGTGCTCGATCGTCCCACTTGTAGGTATCATGGTGCTGTGCTACCGGCCTCGAGGGCCTATCCTCGGACTTGCGCAGAGTGTCGACCTTCTTCCTGGAAGGCGCGCGGGCGAACGGCGTCCCTGTCGTGTTCGATTCGAGGCTGCTCGCCAGTTCTGTAGCACTGTGGGTGGAGTCGGGCACACTCGACGGCCCTTCATCGCCTGCTCCTTCGACATGGCTCAGACCTGACGGCACATGAGCTCCAGCTTTGGCTCGTAGTATTTCTGCTGGTCGTGATCCGGAACCTCGTCGCTGGCTGCCTGAAGCATTCGATCCCTTCCGAGGCCTCACCTGACTGCCCTCTTGAGAACCAATTTTCTCCCCGCGCTCTTCATTATAGACGAGTATCTTCTTTCGCAGGTCCGTCCATGCTCGATCGAGTGCATCGTTGTCGTACTCGGAGAAGGGCTTGGGAGGTTGCCGGGAGGCGGCAGTCGTGGAGGACGTGGGAGGAGGGAGCGGGCTCAGAGGGTCGTCAATCGGGATGGAGCTGGTATAGAAGAAGCGGGCTTTGACAGGCGGAGGCGGCTCTTGGAAATGCAGGTGCTGGCGAACATAGCGATTGGCGGCTTGCGAGCTTGACATGGCTGCGGTGCTGACTGTGCACTACATGAGGCCTCCGTTTCGTCGGATTCTCGAACAAGCGCCGGATGCTACTGACGAACGGGCACAAGGCGGTGGGAGAGGAGCCTTGGTGCGATGTTTTGGGCCGGCATGCGTCGACAGCGCACGACAGCAACCAGTTGACGGGGAGGATGTTTCCTGACGTGGCATCTGCAGCAGGGACGCCAGACCAGCGGCCGCGTCTTGCTCCGCGGATGCTGCCTACCTCTCTTCCGCCCACCACATGACCCGCAGGTGTTTGGCGGCCGTCATGGTGGCAGCGCTGGGATGAGTGTCCTGCGAGATGCAAACGCACACTTGACAGCCGGCATCATGCTGCTTGTCGGCAGAACACAAGCATCGAAGCTTTCCTCGCTAGAAGCGCAATGATCTCATCTGGCGTGCATGTGACAGCGCAAATCCATGTCTGGAGGATCTGCAACTTCAAGTTTACATGCACGAAGTTTCCAGTGTTGACACAATGAGCACCCTACAGATCATATCAGACCTTCATCTCGAATCGCCCAAGGCCTACGACATCTATAAAATCACCCCCAAGGCGCCGCATCTCGCGCTTCTTGGAGACATAGGCAACGCTGTCTCTCACAAGGACGACCTCCTGAAATTCATCACGTCTCAACTTCGCCAGTTCCAGACCGTCTTATTCATCCCAGGCAATCATGAAGCATACGGCTCAGATTGGCCATCTACTCTGCAAACACTGAGAGCCTTTGAGCAACAGGTCCAAGAGCAGCGGCAAGGCAACAGCGGAGATGATCAACGGCTTGGCGAATTTGTCGTTCTGGATCGTGGTGTTTTCAAACTGCCCCTCACGGCTACAGGAGAGCAAACAGTCATCTTAGGATGCAGTCTTTTCTCCCATGTCCCACCCAATCGCGAGATGGCCGTCGAGATGGGCCTGCAGGACTTCTTCCAGACCACATCCTGGGACATTCGTGCACACAACGCAGCCCATGCACGAGATCTGGAGTGGCTGAACCGAGAAGTCCAGCAGTTGGGGAACAGAAATGCTCGAATCATTGTGCTTACCCATTGGAGCCCGACGACAGATGCTCGCGCGACAGATCCGAGACACATTAACAGTCCCATCACGGCCGGATATTCTACCGATCTCTCGAGCCAGCCCTGTATGGCTAATGAAAGTGTTGTGCTCTGGGCGTTCGGCCATACGCACTACAATTGTGATTTTGCCATCGAGCGAGAGAATCGTGTACCGTTGCGACTCATGACGAATCAGCGAGGCTACTATTTCTCTCAAGCCGAAGGCTTTGGAGTGGGAAGGGTTGTTGAGCTCTAAATCGCCATACCCGGACGTTGTTTGCGACCTATGGCGTACAATAGCAAGCGCTAAACCTGCAACGGCCGATTCTATGGCACAGCGTGACGCATTGCATTGAAATGGCCGATCTCTGTTTCCATTTGGCAAAGAGGTCCTCGCATGCTCTGCTTGCTTCCCTTCGAAGGTCATGCCTCGTCGTAACATTAAACTTCAGCTCCGGACCCCAAGCGCCTCCCGCAGTTCCTTTGTCCACTGGCGGACAGGCATCTCTCCCGATTTGAGCTGGAGGTAAAACCAGCCTAGAGGGGCTGGAAGCAAATTCACGTCCAAAAGGCCATCTTCATCGATGTACTGCTCCACGTAATCGATCATGGCCATTGCAAAGCTGCCAATCTTCTTCTCCGCATCTCGTGCGTAAAGCCGCATATATGCCTCCAATAACACGGCTGCTTGTGGTACTACCACATGATGGCATCCTTTGTCTGTGAAGACACCAGAGCCCCGACCAGGTCTCGAAGGGGGAAGAACAGTCGAGTCTGATGCCATTGCAAAGAGAGTGTTTCCGTGAAATTTCGCAGTTGCGTCTGGGAGCGCCTTCGCCAGCGGGGGCAAGAACCAGAGTGTGTCTGATTGTGGATAGAGCCCCACGGTGATGTTCAAATCGTCCCGCACATGCATATGAAATGCTGGTGGTGGTGTGAAGCGGTCTTTCGAACCAAAAGGACAAGTGTCGGGATTATGACAAGAAACCAGTCTTCTTGCCTGAGTTGAGATGGCGCCTATGCTGAGCTGTAGTTGTTCGTCTGACACGATGAAGTCGATGGACTGTTAGGAGCAAATCAGTGAGTACACTACAAGAACGTTCCATGAGAGAGAGACTTACTCCAATAATCGATGGTACCCCGTGAACATTGAGAAGACAATGGCCCCACAGGACGCATGGAACATTGAATGAGTTGATCGTCTTTGCAAGCTTCGCAATAAAGTCTTGTGAGATTCTTGCCATGATCACCGTGACTTTAATTTCAACAGTCCACGGACTATATTCGAGTCGAAGCACCGAGCTTTCATTATTGTTCATAGCTGAAGGTAGGAATGGGAGAACTGCCCCAAGACAAATGGGCGCCTAGCGCGATTTGACACGTGAGTCGTGACTAAGCGCGCGGTTGCACAACCTGTAACATCACTGCACGCCCTTGCCCACTTCACACATGCACTTCACCCTCAGCGGCGACTACTGAACCACCCCTTTGAAGCCATTTGCGCTATCAAAGGCCCCGAAACTGCACCAGAGATGGGCCGAATAGCCCATTTCCATTTATTTGTTGCTTTGCCTACTGAACTGCGCTTGCATGTCTGGGAGGAAGCGCTCTCTACTCCGGCCGTGTGCATCGCTGAGCCTGAGGGAAGCAGTGATAAGTTCCGAAGACTCACATTCGCCAGCACAGGATCCACACCCTATCAGATAGGCCGGTCGTGCAAAGAGGCACGGCGTCTAATGGGTCAAACGTGCCGCAGAATACAGTGCAAGCCTCTCCACATTTCGGACGCCGTGCCCTCTATACACTGGCTCAATCTTGATGTCACCGTATTCCACTTCGATAACAAGGTCAACCCAAAGTCTGTCCTCGATTGCTTCGGCACCGATGATCGCCTCAGTATAAGACATATCGCGCTTACTTGGAACACATTCGACAGGTTGGCTCGGACATGTCAAAATGTAGCACAGATGTTGCCAGCTCTGACATCTTTCACCATCCAACGTGGCAGGGGAGTGCCGGTGGGTCCACGCACTACTTGTCTCCAGTCAGGCTCGTCCTTCTGTTTCGGAGAGAAGGATCCGCCAACAGAGATCTCGGCCTACGAGGATGACATGGACCGGACTTACTTACGCATGCTTGTCCTCCAATACTTCAGCGGGACGCCGCCAGAACTACACTTTCCAAAAGCCAGTTCATTCCAAGTCCTGGCCTGAAACATCTCCAGTGCAGCACGAAAGGATTCTCCATTACGCGTGGCATCTCTGGTCAGGACTTCAGCTGCTATTCTTGATCGTTTCCACTGGCGCCGAAAGAGGCACAGCAGGTTCTCTGGCGCTTACAGAGATGCACCAGACATGAGACATAAGTTGCTCGCCTCTGCAGCTCGTTGAGATGTTCTCACCAAGCAGCGACAGACTCTACGTTGAGCATTACATCCTTCCCACAGTATCTCGATACGTTCCCTTATTACTATGCCATCTTTGCAAGAGCTTGAAAGAGCAGCCATTGAGGTCCTCACCATCCTGAAGAGCATAAAAGAATTCGAGGATGCCTCGATAGCAGTGTTTGGAGGACTGGCGCTGTGGAAATATATCCCAGCTGGCAGGACCACTGAGGTGAAAATCCGTGCTCCAGAATTGTGCAGTGCCATGACACTGACTTTCCGATTTGCAGGACGTGGACTTTATCATTAGCGTCCGGGAGGCACCAAAGGCCGTGAAGCAAAAACTACTGCAACTTCACGCGTCGAATTTTGTCGAGCACGCACAATATTTCTATTACAAGAACGCCAGTAACCAGCATATCCAGATCGACATCGTTCCATCATGGCAGGTGGGTTCTCTCTGCTCTCGGGCAATATCGCATCGATAAGCCACAGCAGAAATGTCAATCTAATATTGCTTCAGTCTCTTTACATGCCATCCACCACAGTCAAATTGAAGGATCTACCCGCAAACACGATTCCATACATTTCTGTCAGCGATCTGATTGTTTTCAAGATTTATTCTTGTGGAATGAGAGCCCAGCCTGCCAAGAGACGTACTGACGCTGCAGACGCTGAATGCTATCATATGCTGCCGCTGGCCTGCCCTTGCCACTCAGTGATTGGCAAAAATCGCAGGTCGAGAATTGCCTGGAGGATGTGGTTAAGCACGGCCGGCAAGATGAAAAGTGGTGGAGAGAACGCCTTGGTCTGCAGGTCTGATTGGCAAATCCATCCGTCGCATTCTGGAGTTGGGGCGTGATAATCAGATAGAGGCTGCACCATTGTCGGATCCTGGTTTGTTCGATTTAACGTTCATGCTGATTAGCTCCAATGTCTCTATAAATCTTTCACAAACTATCAGCGCTTCTCTCGTCAACGTGCACGAGATTTCTCCGGATTGACAGGAAAGCCATGCGAAGAAGTCAACGTTCGATTCCTTCCGGAGCAGAAGTTCGGAGAGCTGGTCTTCGAGATTGCACTAACCTAATGCGAAGGAAGATCCGGATGGCCCGCTCGTACTTGGCACCAGGAGGCATGCTCACCTTGAGGGCCATCAGCTGCGTCCATTCTACATCAATAAGTCGTGTCCTCTAGGGAAAGTGGCAATAGCCGTCTTGATCTAAGAGCACACAATTACGATAGACAGCTTCCTAAAAGCGGAGGCCTTCGATGAAGTCATGCTGATCCGTAAGACATCGCCCAGACGCAGGATTGTAGGTCGAGCGAGGGCATCTCGTCTCCCGCTTCCTTACAACCTATATATCTTGCTCAGCTTACTTGGCTCAACGCTTACGTCTCTCTCATCTATTTGTGCTTTGACATATCACAAGAGCTTTACTCTCATCAGCGTAAGACCGCTTCCGCTTGCAATAACGACGGACCGAATTACACACAAGACGACAACATCAACCGCAATGGCATCTCTCGGCCTAACGCCTTTCAAAGCGGCCGTCGCGTTCGAGATCATGGCCAATCTGATCTCACTGCCATCACTGCTCATCAACCCTGATCATGGCCTCTCGTTCCTCGTCCGCGGACCAGCGCAAATTACCCCAGCAACACGGACCCTCGCGCAGTGGTTTGGCGGTAAACAAATCTGCTCCCATCAGTCGAACGCCATCATGTAATCTAACATTGGATCCAGGCCTCGTAGCAGGACTCACAGTCCCACTCGTACTTTCATATGCCTCACCAGCTCCCGGCCCTGCTGGTGATGCACAAAGAGGTTTCCGTCGTGCAACGTATCTAGCTCTCGCTGGCCCAGAAGTGGCTTTCGTGGCGATCATGGGAGGTGCATGGCTCAAAGGTGCAGATGTCGGGATGACGGAGACGGCACTGCTCGGAGGTGCGATCAATATGACCGCTTTTCTGGTGTTGCGATCCGTATTTCTGTTCTGGAAGCCGCATTTGTTGGAAGAGCGAGATGACAAGAAGACTGCTTAAAAGCAAGCGACAGCTTGAGTAGATTGGTGGAGCGAAATGAAAATGCCACTTTGCACTCATTTGTTCGATTAAACTTAGTCTGGAGTGTACTTTTTCTGCTCAAAAGTTCGAGCTTCCCCTCCGACTACTATCCACAGTCTGAACAGCAGGCGCACTCATCACACCTCTGCCAAACCAATCTCCGATCACACCGAATCGCCCTCCTTCGCCTGGATTCTGCAGACTAGCCTTGAACAATTCGTGTCGACCCGCGCTTTCTTCTTGGGCTTGCCTTGTCTGCCTCACAATATTGTTCTGAGGCGCGCAAAGTGGACACTCAATTTCAACTTCATTCTTAATGTCAATGCCCTCAGGAACATTGAGACAACGCTGATGAAAAGAGTGCTTGCATAGGAAGTGCACAGTGGGCAGGTCGAGTGTCGCGCCACAGCTCGAACAGCGTGTCGCAGAGAATGATGCAGGTTTGTTGGTAAGCTCTGTAATCTCGCCTTGCTTAGCTACGGTGTCTTTGCGGTAGGATTGAATGAGTTTCCTGTTAGATTCGATTTCTGCTCGTTCGCGTTGGACGGTGCCAGAAAGGTATCGTTTGACCAGGCCCATCGTGGCAACGGCGTTGGTGGACAAGGTCTGGATCACTTGAAGGGGAGCCATGAGGCCGTCCTCGTCTATCTTCTTTAGCACGGCATCGACCTCATCGCCGGCCTCGTCAAGGACTTGAGGCGTGCTGGTGAAATATGCGAGTGCCGCTGGGTATAGTTGTGGTTCCTCCGGTCCATATTTGCGCAGCGCTTTGATTGCACCTTGCGTATCATATGCTGCAGTGTATGACCGGAAGACGTCAAAGCGAAGGCCCTGCTTCTCGCTGACCAGAATTGTGCCGTCGCGGAATTTTGCGAGATCGGACAGAAGGAGCACATTGGAAGTATCGACTGGGCCCTCCTTCTCCTCAATCAGGCTCTTCGCTTTGTGCTCCCATTCTGCCTTGTCATCCTCCTTGGTCGTGTTTGCCTTGTGCAGATACATCTCAAACAAAGTGGTGTGCAAGTCCGCGCGGTGCTCAGCTTTGACACCATCGCTGTTACTGCAGGCGTCCAAAAATGTGATGAATTGATCAGGATGATCAATGAAGGCTGGTAATGCGACTCGTGGTTTGGGCACTTCGTACTCGATGTATTCTTCCTCCGTCTGTGTCTCGATGACCTGGGCCTGCTGTATTGTCGACGCCTCATCACCATTCTTTGGCGTCTGCACAGTACTTGTGTTCATGTAAGGCAACGGGATAAGCGACGCCAGATTTTGCGCCGCAGACGATGCCATGGTTCCGAACCCGCTGCTTTGCTGGGTGGCCGGAGTCTCCTGGACGATGACGGCGTCTTTCTTTGGTCGGAATCTCCCAGTGAAGTAGTCAATGAAGAGCTGCGTAGCTTCCTCGGGACAGTGCTCAAGCAGGACAGTCCCGTACTTCATAAAATTTGGATAAGCCTCCTTTGGCTCCAGGCGCACGATGTACGCAAGCGCTTCTGCATACTTCTTCAAGTCCTCAATCAGGATCGAGATCACGAGCCCATGCTCTTCGTGCCGTCTAGCCAAGAATGCTGCTTGGTCGTAGTAGCCACCCTGCCGGCACATTATGATGGCAGTGTCGAGGTCGAATTTGAGCTCACCGGGCTGTTTAATGAATTCCTCAAGCTTGTCAACATCTTTCAGCTTCGCGTAACAGTTCAGCAGCAAAGTTGTGTGATCGGAGGTAGCTTTGTTATGCTCGTGCAGCTCTTCCAGGTAATCGATGAGGTTTCTTATCCGCTGGTTGTCAAGGAACTTTCGGATAATTTGCGAAGGCTCTGTGTTGTCGATAGCTCGCAGGTACTGCTGCATGGCGGTATCGTAATCACCTTTCTGGTACAGGTAGTCGCCGTACTTTCGAAAGATGACATTTTGCTGCACGGCATCGACGTTGTACTTCTTCGCCAGCATGATCGCTAATAAGTACTCTTTGCGGCTGTACAACTCTTCCAACTTCTGTTGAAACGTCCTCTCGTGGTACCTGTAGAGCTTGCCATCGATGGTGAGCAAGAATACATCGCCCCAAATCGTGAACACTTTGTGTATTTGCGTCGATATGGGCTTCGAGTACGCAGTGAACTTCAGATCCGCGTTGAGTATGGAGAAGGTGCTGGTATTGAAGATCTCGTCCGCTCGAGCTGTTCGAAATGCGCCAAGCTTGGAAGCCTGCCCGAAATTGTTGTCGGGAGGCGAGGCCACTAGCACATAGTCCTTGTGCATGTTGACCAGTTTCTTTGCACCTTGACATGCGAATGAGCTCGCCTTGCCTTTTGGACCATAGGAGTATATGGCATCTTCGCGTGCCACGACCACTTCGTTGGACTGAGGATCCAGTGTCATACAGCCTACCGCACAGCCGTGTTCATCCAGTGTTCGAGCCGGTGTGCCTTGTGCCTTGCCAGATATTGCAAGAGCTAGAATCTTGGATACAGTGCCTATGTAAAGTGCAGTCGTGCTGGCTTCGCGAAATTCGAGTCCAGTGATAGGCTCCTCCGATTCAAACACGGTCCGCTGTTTGGTGCCTCGGTCGTGAATTAAGTCGCCCCGAACGACAGTTACAGCGCCATTGCCGAACCCCACCGCGAGCTGCGCAAGATCGCTAGTAACGGCAAACGCGCTGACGGGGAAGTTCCTGCGGCCATTCTGCACTGTCAGACTGCACAAACATCGTGGGAAGCCGGTCTTTTTTTCGTTCTGATCCAAAGTCCAGACCTTGAGCTCGGGTTCGTGTTGCAGCGTCTCAGCCAGAGTGATCAGGTAAGAGGTGTCATGAACCTGCACAATACGGGTAACACTGCCTGCGTCGTGTGCTTTCCAAGAACGGACTGACTTGAACGACTGGTCTAGTAAGTGTACGTGACCAGTGGGCGTCCCTACAAACACATTGTTTTTGCCAGATGTCACTGTGCCGATACTCGCTTGCTGTGGCCATTAGTGAAGCATCAGAGAGGTCGGCGGTGGAGCTTGCGTACCTCTAGAGACAGCGAGCCATCGCCATCCGGCAATCGCACTTGCGATACGTCGAAGAAGTGGAAGAGCTTCCACTGCAGGCCGTTAGCTGAGACCCACAATCAAGTAGTCGACATACATACCGCAGTGGGAGCTATAGGCATCGTCGTCGATCCATATCACTTGGATTGTGAACGGAGATGGAGTGCGTGCCTGGAGTGCACCAGGCGATGTGCAGGTCGGCGCGCTCAAACGCCGAGCTTCACCCGACGGCGCGTTCACCTCGAGCTTCAACAATAGCTCAAAGCCAAGCCACTTTCATCCGCCACGAATCCACGACCGACGCGACGCGATGGAGGACGAGGAAGACGATTTCTATGGCGGAGGTGGCGACGGCATCAAACAAGAGGAGCAGACAGCAACGAACGCAGGGGAACATGAAAAGGACGCGATGGACGTATCTGAGGACGAAGACGACGATAGTAGCGACGACGTATGTCACAGCGTACATTATGACTGCTACCCATGGCTGACCAGTATGATAGGACGTACAATTCACCTTAGAACGTCCAGAAGGCGCAAAAGCCGAACCGCCGTAAGTCGAGTCGCATGGTTGTCAGTCTTACCCATCTAACGTCGCGCAGTCCCGGATCAAAAGCAGCAAAGGCACAGAAGAAGGAACCACCCTCGAAAGCTGTCAAAATTGAATCAGATAAGAGAGGCGGTACGCCGGTGAAGAGGGAAGATGCGCCTCGAGCTGGCTCGGCAGCACCGCCCACTGCCATCAAGGGCGTCCTCACACACAATAGCAAGGAAGGTAGGGACTTTCCCGAAGTCCGCACAAGCCAGCTCGATATCAACCAGGTCCCAGTATGGACAAATGGGAAACCCATCGTAGCAGTCGACATCGACGCTGATCTCGCCGAACACTCGAAACCTTGGCGATTACCTGGTACCGATCAGACCGACTACTTCAACTACGGCTTCGACGAGTACACATGGACGCAGTACAGTCTACGGCAGCAAGAAATGACTGGAACCATCGGCCAACTTAAGCAGGAAGATGCGTCATTGAAGGCTATGCTTGGTGTGGGTGGACAACAACAGAGTGGGCCGCCGCCTGACATGATGGGCATGGACCCACATATGATCGCGCAGCAGTCCGGAATTCCGCTCGAATTTGTGCAGCAATTTATGTCGCAGGGCGGTATGCCTCCAGGTATGGGAGGACCAGGGATGGGGATGCCGCCTGGAGGACCACAAGGCTTTGGGCAAGGGCCAGGAGTGGGTAATGACAGTGGGACATCACCGCACCCACAACCTGGCCAAGGCTTTCAGCCTCCCCAGGGTCCTGCTGCAGGCAATATGAGTATGGAAGGGCTCAGTCCACAACAGATGGCCATCTTTCAGCAAGAGCAGCAGCAACAGATGGGCGGCGGCGGCGGTGGTGGGGGTGGACACCGAGGAGGTAGGAGAGGGAGGGGCAGATGGTAAGCCGCGAGCGTACCTGGCAGACGAAAACGCGACATTGAAGTAAATTGAGTTGTGCCCATGCTGTACCGCGCAGACACATCCAATACGGTTGCGGCGTGTCGAGAGGTTTCACGGCCGCTCTCGAGGCTTATGCTACCGTCGCAGCTTGGGAATGCTGAAGAGATACGAAGAAATACCCAGAATTTCATGATTTGGCTGTGACACTTCAAAACTGGCGACCAGCAGACTGGTCTGTGATCATCACCCCATCTATCTGTGGTACATGTTTTCTTCTCCCTTTTCTTCTTATCATCCTAATAGGCGTTCATCCTGCATGATCGTGAAACTAGAACGCCCGCTCTGGTAAAAGGCACTATCGGCTCTTAGTTCAGCCACCACGCCCGTGAACAAGAAGCTAAAACCCTGGTTGATCTTTCTATGCATGCCAAGACACTTCCATGCCAGTTGTGAGACAGCAAGATCGCATGTTGGTTCACGCAACTCCCCAACAGCTGGGATGTCCCAAGCTGACAATCCACAGCAATGCACATCAGATTGTGAAACATCAGAAATCGTCGTGCTCATCGACTGACGCTGGCAACACATGCCATTCAGGTTGCTATGCGCCGCATGGCACTCGCGAGAGACGAGGAGATCGGGAAACGCGATGACGACTTCTTCCGCCCGAGGCGATCGCATTCACCACCGGCCACGATGGCGGCGACCTTTCCATTGAGATGGAGGAGACGGAGAGTGATGGTGGTACTGGGAGTGCTGTTCTTGGTCTACATCGTTCATTTGTACGTCCCAGGAGGATTAGGTGCTGGATACCAAACAGAGAGCTTCCACCCGAAGCCAGCACGCACCTTTGCAGGATACGATACCGCTAAATCAAGAGAGCCAAAGGGCGCTCCGCCTCGGGACGTGGACAGTGTGGAAGATGAGCAGTCTCAACACTACTACAATGGAGTTACCAGGTTCTACCGACTAGGCGGCTCACTACAGAAGGTTTCGAAGGCAATGGGCTCATACCACCACAATCGCAATGTGTTGTTCGCAGCAGCTTCAATGAAGAGTCTCGCCAACCTCGTGCCCATGGCATGTGAAATGGCTGGAAAAGAGAGGAATGAGGTACAGTTTGCAGTATTTGGACGGAGCCCCCTTCCACTCGACGACATTCAAGAGCTGAATGGCATCGATGGGAGTTGCACCATCCAGTGGCACGATGCGCGAGGAGACTATGCGGAATACAGCAGTGACTCGCGGGTCGAGTCAGCTGTGAGAGGAGCCATGAAGCACATTCAGGAATACATGCACCCTCAGGTTGTGATTATGGACGATGGCGCACAAGAGGAGGCATATTTCACGAAAGCGATGCACGCGAAGACAAAGGACCTGGGCATACCGTTGGTCGAGATACCACGCGGGAAATACGAGGAATGGCTGTGGCTGACGAGGCTCAGCGCCGCCAGTCTGGCTCAATGGTGGAAGCCAACGATTGACATCGTGATCCAGGCCCCGCGCGAAAGCTCTGGCCGACTTATACGTCTGCTGCAAAGTCTTTACAATGCAGACTATCGCGGGCTCAAAGTGCCGAGAATCAGCATCGAGCTACCCCCTGAGGTCGAACCCGCACTTCAAAAGTATTTGAACACCTTCTCTTGGCCACCAGGGAGAGATTCTTCGCTGCAGCCAAACTTACTTACAGTGCACCATCGTATTCCATCGGAGCTTATGAGTCCGCAACAGGCGTCATTGCGCTACGTCGAATCCTTCTATCCAGCCCAGACTAACGATCATCATGTCCTGCTTGTGTCCCCACAAGTCGAGGTCAGTTCCGTATATTACCAATACTTGCAATATGCCCTCCTCAACTACAGATACGCTGGATCCACCTTCACAGCACTGGAAGAGCTTGGTGGGATCTCACTGGACGTTCCACTTCAATGTCTCAATGGATCGACGGGGTTTCAGCAGCCGAAAGTGTCCGATATGGGCGCTGACAAGATCACGGGGCCGGTGAAAGCTGACGATGATGATCCCGCTCCATTCTTGTACCAAGCTCCAACTTCAAAAGCTACGCTCGTGTTCGGCGATAAGTGGGCAACTTTCCACAATTTTCTGACAAACCGCCTGGAGGCTTCGCATTCCGGGAAGGCGAAGAAGAATGCCAAATTGGTTGCTGAGACGGAGCCGGCTTGGGCGGAATACTTATTGGAGCTGATGCGCGCTCGCAATTTATATGTACTGCATCCACCCACAACCTTTGCCGCAATACACAATGAGCTGGCACAGATACCTGAAGAGTACTTACGAACAGGAGCCGACTCGCACAAGGCTGCGTCTTCGGAACCAGAGCACATCGACGATTCCTTCATCTTGTCCGCAGAGCAACCTGTGTTGACGGAACATGACGAAGCTGAGCCTGAACGTAACCAGATGCCGCTGCACAAGACGCTTCCGTTCCAAGGAGAGCTTCCGGGTGTCTACCAATTGCCCTTTGTTGGATACAATGGGGAGGTCGCCACATCGTATGCCCTGTCCGAGCTTAGTGAAGAGTACGTGCAGAATTTCCGCAAGACCATCGGAGGGTGCATGGGTGACTCTATCACTCGAGCACGGGAGATCGAGCCTCTGAGAACAGACGATTTGTTCTGCTTACCTGGCCAAGCAATCATGTACGCGGAGCAGACTGTACCTCACTTCGACCCCTACGAAGAAGACGAGGAGAGCGCATTAAACATTGCTGAAGAGAGCGACGCGGACGAAGAAGACGAGCTTGAGCCAGCAAAGGTCGGCGCTGATGCAGCAAGCAAACAGCCGAAGTTGATCATTCCGAGTAGCACCGCTGGAACGAAGGGCGAGGCACTGGATGCTTCGTGAGCTCGGTGCAGGCTTTGGTAGAGACACAACGAATTGAGAACCTCTCCATAAGGCACACTGGGAATGAGTCTGGCCATCTGATTCAATACTGTGACTTGTCGGGCGCTCTCGGTGATCGTGGGTTCCAGCCTAGGAAGGTTCTTCAACTTTTCTGGTTGCCGCGCACGCCTTCGCGGCTTGAAGCCCTTCAATCGTCAGGATATTTGCCTTTGCAGTAGAATAAGCAGGCAGTTCCTTTAAAGTTGAGACGGACTGGAGGCCGGACGGGACCTGCATGCAGACGGCAGGAAACGCCCGCCCGGTGACGATAGCCAAGATTCCGCAGAGCATCCGATGCATCACAACATCACAATCGTTACTAGCATCGATCTCATCGACGTGATCATTGGGAAATCCAGCCACGCCCGTGGAACTCTTTCATCAAAGACGGCTGGTGATAGATTATTCCTTGCTTGGCTCACGTAGCACACGTCCGGTAATGGCACTAACAACTCTGATGACCATCATCACTACGGACCTCCGCGCAAAAGCATCTTGGCTCAATGCCTTGCGTGATGACCTTAGGCCTTGAATATAGAAGCATGTGCATCCTTCCAAACGATGCGAGGTGCTTGCGTTCTTGAGCATTGCCCACATCCACGAGATGACTTTTAGAACTACTTTCGCTGCCGCAAGCCTTGCGCTGCTCGCATCGGCACAGAGCAACTCAAGCAATGGACTCGACATAAATCAGCTCATTAGCGATCCAGGTGTCTATGGCCCAGCTATTGAGCTCGTCCATCTGTACAGCGGCGAACCCCAGTTCCCCACAGGCATCACCGTCTCTCGAGAAGGTCGCCTGTTTTCCAATTATCCCGGTGCCCTCGATCCAGCAAACACAAATGATGGCACGAATGGACGTTTCACGATTGCTGAACTCATCAACGGCACGACTGAAGTCCCCTGGCCAAGCTCAGAGATAAACAGCCCGCCCGGAGGAGCAATCAACTACACGACCACTCCTCCAACCGCTGCCAACTATGAGAACTATCTGATCGGCTCTCAATCGATTGTCATCGACGCGGCCAATCGTGCCTGGATTCTTGATACAGGGCGAGTTGCCCTTCCCAATGGAGTCATCGTCAGCGCGTCCCCCGGAGGTACGAAGCTTATTGGCGTGCACCTGAACAACGATACCGTATTCCAAACGATTGTCTTCCCATCTGATGTCGCATATCCGGACTCATACCTCAACGACCTTCGAATTGACCTCAATCCGGAAGTAACCGAAAGCGGGAAAGGCATCATTTACATTACCGACTCCTCGCCTGAAGGCCGCAATGGCATCGTGATGGCAGACATTGGCACCGGCGAAACCTGGCGCCATCTCGACGGCAATCCAAATGTCCGCGTCCAAGAGCAATTCACCTTCACCCAGTGGGGTAGCCCTCGGTATGGGTTCACCGCGCCTTCCGGTCCTTTCGCCTACACGAACTTCGGCGCAGATGGGATTGCTCTCTCCGCAGATGGCAAGACTCTGTTCTGGAAACTTGTCGCCGGCCGCAATATGTACTCGATACCCACCGAGCGCCTGCGCGATCGATCAAACACTTCCGAATGGCTCGCACAAGCTTCCATACAGAACTGGGGTGAGACGGGAGTGACTGATGGAATGGAGACCGACACGAATAACCTCATCTACCACGGCCACGCGGAGGCCAATGCTGTTGCAGTGTTCAACCCTGCAAACGCGAGTCACGAGGTCTTCGTCAGAGATCCACGTATAAACTGGCCTGATACTCTGTCCGTAAGCTGGGATGGGTATCTGTACTTCACGAACAACCAGCTACCTTTCGGCGCAGCGTTTGCACCGGGCGAGGATCGCAGACAGCCACCTTACTCGCTTCTGAGAGTACCTCTGCCTAACAATGGCAGTAAAATTGGCGTTGATGTTGCGAGAGAGGCTGGTTACTAGAGAACCTTGGCATGTGATGCCGCTCCCAGCCAGTAGCATCAACAGACCCAAATGAATTGAATGGCACCTCCTCACTACAGCTTTCACTTTTCACACGAATACATCTGCTTATTCGGAAATTGCTAATGCCTGCCTCACTGATGTGAAGATTTTGCAGCAAACAAAAGTACCACAGATCATCAGGAAGCGCTCTTCTGAGCGTACAGCAGATGTGCCTTCTCTACCAGCAATCCACCCATTCGAGCCGCGATATAGGCACAGCGAAGACTAGCATACGCCACAAGACTCGAAATCGCGATATCGAACCATGTCTGACGACCGACCAAGGCAATGTCCAATCTTCATCCAGTGTGCCTGGCACACCGTAGCCAACCTCGTGTGCGCAAAAGATACAGTCGCCGATCTCAAATCAGATATTTTGGTGTTGATGGCGAGCATGGGTCACAGACAGCCGAACCCTAACGCAGAAGCACTGCAAGACTCTCACGGCATAATGCATTTGGTGTTTCGAGCCAGAGGCTCAGAAGTGGAGGATTATTTGGCGATAGGAGCAAATGCGGATGCGAACAGAAAGGTGGCGCTTCAGGAAGTCGGAGTTATGGAGTATCATAATGTGTCGGTTGTGGATGGAAGGCCGAGTGTTCGAGATGATGGGAGGTTGGAGTGGAGGTTGGCTTGAGACGTGAGAAGTGGTGCGAGGTTGATCGGTGGAAGACGAACAACATCGTATGGGCTCCGGACGTCATGGTCAGCTATGAAACCACGTTGCGAACGAAAAGTGACTGGAGCTGTTGTTAAGGCGGTCTCTCAGGTGAGAAGCGGTCTTGGCAGCTACTGCGATGGCGAATACTGTCTCCAGGTGGTGCTTGAACAAGTGGAGAAGAGCAAAAGATGGACAGCACGAGAGTCGGTCTACGAAGAACAGGAGTGTGCACAGCTGAGCAGAACATGTATCGCGAATGCGAGCGTGCAGTCGACCTGATCTGATCAGCACTTGCTCTTCAGACACAACAGCACGCCACAAGATCGAGAATGTCACGCTCGCACACCACAGTAACAACCTTCACCTCGTGGCAATACTCCCTCCTCGTGTCCACAATGAGTCTCCCCAGCCTGAAGATCAATATAGCATCAAAAGCATTTCCTTGGCGGAACAAGCGAAGCCGTGTGGCCTTGTGGCTCCTCAGCCACGGAGAACAGCGGGAAGGATTAGAAGCCTTCTCGTGTAAGATCAACCAATAATTATCCCGGCCCTTCGACCATGTGCCAGCGCAGCAATGCACAACGCTGCGGCTGAAAATGGGAAGTGGTCGTGCAGTCACTCGCATCTTCACATCTTGGTTTTGCGAAAGCTCATCCTTGTCTGTGGCTGACTAGACGTGCAGAATTCCGGGATGCGAGTGGCAAAGAGCTCGCGAGACAATTTATGGGGAGGTTGCTTAGTGAAGGTTGCATTGCAGTTTTGCACGACTTTGGTTCTTCGTCATGAGGGCGAGGTCTGTTTGTAAGGTATGATGCAGTGGATGCAGCTGCCCAGTAAGCCGGAGTCGAGGCTGTGCGAAGCAGCGTGACATGTTGTAGGCATCAGAGGTAGGATCGATGCTGAGCTACTGATAAGTGCTTCGCAGCCGTTCCTGCATCAGCACAACAAGAACACCAACACTCAAGACGAATCCTCTCATCGCTCGTTCTCCCCAACATGTTGTCAAAAATCATTCCGGCCCTTGCTATTGCAGGTGTAGCTAGCGCTCGCATTGTCGGCCTTGCCGCTCCTAAGGTCATTGCCGTTAACGAGACCTTTACGGTGACTCTGCTCACTGAGAACTATATCCAAAGTGTCAAGGATCTGGTCGCTGCCTTTGCCTTGAGCCCGAGAGCTGATGCGGACGGATTCATTGGGACTGAATACCTTGGCTCGTTTTATCTGGGTCCAGGTAAACAAAGAGAATCATATGTGCTGGACGATCGTTGTGGACTGATTAGTTGTAGACAAGTCAAACGTCCTTACCAACATTACCTTCGAGGTTACCGCTCCAGCAACGAATGTCGGCCAGTACCTCAACGGCGTAGTCACCTCCCTTTATGGCGCCTCGAACGGGGCCACGACGATTCAGTGGAGCGTGCCGATCACGTACGGCGATGAAGTCAGCACTGAGCAAGTCCGCTCCATCGAAGGCAACAATGTCTGCTCCTCGAGCACGCCGACGGATTCTGGCAGCAATACCACCACAACGGCGCCTCCTTCAACCGATCCGACCTCACCTCCGGCAACAGGTATGCAGCACGATCATCTGAAGTGGCTGAGAGTCGTCATGCTTACCTCTGAGACCAGGCCACTGCTTCCCGACCTCGACCCAAACACTCATCCAGTCATCGCTCGTCTACGCGAATGCCCTGATCGACAGCATCGTGCAGTCGAATAACCAGACCGGTCGCCAAAATCTTGGTCAGCTAAACGGCTTCCTCGGAGATGTCTCAGCAGCAGTTGGAGTAGGACGCGGCGGCGAATCTTGCAACAACGTGAGTGGTGTCTGTCCAGCTGGTCAGCACAAAGTGTAACAAATGCTCACTCTTTCCTCAGCCACCTCCGCCAGCTTGGCCACCTCTTTCACCAGGTGAGTAGACGAATTCTGAGCTCATCAGTCTCATCCGTTCTATCCTAACAATCATTCTAGGCGACTCGCAAGTCCGCGCCATCTCGATTCTTCGCAACGTCCAAGATGCCCTGCAGGCTGAGCAAGGTGCGATCCTGCAGTGCAACGAGGCCCAGGCAAAGAGCATCCAGTGCCAGGTCTTGAGATTGGTGGACAATTTGGACAACTATTATTCTTGAGTGCCCTGAAGGAGCTTGCCCGACCTGTGAAAAAGTGTTTCATGTAAAACCTAGTAGTAATAATAGTCTTTTGGTCACAAATGTTACTGGTTTCTTGCACGCGCTTAGTCAATTTTTGCTTGCTCCAGACATCGTAATGGACCAGCATCATCAATCTCGGGGTGACGTTCCAAGGTATTAAGTGTGACAGATGAGCAGCAGCCCGATTCTGAGGATCCTGTCCTTGTCCAAGGCATAGTATGTGTTGAACGTTGCTTATTAAGCTTGGTACGACAGAATTAGCAGAACGAAAGCAAAATATCATTCGTACAAACAAGCCCGACAAGATAATGACAAGCTTGCTCAAGCAAAGAGAAGGCCGCGGCTTGAGAGCAGTGTTGTCGAATCAATTCGGCGTTGTCTCCAGAGATAGGCATAGGCGAAGGCGGCACTTCCTTATCTTTCACCTTTTCCCAATCGGGCAGATATCTTGTCTGACACCCATGGCGCTCGTCCAAAAGGCTTGACCAGCAAACATCGACGAGAATCGGCAAGACGTGAATTCGAACACGGTAAATTGTGTCGTCAAGCTATAGTTGTGGGCTTGATTTTGTTGTAGCTGCAGGCCGAAAAGTACAATAGTGGCTCAATCATCTCGAGTGAAGCATCGTCATGAGTGACCCAGAAACGTATGCGATACTCGTCGCCCGCGGCCCTTGCAGCTGCATCTAGCATGATCTCCGGAAACCTCGTGTCGCCCACGCGGCGAACACATGGCCTGCGCCGCACCATGAACAGCATGGGAAACGAACCTTGATCCTTCGAGCCCATTGAACACTGCGACTATCGACTGTGTCAGCCAATAGACGACGGACTTCATTCTGAGTGTGTGCTTATCGTAGCTAGCAACGCCAGTCTCTTTGATGCTTCCCTTGCTGCCTTTGTTCTGGTTACTCCATTGGGTAAGCTGCTCGATAAGTGTTCCCACACAGATTCTCCCGGATCATGTCCAGCTTGTGCATATGAAGTGCGTCGCGCGTGCGCGCGCGCTGCGGGATCCATCACTCTTCACGTACTCGCTCACTGATCTCCCACGCTCATAATGTCGGCGCCAACAGCTCCAGAGTTCAACTCGTCCGAGCCCTGGGGTGGCAACCCATTGACGACCGATGTCAATGCCCAATATGCTGGGCTCGAATTCCACTACGTGTATCTTGCATTCTGCTGCTTCGTAGTCTGGCTCATTATTCCGGGTATCGGCCTCCTCTATGGTGGCCTCGCTAGGCGGAAGAGCTCGCTGTCGCTACTGTTCCAATCCATTATGGTCGCTGCCGTCACCACATTTCAATGGATGTTCTGGGTGGGTATTCGTTTGTTGTTAATGTCGCAGACCTGGCCAGAGCTGACGTTTTCAGGGCTACTCACTGGCATACTCAAGGACCGCAAACGCATTCATCGGTAATCTGGCCAATTTCGGTCTGATGAAAGTCAGAGCTGCTCCCAGTCCTGGTAGTGCACTAATCCCCGAGGTGAGTGAAGCGAAGCTCGGTTCTTTGGTAGCCAGCAGTCGTTCTGACAAGTATAAGATCGTCTTCTGCCTGTACCAACTCCTCTTCTGCGCCTGCACAGTCCAGATTGTCATTGGTGGCTCCTTCGAAAGAGGTCGGATTCTCCCTTCATTGATCTTCAGCTTCTTCTGGGCCACAGTTGTATACTGCCCCATTGCTTGCTGGACGTGGAATAGCAACGGCTGGCTGTATAACCTGCCATCGCTCGACTTTGCAGGAGGTGGTCCGGTGCACATTGCATCGGGCTGGGCTGGTCTGGCATACGCTTTGGTGCTTGGTAAGAGGCGACATGCCGGAGAACTATCGCACAAGAAGCCACACAACACAACCCTGGTTTTCCTGGGAACAGTCCTGATCTGGTGAGTGCTGACCTGGATACTGAGAAACTCCCATCATCTTCGAGACATTCGCTGACTAGGTTCGACGCAATCAGGTTCGGTTGGTTTGGTAAGTAAAACGCATATTGAATGCCACCTGCGAACACTTTTTCTGACTCGAATGTAGGCTTCAATGGCGGGTCCGCGTTGAATGCATCGATTCGCAGTATGTATGCGGCATTCAACACCAACGTCGCCGCAAGCTTCGGTGTGCTTGGGTGGGTTCTCGTCGACTTCATTCGGACCAAGGGCAAATTCAGCGTAGTCGGTGCCTGTGAAGGCGCAATCGCAGGTCTGGTAGGCATCACGCCAGTAAGTCGATCCTGTTCCGGTCCTGCGACTCACGCTCACATCTATTACAGGCTGCTGGATATGTCAGTTTGTGGCTAGCCGCAGTCATTGGATTCCTGACCGCCGTTGTGTGCGCAAGCCTGCAGGACCTCAACGACTGGCTCCACATCGACGAAGGACTTGAGGTGTTCAAACTGCACGGCGTGGGAGGCATGGTGGGCTCCTTCCTCACCGGAATTTTCGCAGACCAGACCATCTCCGCTCTGGACGGCAGCTCGCTCTATGCAGGTGGCATCAACGGCAATGGCGTGCAAGTTGGGAAGCAATTCGCAGAGATCACAGCGATCAGCTCGTACTCCTTCGTTGTCACTTGCATTTTGCTTCTGCTCTTGAAGTATATTCCAGGACTGGGACTGCGCGTAAGCGAAGAGGCTGAGATGCGCGGCTTGGACCTGGACCAATTCTTCGATGAACAGATTGGAGACTGGACATTTTTCGAAACCTTCCAAGGAAACCATCAGCTCACCCATGGCATACCACAAGCAGGGTTACCAACGAGCAGTGCAGTCAGCATGCATGCAGAGCACACGAAAGCAGAAAGGCAAGACTAGAGCTAGACGTCAAGTCAAGTTTCTGTACGACGCGTAAGTAGAACAGCCTCTTTAGCCAGGCAGATATGATGTTGCATTATTGGCGTCGTCGAAAGTGTGCTACGATCGTTGCTGCGGTTCCGGAATCCGAATGGTAGCAGCGCGTTCCGAGAACGGGGTCCCTCGTGCTCGTACGAGAATACTGTATGGGGCACGCCAAGGACTGCCAATCGCTGGCACGCGCCGACTGCTGTGACTTTGCGAGAGGACCAACAGAATGCGAAAGCTGCTGGTGTGCCGCTCGCGAACGAGGGGATGAACTGGAAGCGTGTGGTGTGCAGAGTTGCTAGAGCGGAAGCGGTCCATGGTGAGTCTTGGAGGGACAGTTGCGCGTGGCTGGCCCGTGGGAATACTGTAAACGCGCGGCGCATTCCCGCGGTGCTGTGCACAATTCGGGATCATGTGAAAGGGAAAGGGCCAGATCCGCTGCTCGCACGGTGTGCGAGGAGGATCCTGTTGGTCGACATCGTCGCTCTCGCAAAACCCCGAGCTCGCTATGACTAGGCAGCCTTAATCGGCACATGCGCAATGCTATGTCTCAGCCGATCGTCATGTAGAGGTCTGCATTCGAGCGCCAATTGTCCTCATCAGCCATAACGAGCACAACCGCATATGACTGCCGCGCCCCCGCCATACATCACTTTCTACGTTCCGAGAAAATCCATACCATACTGTTTCTTGCATTGCGGCGTTCATAGAAGAGCGCAGGTGTTTTCGGTCACTGCTCCTCATTTTGAACTTGTTCTTGGAAGTGGAATCGAACGATAGTTTATTTGATTCACAGCACATGCGCATTCTGTGTCGGCCCTAAAGAATCCCTGACATCAACACTCGGGCGCTAGCCGTGTCACCCCACCGCCACGAACGTCTTCGATTCGGCATCTCCCAACTCGCCGCCAGCGGAGCGCACAGCTGGCAGCAGCAGCGCAGAGGAGTCTTGGACCCATCTTGGCCCCATCCGGTCAGCAGTTGGGATCTCTGGCGGAAGCCCTGCAAATAACAGTCATCGCCGTCAGCCCTGAGTAGCGCACTTCCGTCAGCCGCAGCCAGAGACGGTGAACGGGGAAATTCCAACACGATAAGCACGGATCTCACTGCACGTCGCTCCAGAGACCCTCGCCGAGCGTCCGACTCTTTTTAATTGCACCGCTCGTCTGCACCCTACCCCTCCTCCTCCTGGCTTGTGACTGCACAGCCGGAGCAGAACGACAGCGACCATGGCCGCTCTGGACACCCTGGACATCATCGTCCTAGCAGTGCTGCTGCTAGGAACGGTAGCATACTTCACCAAAGGCACATACTGGGCGGTCCAGAAGGACCCGTATGCAACATCACAGGCCAATGGCGCTCTCAAGGCGGGCAAGACGAGGAACATTCTCGAGAAGATGGAGGAGTCGGGCAAAAACTGTGTCATCTTCTATGGATCGCAGACTGGCACAGCGGAGGACTACGCACAGCGGCTAGCCAAGGAAGGCTCCTCGAGATTTGGCTTGAAGACCATGACTGCCGATTTGGAAGAGTACGAGTACGAGAACTTGGATCAGTTTCCTGAGGATAAGGTTGCCTTCTTTGTGCTGGCAACTTATGGTGAGGGTGAGCCGACGGACAACGCTGTTGAATTCTACGAATTCATTCATGGTGAAGAACCACAATTCAGCGAGAAGAGTGCGGGCGAGTCACCACTGTCAACTCTGAAGTATGTGGCTTTCGGCTTGGGAAACAACACCTACGAGCACTACAACTCCATGGTTCGCGAGGTCAACAAGTCTCTTACCAAGCTCGGGGCTCAGCTCATCGGCGAGGCTGGTGAGGGTGACGATGGAGCTGGTACTATGGAAGAGGATTTTCTGGCCTGGAAGGAGCCCATGTGGGCTGCTTTATGCGAGTCTATGGGTCTTGAAGAGCGCGAGGCAGTATACGAGCCCGTTTATGAAGTCACTGAACAGGAGCACCTCGAGAATGAAGCCACCGTTTACAAAGGCGAACCCAACAAGAACCATCTCGAGGGCACGCAGAAGGGACCTTACAATGCGCACAACCCATACATCGCTCCAATCGCTGTGTCCAAGGAAATCTTCAACGATAAGTCAAGAAACTGTCTTCATATGGAAATCGATATTTCGGGCTCCAACCTGTCTTACACTACTGGTGATCACATCGCTGTCTGGCCGAACAATGCAGGTCGCGAGGTCGAAAGGCTTTTGAAGGTTGTTGGATTGTCCGAAAAGCGCGAGATGCCAATCAAGGTCAAGGGACTCGATGCTACGGCCAAGGTGCCTTTCCCGCAACCCACGACATACGAAACCGTTTTCCGATACCAACTCGAAATCTGCGCACCTGTCTCTCGTCAATTCGTCTCCACTCTCGCGCAGTTCGCCCCCAACGATGAGATCAAGGAAAAGGCAAGCAAGATCGGTAACGACAAGGATGTCTTTGCGGAAGAGGTTGCGAAGAAGAACTTCAACATCGGACAACTTCTCGAGCACTTGGGTGGTGGCCAGGTCTGGGACAAGATTCCTTTCTCGCTGTTCATCGAAGGCATCACGAAGATCCAACCTCGCTACTACTCCATCTCGTCTTCATCTTTGGTCCAGAAGCACAAGGTTGCTATCACAGCCGTTGTCGAATCTGTCGAAGTGCCTGGCGCCCCCCACGTTGTGAAGGGTGTCACCACAAACTACCTCCTCGCTTTGAAGCTCAAGCAGCACGGCGACCCGAACCCAGATCCTCATGGACTCAACTACGCGCTCAACGGTCCACGAAACAAGTACGATGGTGTTCACGTTCCAGTCCACATTCGACACTCGAACTTCAAGCTGCCATCAGACCCAAGCAAGCCAATCATCATGGTTGGTCCTGGTACTGGTGTTGCTCCGTTTCGCGGTTTCGTCCAGGAGCGAGCGCAGCAGGCCAAGAATGGCGAAAATGTTGGCAAGACAATTTTGTTTTTCGGATGCCGAAATCGCACTGATGACTTTATTTACAAGGAGGAGTGGGAGGTGAGTTGCTTGCCCTAGATCTATCACTGTTTGAGCGTGTACTGACTTCTATTCTCAGCAATGGCAAAACGACCTCGGAGACAAATTCGTCCTCGACGTCGCCTTCTCTCGCGAAACCGATAAGAAAGTCTACGTGCAACATAAAATGAAGGAGCGAGCCAAAGAAATCAACGAATTATTGGAGCAGAAGGCTTACTTTTATGTCTGCGGTGATGCTGCAAATATGGCGAGAGAAGTCAATGAGATCTTGGCGACAATTATTTCAGAGCAAAGAGGCGTCGACAAGAAGAAGGGTGAGGATGTCGTCAAGAGCATGAGGGCTGCGAACCAGTATCAGGAGGATGTGTGGTCGTAGATCTTGTTCAGAAATCTTCTGTTTTCTCTTCTTCTGATTTCAAAGAACCCAGAGGTTGTTGTTGTGGATGGAAAGCGAACATAGGGTGATGAAGGATGGCAGGCGGCGTGCGGTGCAATGCTGGCGCTGATGAGGAGTTTTGTATCTAGATCATGTCAATGAAGTCTTGATATCGAATGTTGAAGAGAGTCCGTGGATAATCATTTGAGTGTCCCGCTCTTCAGGTAGTTCGTAGTAGCTGGTCTACTGTGTTTTGTTGTACCACGCGCATTTTAAAATGGAAATTGTGAAAAGACATGACTCTCGCATGGCGAACCTTACGAGCTTGGCCCGTTCTCCAGCGGAGGTGGAAGTCAAAGCCGGTCGGATTCTCCCAGACTTCACATCTCTGCATCAGACTTGATAGGAGTCGTGTCGTTGCTACACCTCAGCTTTCACGTCGTACAGGCTCGCTGCAATGTCCGATACCAGGCCGTGGCATAATGAACCGATGATCACCCCACGAAGTTGATGCAGTCCAGCTGCACAGCCGCTGCAGAGCGCAACGCGAAATGAACTCGGTTTGTGCTGTTGCATCACGCTGCCCTGTCAGTTGACGCTGCCGGGCGCAAGTGTAGAAGGTAAGAGGTAGCGCCGGCAGACGCGCCGGCAACGATCATTCGAAAGTTCCGAGAACCTGGTTCAGCACGCTGAACGTCAAGATATATTCCCTGCATCTCAACATTGTTGTTGCAGAGGTCCTAATGCTGTGTCCGATGGGACGCTGTGCCGGTAGAGCAGGACGTGGAGTTATGACATGGAAAACAGCGGAAGCGTGATGCGCGACTGCGCAATATGTCATTTGGGGAGCGCACCGAACGTGCAGCTTGCTGCAGAAGAGCGAGCATGCGTTGAAATGAGAGGAAGAGCATGACCTTTTGCAATGGCAGCGGTTGTACGAGGCGCGTCGTGCCGCCGGAGCTGTCGCGGTACCTTGCATCACGGTGGAGGAGGAGGACAACGCACAGCGCGTCGAGCTCTCGAACTTGGTGAGTGTGGACAAACGAGCTGCCTTCGATGCTGCCAACTGGGCCAAGGCGGCAAGATCTGCTGCAACAGAAGAAGCTTGACAGCATAGACGCCGATGCAACGCTGTTCGGCGACCTGGATTTCGACGCTGAGAAGAGCGGTTTCATGTAAGCAGAAGTACCAATTGGGAAGAGCAGGTCACGTATTGTGCGCACAGTGCACTTTCTTCAGGTGCCCGTCTCAAGTTTGATCGTCTTTGCAGGTCCAATGCGCCTTTAGCCGGGATAGCAAGGACAGGCTCACGAGCGGGCGCAGGTACAGCATGTGATCAGCAATGCCATGGCTATTTTCAGGCAAGAGCAGGAGATGATGAGTTGTGAATGACAGCGCGCAGAGTCCCCACAGAGGCAGCGGGCGCAGTTCCTAGCTGTTTCGAAGGTGTCGACGACAGGTGCAGAATGGGCGTGAGGGGAGATTGGAATCGAGGACGCGGGTCCCGAACAGCTGCCGGGCTCGAATGTGATGGATCGATTTCTGAGAAGTCGGTCGTTGCGGGACTGCGCACTCAGTACCTGGATTGTGGGCGACAGATGGCAGCGATCATGCTCACCTCGAGGGTTCGTGTGCGCTGTCTGGCGATTCACAAACACCGCTACCAGCGTTTGTGGCGTTTTGCTGGAGCTTGAAGCGTTGTGCAGCAGCGGCTTCTGGTGTAACGTGAACCACAGAACAAAGGCGGGAGGGCTTGCATACGTGTGACAGGTCAGCAGCAGCAGTGATTAAACTGCCCAGGCCTCTCTGCTACCGGCACATATTCCACAAGCCTTTTCCGCGTACATCATCATCGCCATCATCCTCCGAGGAGTCTATAGCATTGATCCTCCAATTCGCCATTCCTGCCATTGTGCGTATCCTTCGTCAGACTGACAATTCGGGACTCCAGAAGGGATCCGCCGCATCTTTAGCATTGGTCGAAGGAACGAGAGCCGCGCGTGAGCCTTGAGAAGCAGCTCGTCGTGTACAGTCGAAACCTGATCCGTCCCGTCTTCACTTCGACATCAACTTCCTTCCGCGAATTTCGACTCTCGGACCGGCGCGCGTGGGTTGACTGCCAGTTCGACACGCCGAGCACCAAATTCTTTCCTTCGGCATCGTCAACTGCATTACTACCTGCCGCCGCGGTGGCTAACGGGCTTGCCGAATACACGAACTAGGTACGCTCCTCCTCCCATACCGCACCTTCCTCCACCACTTCGACTGCGGCAGGACCGACGCTGGTCTCCCCTCCTCAACCAACACCTCCCACATCTTACCTCCACTCTCATCTCCTCTCCTCTTCATCCACCACCAAGTGCACCCAGTTCTTACACACCGACAGATCTGCTCTTTTTCATTCGTGCATTCGCCGTTGACATTACCGCCTCTGCTAGCTTAGCGACTCGACCACCCCTCCTTGCTGCCTTCACTCGCCCGTCCGCCTGAACGGCACCAGCACCCTCAAACAGCACCCACTCGCTCAGGTATGTCGAGATCAAGACACCCCACTTCACTCTCAACAGCACGCCCTGTAGACGGCGGTTGCTCCGAGTTCCCCATCGAACAGGGACAACCTTCACAACCATTTGCTGACCTCATCTTCTCACAGAGACTCGACGACCAGTCCTTTCTCCTCTCCGTTGGAAGCTATCCATCCACACCAAAGCTCATCGGTAAGACCTCCTGCCTTGTGCAACGTGCAATCGACAGCGGCAACACTGTTGGCGTTGGCAACCTGCACCGTGGTCGAGCTTCGTGAAGATATCTTTATTGGGCACCCGAACACTCCCATTTCCCTCCTCGAAAGATCAACATGACTCCTTTCGGGCATCCCAGCACCCACAACTTGTTCTATGGCAAGCAGCATCGTCGTCAGACAATCGCTGACCGTGGCTACAAGAACATGGCAGCCATGGACCAGAAGAACACCAACTTCAACCGCCAACAGACCGGCTACACCAACGCCAACATTTACGGCAACCAGCAGCAGTACGGCAATCGAGGCCAGCAAGGTCAGGCTTACGGCATGCACCACAACCCACAGTCCGATCCAATGGGCGCTCTTGCTCATGGCTTCCAAGGCATGAACATGGGCAACCAGTCCTTCGCGGCTCAGGCCAAGAACGCCATGATGTCGACTGCGGCCAACAATGGCTATGGCGGGCTCCCAACGGCGACCTCGATGTCAGCTTCGATGTACGGTGCCGGCGGACAGTACATGTACCCGAACGGCTTCGCTGCTGCTGCCAACGCCCAGTCTCCTGGCATGTACACTCCTCACGCTTCGCAGTACATGCCGCAGCTCAACTACGGGGGCTATCAGCAGCACGACAACAGCCCGCTCTCGCAGAACTGGACGCCGACCACTGCTGGAGCCACCGGCGAAGTCCCAACGCTCATCACTCCACGCCGCGGTTCCATCTCGTCGAACGAGAACGACCAGCCAACGACCCCTTCGTACGCCGGCTACCCCTACGCCGGCAATGGCGTGGCCATCAACCGCTCGCCCAGTGGTGTCTTCACCCACAGCACCCCATCTCCGACATCCATGATGGCTCCGTACGGCATGCCCGTTGCCAAGCAGCCCGAGCAGAGCGAAGTCTCCCCACGCATTAAGATGCTGGTCACCCGTGACCCTGCCATACCACGTGCCATCCCAGCACCCTCTTCGCCACTCAAGCCCCTCGATCGTGCCCTCGAGAATCAGCGCGGCGAGACGAATGTGTACATCCGTGGCTTGTTACCGGAGACAACAGATGAGATGCTTGAGTCCTGGGGCAGCCGGTTTGGTGACATCAAGAGCTCGAAGTCCATCATCGACTTGAACACTGGCCTCTGCAAGGGGTATGTACACACTTGATGTCGTCGGTCAGCTCGACTAACATGTCACAGCTTCGGTTTCGTCAAGTACCACAACTACGAGGACGCCGAGAACTGCATTCGTGGCTTCCACTACCTGGGCTACGAAGTGAGCTTCGCTCGCGAGTCCTTCTACTCGAAGCTCAAGACCTTCTCCGATGAGGGCAACACCAACCTCTACGTGTCCAATCTTCCGAAGACCATGAACGAGCATGAGCTCGCCAACCTCTTCCAACCTCACAAGGTCTGCTCCTCACGCATCCTGCGTGACAAGAATGGCCATGGCCGTGGTGTTGGCTTCGCACGGTATGTCGTTCCTACTGACCCTTCGACTGCGTCTGAGACTGACCCTCCTCACAGCTTCGAGAGCCGGGACGATTGCGAGGAGGTCATCAAGACCTTCAACAACCACACCATCAAGACTGCCGGAGAAGAGCTCCAGGTCCAGATCCGTTACGCCGACACCCAGGAGCAGAAGTCTCTCAAGCAGCAGACCCAAGCTGCACGTCAGTTCCGGTCCGCAGAATACGAGTATGCAACACAAGCCTGGCGCCAGGGCCGTCTTCCATACGCTGGCTCCACGGTCCACGACACCAACCAGAACACTAACGAGTTCGACCAGTACCTTGGCACCACACCGGCCATTCCCATCCAAGGCCAGCGTTGGGCTCAGTCCGCCATCCGCCAGGCACCTGGGCGTAGCCCGCTCGGTGCAGTGCCGTACACCAACGCCTCTCAGCCACCACTTGTTCAGATAAACGTGGCTTCGGGAGCCGAAGGTCAGACTGGGACGTCCGAGACCACTGTCGACGCGAAGGCTGCCACCACATCGCCGGTGACGGCTCATGCAAACAGCCCGGTCGACTCTGCAGCACCATCCACCGAAGAGTAATGGCCATGCATCCTGGCACGCCCGACTCTTCATCCCATCGCTACTGTCAACGACACGAATGCACCTTGTAAACTATCACGAGTAGACGACTGGCGTCACGATCCCACGAATGACTACGACTGCATGCACTTTCTGCACTCGGACCTTTGCATTACTACAGCACGCTGATGCTTCTGTCCAACTCTTGTCGCTCGCTCGCACCAACAGTATGGACATCTGAACAGAGGAATATGGTGGCATCTACAACATGATCATCAACAATGTGTGTTGGTCATGCCACCCGGCTGGCTTGGAAGTTGTCTACACTTAGCTTTTACGACATGTCATCGGTTCTTGTTTGTTCACATCGGCGGCGGCAGCAAGGCTCTGCCATGAAGACTGTAGCCCTCACGGGCACTATCGGGTATTCAATGGCATGGATGAGGACGTGGGAGAGTAATGGTAATTGTTCGCTGCGATGTTTCATTCAAGCGTTCATGACTCGAATGCACGGAAAAGTAAATACAATGGTATTGATCTCTGCTTGTCGCTGACATCTTCTTCACCGCTCTCCTGATTGCGACCTGCCTGTTGAAGTCGACAATGGTGAGCTTTGCTCCCATGTTCAACCTGCTGCTGACTTGAACACATCACACATCATCACATCATCACACATCTGCACTGCAATGCCATTCTGCAATGCCGCGTTCTGAGCATGCATGGATACGTTGACGAACCCCGGTACAGCGGTAAAGCTCGGGTGAACTCTTCACTTCGATCTCCGGCAACCCGAAGCGCTTTGGGTTGACATGGTGGTGCTCGGCCTCGGACCGGCATTCACGGAGCCGTTCGACTGGGTAGCCCTGATGTGTTCGCAGCGATGAAGAAGCTGAGGCCTTCTCAACCGAATGTACCGGCCTTGGACGTGGCGACGAATACGGCTACTTGTCAAGAAGAGCACTGGGGAGAAAATAGTGGGAGACACGTGGGAGAGAAGATGTCACGTCAGCATCAGCGGATCAGAGTGCTGCGAACATGCCACCATGCATCGGAACCAAACTCACGCATGTGGTTGTATCGCACGTGCTGTCGGATGGCTGGCAAGCCGAAGACAGAAATGGAAACTGAAAAGGTTGCGCAGCGCGCAGAAGCTGTTGCTGCGAAATGCCTGGCTGTGGACCGCGATGCGCAATGCAGCCACCATGTCATAAGCTGCGTATTCTGCGTGCAGTGCGTACGGGTCTTACTAGGGAATGGCTGTCGGAAGGGAGGGCTGTACATAAGTGGATCAACTTGATTCATGAGGCTGGAATCCCGCCCTTTTCCTCGATGGCCTGTTGCACGCGGTGTCCAGCTAGGAGGTGTTTGACGGGTTTGACAGGCCTGTGTCATGCAACGTGCTGAACCCCTTTCAGGCGTTTCGATCAGGCGATGCAGGATGTTTGGATGGGGGTGGTGTTTGGGGTGCGGCGCCGGTGTCGTTTGGTGTGAGCTGTAGAGTTTACGATTCGCTGGAAATCTTGGGAGGGTCTGCTGAAACTCTGGGCCGTTTGCAGTCTAGCGGCAGACGGAGCTGCAAGGTACGGCGAGGTACCGGTTCGCTAGAGGGCCCAGAGGAGAGGTGTGACGAGGTGCCGAACGACGACATTGCGCGGCAACAGGGCACCAGCACCACCAGCAAGACGTCTCGCCGTTCGCCCTCCGCCTATACACCTTGTTTCCGCATTCTTCACTTCGTTGGGAGCCTGGCGACTGGCGGACGATGGACCTTCGAGGCGGCGAGGACCCCCGCGACTGAGAAACGCATTTCTACTTCTTTTCCCAGTTTCATCGCGGACCAGGCAGGCCAGACTTACCAGGCAGGCAGACGCGGGAGAAGCGCTTCCAGAAGGCCCTCTACATGGCATGCGATGAGTGCTGGGGACAATGAGTAGGTTCTGTCCGAAATTGCCTTCTCACGGCAGCACACAACATTTGTTGCTGGTCGTCACATGTACCGCCCGACGCCCGCCACAAGTACCGACGTACATGGCGCGCTGCTGAATGCCCTCTTCGATGCGCGTGGACGTGCCCATACTGACAATCACTGTCCCTACAGCCGTGCCCTCGCCCGCAGATGGACGCACTCCCATCAGCAATACCGTGACGCCGAGCCTCTACACCGACCCGAGTAGCAGCCCACCACCCGAACCGCTGCTGGTGGCGCCGCCGACTGCTCCATTCGTCTACCCGCCGCCGAACAATTCGAGCGCCTCGCCCACGCCGACGCATTCTGCACACTCGACCCGCGATCCCAGCGTCACACGAGGACGAGCACTGAGCGCGACTGCTTCACGCAATGCCTCGCCGCGAGCCCTTACACCAGCGGGGCCATCCACGCGGGCACATGCACCCAAGCAGAGTATCGAAATCGATCGCAAGCCGTCCGTGTCGTATAGTCATCACCGACAAGCGAGCATCGTACATGGCGTGCAGCACTCGCGTAATCCAAGCCTGATGGCGTCGGCAAATAGTAGTCCTTTGAGTCCGACGAAAATCATGTCCGCATCGACATCAGCTCCCCAGGACTTTGGGTTTCCGGCAAACCTGAAGAAGAGCCCCTCCACGTCGCAGCTTGCACAATTTGGTGGACCGCAGAGTAATGGAAGCAGCCCGGTCAATGCGGCAGCTGTCAACAAGAGCTTCGAGAGCGTTGTCGGGGGACATCGAAGGCCAGAGAGAATGCATAGTGGTCGCTTGAACAGACCCAATGAGCACAATCGATCGCAGTCGAGAGCACATGGCAGTGGTAATGGACAAGAGCCTAAGACCGTGGGCGAATATGCGTTGCATCACTTGTTCACTTCATTTATTGCGGAAGCAGACGAACGCATCGAAAGATGCATGCCGAAGCCCGGAGAGCCGGAGCCGCGTATTGAGAACATATGCGGCGCAGGAGCGGATCTGGCTTTTGATCAGCTTATATCCTCGCTCGGCCACATCAATCGGCACAAACCGAACTCATTAATCGATTCAGTAATTCATTGGCGGAAGAAGAAGGCAGATGCGGCGAACAGTGTTTACACTGAATTGCGAGCCATGCGAGAAGCGGCAGGCTTGACGCAGAGGACGATTGGCAGTGGCACATACTCGACCCCAACTTCGCCCAACGGGTCAGAACTCAACATTATGGAGCAGAGGGTCATCACAGCAGACCGGAGATCGACTGTTTCGATCTACATCCTTTGTCGTGTGCTGATCGAGATCATCGGGCAAACGACGCTGAAAGCTCTCAACGGACCGGACAATTCTTTGAATACCGCCGGAAGACTGGAGGATGTGATATATGGTCAGCTACAGAGCGCTGATCCTGACCTGCTCGCAACGTCCTCTGTTATTCGCGCGAATTGGGTGATTCGAGGGCAGCTGCTTGGCGTGATGAGCGGGATAAGATTTGAGCAAGTGGCTGAACGCTTTCTTCGAGACTTGGAGGCGGCTCAGAAACGGCTCGGGCTCAAAGGAGTGGTAGACCACAAGCTCGCGGCGAAGACCTCGCTTCTGGTGCAAAGCATGCGGTGGCTCAAGGTTCGATCCCAACCTGAGGCGGAATGGATTAAATCGTGTGATATGCTTCATATTCTGGCGAAGTTCTTCGCCGAAGTGCACGGCCGGACTACGAAGCACGCGTACGCGGAGCTTTTCGAACATCTCTTGCTCCCAGTAGCTGCAACAGCGACCACCGAGCTGAATCACCCCAAGTGGAAGGAAGTGGTGGCCATCATTCAGCCAAAAATAACGCAAATGCTGTCGAAAGCGGATCACTGGCCATATGTGTATCCGCTCCAGGCTGTATTATTATGCGCGTCGCCCGCTGAACAATTTGCAACGCAATGGCTGCCTCTTGCAGTGAACTTCCAGCCAAAGTCCAGAGATCGAGCAGGACGATCGCACGCACTGAAAGCTCTCTGCAGGTTGACGTGGCGATATCTCTACAGATTGGCTGACTCGCCCAATGCCATCATGCGGAAGTTGGAAGAGATCGTCAAGCTGGTATTCCAAGGTGGCAAGCGAGTGCTCATATCCACGGATCCAATGATCGCTGATCCTCTTATTCAGCTCATTCGGATCATCGGATTCAAGCACCAGGACTTCTGTTTTCGGTTCATCATCTTCCCGCTCATGAACGCTGAGCTGTTCTGGGGACCCGTGAAAGACTTGAAGATTGAGAATCTCGACCCGGAAAAGACAGTGATCGCCATCCGAGCATTCTTGGCCATCATGAGTGACTTAGAAAAGGGCGAGGTGCCTCCATTCCCGGTTCGCTTTGAGTGTGATGCATTAATGGATCCCTCGTCAAGATCACCCATCACCCATCGACGGACGCGCTCGCAAGGTTTCGCAGTGTCCGCCGGACGGACCGAACGTTTATCACGACCAGTAATGACTACGAATCTTAATGACATTGCGAAAGAGTACTACGTCAAATTTTGCAAGATGCTTGGCCACTTGACGATAATTTGCGACAATACATTTGGTGGTCAAGCCGTGCTGGACGAAAAGTTTGCTTCACAGACGACGCCGAAGACACCAATGGCCGATGCTTTCACGTTCAACAGGAGAGACGACTTCACGAATCCGACGGATCTACGGCAACATTACTACGACCTGCTGCATGTTGCTGTTGAAGCGTTACCACGATGTCTTTCGCCGCATTTGCCCATCAATTCTCTTGTCAATCTGCTCTGCACTGGCACGGCGCATGTACAGTCTCATATTGCCACTTCCTCTGCGCAGTCATTGAAATCAATTGCGCGACAATCATATGCGCAGCAGGTCACGATTGGATTTGCTCGCTTCATCTTTAATTTCGATGACCGGTATTCTACCGTGTCTGATGGCAGCCTTCTGGGCCCGGGGCATATTGAGAACACGCTGAAGCTCTACGTGGAGCTTCTGCAGATCTGGATCGACGACATCCAGCAAAGGACGCGAAAAGTGGCATCAGAGCCGAACGACGAGGACGAAGGCTCGAAGCCACTACCTCTCGATCTGTCGGGCATATTGGCACATGTCGACGAAGTGGAGTCGCACGGTCTGTTCTTTCTGTGCTCTCCTTCGAGAGCTGTTCGAGCTGTCGCAGTGAACGTGCTGCGACTGATCACAAAATTCGACACAGCTCTGGGCAAGCCTAGCAATCGCATTATAAGCATTCTGGAAGGCGGCTCGCATCAAGTTATCGACGTCAACGATGAACGACTGACGTTGGCCGAGCGAAGTCGTCTACAGAAGGGTCTCCGCAAGAGCAATGTCAGTGGCAGTCTTGTTGAGCTGTGCAGCAGTGATGTGGCACACGACCAGAACCTGTGGTTCAAGGTGTTCCCGAACTTGATTCGACTCAGCTCGGAAATCTGCTTGCACGCTGTGGCCTTAACGAGAGAGCTCGTGTGCCAGCGGCTATCTCACAGCTATCGTGCCATCGGCGCTTTGGCTGACGGGCAAAAAGCGATGGAGCAGGCCTACTCTAATGGCAGGCCTGGACCACGACTTCATAGCACGGCTCCCGAGGTGGTGATCGAGCAGTGGAAGATCCACCTCATCTTTGCTTGTACGACTTTGACCAATATTGGCGGCTCGCCAACTCATCTTACAGTATCGAGCCAATCGACACAACATACCCGCAAAGGCTCCAAGTCTTCGGCCACGAGTCAAGAACGAATTGCCTCGGCTTCGGAGCTCTTTTCAAGAGTTGTCCCGTTCCTGTCTGTACCGAACGCAGCGATTCGACATGCAGCTGTCATTGGACTAGGCGCAACGAATGCCACGCTATTCCAGAGCCTGCTCGAGACTTTGCAGCCATATGTCTTGGCATGCACTCAAGAAGCCAAGGAACGTATGGCTGCTCATCAACGGACCATCAGCACAAGTATGAGGCGAAGCAGACGGACTGACTTTCTTAGAACGGAGATCACACACCTGCTGAGCTTGACTGTTCACTTGCTGCAAAGTCCAACCATTTCTAGTGAGGAGTATGTGATGCACTACATGATGGATTACACAAAACACCTCCGAATCTTCCTGAGCGACACAGAGATACAGGGCGAGCTCGAGTTCCAGAAACTAAGGACACACTTCTGCTTGCTCGTAGAAGGCTTGTATGAGTGCATTAGGAACCTCAAGGACGGCTCAAACTGGATGTCATTCCAAGCGAGGCAAGCAACCTTCTCACTCATGGAGAATTGGTGTGGCTTCTCGCCTATTGAATCGCAGCTGCGACGCCAGCAGGAGAATGTCCGACGTTCTATTCTGGAACGTGAGGGAGACATGCGTAGCAGAGGCATCATCAACTCTGCTATCGAGAAGGAGAAGACCGAGCTCAGTGCAGCAGCACTTAGCTCCATGGCCTCGCTCTGTGCTGGCCCGCTTCGATTCGTGGCGGATGGCAAAGTGCTGATGCAGTTTGACATTCGACGCATGCTCTCTTGGATCAGCGCTATCTTTGAGGCACCCAGCGACCGAACTCACTCGCTCGGTCGTAAAGCACTGCAGAACCTAATCGTTCACAACCCTGATCAATCAGCACTGATGGCACAAACAATGCGCATGTGCTACGTAGCTCGAAGCCCGAAAGCCCTTGCTAGCTACTTTGAGGTCGTCACGAAAGTGCTCACAGAGCATAGCAACATCGCAACGCCGTTCTGGAAGATCTTGTGCGCCGGCCTTTATACCCTTGGAAACGAGAACAACGAGATTCGAATGAAGTCAGTCAGGCTGCTGCGTACACTCGAAGAGCGACAACAGAAGACATCTAAGCTGCAAGACCTGGACATCAGTGTTTCTGACAAGACAACGGCAGTATACAAGCTGGCACAGTTTGAGATCTCGCGTCGCTTAGCAAGCCAGCATCCTGAGCTTGCCTTCCACGTCTTCTCTGAGTTCTCTGCATACTTCAATGAACTGCAGCCCGACCATCAGCGGAACATGGTATCTGGAATGCTGCCGTGGATTCAGGCGATTGAACTGCAACTAGATCCTAATGGCGGACCTACAGGAACATCATACATGCTACTTGTCAATCTGTTCGAGATCACAGTGAAGACGGGCATCACGCTGCACAACGAGATTCAAGCACTCTGGCAGGCACTTGCTACTGGTCCCTACGCTGGCAACGTGCAGCTTGTGCTCGATTTCATCATCAACATTTGTGTGGACAAGAGGGAGCAGAACTTTGTCGTCTATGCCAAACAGATCGTGGTCTTCCTGTCCAAGACGCCTGCGGGCGCGCGGGTCGTCGAGTATTTGCTCATGCAAATTTCGCCCAAGAACATGGTTGCTGAACGACGTGCGCCCACGCAAGCACCAATGGAGACACATCACTTGCAGCTACCGTACGTTGCTGACTTGACCCAAGTTTTGCCAAGCGGCGCGAAACAGAGCGGACTCTCGCTCGGACAGCTCAGTATGATCCTTCTAGTCGATCTTGTCGTCTCCCCACTGCAACTTCCAGCCGACAAGATTCCGACACTGTTGCAGGTCATTCTGGTTCAGTGGGATCAGCACATCAGCATAGTTCAGGACCAAGCTCGAGAACTTCTTGTTCACCTCATGCACGAAACAGTCATCTCTAAGATCAATCCAGGCGCAACCGAGCCAGACAAGCAGTCTATTGAGGACTTCATCGAGTTGGTGCGCCGGCAGGACCCCAAAATTGCCTGGTCTTACACAGACAGTGAGATCCGCGCTGGCGAAGAGGACAGCCGTGCAGTCTCTGAGCCTATGGCCTACGTGGTGGATGAAGTGGTACGCATATTCTCGATCGCATATCCTGGCATCCGCGAGGAGATGGGCAAGGTTACAATGAACTGGGCGACATCCTGTGCTGTGCGGCACGTTGCTTGCCGTAGCTTCCAGGTCTTCCGCTGTGTCTCGACTACTCTCGATCAGCAAATGCTGGCAGACATGCTTGCACGTCTGTCAAACACGATTGCTGATGATGAAAATCACGACTATCTCATTTTCTCGTTGGAGATCTTGACCACGCTTCGTAGCATTATCGCGGCACTGGAACCGCTGAGCCTGCTTCAATACCCCCAGCTCTTTTGGACGACTTGCGCTAGTTTGGACACGATCTTCGAGCGCGAATTTCAAGAGGGGCTCAGCATGCTTGATCAACTTCTCAAGAAGATGGACCTGAGCGATCCTGCAGTTTTGAACATTCTGCGCGGCAGCCAGCCTGAAAGGTGGGAAGGAGGTTTCCAAGGTGTTCATGCACTCATCTATAAAGGAGTGCGTTCAAGCAGCTCAATGGCTCGTTCTCTGCAGATCATGGAAAAGCTTGTGAAGCTGCCATCCAGCGATATTGTTGGTCCTGACGATCGACTGTTGTTCACGACAATTGCGAACCTGCCAAGGTATCTGCACCATTTCGAGGATGAAAGCGACCTGACGTGCAGAGACTCAGCAAACACACTTGCGTTCGCCGCTGAGAGTCAGAACTATGTCGGCATTGCAAGGGTTCTCACCGGCTTTGTGGAAGCAAAGTATAGGAGCGGCAACGACTTCCTCGCCCAGTGTATGCAAGCGCTTCGGACTGCTTTCTTCCCTGCGGAGGAGTTCAACACTCTGGTGTTTCTTCTCGGCATGGTGAACAATGCTACACCGTGGTTCAAGGTCAAGACAATGCAAGTCCTTAATGTCATGATACCAGACATCGATATGCGTAAACCGGAGATCACCAGCCACGGACCAGATCTGATATCGCCGCTTCTTCGTTTGCTACAGACTGAGCACTGCCAGCAGGCACTTGGTGTTCTGGACAATGTAATCGACATGACGGGAACGCCGCTTGACAACAAACACCTCAGGATGAGCATGGCGGGCTCGCACTCTAGTCGCGCTACTCGCAAAGAGTACGACAGCACCAAGAGCTTATACGGCATTCCGGAAGAATCTGGCTGGTCGATTCCGATGCCCGCTATCCATTCGCAGCAGACCAGGACAAACGTGCACGCGGTGTTCTACACACTGGCTTACGCCGGCATGAACGGCATGCAAGACACCGAGCCACAGCCAACACCAGAAATCGAATTTGATAAGGACGAGTATCAGGAATCCTACTTTGGCGATGGTCGCACATCAACCATGATGTCTGATGACACTCGCGTGGCCGAGACCAATATTGGAGAGCTGGTGGAGAAACTCGATACGCTTGACGACTTCTTCGATGATGGAGAGTCGCCTCAACCGTTGACTAATGGAAACAGCCTGGCTCGATACCCAGTTGACGAACGAGAGGAATTGTACGATCAGCAAGCATTGCCAATACTGCATCGCTCTCTCAAGCGAAACGCGAGCATCACGTCCTTCCAGACAGGGTTCGCTGAGCTGCGGTACCAGGCTCCTCATCCACCCCCTATAATGAACCCAGCAGCTTTCGCTCAGTCCGCACGACAACCCACGCAGCGGCCAGGTCTGCACAATCGCAGCATTACCTCTCCAGTGATGACCACCAAGGTGCCGCTGGGGCCACAATATGAGGTGCTGTCCGACAATGAGGCAGACGTCGAGCCCTTCTCCGATGGTGATGAGGATCACTCAATTAGCAGAGCGAATACCAACGAGGAGCAATACCAGCCGAGTCAATATACCACCAAACCAGCAGCTGCTGGAACAGGAAGCTTCAAAGCGCTCCGATCTGGATTGAGGAGATTGACGAGTAGTGGAGGCAACAAGGAAGCACGCGAGCAACTCCGGGCCGCTGTGGCCAACCCAAAGAGTCCAAACCCCAAGGTCCCGAAGATGCCTGCGCCGTATGCTATGCTCGAAAGGGCGAATACTACGCAAGGCCCATTCAGTGCTGAACCATGATCTGAGCCGCAGTCTTTGATTGTTTTGTTCTTGTTTTGAGGAAGCGGCATTGCATTGTACGAAAGAATGAGAGAGAAACTTGTAGATCGACACGATGTTTACATACCCATTGCCGAAATTGATGTATGTAGGATAGTATAGATACCCCATGAGCTGAGGAAAGGCTCGGAAACGATCGTTTTGATGTACACTGCACATGTTCAACACTATTATCGAAGACATTGAGGAGGTAAGTTGCTCGTTTAGCGCGTTAATAGTCTTGACCAAAAGCGGAAAGTTGAACGAAAAGAATCTCTGTCGTCATCATGTTTTGATGGTGATGACGTTGTACGACGTCTCCCTCCATTCCCAATGCCGAGGCCGCTATTGGATCATTGGGAATGATGCTTCTAGCTTGACAGAGCTCTTGCTTCCTTCCTCTTGACACTCTGTTTGTACTCTTGTACTTTTTCTGCTTCCTTCTTTTATTTTTGATACTGAAGATCACTCTCATACCAAGACGCGTTCCTGGAAAGTCTAATTTGATCTAAGCATCATCCTTGAGAAGCTTCACTACTTCATTCGAACGAAGACGCAGCTCCCACATCACATTTCGAGCTCTTGCGACAATCATCTGGAGGAAGAAATTTTGAAACGGAAACGAGTTCCAAAATGTCCGCCACAATGAGACAAAACCTCTTCAAATCCGCTGCTGCATTCCGCGCCACGGCTGGACCTGGACCTGCTGCATCGAAGCGAAGCTTTCAAGCTGGAAGGGTTGTGTTTGCTGGGAAGGAGACGAAGCCAGGTACGTTTGGAAGATTCATCGACCCTAATATTACGGGAGATACAGCAAAAGCAGCATCAGGTGCTAATCGCTATTGTGAATCACAATAGGCAACGAAGACCCCGAAGCACGCAAAGCCGAAATCGAACACCACAAACAAGCGCAATTGCGAGAGCAAAAAGAGGGGAAGAATGAATGGAAAGAGGCGATTGCGAGTGAGAGTGAGAGTATTGTGAGTTCTCCTTTTCTGCTTCTAACAGTTTTTCATACCCATGACGAGGTTTGCTGAGTGGGTGCTGACCATTTTTCGTACACAGGCCAAAGCGGATCGAGGCGAGTTGAAGGCCGACAAGGCTAGTATTAAGGAATTGCAGGAAGAGAGTGCGAAGGCTGCGAAGAAGGAGAGGTCGTAGAGGGCAGGCCTTTGGGGAGGATGTGACAGAGACAGAGACAGGATGCTGTGAAAAATAGGACTGGCAGAGAGATACACCAGATCGCGCGGGGTTGAAGAGCGACAGCTCATGAGGCGGCGTTTGGCGCTCAGCTAGCGAGGTTCGAGGACAGTGGTATGGCATGCAATGACAATACCTGAAATCGATCAAAGTTCGAATGGAACGTTGAGTTTCTCTATGTTTGTTGAAACTACGAGCTTTTTTGTGGTATAGAACTTTCTACAGCTCTTTGAGAGCGCTAAAGTAACTTTTAGGATCCTCGAGGCGTACGCCTTCCATTTCTTCTCTCACGCCCAACATGCTTACTTTGCCGCCGCCTTCACCTTCGCCCTTAAAGTCCCATCCATCGAAGAGCTTCTCTAGAGCTTGGACAGTCTCGGCTTTGTCCTCAATCAGAAGAGAGATGGCATCGTAGCCACCGGCTCCAGGAACCACACCTCCGATCACGCCAGGCACTTTCTCGCAGGCGTCTAGCAGTTCGGTCTGAGCAGGAGGTTCAATGGGTACGCCGCTTTTTTCAGACATGAGCCGGATCAGCTGTCGTATGCGGGTGAACTTCTCGCGCAGTTTCGAGTAGTCTGCGGTTCCAGAAGTTGCGACTTCTCGGAGCTCAGAAGCAAGAGCTAGATTCGCCTCGTCCAGATCTTTCCAAATGGCATTGGCTTCTTGCTGCTTCTCAGCGCGCCATGCGAGGACTTGCTTCACCATGCCTGGCGTTTTGGACCCGCACGAGACATCACACATGACGAGTCTCAGCCCCTTTGGCACACGTACTTGGTCTTTGAGAATCTCGGTGTCCCATTCGAGGCCATGGAAGGTTTCGTCCACAATGTCTTTGATCTCAGCGCCAAATTTTGGTGTGCCTGGATTTGCATGTGATGCAAGTATGGCCGGGGAGAATCGACGATAGACCATTGTGCCATAGACGGCGGAGGCAACATCGAAGCCGGACCCTACCTTGCCTTGTGCTGCGCAGTGAGCTGCTTGGGCGAGGTTGTGCAGGCGTCTTTTGCCAGAGTCCAGGGCAACATCGAATTTGGAGCGTGGGAGGTAGTGAGTGAGCAAGGCTGCTGTCACGGAAGTGACCAGAGCAGCGGATGAGCCAAGTCCAGTCTTTGGGGCCTTCGAAATGGGCAGCGCAAAGTTGTGGAAGCGTGGTCTTGTCCCATTGTTGTCACTCGAGATGGATGCTGGTGTCGAGTAGTAGTCATTGTCAGCGAGGATGGTGATGGATGCTGGAGATATTGTCGGATGGCTTATGCTTGTAATGTAGCTCAGCGCATAGGCAATGGTCGTTTCAATGAATGGGTTGCGATTCAGGTTCAGATCTGCGTCTCTGTGAGGAGGGTGTTGAGTAAGTGAGAGTCTTCGAGATGTTGTACAGCAGTAGTGCTTGTTTGTTCACTTGGAAAGAAGCATTTGACCTTCATGGGGATCGTAGGAAATAGGAAAGAACGGCAGTACAACTCAATACAAGACGAAGATACATGAAGGCAGCACGACTGAAGGGACAGTCGAAAGCACTTACACTCTCAATGGGACGACCTGCACGCCGCCATCTCTCTCGGTCAAGCGGTAGCCATACTCCCAGATGGCGTCGAGAAACTGCGGCGACTTGACGATGATCTCGTTGAGAACAATGCCTTTGCTCGTAGGGATGTCTTCGATCAAGACGTGGATGCGAGCATCGAGGCCGAAGACGAGACCGGTGTGGGCTCTGTCGAGCACCAGATATCCGCCGGCCAGCAGCACTTTACCTGGAGCAGAGACCGCCACAGGACTGGATGAAGCCATTGGCGGTCGTCCAGTCGGAGGCGCTGCCCGGACCGGCCGAAAGAGGCGGTGCGATCGGCCGTGACAGGGCGTGCAGGGCAGCACGTGGAAGGACGGGCGTCAGGACGCGGAGGTTGGCGATGGAGTTAAGAGTCGAGATGCCGATGGGTGGGTGCAAGCGAAGAAGGACCAGCTGACCTGACCTGACCTGCCGTGTTCGAGGAAGATTCGCGAAGCCTGAGGTGACTCGGATTGAGGCTAGAGGATTTTGCGGAGAGGCGCTCGTGGCACAGCGGCGTCGGTTCCTGGCCGCTGACTGAGCGAGGGCGAGCGCAGCGCCCAGTCGCGTGCGAGCAATGCAGCTGGCGAGGGCGGAGCGGTGGCAGATGACCGCGCACAATGGCTCTCGCGGATCCTGCAAGGCTGTCGCCGGGGATGAGAGCGAGTGAGCAGCGCACTGGATGTGGCTGTCCTGACACAGGCCAATCCGGATCTGGGGGCCCAGCGAGAACAAACCGTTTGCCCGTCGAGTCACAGCGCGCGGCGCATTTCGCGCACTCTCGCTGGAGCCGTCAGCAGCGTCACCAGCCCGCCCGCAGGCATCGCCATTGCAAGGGAGGCCAGCTTGCCTCGACGTTCCGGTGTGCCGTTGCAGTAGTTCGGCCTCGCTATCAGCAGCAGATCTTCACGAGAGTCGATGACCCTAACTAGCTGCCACTTCATAATTTGCCTTCTCTTCTAGCCAGGCACACACCCACGCGCACACCACTTCTCTCTTTCCATCCCCCATCCACCGCCCAGCACTCTTCCATCGCTCATAGCAGCGCGTTTGTTTGACGGCGTCGGTCGTCAAATGAACCTGCAGTCTCGTGCTTCCCTAATCCTAATTGTAAGTTTCCACCACGACGCGCGAGACATCTCACGTGTGCTGCCGAGTCTGACACTTTCGCGTCACACAGTCACATCCTTCTGCATTGAAGGACACCTCTATCAAGTAGCTTGATGCCTTACGTCAAGCCTACTGTCCACATTACGCGACTTGCAGGCAACGCCTTCAAAGCTCTTTCCCACGGATACGCCCAGACCGTCGTTGCCGCGTCGCAAACCAGCTATGCTGCTCAGAACACTTCAGCTGCGCCGCTCGCGGACCATCTAATTGGTCGCGTCTTCAAGAATGAGAAGAACAAGAAGCAGACCTATGGCGTGCGCCATGCCAGCACCGCTGCTCCGACCCAGGGAAAGGCCGAGGTCAGCCATGAAACAGGTCTAGAAAAGTACTACGAGGCCTACCGAGAGGCTCAGCGAAACGGCAAGAAGGAGTGGCAGCAGTACCAGTTTGCGCGGACCATCGAGTGGAAGCCGCCGGCTGAGGCCATCTTTCATGGCAAGGTGCAAGAGGTGGCAGACATTGAAGAGGTCCAGGAGGCCGAGGAATTCGTCGCGCCCAGCTTGAAGCGCTCATACACGACCAGCGCGCTCGACAACTTCTCCAAGGCCCTGTTGAACGACGAGGCGGCCGAAGCTGCTGCGCTCGCGTTGGTCAACGATAAGATTGCAGAGGAGATTGCCAAGTCGAAAGAGGAGTCCGAGGACGATGGACTCACAATCCGCGCAAAGTCGCCATCGATCATCTCGCCTGACGCTGTCGAGGTCGAATCGCTTCCATCCGAACCCCGATCGTCCAGCCCGGCCTCAGTCTTCACACCGACCGATAGCTTCTCTAGTGCCGAATCGGCAGAGAGCGAGGCCTTCACTGAACAGCTACTGGATCTGGTCGAGAGAAAGAAGTTTCACGATGTTCCTGCTGTCTTCCAGGGCATGCTGCACGCTGGCGTGCAGAAGCCATCGCAAGCCGCGTACCGTGCTCTGCTCCGAGCCGCTGTCGAGGTCACCCACGACAAGCATCTAAAGACGCCGAGGGCTCTAGAGGTGTACTCTGATATGCTGAAGAGAAAAGTCGTGCCTGATGCGGAAACGTACGGAACACTGATCTCCATGCTCTCAACCCGTGCATTGGAGTCGCTCGCATCGAGAAAGGCCCTGGACCAACGCCTGACCCGCTACGGCGGTCTCGATGCGCCTGGCAGATTCATGTTCGGATCCAGCCAATCTGAGTATTCCATGCTGGTCGAGGACAACTCTCTCTCAATCGCATTGAAGATGTTCGATCGTGCCCGCGAGACCATTGCCGCGCTCCCTAGCGATGCATGCGCCACGCTTGTCATCGCAAGCGCTGAGCAAGGACGCATCGAAGAGATGACCCGAGTTTATGAATACATGGAGTCGAAGTCTCTGGAGCCTCAATCGGAGATTTATGCACCAATGATCACTGCCTTTGGCGATCTACGTGACCTGCGTAATGCCGTCGAGAGATACGACGAATACAAGGATCTGGCCATCAAGAACAACGAGGGCACGAACGCCATCGTGCGTCTGGACAACCAAGTCTACGCTGCGGTCATCAAGGCGTACGGCACGGCCGACAGACTCAAGGGAGGCTTGAAGTTCCTGGCAAGCATTCAGGCGGGCATCGCAGACGCGCGAGATGTCGAGAAGCTGCGAGAAGTCGTGGCTCTTGACGCTCTCCTGCCTCTAGCTCTTCAGGATTCGACATTCCGCGACGCTTTCGAACTCGCGGGCGCTCTCACAGGCCATGCTTACATCAGCGCTCTGTCCAAGATCGCTACAACAGCAGCAGACAAGAACATGCCCGAGGTCGGTGCCCGCGCATTCGAGACCCTCGCACAACAGTCACAGGACTTGGTTGAGCCAAGCATGGCCATGCTGGCGATGCATGTGCGCAATGCAAACGTAGAGGCTGCAGAGCCCTTCTGGCGCGTGCTCGAAGCTGCTCCGGTCAGCCTTGCGTTCATTGAGCCTACTACCATGCGCGCTGTTGCACTCATCGGTATCGGTCAGGCTGAACGTGGTTTGAGACAGAGTCGCCGCATGTTCTCGCGCATTCGGGAGGCCACCACCGAAAGCCAGCAGGCACACGTTTCCCAGCACATTGACGAGGCAATTGAGCTCATTGGCAACTTCACCCTCAAGCAGGCAATGCTTCTGCCTGAGACCAGCATTGAGGTTCTCCGCATGATGATGGAAAACGGCAGCCTTGTCGCACCGGTCGCGGACCACATAGTGGCACGCTTCGGGCCTGAGCACATCGCCCGACTCAACCAGGCTGACCTCGAGTTCCTGACCCGCGTACAGAGCAGCATGATCCTCGAGGAACACTCGGCAGACATTGCCAGTCCGGCACGTTTTGGCTGCCTGCTTGAGAACATTGTTTCTCGCTCGATCATGCCGTCGGCAGAGACCGAGACCTTGATTGAGAAGACTCTTATCAACATCGACCGCGCCGGACTTTCCAGATTGTGGAACAACTACCGCTATCCCACCACTCCTGTCTTCGCAGCTGCTCCATTCACGCCCGTCGTGCCTCTCCAACCTCCGGTCGCTTCGTTCGAGGATACATACGATCCTTACGCAAACCGTACTGATGTGAAGGGATCCAATGTGATCAACGACATGCTCGAGCGCCCACATGGCCGCCGCATGAATGAAGCACTGAACAAGTTCCGCAACATGCGCCGCGTGGGCCGTGTCCCACGCATGTTCACGTACGGCAAGTTGATCGAATCGGCTGCGAAGGAGAACAACCTCACCCTGGCACGCGACATTCTGGAGATGGCCAAGCAGGACGTTCCATTCGATGCCCGCTATCGTGTTGTCCGATTCGGCTGGCAACAGATTTTGGACAACATGGTTGCTGCATGCTTGAACGTTGGCCGTCGCGATCTTGCTGGTCGATACCATCAAGACATGCTCGACATGGGTTTCGCGCCATCTGCCAACACCTTTGGACTTTACATCACCACGCTGAAGGAGAACACCAAGACCTTCGACGAGGCCAGCGAAGCTGTCAAGATCTTCCTCCGCGCTAAGGCTGAAGGCGTTGAACCATCTTCCTTCTTGTACAATGCACTCATCGGCAAGCTCGGCAAGGCTCGGCGCATCGACGATTGCCTCTTCTACTTTGCAGAAATGCGCAGTCTCGGCATCCGCCCAACATCAGTGACCTACGGCACCATTGTCAACGCTCTCTGCCGTGTGTCTGATGAGAAGTTTGCTGAGGAAATTTTCGAGGAGATGGAGGCTTGTGCCAATTACAAGCCGCGTCCAGCCCCTTACCATTCTCTGATGCAATTCTTCTTGACCACGAAGCGTGATCGCAGCAAGGTCCTGTCGTACTACGAGCGTATGCGCAGCAAGGGCATCCAACCTACCGTTCACACGTACAAGCTCCTTATCGACACGTACGCAACCCTGGAGCCGGTCAACATGTCAGCCGCCGAGGCACTTCTTGAGGAGATGCGCGCCGCTGGTGTACAGCCTGATGCTGTACATTACGCATCTCTCATCCACGCCAAGGGCTGTGTAATGCACGATATGGACGCCGCCAAATCTCTCTTCGATTCCGTCATTGCCGAAGGCAAGGTGCAGCCAATGCCAAACATGTACCAAGCCGTTTTCGAATCACTGAACGCCAACCACCGCTCTGCTGAGTGCGAGCCACTGCTACAAGACATGGTTCGTCGTGGCGTGGACTTCACACCCTACATCGCAAACGCTCTCATCCACGGCTGGACGCTTGAGAAGAATATTGAGAAGGCCAAGGCCGCTTTCGATCGCGTGCACATCTCTCGCCGCGAACCCAGCACGTACGAGGCTATGGTTCGCGCATACCTCGCCGCTGAGGATCGCGACGCTGCCAAGGATGTCGTGCGCGAGGCTCTTTCGCGAGGCTATCCTAGCGCTGTGGCCGGCAAGATCGCCGAGCTTGTGCGTTAGGCAGCACCAGTTCTTTTTGCATGATCTCGGAGTTTGCTGTTTCTTGTCAGAGGCTGACTGACGACTTGTGGATTTTCGCCATTTCCTTTTGTCACTGCATAGCATGGAATGAACCCCAGAAAGCTGGTGTCGTGATATTACAAAAGGAAAAGGGAAACAGATGATGCGCAGAGTGTTTGGAACGGCTGTTTTTAGCGAAGGAGTTTGGGAGCAAGAGAAAAGAATAAGAAAGATGTGGTTCATGGGAAATCGCCCTCCTGAAGTTTTTTTTCGCATGGAGTGAGGCGCGCTGTCGATTAGACATGCGAGATGGGTTTTGGTTTTACTGTGTACTATTAAGATACCCCCTCCCGATCGGGAGAAATCTCTACTCTGCTGGCACGAACATTAGAAGGGATTTGTCCGTGGCCTTGAATGGCGCATGGCAAATCTCTAGTGCTGGAGTTTCCTTAGATGAAATGAAAAAAGGAAATTAATAGCAACTTCTTCTCTTTCTTACCTTCACCGATATCGAGGTTTATGGATGCGTAACGTTCAAGTCGAGGAAGGACAGACTTCTATGAGGACATGGATATCAGAATATCGTTACTTTGATATAGAATACATACAAAGAATTGAAGTAACGCTCTCAACTTTCCCACCGGGTATTCCATCCTGAAGCTCATCGAATCTTTTCGTTCCAGAAATAAAAGAAAAACTCCCCACCAATCTCGTGTTTGCCCTCGAAATATCAGGCCTTTCTGTTAACGTATGTTGATCTTTCGTACTCTTTGTGTCGTAAAATCGTTGACATCGTGAAGGGCTCCCAAGAGGAGAATGAAAGCTGTGTTGTGTCGGAGCAAGGCATTGCTGCACCCCGTAGAATGCCAATCGCGTTGACGACAATGTTCTGCTGTGTTGGCTTTCCATTCATTCGTTATCGTGTCTGTCCGTCGAGCGGTTTATGAGAAATGGGCCTTGCTGACGTGATGGCTCACGGCAGCTTCATCTCCTTCGAACAGGCCGCAGACTGGACATTTTGCGCTCGGATTCGCGCCGCTGGAAGCTTGCTGGGCTGAGTTGTAGGATGACATCCGTCGAGGGTCTCGAGGTGGAAGAGCAGGATGCTGTGACGAGTCCTGTACACTCATTTGGGAGAACCGTTGGCTATCGGGCACGATGTCGCTGTTTGGGCGGGAGCTGGGATATGGCGGACCATTGGGATCGGAGTAGCGGTGTGCTGTCAGACCGGAGCCATTGTTGTTGCTGGTATTTTGCTCGGGCGAGAGGTATGAGGTGTTGTTCTGGCTGTTTTGCGAACTCGTGCTGTAATGCCGGGCATGGGCGTCAGAAGTGGTATAAGCGTGGTATGTGCTTCCGTTTGTAGAGGTGACGCTGCCTCGTTGAGACGGATGCGGCTGTTGCGGAGCTGAATATGCGTGATACTGCTGAGCCTTCTCAAAGTCTGCTGGTACTTGGCCCGGTGAGGGCTGCGGCGAAGGGCCATTAGATCCAAAACTGCTATCTCCGGGCAGCTCTGAGCGGAAGACTTGGCCTTGTGGCTTGAGAGGAGGGGGTTGCATGCCTTGCTGTTGATAGTAGTCGCCCGGCAGCTCGTTGATCATCGGCATATTCGCAGCTCCTGGGCGTGCGTAATCTGGTCCGTTGTAGCCTGGTTGCTGATATGCTGGCATGTATTGGCTTGTCCTATGCTGGCTGTTGTTTCTTGTGATGTCGTGGTAGTTGCCATATCCTTTCTGGTCCAACCTCGGTGTAAATCCTGCGGCCGACAGTGATGGACTTGGACTGCCGGGCGCGAAGCCTGGACTGCTGGGACCCGTGCTGTGTGCATCGCTTTGATCCACGAACCCGCTGGGCTTCGAAGTCTTCAGTCTGCCGTTCTCAAACATGGCATGCAGCTTCCCCTCGTCCAGCAGCTCTGCTTTCTTGGCCAGCCGGTCGATCATCTTGCCCGTGGCCTCCTTGGTCTCTTTCTTGACAAAGCTCGCCAGCGCGAGGTTACAAACAATCTCCACATCCTCGCGCAGATATAGCCCTTCCGCCGGCGTGTCTATGCCCAATTCTCTCGTCTCCCTCGGTTCTCCAGGCTGGTTGCCGCCTATGCGGTACTTATTGCGCAAGTCCACACCCATGGGCGCATAAACGTGCGATTGCATGCCCCATGGCTGATCATGAAAGACGCCCTTGAAGGAAATCTTCTTCTTCATGCCAAATCCCCATGTAATGATCTCGTCGATGAGATACCATTGCGAGAAGTACTCATCGTTCGGACTGTCGCGTGGCGTGTCGATCGACTTGACGCCTGTGACCAGCGGGTTCAGCTTGATCACCTCCTCATGCGAATGCAGCAGTTCGATGGCAAGCTGACGTGGGACATTGGACGGGAGCGGCGTTATCTTCGTGTACACGATCTTCTTCCCCATGGCGATGACGTAGCTGTGGTGGTTCGGGGGCGGAGGGGTCGGTCGGTATGGCGGTCGCGACGGTGGAGTCGCAGCTGGGCGGCGGGGAGGAGGTCTGTCAAGCGATAAGAAGTCGTCGTCGCATTCGCGGTATCAGCGCTGAGCTGCGTTGGCTGGGTAGGCGGATGATGACCCAAGCTAAGAGCTGGACCAGCAATCCTTCGCACGCGATCTGCACTGCCTTGCGCCACGAGCAGCGTCAGACGTTCCGTGTACCACGCCGAAGCATCTTCGCTGCTCTCCAGTCATCTTGGCCGAGAGAATGTGGTCATTCGCCGCGACTGTGCCCAGTCGTGAGTCGCTGTCGCTGCCGCCCAAGCATGTCGGCCTTGGACCGCCGCGCCTGGTCGAAGTCTGCAGTGGGCGAGTGTGTGTTGACGCCACGAGCCCGGATTCATGGGCTCCCGGCCTGCAGAGCGTCGTACCGTGGTGCTTGGCTTCGCCACTGCGGTACTCGTAAGACTACGGCGCGCCGGAGCAAGGCATCTGCCTGCGGAGGTAATAAGAGCTCGCGTTGAGAAGTCTGACACCTGCAGCGCATCCACCGGTTGTGAAGTACTCTCGTCCGGGGCACGGACTCCTGTTAGTAGTTAGTCGGCATCCCGCTCAGACCTCACTGCTATCGCGCTGCAGAGGCCTGTCTGTACGCGACCAAGTCAAAAGTATTTGCGCCATGCTGTGGCATGCTGGATTGCTCGACAGAACAAGCCATCGTACTGCGTTGGCGATTTTCAGAGAGATTTGGGCCAAAAGTGTTCATATGCAACATGACCCAGTGCGCTGCCTGGGACGCCTACGATGGTCCACTTCATGCTGCGAGAGTGCAAGTCATTTCGTGGTACGAGCTGAATATGTAACATTCTGTGACATTAGATGCAAATGAATCGTTGTTGCCTTGTACTAGAAGGTAGGTACTTTCGACATCTCTCCACAGCGTAATCGCGAAGAAGGGAGATCACTCGTCCAGTGTATTGCAATATTCGAACCATAAGAACAGCAAAATTTCGCAATAATGCAGCATTGGAAGAGGCATAGAAAATGTGTTGCGATATGCAAATAGCTCGTCAGCAGCCGCAGTCAGCCTTGTGGGTCGGCGTGGCTTTTCCCTTGCACCGCTCCAACTGCACCTTCCAACCAACATGCTTCAGCCTGGAGGATCTCTACTACTTCACTCTACCACGCTCTAGATCATTCATCTCATCCTGCACAATGGACATACAAGCCTTTGCCAGAGAACATGTCACCCAAATCAGCGCAACAATCGCTCTTGTTACGTATGCCACGACGAGAAAGAAGCTCACGCCTGCGGGCATCGTGTCCGGAATCATCGTAGCAATCATTCACATGATCCATCCTTGGCAAGCATTTTTCTGGCTATTGATGGTATTCTTCCTTCTCGGGACCGTAGTGACGAAAGTGCGTATACTCTCTTCTCAAGAACACTCGTGAACAATACTAACCACCCATCCTCCAAAGATCGGCCACACCAAAAAAGCCCACCTCACCCAATCCGCCACAGGCGGAACCGGCGGCGAAGGCGCCCGCAGCGCAGTCCAAGTCTTCGCAAACTCCGGCTGGGCCTCCATCCTCATCGCCATCCACGCCTACCTACTCCGCAACAAGTCTCCGTTCATCTCCTCCGTTGTCCCAGGTCTATCCGCAGGCCCTCACTTCCCCGTTTTCGAAAAACTCCTCCCCATAGGAATCATCGCCCAATACGCCGCCGTAGCAGCAGACACTTTCTCCTCCGAACTCGGCATACTATCAAAACAGAATCCCTTCCTCATCACAGCCCCTTGGAAATCCGTACCCAAAGGCACAAATGGCGGCGTCACAATCGACGGGTTCAAATATGCTGGACTAGGCTCTTCACTCCTCGTCGCTGTCGCAATCGCTTCTTTGACTCTTTCTCCTCCGCACGTGGATGTCCAACCTCAGATTACTGTCACATTAATCGCTGCTGGGATCGCAGGGAGTATTATCGATTCTGTGCTTGGCGCGCTGTGTCAGGTTACGGTTAGTGATAGGGGGACGGGGAAAGTTGTGGAGGGGCCGGGGGGTACGAGGGTGAAGGTTTTGCCTGGGGGGACGAGAGTGCAGGTTGGGAAGGATTTGTTGACGAATAATGGGGTGAATTTTGTGATGGCTGCGTTGGCGAGTTTGGGGGCTATGGGGGTTGCTGGTGTGTTGGGGCTGGAGTTGAGGGTTTTGAAGGGGTAGGCTGCGGAGGAGAGATGATATCAGGTCAGTCAGGTGTAATTGGAATGTATTTATAATGGAGGACTGTGTTCGTCAGAAATGGGCTTCAGGGACATTTCCCCTCCCTCTCGTGATTTGAGCGAGAGCTGAAGGTTCCATGGCTTTACGTGATCGTTTTGTAACAACGTAGTACACATTTCCCCGAGAAGCACATGTGACCGGAAATGGCAGTCGGTGAGTCAGAGGCACAAGAGTTGAAGTAAGCATCATTTCATTCCGTCTTATCGTCTGTCAGTCAAGACGTGTGCTCTAGCTATGCTGAAGTTGCTTCTCGGGCCTCAGGGAAGATACCCGAAAGTGCATGCACCAAGCTCAATTCATCTTCAGCAACCAATGCAGCATTCAATGTGGCCCAAAAAGCGCCAGTTGGAGAACCCAGGACGGAGAGCAATCAAAGATAGTCATCATCCTCGCCTTCGGTTGGCTCGGCTTTGACGTTGCCATTGACCGTGTCCTTTTCGTCATCGTCCTCAGCGACTGGCGTGTCTGCTTTCTTGCCCTTTGGTGTCTTGCTGCGCTTGGATGGAGTGGCGTCCTCTGCGTCGTCTTCGTCGGCTGCGCTCACGTTAGCTTAGAGGTCAAAGGATTCGCGATCAAAGACAGGTCACTCACCAGCCTTGCGCTTGCGAGAAGCTGGAGTCTTCTTTGGCTTGGTAGTTGGGGTAGCAGCTGCGCTGTCGTCGCCGGAGCCAGTGGCCTTGCCGCTGCCCTCAATGAGCTTCTTGCGCACGATGGGCCAACGGTCACGGGCTTGCTTGGGGGTGTTGTAGTTGCCAATTCTGGCAACCTCTGGCCAGTTGATCTGTTGCTGGTCAGCGCGCGGTACAGCAAAGGGGGAGGGTGATGGTGTACGTCGGCCTTCATCACCTCGAGGACTGCGCAGAGCAGCTCTTGCTCGCGTGCGGTAATGTTGATGGCGGACATGGTGTCGGCAAAGGAAGAGTTGATGCTTAGACGGGCGCGGTAGTGGGGTTGGATGTGTGTCGAGGTTCAACGAAGTAGGCGAGGTGTTTGCTGTTGGTAAGGAGGAAGAGGTCTGGACTGGAAAAAGCTTTAGATTTATAGACAGCGACCGTTTGCTTTACTTGGACTCTAATTACCGCAACGCGCTGCATGTGAGCCGATAATCAGCGGCAGTGCTGTGCGAGGGCAGCTTGCTCTTGCTCCAACGGCCGCGTGCTTCACTTCACCTGCGTCCGCAACGGTTTTTGGAGCTTGCCCTGCACCTAGACAGGTCCCAACACTTCACGGTGTATACCCTTGTCGGCTCGTCCGCTCCCGATTCTGAGGTATATAAGCAGCTAAAAAGGTTGTATATACACTCTGATAGAGCCCTAGGAAGGGTTGGCAGCACAGCAATGTCCACATTCCATAGAGCAGAGCTTCGCAGCATTGAGCAGATGTGAAGATGTCAGATCGGCCTTCGATTTTCTCATCGTCCTCCTAGTAGATTACTTGCCCATTGGTAGCTGCCTAGGAAGACCGCGCCGCCGATACTGATCCACATGGTCCTGGGTCCGATGCCACTGAGGAATACACGACCTCCTTCCTGCTTCCAGATACGTGCCGTCATATCGAAGACATTGACTCGCTCCTTCGATAGCATCATCCTGGTCTTGAGCACATCAAGAGGAGTGGTAAGTCCAGCAGCGATAGCTCCTGAAACAGCGCCATATATCGAGCTCTCCGCAGCTGTGACATCTGAGGGCCGTGGGCCTTGTCTCTGTGCCAGTGACCACTTCTTCAGGCCTTCCCAGAGCGGGAACTGAATAATGGTGAAGGGCACCTCACGCATGACCGTAATGCCCCATCCTCGGTACAGCTCTCGCCATACATGAGGCAGCCCGTGTGTTGCTCTTTGTCCCAAGATATGCTTCAGCGAGCTCAGTGAGCTCGGATGCTGCTTCGCCTGCGCTCTTTGCTTGACCACTTCTGTCGGTACCCGCACGGAACATGCTGCGATTTCTCCCAAGCTTGCTGCTGCCATATGCACACCCGCTTCGCTCGTTGCGCTCGTTCCGTAGGGTGCAAGATATCTCTTTGTCCCTTCATATGTCATAAAGAACAATGCGGCTCCTGGCGCGGAGCCGACTGCTGCAGAGCCTACGCCATTGTATACACCGCGAAAACCGCCAGATGCCCAGAAGCCGGCGGAGGACTGTAATCGAGTCTTGAGGGTATCGAGAGGATAAAGTGAGATGTCTACGGTCGTACCTGCTACGCCGCCTGCCTAGGAATGTTAGCTGCAGGCTTCACGGGATCGTCTTCCCTATGATGGGCATGGCATACGATGAGAGATCTGAGATATGGTGATTCTACCAAGCTCTGCGATTCCATTACAACACAGAGCTCGCGCCTAACGCCTCGGACAATGCAATAATGAGTGACGGGGAATGTAATGAGTGAAGTTGTGCACCTGCATGGACTTCGTCAATGTGGTTCGACGCGGAGCGATCTCGGCGACGGGAGTTGCGATGCACTTGGCGTCAACCAGACCTTTTACATGCTTCATCAACACACGACCCTTTCCAATTTCAATTCGCGAAATGGAAAGATCATAGACCTTCACAGAGATAACATGAATTGGATGCTCATCGCAATATCTGCTCTCTCGAAGTCTCGGACGGCTGATGGACAGGAGAGTGATCAGACTTACTAGCCATTTGCGCTCCTTGCTCGGTGCATGAAGGCTCTACCTCCATCTGCTGCAGGACATAAATCTTCGAAGCATGTCATCAAACAGAAAAATGCCGTGGCAGCGCGACGCAGGCTAAAGACGAGCTGCAAAAAGCATCAATGCTCCGAGATGGTCTAACGACTACCACTCATGCAAGCATCCATCCAAATCCGAGGGAAAGCTCAGTCTTGAGCATCATGAAGACTATATTCAGCAGGCACATATGGTGCGATATGGACACACATATCAAGAAACAACCTGCTCTTCAGATGTCTCCTTTCGCCTTCTCTTCAAAGAGGGCTCTGCTCTTCAATCGGATCCGTGGGAGCATACCGGTGACCACTTGCGCGTTCAAACCGATAGACTCTGTGTCGACATGAGCCTCGGCGTTCATTGTACCGCTCTTTCTTTGTGTGACGAAATTGCCCGAGGCGCAAGAAGTTCTCCATACAAAGATGATCCCTTTGACCTATTTCTGGCACCATGCTCATCAAAGCCATGTGGCCTTGCAACGCTGCAGTGGCAAGATGAAGTACACAAATCTGCTCGTGCGCCCCGCACGCTTTGATTTCCCAGTTTCTTGTCTTCATTTTCGTGTTTTCTATTGCATCCAAACACTCATTGAACCAAGAGGCAGGTCCTCCTTCACGAGAAATTAACATACAGGAACATTTTAATGACCGGCCCCTGATTATGTGCCAGCAAGAAGAGGAAAAGAAAGTCGATCGAGAGGTTGATGAGGGTAGTGCACTGGTTGCAGTATCCCAGGACCTCACAGACGAAGACAACTGCGTGCAGGACACGCATATCGAAGAGCCAGCGACACCCTCCATACAGCCTGAGTCGGTGCCGCACGTGGCCTCCGACACTGAAGATGTGGCTGGTACCTCCGAGGGTATGCATGCCACTACAAAGAATGGCGTTCAGCCCGAAGACTCATCGAATCAGCAAGCGACTGAAGGGGCTAACACCGACAATGCTGATAGCAATGTGGCGTCGATCAGTGATTCCGATAAAACACAGGCATGCAAACAGAAGACGAACTTGACCGACAGCGACAAGGTAGCTGACGCATCGCTCGCCAGCGGTTGGGACGACTCTGATAGCGATGAAGAGCAGTCACCAGACAACGGTGCGAAAGTACAGTCACCAGATGACGGTAAAGCGCAGACTCAGAGTTATGTCATACCTGTAGTACGCGTGGATGGCCCCGAAGATGATCGTATGCCTATATTCAACAGGGCTCGCCCGGTTACGCCTCACTCGCCTGGCCGCAGACGTGCAGACATGTACGACAGGAAACCACACGAGATGCCATACTTCTCTAGCCAGTTGAGACAAGCTTGGTCGGCTCTCGAATATATGGACTACAGTGTTGCCAGGGCTGGAGACCGGGTCGAGATTGTTGCGATACCTCAGCCAAAGAGACACAGCGAGTCTACCGGGTGCGAAGACCCATATGAGAAACCGCGAGCCGCTCCAACTCCCGCCAAGTCTAAGGGTCATCGCCGTACAAACGCAGTCACCAATGCAGAAGTACCACTCCGAAGTACGAGGTCTATGCTATACGAGTGGCACGAGAAGTACACTCGCAAAGCCGAGGAATTGAAGTATTATAGAAAGCAGCTCAACCGGGCAAATGGAAAACTTGAAGAGGAGAAGCAAAGGTTCCAACAAGCGCAAAGCGATGCGGAAAGCAAAGCCAAAGCCAAGGATCTTCTACATAGTGAAGACCTGGCCGCTCTCGTAGAAGAGGCCAACGATGCTTGTACTCAGCTCAGAGTAAGCACGGACAAATACGAAGACAGACTGAAACTACTGCAGCAAAAGCTCGATGAATCTCTCGCTGCTATCAAGAGTATCGAGCAGGAACGTGATGATGCTAGGGCATCGCTACTCACACTGCAGACCAGTCTCGAGGAGCGTACGGCCGCATTAGAGGCTACAGAGACTCTCGGTAGAGAAATGCAAACTTCCATCGATGCTGAGAAAAGCAACATGAGCGAAATTGAGGCCCGCAACAACGAACTTCAGGCTCAACTAGATGACTTCCTCGCACGGGACCGAGGCATCGATCAGAAAACCGCAAAGCTGCAAAGCCATCTCCGTCAACTTTCTCGCCAGCTCGATGGTACTCACGACATGATCGAAAAGCTTCAAACACAAAACGCCGACTTGGAACGCGCCAACCGTAGACTAGAGCACCAAATCGCTCTCAGACGCATCTCAGAAGCCAGATCCGAACCCTGGAACAAGCGACGCAAAGCATGGCGACAGGAATATGCTTGGACAGAAGAGCACAAGATCCTGAAGCAGCGAGCAGAACGAGAAGATCTGGCACGGGCTGATTATGAGAGTGCTAGAGAGTATGCTTTGGATGATCTCAAACTTCCTGAACCGAATGATGCGTTCGAGTTCTACCAGAAACTTGCTGGTCGTGTGGTGAGAGTACCCAAGAGCGCGGCGAAATCGGCGGCACAGGATACTTTGACGCGGAAACCAACTTGGCTTTCGATTTGGAGGAATAGTGTTAGCCAGAGCTTTTCGTGGTATTGGTGATCTTGTTGATGGTTCCGCGACGATACCCTAGCGGTCATAGTACAACATTGATTTTTATTTCAATCCTCCATCATTCCTATTCCGCTCTGCTCGTGAATCTGTACTGCTTATCAATAATGCAAGAATGGTTCTGTGTCAACACCTCTGTTCTCGTCTTGACTGTTGTCCGCCCATGCGATGGCTCAACGGACAGGCTGTCAAACACCATCCTCTCACTTCCCACCCTGCTTCACCCCAAACGTCTCCCCCGTCTTCAACCACTCCTCCTCTTCCCCCGTATTCTCCCTCTCCAAACACAAATTCCTATGCGGGAACCTCCCAAACCTCTCCACAATATCCCGATGACTCTTCGAAGCATCCACACCATATTGTAGATCCTCCACAACTTCTTCGTCTCCCTTTTCCTTCGCCTCATTCTGCCAAGCCACAACTTCCGCCAAAGATTCATCTTGCGAAGCCATATCTTCCGAATGTATCAATGGCATTTTGAACCAATGTTTCCGAACAAGACGAGCGTGATACCAAGGACTTCCAAGAGGGTTTTCTGGGGATATTTCCGTAGTAGAAGATTTCTTGAATGAGCGGAAAAGACTCCATGCTAATCTGTCGTAATGTCTATAGACTAATGCCAAATCTGGTGGGGTGCGGAACATGTGGCGGGGCATTTGATCTAGTAAGAGGATCATTGCTAGCAAGGTATCTGCTCCTTCTTTGCCCTGTCCGATTTCTGGTAGAAAAGGCGCAGCGATTTCTTGCGCGTGGTCTAATTCGTGTTTGTAGCCTTGGAATTCTGGTAATTGGAGTTTTGATGGTCCTATGGAATGGACTGCTGGACCGAAGAGTTGGTGGACTTGACGATCGATTTCTTTGAATTCTTCTTCTGTTCGGCCGAGGCCCCACCATCTTCTCCTCGTGGTGGCATTTTGGACTTTGGCGTCTTGCTCTAGACCTTGGAACCAGAAGTCATGGACTGAGGTGTAGAGTGAGGGATTCCAGATTTTGCGATCGAGTTTGAATTGCTGTGGCGGGAGTGCACCTGCCATGGAGGAGTACTTGAGTGCAATAGGTAGCGAGGGTATAGATGGCTTCAGATGTCTCGTGTATGAGCCTACTTTGCGCAGCTGGCCAAGACGCGGTCGTAGCTGATGGAGATGCATAGTTTGAACTCAGAATACCTACAAGTGAAGTCGACGCGTCCAAGGCGCCGGCGCGTCATGACTACTTTTTGGCGCGCCATTTCGTCTAATTCAGGAAGTCTCGTTTCCTCTGCCACGGACTTTAGCTTGCAATGCCCGAGCGAGCGTTTCTAGGTGAAGCAGTTGATTTCTGTCTGCATCCGCGGCATCTTGACATCGTCGTTTGTGTCTTTGCTTGAAGACCACGAGCTTGATGTCATGGCGGCACATGTTGTTGACAGTAGAGGGTACAAGTTACCGCGCGAGGTCCACGCAAGCTCGATGCCAAGACGTCCAGATCCCGTTGCTCGTCATGCATGACAAATGATCAGCCTGTCGAGTGCGGCTTTGTTTCCGCGAGGTCAAACCACCAAGGTCAGTTACACCTTAGCAACACAAGTACAGCAGAGATGGAAGGGAAAACGAGAATTGTGAATGTTTTTGAAGCTTTTTTACTTTTTACATCATCTCATAGCCTCATAACTAGTTACATGAAAAGCATTCCCAGCATTAGGTAGCATCGCTTAACCGAAGAGAGCATCACCAAGACGGATGGAAACAGTCTTGTATTGCACGTAGTTGTCAAGTGCGTTCTCGCCAAGCTCACGGCCGATACCAGACTCCTTGTAACCACCGAATGGAAGCTGGTGGTGGAGAGTGTTGTAGGTGTTGACCCAGACGGTACCTGCCTTGAGGGCGTTGGAGACCTCGATGGCGGTGTTGAGGTTCTTGGTGTGGACAGCGGCGGCGAGACCGTAGGTGGTGCTGTTGCCAATCTTGATGACCTCCTCCTTGGTCTTGAACTTGGAGATGGAGCAGACTGGGCCGAAGATCTCCTCTTGCATGATTTGCATGTCCTCGGTGACGTTGGAGAAGATTGTTGGCTCGATGAAGTAGCCCTTGTCTCCCTTGCGGTTACCGCCAATCTCGACGTTGGCACCGGCGTCCTTGCCAGCCTTGATGTAGCTGTTTGAAAATGTTAGCAATGTTTCAATGATACCGATTCACATTGTACTCACTTCATGATGCGGTCAAACTGCACCTGGGAAACCTGAGGACCTTGGAAGGTGTCTTTGGCGAATGGGTCACCAACGACGTTCTTGGCAGCTCGCTCCTTGAAGCGCTGGATGAACTGGTCGTAGACACCCTCCTGGACGTAGATACGCGAACCGGCACAGCAGCATTGGCCGTGGTTGAAGAAGATACCGAAGTTGACCCACGAGATGGCGTTGTCAATGTCAGCATCGTCGAAGACAATGTTTGGTGACTTGCCACCAAGCTCGAGGGTGACCTTCTTCAAGTTGGAGCCAGCGGCGGCCTTGAGGATTTGTCGGCCAACAACGGTCGAGCCAGTGAAGGCGACCTTGTCGACGTCCATGTGGGAGGCGATAGCCGCACCAGCGACCTTACCGAAACCAGAGATGACGTTGACAACTCCAGGTGGGAAGCCAGCCTCCTTGATGAGGGTAGCGGCAACGAGACCACCAAGAGGTGTCTGCTCAGCAGTCTTCAGGACGACAGTGTTACCGGTGGCAATGGCTGGGCCAATCTTCCATGCCCACATGAGCAATGGGAAGTTCCATGGGATGATTTGTCCGCAAACACCAATTGGCTCCTTCTTGATGTAGTTGAAGGTGTCTGGTGTGGTATCAACAACCTTGCCCTCGATCTTGTCGGCCCAGCCACCATAGTATCGCAGGCAGCCAGCGCACATGCTGATGTCGACCTTAGCCATGGCCTGAGCCTTGCCGTTGTCGAGAGCCTCAACGGAGGCCAAGAGGTCGAGGTTCTTCTCGAACAGGTCGGCGAGCTTGTTCAGGAGCTTGCCACGGTTCTCTGGGGTCTCTTGTCTCCATGGTCCCTCGAATGCCTTGCGAGCGGCGGCGACGGCGATGTCGACATCCTTCTCGGTGGCCTCGTGGACGGAGGTGATGACCTCCTCGGTGGCTGGGTTGATGACCTCGAAGGTCTTACCATCCACACCTTTCACGAACTCATTGTTGATGAAACTGGAGGTCAGGTCAGCTCTCTGTTGCTGTCGCCACCTGCGCAATGCTGTACTTACAGTCCGGTTGGCTGAGTGTACTTGCCAGAAGTTGGCGTCTCGAGCTCGACGGAAAGAGACATGTTGGGCAGTGCTAGTCAAATCGACTGGGTATCTCAATTAAAGAAAAAGTGCTTGATGATTGTTTCCTCGGATCGCACAGCGATGAGTGATAGGAGGAGGAGGAAGGTATGCGTCGAGCACGGCAGAGGGGTTTATAACAGCATCGGCTTCAGCGCTTCGTCGCCTTCCCCCAACGGCGGCGTGCTAAGCTCCGACAATGCGATGTGGGAGGGTAGCTACCAACTCCACTGTACCGCTCCACTTGTCCATGCATTCGCTCACAAGGATCGCTGGAAGGGGCCATGGGCTGTGGAGCGGTGCTCTGTGAATGGCTCTCGGCGACATGGCTGGCTGCGCGTTGCGCGCTGGTAGCGGGGCAATGGAGCTGAAGCGGGGAAAGCTAGAGAGGGCCCTCTGTGGTTACGCTTTCTCTTTACGGTGGCGAGACCAATGCAGTCAATCTAGACCAAAATGCCGTACAGGTACAGATCTGCAGAGGCTCTTGCAGTGCGGTCTCAATTCCAAAACCGCCCATCTGGGTATAAGCAGTAGTGCTGCTGCTGCTGCCCGTTCTCACGAGGCGATCTGCACTGAGAAGACGGCGGCTCCTAGTGCGCGGCATCCCTGCTGAGCCATGACGCTGAGCTCGGTCTGCTTCACAGCGAGCCGTGAGGCCAGTTTGCACAATTCACTCATTGCTAGGACAACGGTCGGAGTGAGATGCGCTTACCATCAAGGTTCGCGCTCCGCGTTGGCCGCAGCTACGCACATGAGGGGCACCACTTCGAGCTTGACTTGGCAGGTCAGCCGCGCAGCAGAATTCGTGACAGACGGCCCCGGGGATAGCTCGAGAAAATTCGGATGGACAGCTGGGCCAAAGGACAGCCAGCCTCCACAGTGTGCGATCGAGGCCGAGCTGCCAGCTTCGCAGATTACAAAACAGAGCAGCCCTGTTCGGCACGACGGCGCCTGGGCTCGTTCCGACTACCTCGATGGAGCTCTTTCCAGGCAATCGATGCAGGGCGCCATTAGTGCACCCGGCTCCTTGGAGGTACTTGGACTTCAGTGACGAACAAGCTTGAAGCTCTCTGGAGAAGCGAAGAGTTGCAAGAGTAAAAGTGAAAGGTCGTAGTCGCAGTCTTATCTTATTCTTCCCGCAGTCTGATCCACCACGACGAAGTCTGCAGCAATCTCCAAACGCCGGGATGTCGTACTTGATACAATTTCAAAACTGAACAACGTCGAAGCAGAGTCGTTACCGCCGTGTGTTTCGGTTCGGTTCGTCCGCGAAAGAGCAGGCAGGCACATATCAGCGCCTAAGGAGTGTCTTTGTAACAATCGTCCTCGCTCGCGATCCATCTTACATCACCTCGTCGACCATCCCAGTATCGGCTCCGTTCGTCGCAGCCGCAGGTGCTGTGCCGTTCGCAGCGGCAGCGCCGGCCTCGCCACTGCCAAAGTAGTCCTGCATTTCTGCATCCAGCTCTTCTGCGGTCTTCGCCTTTGGCTTGCCTGCGCGACCAGACTTGGCCTTCTTCGTCTTCTTCTTATCCGCAGTTGCTCCGTTGGCGCCAGCCTGACCCTTGGCTGCACCGGCCTGCTTCGGCTTGTCCTTCGCGGCGTTCTTGGGCTGCTTGCTGTTCGAGAGGTCAGAAGGTGAAAGGCGGCGCGAAATTGACAAGACTTACGTCACGCGCTCGGAAAGTGGCTTTGGTGCTTGAGGTGCTGGGACGGCCTGAGCACCCATGAGAATCTCGATCTGGAGTTCGTCAGTATGGGATTTGGGAATTGGCACAAGTAGTTGGAGCATACCCTCATCTTCTTGCCGTCAACGACCGTGCCATCGAGTTGCACTGCTTCGGCAGCTGCGGTTGGTTTGCTGAATAGAACAGTTGCTGATCCACGGCTGCGGCCGTTTGGTCCGTAGTTGAGAATGACCTTCTTCACTGGTGCGACCGATTGGCCAAAGTAGTCCTGAACACAAGCCATGTTAGTCGACACCTTGAGCGGAGCGAGCGGCGCCCAACATAGGAGATTCGGTCGTGCGGTGCTCTGGCGGAACGTATACGACCCGGGTGTAAGGCTCCACAAGTCAAGACGGCAGTACTCCACTCAAGAGGGCAAGCAGCAGCTGCTACAGCAGCGATCATGGTCCCTTGTTCATGTTCTCCTGTTGCTGGACCACTCATTCTTCAAGTCCACGGGCGTTGGCTCTCGAGTCTCCACTTTGCCGCTTCTGCAGAGCGTGCGACTTAGTCGCACTGACCGACGTAAGCCGCAAAGCGATCGCGCCTGTCGAGACGTCTGCCCGTCCCCACTAGTTCTGCAACGCCCGAACAATCATGCTGCTTGCCCTCAAAAGTCGTACTGCTGCTGCTGTGTACGTCTGCATCCTACACGTGCGTGCTTGCCAGGCATGCGAGTCGTGGGAATTTTGCGAGACGTTTGAAGGCACTCGATTCTTACGACAACGCGCTGTGCTTCATGAAGCGGGCGGTTGCGGAAAAGAGGCCGTTATGCCAGTCCCATCCTCAAGAAGAGCTGTCCTTATCGCAAACTGAAATGTCCATTTTTCCTTGTAATCGCTGGCGCGCGTCTCATCGGAAGGTGATGGTGCGGCCAAACGTGTACCGTGCAATCGGCGCGGTCAACGTACCTTAATCAGCGTCTCCGTCACATCCGTGGGAAGGTTAGAGACTGAGATTTTGCTGTCTCCCGTGTGGACGGGCACAACGGCCGGGGCCTTCGTTGGCCTCGTGGCCTTGGTCTTCTTTGCGATGCCGCCGGCTGGAGCGACCACCGCTGCGGTTGCGGCTTTCGATTTTNGGCCTTGCGCGCTGGCAGGCGTCCAGCTCGGCCTCCTCGGCGGCTGCCGGCTGGGCGGTCCTTCATGATGGCATCGAGCGATTGATCGAGCTTTCCAGACATGGTGATGGATTTGATATTGGTGTTGGTGAAAGTGCTGACTGTCGAAGTATGTGGAGTGGCGTCGACCGAAGACTGGTAGTGAGCGAGTCGACTGATGAATTAAACGACTCGAATAGCTGAGAAGTAAGCGCGGGCGCGGGCGAAGATGAAGAGTCGCGAAGTGAAGTCAATAAGGCTGTCGCGGTTCGCAAAGGCAAGGTGGCAGAGACTTGCGCGTGGTCGGATGGGGCGACCCGTTGACGATGAGGATAGTGTTGTGGGCGGCTTGCGTTGTCGATGGCAAGAGCGCGTCTGATGATCTTTGACGCGGCGCGGTGCTGACGATGCGTGTGGTTGTGGGTGATGCGCGCGGTGATGTTGGGGATGAGGACAAAGCAGGAGAAGACGAGCGCGCAAGAACAACGAGTCACGGCTGCGGGAGGCTGGGTCGGGAAACTGCCGAGACCCAACGCCACGCTGAGCACGCGTGAATGAGGCCCCTTGTCCGCATGCGTCCCCCGCACACGTTCGACTCAACAAACAACGGTCACTGCCTGCTGTGGTGCCCCAGGCAGCAGTGGTGCTCGCGTCCAGGCCGCCCGGATGTCGTGTTCGATCTAATTGTCATGCTACAAAAGGGCGGCCGTGCTAATTCACCGGGCAGTACGTATCCACGCTGTACGAGACTGTATTGTGCTTGAGCTGGTTCAAGTTTTAGACGTTCTAAGACAAGTCCCGACTATGCACAGCTCCAGTCGAAGAGGGAGCATGGCTGTGAGCATTTCATCGTCATTTTTGGGTAAAGGAAAGAGCCAAAGCTCTGCTCTCGCCGAACGCTTTCCTCGTACGCGACATTCTTGTCTCATCCCAAAGGCCTACATTCACCAAGCGCCGATTCCTAGCAGGACCTATACGAACATCATCCGGCCAACCATTAGACCCGTTCTAACAGCTTCAAGTGCCGCGTTCAACGGATCACTAGTCCAGCTCGGCTGACAACTGATAAGTATTCTTGCCTTCAGCACGCTAGGCCTCAATATAATTCCTCTCTTCGCCAACTGGTCCCGTAAAGCCTCGAGCTTTGTGTCTTCATTCAGCCCTGGCAATTCTCGAAACGCTGTGCGCCAGCTTGCGGCTCTTGTGCAAACCTCAGAAGTGTCGTATCGTAGCTCAGGAACGAGATCAACGTGTTTGGGGTTGAGTGACGTAAGGCGGCGGATACAAATATCGGGATCACTGAACTGTAGCGTTGTGTTTGCGTAGAATATTCCGCTGCACTCGAAGCGTAGTTGGCGGCATGTCGTCAATATTGCTGGCTGCATATGTCCCTCGCGAAGGTGAAAGACTTCACGCTGCTGGCTTTGGAATAGTTCGTGGTAGATTATGTTTCGGAGTTCTGGAGGTAGGATCAGGAAGGGCGACTCCTGCGTACTGATCATCATCGGTAACAGCGATTCTCGTGCAGGTCGTACACAGAGCTCTAGCTGCAGCATGCTTCAGTTGTGCCTACAGCGTCAATAAATGTGCTGTGAATGTGGTGGGTGCTTGTGGATTTTACTTGTCCCCTCTCATATCAATCGAATGATGGTCGCGCAACATCTCCATGTTAGCTTCGAGATGCTACAAAAACAAAGGAAGCTCCAGTGGCTTTCGTACTTATCAGCTAAGTCGGACAATAGATGATTGCGCGTATCGCGGACAGGCGGCTATGACGTGGTTTGCTGTGTGAACAAAGAGCTCATGACAACCGTTAGGAGGATTGTGGCATCGATGAGACCACGTCCTTGGTCAATGCTCGATCTACGATCTTTCCGGTGTGTGTTGCCAACCTCTAACATTTTGGTGCTTCAACGTGTACATGATCATGTGAGCACAAATCTGATCTCTCATCCATAGCTGATACCGGAGCTGCAGCTTGCAGCTGTAGCAAGCTTGACGCCACGAGTAGAGTTGCGCCACAACTGGCTGCCAAGAATCCTGCTGAGACATGGTATGTGACCGAACTGTTCACCATTCAGGGATGATTGCACTCTATGCTCGTTTGATGTCGAATTTGATGTCCTTGATGCTGACCTCCTCGCCAGCCTTCTCGTCGTAATCAAACCATTCTCCTTCTGTCAGGTCGATGGCTGCAAATTTGGTACCGCTTTCGGCACCTGTTGCTTTCCATTCGCCCTGGGAAAGATTAGTAAGTGGAGGGCAATATGGTCTCAGGTAGCATACGTCTGCCTTGAACTCGACAAATTCGAGGCCTCTGCAATCCATGGTAATGATGTTCTTGGGCTTGGGCGGACTTTGTTGCGGATACGTAGAGGGCGAATCGACTATATTGGCTGAATGCTCCCTCTACACAGATATCAGCACAAGCATGGCTGCAAAGTACGATTCGTGGTCAGACCTTGCAGTTCTTGCATTTCCAGACGAAATTCGCCTCGCCTCTACTTCCAGATTGCTCATTTTGCTCCTAATGTTCGGTCAGCAGAGATCGAAGTGGATTGTTCAGATGCTGTCCCACGAATCGGCTGATAGACACCCAATTGGGGTGTATCTCGCGACATGATGTACATTGGACCTTGAACGTGTAGTAGAACGGATTCGTCTCGGTGTCTTCTGGACCGAGGTCGGTGACGCTGGGTTGTGGTCAGCAAAGATTCTTTGCGCGATTGTGCTATTCCTGATACCCTTCCAGTTCGGCCGAGATGGTAAGTGCAAGCATATTGGCGAGATGTTGGTTAGTGAACCATCAATGTGATGCTGTTGAAGACGAGGATCTTCGAGCTAGAGAAAGAGTGTCTTGGCGAGCCGAGTGAACCAGGCAGCTTCGACGGGAACTTTCGACCTTTGCGCTGCTTCTTTCACAAACACGCGAAACAATCACAATTCACTCTTGAGCCGCCTGCCCCACAGCTTTATTGATCGCGCATTAGCTTGGATCGTCATGCTCACCAATAAACGCGTCCAAAAACGTTCGTCGACGCGCCTGAAACGCGTCATTCACCAGAGCTTTGGATAGCAGGGCTGATTGCCGCCGATATGCCGCGAAAACTCCCATGGTTGAAGGACAACGCGAGCGAGAAAGATGCGCCGCAGGAAGCCACGAAGACGAAAGCGAGGCCACGTACAGCTTCACCAAACGAGCTCGTAGGGCCTGACCTGGAAGATCTTCAAGATGAGCCAGCACGACCAGCACGACCGGAGAAGCAAAAGCAGATCGTGCGCGAGCCCTCATCTTCACCCCCACCGGCGCCGAAAGGCCCTCCACCAGTCGAGTACATGAAACCAGGGTACGATGCAGACGACATCTGGATGATGGTCGAAGACGAATTCTACTCTACAGCGCAATTGTACACAGAGCACCTTCACCAGGCCGAGTATGCGCGACTTAAGAAGTTGCGCAGATCGCGTGGGCAGGAAACGCTGGCAACACTGGCGAGGGCGACAGATGGCAGGACTCCTCAAAGTACGGAGCTGCAAGTGAAACGCCAGCAAGAAGAGAATCAGAGAAAGCGAAGGCAGGCTGTGATGGCAGACAGTGACAGTGAAGACGAGGATGAATTCATGAAGGTGCCGCAGCTTGCGAATCTCATGACAGGCTCGCAAGGCGGGACTGGTCCCGCGCAGACCAGATCCACAGATTCGAGGTCAAGGAGGGCGTTAGCGGAAGATGGAGACGAAAGCTCGGATCCGCTGCCGAAGGCAGTGTTGTCCCCTCTCCGTGAGATGGAGGACGAAGACGAGGAGACCGAAAGTGACGACCTCGATGCACCGTTGCGCAAGAAGAAGGTGCCGACTCAGAGCACCATACAGCGTTCTGCAGCTTCAAGCAGTGGGGTCTCGACGTCCTCGCTACCAGCACCTCCTCCCAAAGCAGCACCTTCCAGAGTGTTCAAGCAGTTTGGGAGAGCCAGGCGTGAAGAGCAGGACTACGTGAAGGAGGAGTCGGAACCTCCCTCACTACCTTCTTCGCCGCCTCCGAGACTACCAGCCCCTCTACGAAAGCAGCGCGATGAGAACAATGTTGCTGGGGATGCTTCTCGCTCAAATGGCCGACAAGCACAATCCAGATTTTCCTCGATCAAACAGGAACCACCGACGTCGCCCATCAATGATGACTTCGGCACGGCGTCTGTGAAGATCAAGGAGGAACCCGGGTCACGTCCCTTGACTTCACTAGCCAAGCGCCGTGCGCAGAAAGCAAAAGAGGAGGCCGAAGCTAAGCGCAAGGAACTGGAAGCGAGCATTCCAACCTTTTTGTTCTGAACAAAATGGATGTGAGTCTTGCTGTCTCCCATGAGTGAGTCAAATGCAGGAGAGCTTCATTCTGCGGTATTATCTGGGACGTGCTTGTGGCTACTACAATGTTCCTCCAGTTCTACCACTTCTCGAGCTGTGGTCTGATATCGATCTCATTGGTGAAGGCCCTCTTGCTCTGCGTGTGCAGACTCCAGTAACTTTCGGCAATATCTTCAGCGGCAATCTTGGCCTCTGGTGGTTGATCCTTCAACCACTCCCTTGTCCTTGGAATGTCGATAACGCCATCAATTACTGCGTGAGCGACGTGGACCCCCTTGGGCGCGAATTCCTTTGCAAGTGAAGTAGAAAGGGCCCGCATTGCGAACTTTGCACACGCGAAGCCGGACATCTGCGCATTCGCTTTCACTGAAGCTGTTGCACCAGTAAACACCAGCGTGGGTGGAAAGTTACCACTCTTCACGTTCGATGCAGTGTCAGCTGAAGGGTTGGCCTCAACGTGCTTGAGCAATAGAGGAATGCTGTGCTGTGAAAATACGAATGCTCCTTTGCTGCATGAATTGGTCAGCCTTGATTTCTCGGGTCTGATACGAATTACAAATGTTCTTTCCACTTACACGCTGACCTCGTACCCAGCCATGAAATCTTCCACGCTCAATTCCAGTAATGGCTTCCTCACGAATCGTCCACTGGCATTGTAGATCGCCGCTGCGATTGGAGCACCAGGGAACTCGGATTCGATTTGCTTGAAAGCATTCGCGATGCTAGCATTGTCCCCCAAATCTGTCGAGATTCCGATAGCTTTTCCGCCCGATTTGTTGATCTCGTCCACGTAAGGCTGGAAGTTCTCCGAATTTCGAGCCAGAAGGACTACAGGATATGCTTGAGCGAATCGACGAGCGACTGCCGCTCCAGTACCGGCGCCGACACCTGCTACGATTGCGATTGCTTTGGCGGACATTGTGTTGCAGCTTGTATGTGGTTGTGTCTCTTGTTTAGAGCAGTTGGTAGAGTGAGAGGAGCACGTTGTAGTCCAGAGCGCGAGCTATATGCGATGATCACAAGAAGCACTAAAGCACGTCTTCATGATTACAGAGCAGAGCTTCTGGAGCTCTAGACGTATGAACGCATTGGGGTGGACAACAACCAATAGAGGGGCAGTGTGAGAGCCGAAAAAGTGGAGCTTGCATCAGTAATCCGGACGCTGCTTATACAGCTCATCAGAGCCGAGCGTCAGCGCGAGAGTGTGAGTACCATCTGCTATATATTGGCGCATCTGCCATGCAGAATATGCTTTCATGATCAGTGTGAGAACCTCGGCACCACAAATTTCCTGGCAAGCAGACAACAGAAATCCGAAGCAGGTCGCCGTGGAATACATTGTATCATTTCTTCCATTTCAACAACCTCCGTCTCCATCATGCACTACATCCTACTCCCTAGCCTTACATCGCACTCAATACGACAAATTTTAGATGATCCGCTAATATATGATTCAACACCCAGTTGTACACCTCGCTTTCTCTCCTTCTGCCTCCGCCGTTCGTCCCTCTCTCCTCTATATTACCGAAGCAGGCTCGTTACATCGTCTTGCTTCGTTCTGTTGGTATTACAACAGAAAAATGTTCGGCCGCAGTGACCGTGGTCTTACACTCAGATAGTTTTCCTTTTTGGTTCCGCTCATGATTATCCTCCACTATTCGTCCCATGTCCCATCAATCGTACATCCATCAATGTGAGCAGATTAAGCCCGTGATCGGGAGGGTTGGCTACTGCTATATTCTGTAGTCACCACCGCCTTTGTTTCCCAGCCCGGAATCGTATCGTTGATAGGACCCGTGGTCGTCGCCTTCGCTCAGTTGACTGAAGCTGTCATCTGAGACTTTGCCTTCTGCTCCGCCGCGTATGGTTGTTGAGATGTGGGTTTTGCTGTTGTTGTTTGGAGACATGAGATGTCGCATCTCTACGTGTGATTCATCGTCGAAAGGCGAGGGCCCATTTCCGTTGTTGTTATTACTATTCTTGCTGCTTCGAAAACTGTCGGAGATTTTTCGTGAATGTGCTTTGACGCGGTCGAAAGTGGTGGGGCCGTGGTTGCCGTTCTTAGAAGGCAAGGGTGGAGGTGGTGAGTTTGTCTCGTATTGATTGGCGTAGAGATTGTCGCTCCCGTAAAAGCCAGACACTCTGTTGGCACTCCGAAGCCCGCCTGGGCTGGGAGGCTGACGTGGGTTCGTGCCGAAGCCTGGTGAGGATGGGTGGATCGGCGAAGAACCCGGTGTTGGAGCTGGTCGAGGCTGAGTGAACTGTTCGTACGAAGGAAAGCTGTGTTGGACAGGACGTTCGGCGAATGTACCCGAAGGTGAAGATGCCAGTGGCCGTAGGTTTTGGAACATGCGTTGTGCATCTCGAGCTGACTTTTCGCGGATTTCGGTAGCTCTGTACATGTGAAATCAGCTTCGAAGTTCGTAGAAAACATTAGAGTTGTCATCAGGTCTCGATCAGACCACTGTACGATTAGCAAGTTGGATGTGAAATTAAAAACTTACTCGTCTTCAGTCAGCCCAGCAATATTCACATCCTCTCGTCTAAAATCTGTTGGCACGCCCTGCACACGATCGAACGTCAGCTTTTCTTGCACGCCCAATGCTCTCATTGACGAACGCAAGCTTACAATTTGAATTGACCTCCTCGGACTCTCGTAGTCCTCGTCGTACTCTCCACAGCAAAACATGGCTCTCATCTTCTGTCCAAACGTCAGACCAGCTGGCGGAGGATGATCGAAATGTGCGTCTGCCATCTTCGAGTTTGCACAGTGAGCCGAGAACTGCGATGGTCTTGTAGTTGTCCCTTGACTCGCAATGAGGCTGGTGGCGGTAAAGTTTCGGAAGATGGCTGAGTCGTGGGCTTGCTGTCTGGCTGTCCTCTTCACGGTAGAGACACGCGAGCTCCGGCACACGGGTTCGACAGATCTGCAATGGCGCGTTTCGTGTCAACGGCTTGATGTGTAGAATGTGCAGGACTCGTTCTCGACGCCTTCCAGCGTGAATGATGGTGCCAGCGGGTTGGAGACAAAGGATGGCTAGGCGGACAACGCGACTGAAAGACAGTGCACCATCTATAGCAAGAAGTGTACAAGGAGGTGGTGCGTGAGGACTGAGGCAATAGGTTCTCCGTATCGCAACCAGGAGCGGCGTTCTTTTGACGAGCAGCCCGCGTGGAGTGGAATACAGCGCAGCGTTGGGCCTGTCAGAAAGAAATTACCGACCAAGGCAAGGTCAATCCAACAGCTTGAGCTTGAGCTACGTTCGACAGATTAGCACTCAGAATGCCCTCGCATGGCGTGAGCAGTTGCTGTCAGAGACCAGCGACGCATTGGTACATTCTTCATGTCAGGTCTCCGTGATCCAGCCGGCTGGAATGTGGGATCAGTGGGAAACCAGTCCGCTGGTCATGCTCCGGAGCGGGAGTCCGGCCAGGAACGAAGGAGATCAGGAGCGTTGGAACTTTGAGAGACCTGTCAGCATGAAAGCAGTCGAAAAGTCACGTTGGCGGCGCATGGGCACTGTTTCATCTCGCTTGTTTAGGAAATCGTTGGGGGACAGAGTTTGCGAGTCGCGAGGGGTTATATCACGTCGCTGACCCAGGCCAGGTCAGCTTACAATCCGCAATGTGCTTGTTCATCGCGGTGCTCCACTATCGCATCTTGGTGAGCGATTGTGCAACGTGCCTTGCAGGTCGGACGAACGCGTTGTCTCGCGCCCCCGAGCACAAAAAAGCTTGTCAAGATCTCTGCGTTTCACATTCATCTGCTTCCGGTACCTCTGTCGTGTCTGCGCTCGTGAAACAGAGTGTGGCATGCAAGCACCAACCATGCTCCAAGCTCGCGGTCCCGCCAGGACGGATGCCAGCCGTTCACGGGAGATACCCGTCTGCTGCGTGGCCTGCAGCATTGTGCTGGCGATGCAAGGCAGACTGGATCAGGACGAACGCTCAAATAGCCAATAGTGATCGCATGCCTTGGCCGCGTCGTCCTGAGTTCGCCATGAATTGCGCAAATGATCCACTTCATACCTTGTCACCCAGAGCCGGAAGTACCGGACTTTTGTTTCGCGATGCATCATTAAAACCGTTGATCTTTCCCTACCGTGAATCATGTCGAAGGCGGCATATTGTTCTACAAGCAATATCAGTTCAGGTGTACGACAGCTATGCTTGAGCTGGCTACCTTTTCTGTCGCCGTGCTGCACCGCACTTTCTTCGGGGCGGAGCTGTGTTCGTCGTGGGCATGGCCTGCGCTGGAGATGAAACCGCAGACGCGTAGAACGTTCTTTGATGTAGCTGGGGATTGTGTGTCTCGCAGCATATCACTCAAGTTTCGTCCATTGCCTCGCCATCCATGACCCCAGCAGGCAGTCGACCCTCGTTGAACATCTTCTCCAACTTTTGCACCTCGGCCAGCGTTTTGGCTTTTTGCACCAGCAATTGAAACCTCTTCTTCTCATCTTCAGTGATCACAATCTTCTTTCCGGTGCCGTTCGAGGTGGCCGCGCCACTGCCGAAAGCGCCAGACTTATTCGATCGTTTGGCGATGATGCTCTTCGCCAGATCCGTAGGCTCATCTGTTGTGCTCCCAAATAGCTCTCTCGCCTTTACTCTCTCTGCGTCCTTGACTTTCTGGAAGTCGAGGAATCGAACTTGCGGACAGCGCCATAGCACCCAATACCGGTAGTTCTATCATCTCCAATCAGCTAATGTCCATTGTTCACGTAGTTCTGACCAACCTCTTTGCTCGCCACCGGATTTCCCACCAGACTCAAGTATGTCAACTTCTTGAACCCTTCGAGCGGATCGAGATCGCTCAGCTCATTCAGATTGTTCTGCGTAAGCACCAAAGTGTGGAGATTCGGAACGCTCTTGCTCGTCGACTCGGAAATGCTGCTTATTCGATTCTGCGCGCAGAGGAGAGTCTGTAATCGCGGCGAAAGAGGGAACCCGGCGAGGGATGTGATGGCATTGTCGGTGAAGTCGATGGCTTCTTGGTCTTTGGCGACTCCCAAGTTTTCGATTTGAGGAATCTTGTGGCCTGGATGGCACCTTTTGTATCAACTAGCTCTGTGCATGTGTGTATCTGTCCTTTTCAGGGCATCAATGAGGGAAGTGTTGCCGTACCTCGAAGATCGAGTTCGCGCTCGTTGAGAGGGTTGTTGTACGACAGCGACGATTTGATCAACTCTGCTGTGAGCCGCATCTTGGAGCGTTTGTGCAGATGTGCAACAGGAGAGAGGGCTGCGTCTGCGTCTTCTTCTGCGCGACGGGCAAAGATGTAATGTCCAGGCCAGTTTGGCACGTGAGGGCGAGAGACTGCGCGCAAAAGTGAACTTTGCGACTGCCAAGACACGCGAGTCATGAGTCGTGGCTCCATGTGAAGCTTTGCCCACTTCCATCATCTTCTTCTGAACTTCGAACTCTGAGAAACTCCCACTTTAGGCACAATAACCTTCTACGAGCATCCACCGAACAAACTCAACATGGGTTCCGTCGTAATTCCTCATCTCGTCACCGGCTGGCACGTCGACCAGGCCATCATGTCCGAAGAAGACCGCCTTGTCGTAATCCGCTTCGGTCGCGACTGGGATCCAGACTGCATGCGCCAGGACGAAGTACTCTACAAAATTGCCGACCGCGTCAAAAACTTTGCCGTCATCTACGTCTGCGATCTCGACCAGGTCCCCGACTTCAAGCAAATGTACGAACTCTACGACACCGTCACACTCATGTTCTTCTTCCGGAATAAGCACATGATGTGCGATTTCGGCACGGGTAACAACAACAAATTGAACTGGGTACTGGAAGATAAGCAAGAGTTGATTGACATCATTGAGACGATCTATAAGGGAGCGAAGAAGGGTAGGGGTCTGGTGGTCAGCCCCAAGGACTACTCGACTCGTTACAGGTACTAGTTGAGATGAGCGGAGGAATAGGGCAGACTGCAATGACTGCGGCGTAAGCGGAGCGCGCAGAACCACCACTACGAGACAACGACCTGCGCGACAGCATTCTGCGCTACTGGATAATTCCATTGTGGCACATGGAGTTTTGCGCGGAGCAGCCGGCTTACAGAATCAGTCGCGTATGCACCGGGAAGAAAGGATGACTCAGACTTAACTTGCAGTAGGGCATTGGTACTGGGCGCGTCTGGAACGACACTCACGAGAGACGAAGGAATTGAGTTGCGAGTATCACGAAGTCAAATGGTTGGTCTTCCACAAGCTTAATGCTGTTTATGATCGGTCTCACTAATACGATTTCTCAAGAATGTCACTTCTCTGTAAGTACTGTCGATCTGTGTCTATTGACTGTCAGGGTTGTGATACGTGTCTACGTTGCTTTGGAGCTTCGCCTTGAGGAATACAGTGAGCATCTGCACATCAGGTGTTCTGCCCGGCTTTTCTATCACGGGCCTGCCAGTGGGCAGTAATCGAATGTCGATAGAGCGGCTGGCGAAAACGGTAGGTTGTTTGCAGCACAGATTGCATCGCTAGAACTTCTCTTCTGTCGTTCTACGTAGGCTATTCTCTAACGTCATTCATAACTCATCCTCGAACGTGAAGGTATCGACATCCGGTTTCGGCGTGGAACACCTCGGCGGATCTCCGCCACCATCTATGCCTTTGGGTAGTCCTTGAAATGGTAGCTCTTCAATTTGACAAACTGGTCAAATCCAAACTTGGACAACGTCTGTCCCTTTCCACTGTTCTTCCATCCCACCCAAGCAAGATCAGGGGCAGGGTAGTCAGCACGGTTGACAAAGACGGTACCAGCTTCGATCTCGTTGGCCAGCTCCTGTCCCTTTGCAACATCCTTGGTCCAGACGGAAGCTGTGAGTCCAAATTGGTTATCGGACATGAACTTGACAGCTTCCTCATCAGACTTGACTGCAATGACAGGGATCACAGGTCCGAAAGTCTCGTCTTGGATGACTTGCATGTCTTGCTTGACATTTGTCAACAGTGTAGGAACAACATAGTTGCCGTCTTTGGGTGGGTTCTTGAAGGACTCGTTGTCTGGTGTCTCGTTCTTCGCTCCAGCTTTGATTGCACTATCGATATGTTGTTCAATTCTCTGCTTCGCTGCCTTGCTGACCACAGGTCCCACATGTGTAGCCTTATCTGTTGGGTCGCCCAATTTGTAGTTGGCAAGAACCTTCTTCACTTCTTCGACGAACTTGTCGTGTACGCTTTCGTGCACGTAGACACGCTCTAAGCTGCAGCAGGATTGGCCAGAGTTGAACACTGCTCCATCGACGATCTCATCTGCTGCCCAGGCGAGATCCACGTCTGAGCGAACGTATGCGGGGTCTTTGCCTCCAAGTTCAAGTCCGACGCGGAGGTCCACACGGCCTGCGCCAGCTTTTTGGACAGCGAGACCGCCTTCGACGGAGCCGGTGAAGCAGACAAGTTGGATCTCTGGGGCTTGGACGAGTTTCTCGATCTTCTTGAAGTCGCCGCAGTGGAAGTACTGAATTACGTCCTTGTCGAGGCCAGCTTGGACGAAGAGTTTCTGGACTTGCTCTGCAATTGTTGGAGTCTGCGGCGATGGTTTGAGGATAACACTGTCGCCAGCTAGGAGTGCCGGGACAAGAGAGTTTACAAGCGTCAAGTATGGGTACTGATGAAAGTGAGCAATTGCCAGTTGTTAGTGGTGATTGTGACGGTATACTTACATTCCATGGGAACAGAATAAGGACTGGTCCAAGAGCGACCTTTCGAATGAAACGCTTGAAGCCCTGTTCAGGCTCGCCAGGAGTATCGGAAAGAGCTTCCTCACTAATTTTGAGCAAATACTCGCCACGCTTGACGGCGGTCTGAACTTCCTTGGCAGTGAAAGCAATTGGTCTCCCCATCTGGTCGGTAATCTCTTGAGCGAGCTCATCTTGATTGTCGCTGATAAGTTGCAGTGCCTTCTTGACGATCTGCTGTCGCTCAGCAAGGCTAGTCTTAGAGTACTTCAAGTACGCCTTTTGGGCAGTCTTTGGCAGCTCGGCCAACTCAGCGTCGGTGGGCCCATTGCGCTCTACAACTGGCTTGTTCGTCGTTGGAGAGATGGTCGTGATCTTCTCGGTTGCCATGGCTGTTGTTTGTCTTTCTCGAAATGTGGTTGGGTTCCTGCCGTGCATGTGAAAGTGACTCGCCATCAAATATTGACGCGGCGTTACATCGGTTCCACATGCCGCGTGATGACATCAATCAGGGACGAGCTTCGTCTCTCATCACTTTCTTTGCATCCGAACGAACCGTAGCAGGACGCATCGTCTCATCGTCTCGTCAGCGCTTCGACTCTTTTCCTGTGTCTTGAGACCTGCCATTGACACATTTCGCCCAACTCACCTTCTTTTGCATTTTGGAGCATCAATACCCTTATCGTGATCCCTCCTGGCCCAGCAAAGCTTCAATGCGATAAGCGCCATACTATGCTCTCCATGCAGCGAGCTTTTGCCGGCTCAGCTCGTGCACCGCTGCTGCGATCACAGTTACAGCAAACGACACGAAGGAAGGCCAATGCCTCGATCCCTCCAGCATTAAAGCAGCAGAGACGACCGTTATCCTCTCGAAACGCACAACCACTTCCACGCGCAGTTCGACGCGCCCTGAACCAGCATGCCACGCGACAAGGGCAGCTACGATGGGCCTCGACCACTGAACAAGCCGTTCCACCTGCGGTGAAGCAGCGCGGGCGCCTTGTACGCTGGACGTACAAGGCACTCGCGTCAATTGGCTTCTTCATAATCATGAGTGGAGGTTGCGTAGCAGCCTTCTTCATTTATGATGCCACCACATATGTTGGAGAGGGCGCGCCGACTGAGCTGTCAGTCTCGGAGCTAGCATTGAATCCACGAAGAGGCGGGCCAAAGAATTTGCCAATCGCGGAGTACTTTGTGGATGATGAGGAGAATGAAAAGATGAAAGAGCAGAAACACAAGCCTAAATTGGTCATTCTCGGAACAGGCTGGGGGAGCGTGGCTCTCTTGAAGCAGCTGAATCCAGGTGACTATCATGTCACAGTAGTCTCGCCTTCAAATCACTTCCTGTTCACGCCCATGCTGCCCTCAGCCACTGTTGGTACCTTGGAGCTCAGAAGTTTGGTTGAGCCCGTACGCAAGATTGTCAAGCGCGTCATGGGACACTTCTTGAAAGCTTCTGCTGTGGACGTGGACTTCAGTAATAAACTCCTCGAACTGGAAGCAGATGGGCCAAATGGAAAGGAGCGCTTCTACCTGCCCTATGATAAACTGGTACTTGGAGTGGGCTCAGTGACGAATCCCCACGGCGTGAAGGGTCTCGAGCACTGTCACTTTCTCAAGGATATCAGCGATGCTCGCAAGGTCCGAAACTCAGTCATTGGCAATCTGGAGGCCGCCTCTCTGCCGTCCACTACAGATGAAGAACGACGTAGATTACTCTCTTTTGTCGTGTCTGGAGGTGGCCCAACTGGAGTTGAGTTTGCTGCGGAGCTCTATGATATGCTCAATGAAGATCTCTGCAAGTTCTACCCACGACTACTGCGAAATGAAATCTCGGTGCATGTGATCCAATCTCGAGGCCACATTCTCAATACCTACGACGAAGCGCTGAGCAAATATGCCGAAGAACGACTAGCACACGATAACGTCGATGTCCAAACCAACGCGCGTGTCAAAGAAGTGCAGAAGGACAAAATTCTGTTCACCCAGAAGGATGCCGAGGGCAAAGTGGTGACCAAGGAATTGCCAATGGGTTTCTGTCTCTGGTCGACTGGTGTCTCACAGACGCAACTGGCACAAGATATTGCCAAGAAGTTCGACAACCAAAACAATCGCCACGCGCTGGAAACCGATACGCATCTTCGACTACTCGGTGCACCACTTGGTGACGTCTACGCCATTGGTGACTGCAGTACAGTACAAAACAACGTTTCAGACCACATTGTCACTTTCCTACGCACGCTTGCGTGGGAGAAGGGCAAGGATCCAGAGACAATGAAGATCACGTATCCACAGTGGTGTGAGGTTGCTAAACGAGTTAAGGCGCGCTTCCCGCAGGCAAACGATCATCTCAAACGGCTGGGGAAGCTCTTCGAGCAATACGACAAGGACAAGTCTGGCACACTCGATTTCGGCGAGCTTAGTGAACTTCTGAAGCAAATCGACAGCAAATTGACCTCGCTGCCCGCTACTGCACAGCGCGCCAACCAGCAAGGACAGTATCTCGGACGCAAACTGAACAAAATGGCACAGGGTGCAGAAGGCATGTGGCTCAATGGTGTTGTCGACGGCGATCTTGACGATGCTGTATACAAGCCGTTTGAATACAAGCACATGGGCAGTCTTGCGTATATCGGAAATGCTGCTATCTTCGACTTCAACGGATTGAGCTTCGGCGGTGGTCTACTTGCTGCATATCTGTGGCGTAGCATCTACTTCGCACAAAGCGTGAGTCTGAGGACGCGAATGCTGCTTGCCATGGACTGGAGTAAACGAGCACTTTTTGGAAGAGGTAAGAGACGTCTCTCCGCAATGAAATCTTCACTTGCTGACTTCTTTGGCAGATATGATGAACTACTGAGCGACACAGCAGCCGAAAATAGTGATCACGAGCGAAATGTACAGTTGAATAGATGTCTTACAAAGCGCCGGCGTCCCGGGGTTTCAATTGTACCATGCGAATTTATCAGAGCTCAGCTTCAGAAAGTCTAATGGTGTTGGCACAAGATTGATTCGATGCGAATGCGAGGACCCGCCAAGGATTACCAATACCATTCACGAGCCTTAACATTCTGTTGCCTGAACAGGATTCGTTTTGGTTTGTCAACCCGACCCTTCACTTAACGCCACATTATCTCTTCTTCACGAAAGTCGTTGCTGCTCACGAGCAGGACTTACGGCCGAGTGGACATGTTCTCGATGCCTAGGGGCCATGGAATCCTGTAGCGTCAGGGCTTCTATGACTTGGCTTAGGCAGCGGACTTGGTGCAGAACGTGTGCGGTCCCTTGAGCTTCGGAGACGGAAATTTTGGTATCGAAGCGACCATCTTGGCATAGTCGGGGATGTCTACTGATGTATGAGCATGAACTGGGATTACTGATCCTCAGCATTCATGCTTGATCAGCTGGACGTCCTGTAACGTGGTCTGAAGTGCAAGGCGAAGACATTATATATAAAGACATGAAGCAGGCTTTTGGATAGAGTCAGCACTCAAAAGCTTCAAACACACGCAGGAATCACGCATATCATTATTGACACGCAAAGCTTCTTCGCGTTTATGATCTCAATATGTCGAAGCAGCAGAAAGCAGTTCTAGTCAAGGAGATTGGCAAGCCAGTCGTTCTAGGCGAGAAAGATGTTCCCATTCCAGCTCACGACGAGGTTCTAGTGAGAGTTACAACCACAATGTGTGAGCACAATCTCCTTTGTGCCCACCAAAAGAGGCTTTACATTCTAATTGATGTGTATAGTACTTCCTCACGATGCCTATGGCCGTGACTGGGGACTTTTCATCGAGAACAAGCTTCCAGCAGTGCTCGGCTCCAACATCACAGGTATCATCGAACAAGTCGGCAGCGGTGTAACAGAATTCCGGAAAGGCGATGAGGTCTTTGGTCTCGCAAACCCAGCAGACCTCACCAATGTTCAAGCTGGTCTCCAAACATACAGCACTTTGCCCTCTAGGGCAATAGCCAAGATACCTGAAGGCTTTACTGCAGAACAAGTCGTCACCCTGCCTGTCAATCTTGTGACGTCCTTTCAGGCACTGTTCACGAACAATTCGGGCTTTGGATTCAAACTAGGTGCGCAGGACGGAAACAAAGCTGCAGACCAAACACTCGTGATCATCGGAGCAGGTGCCGTAGTCGGAAAATTCGCCATCCAACTCGCCAAATTCGCTGGTATCGGGACGATCATCGCCATCGCAGGCCTCGACGGCGAAAAAGAATTGAGGAAAATGGGTGCGACGCATGTCGTTGACAGAAGTCTGCCGCAAGAAGCTATTGTGGAACAAGTCCATTCTATCACGGGCAAAGATGACGTAACGAACATTTACGATTGTCGCAGCATGTCATTCGAACTGGCTGCTGATTTGCTTGCGGAAGGCAAAAAGACTCGGCTTGTGACGGTGCATCCGGATAATGAAAATCCTGGTGTTGTGGCTTCGAAGAGACCGGATGCTGAGATGAACTTTATTGAGGGTTCGAGTGAGAATTTGGGGGATTTGGAGAGTGTGTTTTGGAGAGATGTGGGTGGGTGGTTGAAAGATGGTTGGATTTTGCCTGCGAAACTCAGGGTTGTGGAGGGGTTGGAGAAGGTCGATGAGATTAATGCTGCATTGGATGGGTATGCTGCAGGAAAAGGTGGGCCGCAGTTGGTTGTGAAATTGGCATAAGCAGGTAATGCACTTGACATCATGGTCTCTGAAGTTATGTTATAGCATGCGGCTTTCTCATTCTGTCCTTCAATGCTCTGCATGATCTCTGCCAATGCCTATCCAACCAGATCTCCCGTCGCCTCAGGCCAGCCGTGACCCCATACCAAAGCACGATCGCCCCATCGCTGCGGGTGCGGTGCTAGGAAGCGCACTTTCTTCCTCGCCTCGTCTACGTCTGCCGCATACAGGAAGCCCATAACCCCACTGTCTCGAATCGTCTGCTCGTCGGCGCCACCAGAGCAGAATTTGATCGCGAGTAAGCCACCAGTCATAGCAGCCGACGGTACTACTTTCTCGTATGTCGTATTACCAGATGGTTTGTTCGCGTAAGGAATATCGTAATCGTCGCCTTCATCTCCGGCTCCGAAGGCAGGATCCTCAGTGTTGAGCGCTGCTCCAGACCTGACACGATATATGTCCAGATCTGCAAAGGGAATCGTATGCGAGTGAGGATTAAGCGACTCTTTGCTTGACCCGAAGAAGTATTGCCGAAGCGATTGTGTTCGAACCTGTTTCATAAACTCGGTATCTCTTTCCACAGCGCCACCTGGCTTTGTGATCCGCAGTACATGCACGGTCTCGTCCGGGCTCTTGGTGCTAGCAAATCGTCTGCTCATGTCGCTGGATAATCTCTCGGAGCCTATCGTGAGTATCATGTTGATGCTGAACTCCGAAACAACGTGAGCAATCACATCGTAGTTTGATTTCGGGTCATTGAACGAGCCTGGGGTGTCAATGATGATGCCGCTTCGCTTCGCCTCGACATTCTCCTCAAGTCGGTTGGTGACAGATAGTGCCATACGAGTGGTGATGTGCTTGAAGACTTCAGGCTTCTCAGAAGGTGACTGATACGGGAAGTGATAGATGAGCGGGGTGCGCACAGGTGACACTGTTGGACCTGACGATGAACTGATGCCATAGCCATTGTCGATGTCAAGTGAGGAATCCACAGTCACAATTGAGAGACTGCCAGGCGGCGCAAGCAGACCTTCACGAGGATCTAGGTTCACCACTGTTGGTGCATGACCGGTTCTGACAGCCCACGCTGCTAGATTGCGCACGAGACTGCTCTTGCCCACAAAATCTGGTCCCAAAACAAGCACTCGAGGTGCGTCGCTCGAGGTCGGTGCTCGCATCCCTTCCAACATTCCGTGCACGTTCAACCACTCCACAGCGTACTCTGTCTCCTGACCAGCATATTCACTCTCAGCGTTCCCGCTGAGCTCTAATTGACATCCTTGCCAAGTGAAAATTGCGCCTTTGCAACCAGAAAATGTGTACGTCTGCTTTGGAGCCAGTTCTACGCCGAAGAGTTCCGCGTAGCCGCTTTCGAGTTTGACATTGTATTGTTGTTTGAAGCCTACCTCGAATCTCCATTCGTGTAGGGGTTGAAGTGATTCGATCCTTGGAGGCTTCGCTATTGACGCGGTGCTTGCCAGAGGTGTAGCGGAAGCCTGCGGTGGAGCTAGACCGGGTAATGTTAAGCCTGGTAAAGACATGGCATTGGAAGTATTATGTGAGCCGCCAATGGATATCGCTTTCTCGGCGACTTCTGCGTTGGACTTGTCTTGAGGCCAGTCTTGAATCGAGTGTAAGATTCGTGGCTGGGAAGAGGTGGGTTAACCTTCAGAACCAGAACTCCAAGACGCCGATGCTCGAAATATTTGGATGTTGATTGTGGTTATTGCTGTCGCGATCTGTGCTATCATGCGGATGTGGAGGGCGAGGCGGGAGCGGGAAGACGGGATGTCGGGAAGGCTAAGCCGTAATTGACTAGCGCAAGGCAATCGCGACTCCATGTGAAGAGCAATCTTCTGTCACGGCATCCACCTCCACGCCACATTCTGCCTTGTCGGGCATCCATACTGCGCTTCGCCAATATGCACTGGTTGATCTCGAGAAATCACATCTCATGTAAATGCCCAACATGCTCTAGACTTGTTGCATGAAGCTCCGGGCCGGCCAATTGCAGGAACTTGAAGACGGCGATCCAGAACCACATCTACAGCACTGGGTTCTTGCCGGCTGCAAAGAGGGAGGACCATCGCACGCATACAATATGACCGCTTGCATGGTTGAATATCCGCAAGACCTTTTTTTTAGCGAAGCTTGCGATGATGACTGCTATCGACTTTGCTACTGGCCGACAGTCGCGGTCTACACATGTTCTCCCACTTGGCTGCGCAGCGGGAGGCGCCACAGTGCGCATGAGGGTGCAGCTCAAAGCCGGTCACCTTGCATGCAAGTTGCAATGGCCTCGGAGATGGTCAGCATGCGACGATGGCCGACTCTGCTCTGCATTTCGCTCTTGCAGCTTCTCACACAACATCTCCGTAGCGGTCTGACCCTTCGAGGTTTGCCTCCACCGTCCCTCCACAGACACTAGGCGTAAGGCAACTAACAATGCCCACATCTCCTTCGAGCCTTGCCGCAAATTCACCCGAGTCCATGAGAGGATGGTGGTCGGCCTTCCTGGGCACTGTTTGATTCATGGCATAGAAGTCGCTAATGCTCGCACAGGATCTGCTGCTGGTGTAAACACACAATCGATCCGAGCTTGTCACCGGAGCAATGTCCTATCTGTACCCGTCATATCAGATGTGACTGCTGTTATGTTTATTCAACTAGTCGCGATGTGGACGTCGGACTGCAGGCGGAAGGCGTTTCGTCGTTACGAAGGTATGTATATTTACTTGTAATATGCTGGGCAAGCTCTAATTCGAGGTAGTTGCCGCCGTAGCTCCAGCCTGACCTCCTGGGTGGACTCCGGTTATGATTCCCCGCACCGCGATCGACTCTCTTCTTGTGATTCGCCACAAACCACAGACACAGATGCCTTCGACCTCGATGTGGACGCCTCCGTCGATCTTGCACCGATGAAAGGCGGTATAGAAGTGCCTCTTGCAGTTCCTTGCCGTTTGGGCCAAGATTCCCAATACTCGAACCACGTCGAAGCCGCACGACAGCCGTCAAACGAATGCAAGCGCTCGGAGGCGGATGATACAGTCGTGGATGATATGGCGACGCCAGCGGGCTCATCTGAAGATGTGAAGATCGATGGCGTACTATCAGACGATGCGGAACATACATCGACCCCAAGGCCATCCGATGTCAACAATGTGCTGGTACACAATAGCGCTCCGCCTGTGATCGAAGAAGAAGAATTTTGCGACGTGAAGGATCTCTCCTCCGGTCTCGACGATTGCGATGTCATCTTACAGGAGCGACAGGAAAGTCGCAGACGGAGACTGGACGACTGGGTTCTTGCGCAAATAGAACAGCAACGCTCGCCTGTAGGACTCGACTGTGTGGAAGCAGGGCAGGAAAGCCCATCAACAATACTCAATCTGTCGTCAGTCAGCACTGACTCTCCCGTAGTGTTCGCAAGCGCCAGCCTGTATTCCAGGATTCATGCATTCCTCTCCGACACCGCTACAAGTACGATCGAGCTTGACGAACAAGAGGTATTGGCTTCACGAATGCTCGACGGCGCCATTCGTCCTCAGGGTTCTATTATGTCTAATCCTGATGACCAAAACTCTCGTTGCTGCACTAAGGCTGTGAACGGGAGCTCAATAGAATCAGACTTACCAGTTTCGCCATCAGCATGTGGTACAGAAGCAGGAGACGAACCATCGGACTTGTGTTACACGATCGAAACAATCCTTGGCGGAGCGCAAGGAAAAGGAACTGGAACTGATGACTCTTGCTTCATTGTCCAATCACGCAACACCTGCCGCGCGACTACTGCTAATCCAGAAAGTATCACCTCTATCGTCACGAGAACGAGAAATGCTCGCACGGAATCAGTGCGCCAGCATACAACCCTAAGCAGCTCCACGGGCAATAACCATTTTGCCGGTCGCGGCGCTGAGGACCATAGTGAGACCCACCAAAGCCGCGGTAGCAAGAGACCAAGCAGTCGCCAGGATGAAAGGAACGTCTCGTCGAAGCGCATTCAGACTGGCAAAGGTTCATCCGGTGATCCACAAACCAGCGGAGAACCATCGCCGCGACTACCCTGCATCATATGGAATCAAGGATGCCATGGCAAAGACACTCACCTCTCGGATATGCTGTACGTATGCCTTCATAAATTGATTTCAATTTCTGACTTATTCCCAGACGCAAAATCGAGAGCCACGAGATATACATCTGTGGCCGTTGCTACGAAATGTTTCCGAACAAATTCCAGAGACGTGACCACAAAGACGACGAGTGTGAGAGGCAATGTGTGCTTTCGGAGTGCGATCAAAGTCAACTGTCGAGCTCAGACTCAGACTCCATAATTGCGATCAAGCATAAGAGGGACAAGAACTGTCGGTCAAGGGGCAAGGACAGACCGATTCAAAGATGGCGCTATATCTATGCTTTGTGCAATCCGGATTGTAACAACGTGCCCGAGTCCAGTACGTTATTTTCCTTGAGATCAGAGTCACAGCTGACTGGTGTCCAGCAGTCGTTCACGACTTCAAGACCCCACACAACGGAATCATCACGGCCACTTCAAGGCCTGTATTACGGCGGGATGCATGTCCGCCATTGCAAGAGCGAGAAGAGGCACGTCAACTCCTACGAGAAGCGCAAACTGCTCTCGTAGAGAGTCAAGCGAGGGTCAACGCTCTGACAGAACAAGTCGAAAGAGTTCGCAAAGAAAGCAATGCTGATCGACTAGCGGAAAGGGCTGAATATATTCTGGAGAGAGAGCGGGCCGCAAATACTATTGACACACTTCAAGGCCTTCTGCGCTTATGCAGAGAACATGTAACCTCGGAGGAACTCCGCAATTGGATCGACGACAAGTGTCCGCCATGAAAGGGCATGGAGAGGACGAATCCGTTCACGAACGAGAACCCGTCGCGTTATGAACCTGAAGCTACTGGACATTCACTGCAGCTCGGTGGCGAGGCTGCGATATCCACAACAAGTCACCAATCGACATTGCAACACGCACACTGCAATGTGTCAAGAGAAGCTCCGACTGCTGCCATCGATGTTCTCACGCAATTACCGATGGAAAATGGTGTCTTGTTTGACAATGGTACTAGGATGTTCACACATGAATACGCGGGTTCTAATATCAACATCCACTTTCAGCAGTCCTCTGGCATGATTGAATTTTGGAATTGGGATAATATGTGAAGACCCCTATGCAAGAGACTGTTGACGAGTCCACACTGCGAGCGGGAATGAGCTGAAGATTTGTTTCTTGCGAAGAAGGCAGGCACTTTTTGAAGATTGTCATCACGTTGAGGATGTCCACACAATATAATGTCGCAGGCAGTATTTCGAGGGACGGGGGGAAGACGGGGAACTCATGAGCTAGGCTATATTTGGCTAGACTGTGCTGCTGAAGCCACCACCACCACACCACACCTCCTGCAAGACGGGGCCAAGGGCCTCTCCCTTTCTGCATGAACGGCACCCCATCCCGAGCCACACCTCCTGCTCTCTGCAGCCTCCACCTACGTCTTCACTCCGCATCTGTGCTGGCGCCCGCCGCCCTCAAGCCAGCTTGGCCGTGTCGAAACATGCACACCGCCACTTCTTGCGCGTGAATGGGAGCATTGCACGAGGCCGCCATCAAGACTTGCGCCCCTGATTTTGTTCGAATTGGGCCCCAATACCAGCCAGCGAGGTTGGGGCATCGTATTCAGCGCTGCTTGTGGCGCTGCGATACTGCTCCCGGCGGCCATTCGATCCTTCTGTCGCTGCGGATGACGCCTGCGTGGTCTGTCGAGGACACCATTCGAATTTGCCTGATCGCTGGCGTGAGTTACTGCGGCGAGGATCCGTCGATTGTAACTCACCATTGTCAATTGCGGCTGCGTAGGTCCCGTTTCGCTGAGTCTGACTTGTGTAGGTTGTTTGCGACATTTCTGCTACATGAACGATGGCACTCTACGCCACGGTCCAGCTACCGAATTATATGCCATCGGCGACATCCTGATTTACGACGAGCAGATTGACGACAAATGGCTGCAAGTGGAACGAAAGTTGCAAGGTGCGCTCAGAACTCGCACAGAGCCGATGGGAGCGTTCGCGGTAGACATATTACTTCAGGCTGCTTGGGCGCAAGTTGGCGGAAAGGACATTTCGCTGCAATCAACTGCAAAACGAACATCCAGCAAGCTGTGGCAGCGATCGATTGCTCTTTTATGTCGAAAATTTCGTGCGATACTGTCAAGGAAACTTGGGCAAGAGAAGAAGTACTTGCACACAAGTTGCTGACAACTTTCGAAGCAAGCCACGCCCGAGCGTGCAACAGAACGCTAACGCTATGCGGCAAGCGACCTCGACATGCGCCACCACACACAGCTCACATGATTCCACAGCCTGTTGCCAGCTTCGTACACCGCTGGGGAGGGCGTTATTCACAGGCCGCTCAACAGGCAAGAACCAAGTCATGGGCCCCTATCAGGATTGCACAAAAGTCACTTCGTGCGCTGCAGCATTGAGCGGGCTGAAACTGTCAACCAAGCACGACAATGAGCTTCATCAAACGCGAGCTGACCGGCCCAGCTCCTGGAGATTATGTGTCGGACCCGATGAGCCACAGCGCCTGGCATGCGCTTCCGCAGCGGTCCCGTGTCTTAATGGAGCCAGAGGTTCTGCTACCACAACAGCCGATAAATGCTACGAGGCATCCAGCGCACAGTACGGTGGAGAAACGCTGCAGCTACAACTTTCCTGATAGCACTGACGCTGATCGTTGGAACTTCAACTATTGTTGGGGCCCCAGCGACGTCAGTGACTCAGAGAGCATTGCTGGGCGAATCGCCACTAAATCTCCTGGTGTCGAGCGAACGAGTGCGCGCCCTCTGGAATGTGATATTGTCCTACAGACAGCTCAGTCGAGGAATGCAGTGGCCTCGAAAAAGCCGGCAGCAGGCCATATACAGTCCGAACCACTTGCAAGGCAAGACTCGGCAGTGGCGTGCGGGCCATACCTGCACGCTCCTGTCATGCCACATGGCGAAGCCGAATCAAGGGACAAAACTTTTGGAGCAAATCGGCTACCCAAGAATCAAAGTCCGGCGTCAAATTCGGTCAAAAGGCACGCCACGGAGATGTCGCAAGACGTGGTGGATCGACTATTTTCGCCTCGGAAGAACCCACGATGTGATGTCCAGGAAGGCCACAGGCGAGCTTTCTCATTAGATTCGAGACACTTTGCAAAATCTGGCTCCGGACGAGAAATTCCCACTGGCAACACCGATTATAGGAAACTGGCGACAAGTAACTCCTGGCCTCAAAAAGCCGGGTGTGACAACTCGTGGCGCTTTCCTACTATCGATGAAACAGAGACGACCCAACGGATAGCTTCAATCGCGTGTCAACCCCACTTGCGCGCTCATACCGACGCTCAGCACGTATCGCAGATGGCCACGGTCCAGGGCGCACCAGTCCCGTTCGTCATTGGTGCAAAAGCGAGCCCACCTGATTGCCAAGCTTGGATCTTGGACCAGCCTGAACGGTGCAAAGACGAAGACCAAGATGTACCCTTCGACCCGCCGTCGACGTTGTACCTGCCAGATTCTGAGCTAGAATGCCATGAGAGTGGAGAAAGCGACACTCCGTGTAATGGAATTCTGTCCATTCGCGCATATCTCGCAGCCAAAGGATCTGGACCAAAATACACCACCGCGACGTGGGAAGATGCTGCAGACATGTTAGAAGAGCTTGTTCGCTCCGATTTCCCTTCATCAATACGTGGCAGGAGCTTTTACTTGCATCAACTCATTGGTCTCATTCCACCTGCCGCGAAGGAAGCATACCAGGAGGTTGACTTGATCGCAGTCGATTCGTGGCTCTTCCCCTATCTGATTGACGACAATGATGCATTGGAGCTTGACGCTCTGCTAGAAGTCCTGTTGTTGATTTGCATGGGCTTATGTGATCTTGGACTTACGGTATTCCAGCTCGCTTGTTTCATAGCCAGCTTGGTCCGTAGCCTTGCCGCGATCTCGGACAACCTTCGCTTGCCGGATGCCTATACGCATGCCGCGCCCACGCCCTCTTCTTTGTGGTCTTCTGGTAATGGCAGTAATCTACAAGAACATGCTGGGAACAGCAACAACAATGCTTCTTCATCTCAACGCCCTGACGAGGGAGACACTGGCGACCGGGGCACAGGAGGGAAGCCCAATGGGAAGCGCAAATTCTCCGGGGGCCAGGATCGCGGTGATGAGCACTTCGAAGGTAACGAGCCTGGACCAGAAGGCAACGCTGGGGAAGAGTTCGCCGGGAAGCTCAATGTGGAAATCCCGTGTGTCCACGATAGTTGCACAGCGACCTATCAGTATATATCTGGCGTCATGTAAGTGATGTGTCGTCGTGAGTGGAAACCAAGCTGCTGACACTGTGACGGTACAGACGTTGCCTAAAGAAGCATAAGATCAGAGTCTGCCCTAAATGCTGGTGCAAATTCGACGACGATGAATCGCTCCAGAGCCACAGGTACTCCCAGGGGATTGGCACAAAGCAGCAAACGATGACTTCCATCTGCGAAGAAAACTGTGTATCGCTCTGTGATACGAACACGGACATCGAGACTTTGCGCTCAGCAGAAGCTATCAGGAGTCAACGCCATAGACTTGCCAAAGGCTGCCTCAAACAAAAATGCCCGGAGTCACGGGCTGCCCAATGGCGTTATCTTTACGCACTGACGTACCCGAGCTGTGATGATGTGCCAAATCTTGGTCAGTAAAGTCATGACGCTAACGGCCATCCACTGACGATCTTCTCAGTCTTGAAACGCAAAAAGCCGAAGCTGAAGTCGATCGAAGAAGAGCTTGCCCCAACTCATCTCCACTCGTCTCCTAATAGCACCACCGCCTTGCGTGCTTTGCAGCTCGAAATTAGCGCACTGCGACTCGAGCGAGAACACTTCATCGTTCTTCTGAAAATGAGCTCTTCCCTTCTCGCCGGGGATAACAGTGAATTCGCGATGATTTTGAAGAGGAGCATCGATGAGAAAGTGTCCGGCCACGCAGGGAGCAATGAAACTCGTCAGATTCACGGCAATGACGAATTCGCTGCGCATTTGCCAGCAATGCCCCTGACGCCCTCGTCCTACGTTCCCCATGGTCTACAACCCTCTGGGGGCACCGGGACATCTGACCCATTTCCGACTCAGAATATCCAGAGTACAGCCTCGTCGTCCGCATTTAACCGACGCCCGCTTACCGGATCATCAATGTTGGAAAGCCAGCCTGTCCAACGAATGCAAGCTGCGGCTGCGCGCTACCAGCAGCAAGTTGCGCCTCCAATCTATGGATCACAGGGCGTTCAAGTTGCTATGCATCCGCCACAACCACAACTATTCGGCGGGTGGCTCCCGTCTTCAAATCTCACGAATTACGACGCACGACAATTTGGCAGCAACGAGCAAGGACTCACCGGCTATACGCAACCGTGGGGACAGATGCCGTCCCAGAACCGCATTGAGCATATGGCTTATGATCGTCCGCAACCCGATCATAGAAGCCAACAGCAGCTCAACTTTGATATGGATGCGCAGCATGGCATAAATATGCACTCCTATCCTCGTAGCGAACCCTTCAACTCTGGCCCTTCACCACTCGGGCACAGTAATCAACAGGCACGAGTCCTCGACATGGGCGCGCAGCAAGGAGTTCAAACGCAGCCGTTGAACCTGAACAACTATCCTCCATTCGATGGGCCCGGCCAGACCCTTCCAGAAAATCAGCAGCTCCCTTACAGTTGAAACTCCATTGAGGCGCACACTATCCTTCGCGCATTGGGAAGCTCGAAACTTTGTCCGTTTGCGATGTTCGCTTTGGCGGCCCATAGATTAGAAGATAGAACTATAGCACGAGATACGCACCATGTCTAGAGGAAGGTATTCCTTTAATCTGGTTTGGCTCTATTTCATGGACCGGTCTATCGTTCGCCTTACAGCGGCTAGAGAATCCCCGTTTCTGTAGTAGTTGTACCCGCAAAGGAGCATCTGTGTGTTAGCTAAATCCGGCAGGGACCTGATGGTAACTCTCTTGATGGTAACTCTGACCATGGCTACATCGCACAGTCTATGATTCCGGCCCGTGTGTGAGAGGAAAGTAGACCTCAGAAACATTGGAAGTCGTATTGCAAGACCATGAACAACGACAACTCACTTTCACATCGACATGCTAGCTTTCCCGCTCAACGTCAACCAGTTGCAGGCTCGGATGCGCAGCGTCATTGGTATGATGCATGGTCAATATCTGACAAGAAACTAGCAATCCTCTCATTACACTAAGATATTCAGACAGATCTCTCTCTCCTCAGGAAACCTCGCTATTCATACAGTGCAGTTCAGCCGCGTAATTTCAAGGTATCTCGCATTGGAATTCAATGCCTTGATCTGCGTCGGATATTGGAGCGACAGAATGTGCCTATTTGTGTATCAGCCCGAGTAGCATAGTGTCGATGGACCTCACGATACGTACTGCGGTGGGGAACTTGAGCGAGCAACAGCGTAGGTTGGACTCCTCGGCGCATAGTCCATCTGCAGGGATTTGGTAACCTGTAAATCGTTATTATGGTCATGCGACTTTGAGATATTGAGTCAGAGTACGCACAATATTGTTGATCACTATCTGAGTTACTGATGCAGCAAAATGGGAGTCTCGAGCCTAAGCAAGACTCCGAATCTGTTTGCCTTCTGAGGTTTTGGCTAGCAAGGCCGAGCATGGCTAGATTTGCCATTAAAATGTAGGTGGTAAACATGGTTCAAAGTAGCGAGTGGAGAGAAGCGAGGACAGATGCAATGAGGTCAGAAAGGAAGCCAGTCCAATGGTATACTTCAGAAGCAACTTTATGGAGAGTCTGATATGCACGGATTTCCTAGCAGTGACCACTTTCGGAAGGTCGGATGTACGCGGCCGTTAGATCTGTGTCCTCAATGCCTGGTCCAGACAAACGCATCACACCTGCACACTCCGAATTTGTGAACTGAGATGCAGATCATAATGATACAGTTTCTGTGGTAGACTGGAAGTTTATCTTCATCAAAAGAATCCCTGTATTTCCGAGTTGGGCAATTCTGGTTGTGGTACGTATGAACCAATTGGAAAGCATTGTCCACGGCAATCTCCTCAAAAGTAGTATATGTTCAGGCTTCATGACCACATTCATTCATGTCATACCTTCACTTCCCTCGTTACGACTCGCCAACTCGAAAAATTTCATTCAATATGCGTTTCCTCCAAGCCACTGTCATTGCTTTCGCTGCGTTCATTGCATCGTCTGCTGCTCTCAAAGGCATCGTCAAATCATGGGACGACGAGAAGGGAATCGGCTACATCACACCGGATGATGGATCTCCAGATGTCTACTTCTATCGATCGGAAGTCGACGTAAGTTGAAGCAGACCTAGATCGCTCATCAGGGATGAACTTGAAGGAGCTCAGCTGATGTGCGACTCTAGCCTGAGGATCTAGCATTATTGGAAGAGGGCAAAGAAGTCGACTTTGATTTAAAGAGTGGGCCAAAAAGGCAGAAGACGGTCAATGGTGTTCCACAATTGGGATAAGGTAGTGATCACACATCTCTACACCTGGGGGATCGATTACAAGCACATTGCTCGACTTGTACATGATAGGATCCGAATGCAGAATGTTACGATGGCAGGGGTCTTCCAGAGGGGCCGGGGTGACTGTGATTGGGAAGTTGTGCAACCAAGAGGGCAATGCGATGCTGCTGACTGTATGCAATCGATGCATGAGCATGCAGGACCAGCTCTTCCAACAGTCTGTGGCAGAGTGTAAGCTGCAGCTACAGCAGCCACTACTGGAATATGCAGTATTCCCCGGTGGTACCGGAGCTCAACGTTCCTCATAGCTGTTCGTGTATTTGCCAAATATGGCGATTTTTGTGCTGCGCGTGATGCAGCCGGACCAAGCTTCTAAAGGTAGATCAATGGTCACCTTGCATATATACATAGACCCAGCTCATTCTCCATCTCCATCCTTTTTGAAACGCTCCCAGAATCTCTTCATCACAATTCTACTTAGACCGCAGCCGCCGGGTGCATCCAGCAAACGAGTAACATCACTCGCTCCGTTTGTCATGTCCACTACAACAAAGACAGGGACGGTGAAATGGTACGAGGACGCTAAAGGTTTCGGCTTCATCACTCCAGACGATGGATCGAAAGATGTCTTCGTGCATTTTAGAGACATCCAGGTAGGTTGCTAATTCGTCAAAGCGCGAGAAGGGTAAATGAGCGTGGCTGACGAGCAATGCCAGGGTAATGGTTTCAAAAGTCTGGCAGAAGGCCAAAAGGTTGAATACACATTTATCGAGGGAACGAAAGGACCGCAGGCACAGAATGTTGTCCCTAAGTAGCTGAGTTGCGTCGCGCAACGCACGTGGTCGGGTCGACGAAAGGCTCGATGCATTTGCAGCACCAGCTAGAACAAACAACCAACATCTCATAAACTATCTGTCAAACGCTATTCACACAGCTTACAATCTCTAGCACTCGAACCTAAAACCACACTGGGAAAACCCAAAGCACAGAGGGGGGTATAGGCGCTGAAAACGTTTGCAAGAACCAACACAAAACGCCATTGCCATGATAGTACCCGCAATCTCATCGCCCAGCCAGCAGTATTCCGGCACATTCATCTCCGAACGCCATCTCGCCATGCATAACAAATTGAAATCCCATGCAATCTCTTTCTTATCGTCCCATTCTACGACTCCTCCACGGCCTCGGCCATGACACTCTCTCCTTCGTCCAACACACCCATTACAGTCTTCAAATTCTTCAACATTTCCTCCGCATGCGCGACAAGCAGGAGTTTCTCTGCATTGGCAGGAAGACCCAAGTAAGTGGGTGGCTCGCGTTCCGGTAATTCCTTGACCCACTGGAGCATGTCGGTCTTCGCTGAGCCACTTGGCAAAGGCATGCCGACATTTTGGTCTTCCGCGACTTCGCCGATCAAGTTGAAGCCCTCTTCGAATGCATCGGCAGTCAGTGTTTTCGTGACCAAGCCCTTCAATTGCGCCATATCGCCAGCATCGTCAATCTTGCCACCATACATTTCTGAAATCAGCGCGCGAAGCATGTCCCATGGTATGCTCTTCGGTGCGATGTTGCTGCGACCACGAGCGATGTTGTCTGTCCACCACTGGATGATGAAAGCCGAGCAGTCGAAATCTGCATCGTTGAACTCCCAGAATCCCTTCCAGCCGAGACGTGGGGCGTAGCGCAGACGCTCTTGTGCGACAGCGTGCAAGAATGCAAGCAAGAAGTGCACACGAGCCTTCTCAACGGGCTGCTGAACTGCCTTGTCTGGCAGAGACGTCAACGTGTCTCTCATATTGGCTCGAATACCAGCAGGCTGTTCGTACATCAAGACACGCGAAGCGCGGAGTAAGCTTGATGGAATCTTGGGGCTCGTTTCCATCGACAAGAAGAGACGGAAGTCCTTGTTTGGCTTGAGTGAGTCGATGCGCTTGACCAGATTTTGTAGCCACTCGGTCGCCAAGTGAACGTTCTTGATCAGGACCCAAGAACCATTGGCCGCGGCACCAGCCAGTGCAGCGTCGGCGCTTGAAACACCTTCTTGAGAACCCATGGCAACGCTTGTACAGCTGGCATTCTGTCGCTCAACAAGCTGATCGACCTTGTAACTTGCGTCGAATCCAGGAGTCGAGCAGAGAGCGATGGGTGAGCTGGCAGTCTGGCTATCGACAATCCTGCCAAGGTTTTCTGCAACGTCGAGGAAGTCTTGTCCGAATACGACGTTGACGAAGCGTTCTGTTGCAGGCACCAGTCGATCCATGCGGAACAGCTTGACGAGCAGCAGCTCCTTGAGCGCCTTATCACTGTCGTTTCCACTGCCAGCAGCAACACCTGGCACGCAGGTCTCGGCTTGCTCGATAGTGAAGAATTTCTCCCATTCTGGTGAGGCTAGATCCGCAACCAAATCCTTGACGCTCTTGATGCGAGATGCCGTAGCGACGGCCTTGTCTTTGTGCGCAGAGTCTGACGTGACGTCTCCGCCGATAATTGTCTCGTCCAGGACCAAGTCGATCAAGCTCTTGTCCATGGGGAAAGGAGCAGCTTGGGCCAACAGAACAGCAAAGGTCAATCTGTCCTTCTGCAGCAACGAAGCTGATGTCTCGTTGTATGTCTTGCCAAAGAGCGAACGCACGATGGTATCAATGCGTCTCTTCGGATCCCGCTCGGAAGACTCTCGTGCGGTACGCAATACAGACTCGAAGATGTCCACAAAGTATTGCAGCGAGAACTGGTAGAAGTGGTGCACATGATACAGCTGTTCCAGCACCGCAAAGATTGCCGAACAAGATCGTGCGATGATGTCGTAAGTGTTCATAATGGTATTGACCTCGTTCATGACACCTTCAGTTTCGGAAGCCTTGGCTGTGATCTCCGCGGCTTCGTTCTTGAGTTTCTCGAGCGTGTTGATGACATTTTCGTCGTCGAGAATGTTGCCTTGAGACTCGTTGAGCGCCTGTAACAACATACGTTCCAATCTCCGCAGGCGCTGTGTGAACTCGCCCTGCATCTTGACCAGGTTGGATCGTCTCTCGTCGACGTCTGGTCGCTCTGACTTCAGGACATCATTAAGCGTCTGAGTCTTCAAGCTGCTCTGTGTGACCGTGAAGTTGACGAAAGTGGCTCTGCTACAGATGTCTGGCGCAAATGCTGCCGAAGGATCCTTAGTCGAAAGGTACAGCTTGAAAGCAGGCGAGAAATCGATTTCTTGCTTCCCAAGCTGTATGAGAACACGACCACCGGTGCGCTGGTACTCTTTGTTAAGCACGTGGTTGAGGATTGGATCAATGTGTTCCGCATCTTGGATCAGGATAGGGTTTCCGAAACGTAAAGCACTCTCAAGCTGCTTCACGAATGAGCCGTCCAAGAAACTGGTCACAGTGAGCCGGCGATCCTTGGTCTCGTTTTGCAAGAATTCGGTAACACGGCCAGATGGATCGATGATGAGTGGATAGCGGTTATACCTCTTCAGCATGATTGCGTTTTCCGTGCAGAGTTCGTCCACGGGCAAGGCATTCTCGTGCCATTGTTGCCTCTCGTCTGCTGTGGAAAGGTATTCCGAAATGGCATTCTGTGGCTTGAAAGATATGCCAGATGCTGACAGCTGAAGAGACCAGTCTTCCAGCATAGCGCGACGATACTGCTGATCATATAGACCAGCGTATGCCAGGAACGCCGATGCCAAGAAGACATCGCCAATAATGGTCTCCATCTGCACTTGGAAAGTCTTACTGCTCTCCTCCCAACGTCCACGCTCAGAGGACAGGCTGTTGAGCAAACGCATGCTGCGATCGACCTTGGATTGGACGCGACTCATCTCGGCCTTGATAGCCTCGGTCTGGCTGATGAGCGAAGCGTACTCTGTCTTGTAAGTAGCGATGCTCTTCTCAAGCTCCTCAAGGGTGTTCATGATCGTCTTTGCCTCAGCCTTCGTTTGTAGGGCCGCTTCCTGGAGCTGATCGACTTCCTCACGCAGTGGTCCAACTCTGTCCAGGATAGAAGAGTAGTTGACCTGTGCCTCTACCCACTGTACAAGAGGACCACAAGCCTTGGATGCGCGATTGACACGCTCAAATGTGAAGTCATCCTTGGACAAGTACTCAGCCTCCATCTTGTTTCTCAAGGCTGGCGTCATCTGTCGTTCGTTGTCATAGCCGACAATGCTTGCGATAAAGTCATCTCTCCTCACAATGCTAACAATCGTCTTCCAGTCTGTGACCTTGTGACCAAGAAGAGAGCACACAGACTCCAAAGCAAGCTTGACACCAGAAGGAGGATTCTGCATAGACCTCACTTCTGTCAGATGTTGACGCTTGATGTTGCTGACACTGCGCTGTGCTTCTTCCACAGCGGGTTCAGCCTTGGCCAGATCGCTAAGCACAACTTCTCTTCTCTTCGCCACTTCCTCCTCTTGCTTCTCAAGTGCAGCCTGAATCTCAAGCGATGCAGATCTTCTCTGTTCGGCTTCCCGCTGATCGGCCACCATACGTTGAAGTTTTTCGCTGGCTTCTGTATCTTTCTTCTCAAGTTCAGTCTTCTTCTCAGCCAAGCTCTTCTTCAGCTCCGAAACCTTCTCCACTGTCTCACGAAGCTTGTCCAGACCGACATTCAAATGGCGCTGTTGCTCTTCGAGATCGTCTCGCTTCTCATTGAAGAGCTTCACGAATTGTGCAACGAAGTCCAAGAACTGACGTGGTGTCAAGAAGGTCTGCTTGTTCTGCTGGCGCTTGAGACGGTCGTTGAATGATCGCAGCGAGTGATGCACGTGAACCATGCCATTGACAACTGCATCGCGATGAGACAGTGGCATCTCCAGTTGGTCGAAAGCGATTGGCAAACTGTCAGGACATGCGAAATTACCCTTGTCGATGTCCACGGACTGCGTGAGTTCGTATGCAACCTGATACAATGCCTGATCAGACCAGTCGCCGAACCAGTTAAGCACGCAACGATTGAACAAGGCAGGGCTGGTTGCAGCTTTAGATCCCAATCCCTCGGAAGGTGGGTTCATGGTGAACACAACATGAAGGTTGCGAACAATTTGTTGAGTGAACCACTTGTACAGCTCTTCCTGGGAGTCGAGCAATAGACCTTGTCGTTGGGCGCCTTCCTTGCAAGCAGTCATGAGCGTTGCGTACTCATCTCCCTCGAAGAGGCCGGGCACTTCACCGTTGGCGAGCAGAGTGTTCATGCGCTCCAAGAAACCGGAGTCCAGGACGTTCGACTCGTCCATGATGAAGCAGATTTTCTCACCCTTGGTACCGCATCGACGAAGCACAACGCGCAAGTCCTCGTCAAAGTCCTCGGCGGAGTATCTGCCATGAACCTTGATCTGGAACACGGACAAGCCATTCATCCAAGCGACAAATCGAGACAGCGTAGTCTTGCCACTACCACTGACACCGATCAAGATGAGATGTCCTTGCGGTTGTCTGAAGACACGATCGATGCGCAGGACGTGCTCTAGCACATCGTTGAAGAGGATCAGCGGCACGTCGAGCTCTTCTTCGCAGAAGGTCCTCAGTCGAGCCTTGACGAAGTCGCGCAACTGATCACGTGCCACTGGAACATAGTTCTTCGACAGCCAGTTCGAGAACAAGATTGGTCGCTGCAAAGCAGTCTCCTCGTCCAAGTTGGGGAAGTGTTCGAGAGCCACGCGGTTCACCGTCTCTTCAGTCCACTGTCTCTCATCATAGGCGATAAGTCGATCGGAGAACAGGCGCAATGCTTCGTGCGCCCAGATGCGCACGAGTCCCTCGAGCGAGAGTGTCTCTAGTGGTCGTATGGCCTCGTACACAGCCCTGACCCACCTCGTAAGTTCACGAGGCGAGTAGACATAATGCGGCTGGATCTCCGGCGTGAAACGCTTCTGAGAAAGCAGATACACCTGGATCATGGCTTGCGTCAAAGCATTGGCATAGCCTCGCAGTGTTGGGATAATCTTGAGAACAGCCGTGTTGAAAGTGCCGTAAATCTGCTTGAGTGACAACTCTCCAGGGTAATCGACCATTACTAACGGTGCATGTCTCAAGAACCGTAGGCCTAGTGGAGTACGTCCAGCATCGGTTGGAGGATTGCAAGCACCCACAAATTGGATACGCTCAAGGCTGACCCAGCTCTTGGTGGAAGTGCGCCAGAAACCGCCATGCTCGACGAGTTGTCTGAGGAAGGAGATGACACGCTGAGTGCCATATTTGTCAGGAGCAGGCAAGTTGATCTCATCGCAGAACACCACAAGCCAGCGACCAATTTGCCGAGGAGCCATGGTGACACCGCTGAGTGATTTCTTGTAGTCGCAATATTGCTCCAGCGTCTTGACGAGCAGATCTGGTGTGGTTGCACTGGAAAAGTTGAGGCCGACTGTCTCCATGTTTGGCAACTTGCGAAGTGCGCTGAACAGCGTCATCGTCTTACCAGAACCAGGTGGACCGCAGAGCAGAAGAGGCTTATGCTCGGCCAGGAATGAATAAAGTACGTCCTCGTGTCTGACAGTGTCCAGTGTGGGAATCACGAGATCAGTCTGAGTGACGGAGTGCGTGTTGACCTCGATAGTTGGCACCTGGTTCTGCCATGACGTCCACGTAGCCTCGGGCAGGGAGACATCGAAGTCGATGAGGGAAGACGAGTCGGTCAGCAGTGGCATATCCAGTGTAGCCAATCCAGCGAGATAGTCGCCGAAAGCTTTGCGCTCGAGAAGCGGGCAGTCACCAGTGAACGACCAGACTGCAGCAAGAAGAACTTTCTTCGCCAGATAACCCTCGATCTGATCGTCGTTGAGGGGAAAGTCAGTGTGCTGGATGTTGTATTCCAGCACTGATCGGCAGGCCTTTCGTAGTAGTGAGAAAAGCGTGCCAATGGCACGAATGGAAGTGAATTCCATGATGTGCTTCATACTCGCGCAGTGCTCAAGACTCTTCTTCACAAAATCGTTCTCGGTCAATCGCCTGTTGAGAATCTCGGCCATCAAGTTCTGCACGGTAAGTCTTGCTTCCGTCGATGTGGGAGTGCCAGTGTCTTCCTCCAAGTCCTCGAACGTAGCAGTACGAAGCTGGGCGATGTATCGCGAAAGCATGACATCGATGTCAACAGTATCGTCGCTGAACCATACCATACCGCAACGAGACACTGTCGCAAGAGTGGCGTATCGAAGAGTCTCTACTTCGAACATGACGCGCACGTTCGAGGGCAGGCCAAGACGCTCACCATTTGGCAGCGTCAGCAGCTTGTTGTCGTCCAGCACGGAGTTCAAGTTCTCAACCCACTCAGGGTCGACGTCACCGTCGAACACGATCCAGTGGCGCTTTGTGTCCTCTCCACGAAGATTGTCAACAACCTTTCGGAGAATGCTTGTGAACAGACCATCCGTCCATTCGCGAGTGGTGCTGTCGAGACTGCCGTACAAGCTCTCTTTGGACATGACTTTGGGATCGATGACATGGCATACTCCTTCAATGCCATCGACTTTTTGTAGGGCGGCGAGCAAGGTCTGCCAAGCGGTCGACTTTCCTGTGCCGGAGTTTCCTACCATCATGACACCATGGTGCAGGCTTTGGATCTGGTACAGCTGAAGAACCTTTGTGAGCCACGAGTCTGTCGCAACGAGCTTGCGCTCTTCCACAACCTCTTCAAGAGCCTTGCGCAGTTTCTCCAAAGGCGCCGGAACATATCTGACGCCCGGAAACGCATCTTCTTCGATCTCTTGCATGCGCAATGCGTCGTCTCGTACCAGTTTGGGTGCAATAGTCTCGCGAATGCTTTGTACGATGATCTGTGGCTCAACCACCACATCAGCGTCTGCGTCTGAGCCGCTGGCCAGTCTAGATCGCTTCAGACCACCAGAACTGACGAGCACACTCTTGAGTGCACGAAGTCCAAAATCGTAGTGCGGCTGTTTAGACAATCCGGCGCTGCACTTGTCGAAAAAGGGCACAGTCTGCCTGGATAGCGTCTTTGCTTCTGAGAAACCTTGCGAGAACAGCATGACTTCAGCAATGATCTCTTTGTCAGGCTTCGACATCGCAACGCTGCGGAACAGTTTCTTCAGATTGTCTGGCAAGTTCGAACGTCCAGCATAGCCAGGATTCATGGTGATGAACAGACCGGTGAGTAGATGGACCTTGAGCTGGCGACCAATGAGCTCGATTTGAGCATTGTCATCGAGCGCACGCTTGCGCAGGCCGACTTGAATGTTCTGGATCTGCTGTGAGACCGCAGACAAGATGCGTTCCTCCAGTCGATTGAACTCATCGAAACAACCCCACGCGCCGACTTGCGAGAGACCAAGAAAGATACGACCCATGGCCTGGAAATCAAAGGTGTCGTCACAATTGAAGACGAGCGTGAAACGTCCGAGCTGTACACCAAGTGCTTTCACAGATTCTGTCTTACCCGTTCCAGCTGGACCGTATGGCGAACCACCTAATCGTTGGCATAGAGCTTGACTCAGCGTCAGGAAACAGCGATCTGTAAGTGGTGTTCGGACAAGTCTTTCGGGTACGCCAAGGTATTCGAATCCGTAGGCGAGGGTAGCATTCGCGACCTGAACCTGCATACGCTCAAGAGGCGGTGCGCTCGCAGTGAACTCGTAGCGCATTTGAAGGAGCCACAAGTAGTGACCTGGCGAATCCGCTCCACCCTCAATCAGCTGCTCGATCTTGTCTCGTTGGTGGACAAATTCAGTAATCAGCTGCTCGCACTTCTTGCGGTGCACTGGCGTAAGCTCTTTCAAGACGATGGTAGCCAGGAACTTCAGCTTGCTGACTTGCGTCTCGAAGAGTTTCTGCAAGGGTGCACCTCCTTGTCCAAGAGCGGCCTCGACTTGTGCGGTCCAATGAGCCTGTGTTGCTAATACACCAATTTGGGCTGGGTACTTCTCAATGAAAGCCTCGAAAGCAGGGTTGTCGTGTTCATCGAGACCTTCGTATTCGGCGACAGCTTCTACGAGCAAGTCTGACAGCGTTTCGCGCATGCCAGTCTCCAGTGCTCGTAGCCAGTCGTTGATCTTAGGCGTTTGTATCAGGTTGATGGGCGTCTTGAAAAGAACCTCTTCGCCTTCTCGGGATTGGAGTCCAAGTATGTTTGACTCGTCGTCCAGCAAGAGCCCATTGATGCCAGCAAACATCTTTCGCAAGTGCTTGGCAACACGGACCGTATCATTGCTGTTGCCAATGATCTCAAGCAGGTCTTCGTCACCAACGAAGTAGAATCGTGGGAAAGCTACACGCTCTTTTTCAAGGTACTCGCCGAGTGCTTTCTGGATCTTGTTGAGCAAATCAGCCAATCTCTCAAGGGATTTCTGAACGTCCGGAATGTTCAGCACTTCAAGCACCAAAGGCGACCGGTACACTTTCTTGAGCACGGTCATGAATTCGCTGTTGATGTTCGCAAAACGAGATGATTCCACAGGGAGCAAGTGCTTGATGTCAGCGTTGCCAGTGAACACGCCTTCGAGGTAGACCCATTGACGCTGCACATCGATCCAAACATCGAACAGCACGTGGATGCGGTTCAACTTGTCTTCCCACGATGAAGCTTCTTCCTCAAACTCCTTGTAGTATGGTGAATGACGCATAGCCTGGAGAGAGTTGAGGTGGTCGCTGCACTTAGCGAACAAGTCGTCCCAGCCACGAATGAGGCGGCACTTGTTCTGGTAGTTGACCAGATCCAGAGAATAGTTCTGCCATTGCTCTCGTACGCCACGAACAAACTCTTCGAGCGCCATCTCGCCCTGCGCTTGTGCGATTACATCTCGAATGACAGCCTCGCTGGGCCCAAGTTGAAGGTCCCAGACATCACCAAGGGTCATGGAAAGAGCCGAGTACCGCTTGGATGGAGCGAGAGATTTGAAGATCTTGGTCCAGTGCCTCTCGCGAACAGCGTCAGATCGCATCTCCGTAAGCAGTGGATTCACTTTGAGCAGCTGTCTCAGATGCTGCTGTAAGTGCTCGAATGCTGCGTATGAGCGCATTCTGCTGGGCATTTCTTTCGTAGTCTTGATGAGGTTGTCAATGCTCTGTCTGAGCTTGCGAGGCTGAATGCTATTCCACGGCTGATCTCGTAGCTCGTTCAGCTGATCCCAGACGACTGTCAAGTTCGCCCATACTGACTTGTAGTCTTGGACCTCAGCCAACAGATCAGCAAGCATGTTGTCTGGACTTGCTGGCAGCTCAAGCGCCTCCTTCGCTTTGGCCACCATGTCGTGCTGCTCCTGAAGCTGAGTCAGCTCCTTGTCGAACGTCTCTAGGCTTGCAACAGCCTCTGCTGGAGGCGTGGACCCAGACTCCGGGCGCTGTTCTTGCCATTTCTCGGTCATCTCAGCGATGCGGCGCGCGACAACACCGTCCTCGGCAATGATCTTGGTACGCAACCCCTCCGTGTGATCCGCAATTTGTCTGCTCTTTTTCTCAAGCACTTCGATAAGCGCTGTCCACTCGTGATCGACTTGCTCGACGTAGAGCCAGTCCTTAGGGTACTGGAAGCGCAAGCGCAGCAACGTCTGTTGGCCTTGTCTGAAGGTGTCCATTTCAGGTTCCCAGACTTTCGTCTGTCGCTTGCAGGTTTGAACCACAGTGATGAATGACACTGCTTGAGAGGTAGATGAGGCTTGCATAGATTGTCCTTCGAGGTCCTTCCTGGCTCGCTGCAGCTCGCTATACACGTCGACAAGACGGGTGGCAAACATTGTAGAGAAGTGGGCAAGCAGATCATGCTGCCACTGGTCGTATTTCGCGTTCACCTTGGACTGTACTTGTTCATAGTTGATGACTAGGTAGCCGAATGATCGGCGATTGCCAGAGGTGTCGAATGTCTCTCGCTTTTGCCGGATCTCCAGGATCAACTGGAGCCACAAGTCGAGTTCCTCGTTGAGGTCGCCCTGTATTTGAGAGAGCTGCAGATCCCAAAGCGATTGAAATTGTAGCCATTCGTCCACATAGGTCTGGGCGACGTTCAATTTGGCTTCGATGCGCTCATACAGCTCAGCCAGGGTATCTATGCACATGATCGGCAGTTCCGAGTATGTGGTGGCTGAAGTCGACGATTGGACGGCCAAGGCGGCTTCAAAACGAGAGGCTTGCAGTCTGGGCAGACTGCATACGATAGCAAGCCATGTGTTGAGGTTCTCAAGCCAGCCCGTTTTGGCGTCCTCCAACGGCGGGTCGAGTTGAATAAGTTGACTCTGCATCACAATGTCGTGCGCGGAAGTTTCAATGTTGGGTGCGCCAATCTCGCGAGGAGATTGTTGGTCTGCGCCGTAGCCATGTTCGAAGTCTTCTGTCCAGTCTTTGAGTGCTTGCCTTAGACGTGCGTGGAGCGTCTCAACCACCTTCTCGTTCGTCTTTTCAACCCAGTACGCAATATTCGAGTACGCTTCAAGATTCAGCTGATCAATCGCTCTCTGCAAAGTCTCAAGATGTGTGCTAAAGGCTTCGTGTGTGAATTGACATGTCTGGAGCTCGCGCAGTGCCTGCTCAACTGTCGTCTGGATTGAGAGTAGCGTCGCAACCTTCTGTGACAACGTGGCGATGGAGCCGCCCAAGTTTCGCACAAACTGTACGTGTAGCTTGTCGTCCCCAGACCCTATACCGCCATCTCCGATACGCGGCACATGAACATCGTAGGCCAGCACGAATGTGTCCCATCGGAGCGAAGTGCCCTTTCCAATGAAGCTTTGTACGTCATTGCGATATCCACTGATCAAAGTGGTCACTTCCGACATGTTTTCGATGACCGAGTTGGTCTGGCTGTAGGTGTTCAAGCTCTCCATCAGACTTGTGGCGTAAGGGTACACACGACGAGCTTCTTTGGAAACATTGGTGATTGCATGCGGCACGTTGAAATTGAGCCACAGCAGATTGCGCACTTCCTTGAAAAGCACAACCACTTGTGAGTCGAAGTTTACGTGAATTTCAAGCACGCCACCTCGAGCTCTGTTTTGAGTGACCGAAAATAGGCGGCCGGATATCGAGAGATGCCGGCGATCGATATCGCGCAGCCAGTCTTCGAATATGGGCTTGGTGTCGAGCTTTCTCTTGAAGCCGTCGCCTAGTTGTGCAAGCCGTTGACCGTCGATATGTTCTCGCCATTTGGCTCCAAGAATGTCTTCAACTTTGCTCAAATAGCTGTTGAGCTGGCGTTCGATCTGCCGGGCACGAATGATGGCCCCTGATATCGGTGGCAAGTCGTGGAGCTGAGCCATGCCGTGTGCCTCAGTTTGACCATACTGGTGAGTGAAGCGCTGCTGAAGGGCATCGATGTCCTCCCGCACGTTGTTCATCAGCTGAACTTGGTATTCTGCAATGGCGCCCTTGATCTTGGGTCGCACGAAAAGAGCATTGAATTTGGAGAAAACCCGGAACATTTCGTTCGCTGTCTTCGCTACCGCCAGGCGATCCCGCAATCGTGCAATGATCGAATTCTCGACTCTGGCTGTGCGTTCATTGTAGGCTGCTTCTGCTTGCGTCCAGAGGCGCTCGCCTTCTGGAGAAATGTCGAGCACGTCGACATCTTTGACCACTTCGTAAGCTTGCAGAATTTCTTCTGCAGCATCGACATCGCCCATCTCCTCGACAATCACGGGAGCCCTCGCCCCGTCGGTGAGCTCGCCAGTATCGTCATCGGGTCCAAGCACGTTCGCAATCGTGTTCTGCAATTGCTCGTGGTCGTCACGGAACTTGTAGATATAGCTGATTCGGTCCTGGGTCTTGTCATGACGTTTGTTGATTTTGATGGGGATGAATCTGTCATTCCGTCGACGAGTGACATCACGAGCCACGTTGGTGAATTCTTTGACATTATCATCCCAGAACATCCAGACGGTTTGCACTTGCTCGATCACTTTGCGGAACTCCTCAAAGCTCAATCGCATGAGCGTCCGACCGTGCAGGTGTTGATGCACACGAGCATCAACATCGGCAGAGATAGCTTCTACGAGTGGCAGAGCTCTGCGAATGGGATATGGAGATATCCGAAGCTTCTTTGTCAAGTGCGAGAACACATCGTCAAGTGCCTCACGCAGCTTCTCGACGTTTGGCGCGGCCAGCAGTTCTTCGATGGGGAAGCCGTGGAAGACCTGGTTGTATTTGACGACCTTCTCTTTCGTTTCTTTCAGGCGAGTGTCCGATGTGAAACTTGCTGTAATACCGTGTCGCTTCGCCTTCTCCAAGATCTTCATCGTCAATTGAACGCCGCCACTGTTCAGCTGTGCCTCTATTCCTTCTATCGCGGTCTCCATGGCAAGCCAGAAATTCTTCTCTTGTGATGTTGTGCCAACAGCCCGATCGTCCATGATCTTGGTGAATTCGCGGATCTGCTTGATCCACTCGTTCGCCATTGTCTGTAATCGGTTGAGCAACGCGCTGTCCGTTACTAGACCGTCTGGGATGGCGACCGCTGCCGCCTGCCAGTCGCCACCGGCTTCTGCTAGCTGTGCTTGCACTGCTTCATGAATCTGTAATCTCGGCGCTTCGACTTCGATGTTCTGTTGCAAGTTCTGTAGCGTTATTTCCAGGTCTGCCAGTTTTCGTCTCGCTCCCGAAATACCAGTACGAGCCTCAGCATCAGATCGTGGCTTTTCCTGTCCGGAATCGGAGCCTCGTGCAGCGGCTTCGAAGAAAGGCGTAAGGGCGCCACGAACGAAGGCATGGAGACTTTCGTATGGGGAAACTGTGCTGCCTGCACTCTCCGCACCTCCCAGGCCAGGTAGTGTCAAGTTGACGACAGAGACTTGCTTGCTGATAGGCAGCTCAGGCGCGATCGCACTCGGCCTTTTGAGAAAGGCTACGCAACCAATCGTTCGCTTGGAATAGCTGACTTCTGCACTGAGCACATATGTGTCCTGATATGACTCCGAATCGCCATTCACATGTGTGCCATTCTCTTGACTGTCTGAGCTTGACGCAGAGCCAGCCTGCTTAAGCACGTAGAGTGCCACCTGGGACTCCATGGCGAATCGCAGACATCGTGAAAGTGTGTCCTCCAGCGCAGTCTCATGTAACAGACTGCCAGGTCCACGCAACTCTTCCTCTGTTGCACCCAAGGTGACCTCCAGCACGCTGGTCAAGTAGCTCACTACTGCCTGCGGGTCGACTGCGCTCGGCATGCCGGACGAAGCAGGGGCGGTCGGGGCTCCGTTGGCCACGCCATTGACCCCTTGGACCAGAGGGTCCTCCATGGTCAAAGATTACCGCCGCGCTGCAGTGGACAACATGGGTGTTTTGTTTGGTTGTTCCGCTCTCTTCTTCTTGGCGGAGGGTGTTCACTTAGGGGTCGATCGGCCAGTCGTGGACTGTAGGGGCGGTACGTGGGAGGTGGTGTTGGGTCGCACCTCGCTGGGGTGAAGGGGGGTATTTCGGAATCGTTACGGAGCGAGTGGTGCCTCAGGACTGTTCGATGGGTGGTGTTGTTGATGAACTTCCATTTCTTGGATGAGCGACACGCGAAGTCGCGACTTCCCAACTCGGCAAACTTGCCTCTTACTTGAAACGGTTAGCGCCGGTCCCGCGTTTCTGGTATCTCAGTCGCGCTCGTCCTCGCCTTCCACTCCGACACCAAACAGACGCGGCACTTTCCAACAACGGCCGCGCAAACGCAGCGGAAGGCTCTCTAGGCAGCCACTGTAAAAGAGGAAGCAGCCCAGCGAGTGTTCACTCCACGCTGCACCTGGTCAAGTATTGCATTTCTCTTCACTCTCGCAACAGTCGGCATCAGTCGGTCGCTGCTTCACGGACACCAATCTCTGTTCCGTGCGCTCGCCACTTGTCTGCTTACCACCAGCCTACAGCAACTCGAGGTTCTCGCGATCGGCGACAAGAACTCTATAGCACGATTTAAGAGGACGTTGCGATCATCTTCTTGGGCGTCGCGCTTGTTCGCCTCGACACCTCTACTCATGGCCGCCATGCAAATCAAGAAGACACTCCTCGACCTCAACGATGACTGTCTCTCCGAGATTTATCGCGCGTTGCAGACGAAGGAATTCATCCCAATCAAGTCGTCCTTTATAATCGTCAACGATCAACAAGCAAACCCTTTCACGGCACTGAAGTGCTTCTCCGTCACTTGCAAGCGCCTGCGACGCGTTTCGTCGCCATTCGTCTTCAAAGGTATCAGAATCGGCCACAACTGGGAATGGGATCGGGTAGGTCGCGCACTAGTCGACATTTCTGAGAACTCATCGGCTGCGAAATATGCCACGACTTTCGTTCTTGATACCGGTGCTGAGCACACGACGCGTGTGAACAAGCACGGAGGAACCTTCATAAGCCGCAAGGAGCAGTCTACGAAGCCAAGTGTCGATCTTGCACTAGCGTTTGGCACTGCCTTGCGCAAGATGGCCAATCTCGAGGATTTGGCCTTGGCCGTAGAGCCCTGGAAAGTTTTCGAGGAAAATGTGCCAAAAACGGCCCTGGATCAGCTCTCGATTAAGCGTGTCACCCTCGGCGTCTGGATGGGATCTTGGATCTGCGATCTGTGCCCACAATTGCAGGTAAGTACATCGTGGTGGTGCGTTCCTCCCACCCTCACCGCAGTACATCCACTTTCATTTATATGTGGCATCTTCCGGCACCTGGAGGCTTCTGTGTAGCTGCTGGCCTTGCAGAGTCACTACTGACCCAATAAAGGACATACACCTTGAATCGTGGGAGGAGTCACTGGAGCTGCTTGGGGACAGAGCATTGCTCTCGCTGCCTTCCCTAAGAAACCTCAATCTGCACATCTACTGGACCAATTTCATGGTCTCAACTCTTTCCCGCAAAGCTCCTCAACTCGAGGTTCTAAACCTGTCAAGATACGGTGACCCGATCCACAGCCTCCCTCCTATCTTGGCGCGCTTTCCGAACCTGAGAGAGCTCTATCTAAGCAGCACGATTGAACTCTACAACAACCTTCCGCAGCCTCAGCGTGCGCCTCTCGGACCAGACAAGAACAGCGCGCTCAAAGATTTTTGCGTGCAAGTAAGCACAGCCTTGTTCAAGGAGTGCAAAGCACTGAAGTCGCTCGACTTCAAGGAGCTCGACTTCCAGGACGGCTATTACGTGGAGAAGAGGCAACGCTCTGATGGGAGCGTCAACTTCGACCTGAGTTACACGAAGTCACGCAAAGGTGAATTTGACGGACTGCGCCGAGATGGTTCATCCCTTTATTGAAGCCGCACAGCTTCTCTAACAGCCCTTGCTTGGGTCACAGGACTGTCGGCCACGATCTGGTCATGGTCAACGCTCAGCATGGTACTTTGTATCGTTAGACCGCTCTGCGGCGGCCGATGCCTCAAGGGCGAGACGCAATCAGCATAGATCAACATCGCTGCGCTGCCATGCAGCGAAAAGAAATGTAGCTTCTGAAATCTTGACAATTCGCTCAGCTCTCTCTCTCTACTCTTACAACTTCCCCCTCCCCAAAAACTTATTCGGCAAATCCACCCACCTCGCCCTCAAAAATTCCGCAACATTCTTCCCCAAAACATCATAACTACTCGAACAACTCACCCCACGATCCAAATGATCCTTGAGCACAAAATGTACCGCCAGCATATTCGGCAACTCAAATCTCTCAATAGATTTCTTCCTATCATATTCTTCTCCTAACAGTTCTTTGACCTTTTCTGTAGAAAGCAGATTCCGCAACCAAGCATATTCGTCTCGGAACCGCACCCAAAACCCGACATTAGCGTTCGAGCCTTTGTCTCCTGAGCGAGCGTGAACGACCCAGCCGAGGGGTCCGGGTGTTGTGGGACCGAATGGGTTTGATGAGAGGTTGACTTGCTCTTCCAAGGGCGTCGAAGGAGAATCCGGCTGGTTCTTGGGATACGCCTTCGTGTTCTCCGGAGGCGGAATTTCCAAACTCGATCCATCCCATACATGTACCCTGTGATCGACTTCAGTCTGCGGTAACAAAGTCACATAATATTCGTAACATGGCTTCGGAAAACCTTGTCTAATGTCCAGTTGGAAAGTCGCGCCTGGGTATCCTTGCATGATGCAGTCGATGCAAACGCGGAGGAATTTGTTTGGAGCGAGATCAGCTTCTTCCTTCGCTTGGGCGAAGACACGGAAGTCGACTGTGGCTGAAGCTTGGTTTGTTGGATTCTCCGCTGCTGTGCCGTTGGTGCTGAAGTTGAGAAGGGTAAATTTGGATGAGTACGGGGCGAGGGCGTGGCGGAGTTGCAGTTCCATCATGCGCGCTTTCTCAGCGATATCGAGACCGACGAGGAGCCAGTGGACCTCTGCTTGATAGCCCCCTTTTGCTGTGAGGCCAACTTTCGTGGTGGGAGGTGGGAGGTCGCCTTGTATGCCTCGTAGCGCCACTCTGTCTGTGCCCACTTGTTCGAACCACATCTCGTCGAGGACGGCGGTAACGTCGCTGTTGAAGTACCAAGGTCCTTGGATCTCGTACAAGAGTTGACTTGAGCATGTCTGGACGCTGACTTCGCCTCCGCCCCAGCCTTGACCTTTCGTGATGACAACGTTGCCACTTCTTGATATCTCAGCGATCGGGTAACCGATGTCTTTCCAGTTCTTGAATTCCAGTGACTTGAACCCCGTGAAGTTTCCGCCAACGACGTAGTTGCTGCACTCAATCATGTGGCCCGCAACAAATGCATTCGCAAGTTCAGAAAGCATATCTCGTGTCCAGCCATGCCACCAGTATGCTGCACCAATTACCGGAGATGCATCGCTAACACGGCCGCAAACCACAATGTCCGCACCCTTTGCGAAAGCCGCTGCGATTCCTAGTCCTCCGAGATAGGCCTGTGCGTAGATTGGTCTATGCTTCCACTCATCCAGTACCTCTCCTGTGCAAACATTCTCGAACTTGCTGGAACCATTTTTGCGGGCTCGCTGAATCGCTGGAAATACCTCATCACCACTGACCCAAGCCGCCTTCAGATCGTGTGACCCTTTTTTGCACATCTCCATGACGACCTGATGAAGCTTCTCCGTATCAGAAGCACCAGCATTGACTGCAACTTTGATCTTGTGTTTGGCGATATACGGGAGCGCTGGGGCCAGAGCTTCCAGAAATGTTGGTTCATATGCATCTGTGGCACCTGATGAAAGTAGGCTCGTGACATGTTGATCGGTATCACGAGTCTCGGATGCTGCAATTGCAGCGCTCTCTGCTTTCAGGGCACCTCTAGAAGCTATAAGCCGCGTAAGTAATTGTTGCTGCGAGACAGCGGATGATCGTACTCATGTTTGCCTCGCTCATAAAGTCCCCAATGATAACGTCAACAGGATCGTTGGGATGATTCTTGGCAAACATGAGCATAGCATGTCGGCGGTCAGATACGGAGCCGGAGACACCTGTTCAAGTGTGAGCTTGGAGTTCGCAAGAACATTTCCCGGACAAGCATACTAGCAATGCGAATGGGCCGGGTTGAATCTGCCGCCATGATGGAATATTCGAGAGGACTGCCTAGGCAAGGTGACTCTCTAGACATATTGTAGATCTAGAGAAGAGAACCGAAGTATCCGAAGTCTAATGTGGAGGCCCGTCGTAGCCCTCGGCCTAGACTAAGGATGCAGGTACAGCGGCGGACGCCAATTGCGGGGTCACCTGCAGCAGACATTGAGCTGGCGAGTCATGAAATCGATGCATAGTCTTTCCGTGATCACAATTCGATGGGGAGCGAAGCGCAGGTATAGTCGCTATTGATTGGAGATGATGTTGTGATATGAAATGCAGAGGGAAAGTTCAAGGTGAAGTCGTGACGCCAAGCGCGACACCCTGAATGCGATGTCAGATGGTGGACATGCAGCGTGGTCGCGACATGCTCCCTAAAAAGTGTGCACGTCTTCATCCTCCCATGATAGACGGTTGCAAGCACTCGAAGATGTGTATGGCAACAGAAGGCACTCTTTGTAAGGCATGCCGGTCCTTCCTTCAATTCGACCATCGACTAGCGCGCTCAATAAACAATCGTATAGCGTTGTAGTTTCAGATCGCCTGCTCGCGATTCTGCGACCGCATACTCTCGATGGCGGTAATCAAATCTCGCTTCTGTATTTTGTTAGTCGCATTGTAAGGCCAATCTTCAAATCCCAGCTCTTTCAATGTATGAATTCCACCTGCCAGATGAGAATCCTCGATGTTGGCGTGCTTCGCATACCCTAGTACATCGTCTTTTGTTGTTGGGAGCTCCTTCGTGACGACAGCAGGTACCTCACCGTTCAACTCATGTTTGAGTCCAACGACTACCCATTCTGCAGGAAATTTTGCCTGAAGGTGTCTCTGTATCACAGCGGGAACAATGTTCCTGCCTCTGTAGACAATGATATCCTTCGTTCGGCCAACGATGTAGATGATCCCAGAAGCATCCATAACGGCAGTATCGCCCGTTTTGAACCATCGCCCTGCATCGTCATCGTAAAAGTCTTCTTCGCTTCGATTCCCAAGGTAGTGGTCTATCATTGAATCGGAATTGACATGGAGTTCACCCTGCTCTCCTTGTGGAACAACTGAAACGCAGCCGCTTTTGCAGATCCGCACTCTTGTTCCACGTAATGCACGTCCGATGCCAGCAATGGCCGAACTCTTCTCGAAACTGATTTCCTCGGATTTAGTGTATCCAAAAAGTGGAGCTCCTTCTGACATACCCCAATGCGGGATCATATGGCAGTCGGAAGGCAACAGACTTCTCGCTTTCTCAATAGCCTCCTTGCCAGCTGTGTCTCCTGACATAAACACGGTCTGGAGACTTTCCAGAGTGGTGGGATCCTTGGCAGCGTGTAGGATATTGATCATCGCAGGCACAAACCATGCGTGTGTACAAGCCAGATCCTGAATTGCTGCAGAAGTTGTGTTGGCATCGAAACCTCCGCTGACGAAGACTGTCGCGCCACCTCCTCTCCAGGTGTTAACACACGCCAGATAGGCGATTGGACGTGATATCGATATTGAGATAAGATGCTTTGCCGAGGGGGTGAACCTCGAAAGATGCATAGAGTGGTACTGCCGGATCTCGGAGATGAGCATGCGTACAGTTATGGGACAGCATTTGGGCAGATTTGTGGACCCACTCGTGTTGACGATCATGGCAACATCATCGAGATGAACTTCCGGATAAGGTGCGGATTCTTTCGCGGCTCCCAATGTATCCAGTATTGTCCAGGTCGGAGACTGCTCAGTCGGCGTCTCACATACGAGCCGCAACACTGGCGTTTGTTCGAATGCCATTTTGTCCCATTCCCGAGCGCAGTCCATATGCTGCACTACAACTACCTTCGGCTCGAGTAACTCGACCATGGACTGGAGCTCTTCGGGTCGCCTGAAGATACTGGTATCCAGAGGCGCGAACGCTAAACCCAGTCTCACTGCCAGCCAAAACAATACGGTCCAGTATTCTGCGGCGGAATTGTCCAGGATGACAAGAATCGTGTCGCGAGCTGCAATTCCGGAGCTGGTACACGCACCAGCTAGTATCTCAACGCGGTCAAGAAGTTTTCCATATTCCAGAGATGTTGTGACCTCTCTCGTTTGACCATTGTACGCATAGAACGCAGGCCGAGTGCGATTGTTCGACCCTTCATCCGAGAGCCATTCCCACAATGAGTCGGGATAAGGCTCTGATTCGCCACCGAAGTCTTCTGACTTTGTCGATTGTCCTGGCATAATAGCATGAGGTCCTCCGCCGCTTTCTGGCTGTATGGTGAAGTTGAAATGTGAAGACCGATCAGATATATGTGAAACCTAAAACCTAAAAGGGTTATTGCACTATGACGCAGGCTACGGTCACTCGAGACTTTGCGGTGTGGTTGCAGAAAAGTTACAGCTCCAGAGCTACTTGATGCCAGAATGAGTCGTCCAATGGGATCTGAGGGTCGAGGCTTAAGAGCAGGTTGCGGCAGTACTAATGAAGAATTGGTAGCTTTGTGCTTACCTTTTCCTCTCATCTTACACGGTAGACGCTCGAGGTCGATGGCTGCAGTAGCATAGCTTCGAGAGACATGCATAGGCATGACATGCAAAGCTGCAGGAAGCATAATAAGAAGCGCCAATGGCTAGCGCAAATGGACATTTTCCGTTCACATGCAGCGACGAGTCGACCTCTGTGGAAGGAGAATCGGCGGGAACAGGATCGTGGGCTATGCGATGGCACAATGGAACGTGAGATAGGAGGTAGTGATGAAGGATATTTGGGTTTGTCCCGTGGTTGTCGTTGGAGGTGAGTAGTTGTTGCCTCAGGTTTGCAAGGCCCCGATCGAGGGGTGCCTGCCTTGGCAGCTGAACCACTGAAAGAGCATCCACTCACAGCCCGGACTGAACAGCATCACCCAAGGCCACATTGATTGTAGCAGGAGACGGGAGCTGAATTACAGCACGGTGCGTATCGAACAAATCACAATCTCCGCGGTTGAGCAGCGGGGCTCTCTGGAAAGAGCGGGTGCGTCCGGTGTGATCGAAGAAGAGCAGTTTGGAGTAGGTTCGAAATCGAGACAAGCTGTCGCCATCACTCGAGCGCACAGAAAGGGCCAGACGGAGCACTTGCCGACTCAGCGCCATATGGGGTCGACCTTGGGCGACGCTTGAAGCACACTCCGGACCGGAGACAGAAGCCGTCGGGGCGTGAGATACACACGATGGCCACAGCAATCTCGCAAGCGACTGAGCTGAGCGATGCGTTCGAGACTCTGCTTGGCCGTGAAATGAATCCCCGCAGATGTCTTTGAACACGTGTTCCCTACCACGCGAGGCGCCTACAGTCGTCACTCGCAGCAACTATGCTGTATGGCGGAGAAATCGCCGTGATCTAATTTACTAATTCTGTGTAGACGCAGGCGTCCAGACTGCTGTTCCGAGTCAAATCTGCAGAAATCGTAGGATCCGATGTCCGAGGACACTTGCTGGGACATGAACGCCCGGCCTAGCCTGGCCACAGACTATGCTGAAGCGCAACGCTTTGGGGGACAACGATGATGCACGAAGGAAGCTGTTCCATCAACTGACTGCATCATACACAGACCGCCACCTATCACACCTACAAGGCAGAGCAACAACACGAAATCGATCTGAAGACTTACCGCCAGGAAGGTGCCATATTGGGGAGTACCCACCAGCTCACGTGTTCCACATCAGCCTAAATCCCCGTGAACCAAAGACTCCGTCTTGATGACTATGCTGCATACCGCTCGTATAGAAAGAACAACGAGAGCCAGAGGCTCCCTGGAACGAGATCCCGGAAGGATCGAAGACGTGCAATTAAACATGCATATAAGCTATTCGGAAACGACCCAGTCCGACCAGCAAATCGCATCAGATATATTAAATCAAGCGCAGGGTCAACTGACCTTGCGCGAGCCCTAAGGAGAGGGGGAAAATTCGACTATGGAGAGGGGGAAAACAAACATATCCTCAAAGCGGAAGTGCCGCATAGTTCTGACTCCCCTAGGATTTAACATTATGCTCGGACAAGCGAGGCGAGCTTGCGAGCGAAGTGAGTACTCGGAGCAGCGAGGTACGAGCACAGCGACGACGTACGATACCCGAGCGCGTAAGGCAAGCACGTCGTTCGAAGTAGCGAGCATATTTCTTTTTAGGCAACGAACGAGACCGAGCCGAAGGCGAGTATCGAGAGAGGCGGCAGTGTCGTGCAGGTCGAGTGTCGTGGAGCATTACGTGGATTACATTTCCCCCTCTCCCTAGTCGAATTTTCCCCCTCTCCTTAGAAGGGCTCGCGCTGACCTTGTGGAGGATGTCCCATCGGCATACAACCGAGCCTTTTGCGACCTGTCACACCTGATTACTGGAACGAATAAGCCTTTGAAGCATCGAATCGTCTCGTTAATCCGTGCAAGGTCCTATACTCTCCTCTAGGGCTGAGGTAGCTAGCTGACCAAAGTATAGTATGGCCTGGCGGACCGTGACACCGAACATCTATGTTCTTCGCTTAGCCCTGTGGCTTCGTTTCAAAGTGCTAGTTGGCAAATTTCAGGCTGAAGAAGTACAGTGATTTCTGAACTGGGGCGTGTCACTGGAGCACCACGCAGGCTGTGGAGACACAACGCCATCTCTGCTACGGAGACAAAAGATCCGCAGAGGTAACACTGGCTTGTCAAATGCGGAGTCGCGTCCAACGAAGGCACTCATGGCTGTGACCTGCTCTTGACAGAGCCCAAACCGTGGAAGCATATATGTCTGACCTTTTGCTGCTCGACAGCCCTTCTCTCCTCAGCAAGCTTCGAACACGAACAGCCATCTCGCTCATTACAACCAACAATCATTTCGGAATGCTTTCCACCCACATCCTAGCCCTGGCGGCCCTCCTTGGCCTAGCAACCAGCGCCCCAACTCTCGAAAGCCGTGGCCGCAAACTCCAATATCTTGGAATCAACGAAGCTGGTCCCGAGTTCGGCACAGCTCTCCCAGGTCTCTACAACAAAGACTACATCTGGCCAGATCTCTCCACGATCCAGGGCAAAATCGACTCAGGCTTCAATGTCTTTCGCATCAACATCCAGCAGGAAAGACTGACCCCCGGCGGGTTGACTTCTGGCTTCGAAAAATACTACTTGGCGAATTTGACTCAGACCATCAATGCCATCACTTCCAAGGGCGCGTATGCTATGATTCAGCCACATAATTACGGAAGATTTTACGGGCAAATCATGACTTCGACGAGTGATTTTGGGACGTGGTGGAGGAATGTTGCCGCGGTGTATAAGAATAATGATAAGGTTATCTATGATACTAACAATGAGTATGGATTGAATCCAAACAGTCTTGCCATGGATTTGCTAATTCGATAAACAGATTCTGGGGCATGTCCGGACGTGTGGTAGCAGATATGAACCAAGCGGCCATCAACGGCATCCGGGTAAGTCTCGAAAACACTTTCGTCACCAATCTGCTGATCCTTTGTTCTCTCAGGCCGCAGGAGCCAAGCAAACCATCCACGTCGAAGGCAACGCCTGGACCGGCGCCTGGTAAGCACCGTCCCTTCACCCACCGCATACAAGATCCCCATACTAACCCCACCACCCAGGACCTGGACAACAGCCAAAGGCACCGACGGCCTCACCAACGCCGAAACAATGGGCAATCTTACCGACACCGAAAACAAACTCATCTACCAAATGCATCAATACCTCGACACCGACGGAAGCGGAACCTCACCAAATTGTATCAGCGCCACAATCGGTAGCGAACGCCTCGTCGCCGCAACGAACTGGCTCCGAGCGAACAAGAAAAAGGGCTTCCTTGGCGAGTTTGCTGGTGGTGTTAATGGACAGTGTCAGGCTGCTGTTAAGGATATGTTGAATTATATGGTTAAGAATTCGGATGTTTGGACTGGAGCTGCTTGGTAAGTCGTTGTCGTATTCTAAAAGTGAACTCGTGAAATGATGCTGATGGTTTATTTAGGTGGTCTGCTGGTCCATGGTGGGGAAACTACATGTTCTCCCTTGAGCCTAAGGATGGTCCGGCTTATAGTACCTACACGCCGATTTTGAAGGCGTTCGCATGAGTCTGGAAGGAATACGAGGCTGGTTTACGTCAGTTGGACTTTCGTTTACGATGATCGATTTACGAGTCCCTCGTTTGGAGCTTAGCATACTATTTCGTAGCGTACATGAACAGAGGCTGGGCTGGCTCAGCAAAATTCAAACTGGGCGATTCCAGATCACAACGAGAACGTCTTGCAAGAAATGTAATCATATCATACTGGTCGTGAGACAAACGCGTAGAAGGAAGAAAGGGGACGAGACTTGAGACGGCAACTGACTTTCGGAAGCTGAGCCGAGGCGCTAGCAAGGATTCCTGGTGGGCTGCTTCTTCAATGACTGTAGTGCTGTTTTCTTGAGAGGGACATCGTTCGTCATTTCCAAAGCACTTGCACTGGCCGCCAAACTGAAGACTCTTCGCTCTGTTCGACTGCTCGCGAGGGCGACAAAACGACCCACATCCCTTCAACGCATAGAGCGAAATAGCCCACAACGACAACAATTCCGATCTCGAAGTTTTGGGTCCAGCCGAATAGTCAGTATGGCAGCAACACCTCTGGACGACAAGGTCAAGAGCCTCATCGAAAAGTCATACCCTCAGGCCAAGGGAGCAGATAGCGATCCAGCTAAGCTGACTTCAGCCATCTTTACAACCATCGAAGTACGGCACACGATCAATTGCGCTACCCAGCATCGCTAACGTGTGAGTTTAGTACTCGCCCGCCGAGAAGACAGACATCGATCAGTGGTCCACCACTGCCGCCCACATTGCATCACCCAACGAAGACGCTGCGAAGACGGCCGAGCGCTTATCCCACCTGAACACCCACCTCGCATCGCGCACCACCATTCTCGGCAGCAAACCTAGTGTCGCAGACATTGCGCTTTACACGAAGCTTGCTCCCGTGGTGAAGAGCTGGACACCAGAGCAGCGCACCGGAGAACAAGGCTATCACCATATCACACGCTTCGTCGACTTCCTCCAGAATGCTGAATTGTTCGGCCTGAAGGTGGAAGACAGCGAGAAGGTTGAGATCGACGCCAGCAATGTCGTGTCGCCGATCAAGCCAATCGACGCCAAGGCTGAGAAGGAGCGAAAGAAGAAGGAGAAGGCAGCAGCGGCCGCGGCAGGTGCAGACAGTGCAGCAGCAGCAGGAGGGACAGTCACGTCCGCAGCCAGCGACGCGACGAAACAAGCGGAGAACCAGAAGCCAAAGAAAGAGAAGAAGGACCTTGGCGACAAAGTGGCAGATGCTGTAGGTGCAGCAACACCTGGTGAGAAGAAGGAGAAGCCCAAGAAGGAGAAGCAGCCGAAGCAGCCCAAGAATGCCCCAGCCCCAGACAAGCCGTTCGGCCCTGCTCTCATCGATCTCCGGGTGGGGCATATTCTGAAGGCCATCCAACATCCAGACGCTGAGAAGCTCTTTGTCAGCACAATCGATTGTGGAGATGCTCCGGGCACAGACAACACATCCGAGTACGAGGGCAAGACCGTGCGAACGGTGTGCTCTGGCTTGAATGGACTCATCCCACTCGAGGAGATGCAGAACCGCAAGATCGTGGCAGTCTGCAATCTCAAACCTGTCACTATGCGTGGAATCAAGTCATGTGCCATGGTCCTCGCTGCCTCACCACGGGGCGATGACGACCATGCTGGTCCTGTCGAGCTCGTCAACCCTCCAGCTGACGCTCCGGCCGGTGAGCGTGTCTACTTTGAGGGATTCGAGGGCGAGCCTGACGCTGTGTTGAACCCAAAGAAGAAGGTCTGGGAAGACAACCAGGTCGGCTTCACGACGACTGCGGACAAGGTTGTTGCCTACGAACCAACCAAGGTCGAGAAGCTCAAAGACAGCGGCAAGACCGAGATTGCCAAATTGAGAACCAAGCAGGGCGAGTGTACCGTGCCAACTCTGATCAACGCCAGCGTACGATAGAAGACTGCGATGGATTTGGGAGAGCGTGTTGCCGTTCCGGCGAAGCGACACGATGATAGCGACTCCGCTGTGTCCGGTTTCCCACCCTCAAGTCGAGCTTCATCGCCAGATCCCGATGCCTCGCAAGGTCCAGTCGTCATTGGCTGGTCATTCAAGGACAAGGACGGGAAACTGCAGCTGCAGTATACAGAGGACCAGTGAAAGCAGTGCAAGGATTTGGCACCGAGAGCAGAGGACTTTGTGAAGACTATGATGAGATGACGATGCATGAAATGGATGATGCAGCACAGAAGAGGAGATACTCAGCTAAAAAGCATTACTGAATGAAAATCAGCAGTACCTGCTTACAAATTCCACTCGCTTTCTTTGCATACTTCCTGCGTTGCCATAGGTAGTGAATAAAGTATCGATGCTTCACCACGCTCGGTCAGCCCTTGGGTTTACCAGGTTCGTGCCAATGGGTAAGACTTGCATGCTCTTCGAAAGGGCAAAATCTCTGAGAGTGATAGTTCACTTCCAATGCTATCCTTTCATCTACTTGCGTCTGGTACTGCGCCTTGTCGCAGCAGGTCCATCGTCTCGGGCGCCTCGCTGTCGCTATCATCACTAGCATAAGCCCCACCAGTCTCCAAATTCGCACTGGTCGGAGTTCTGCTTACACTCGGCGGAGGAGCATCCGGCTCATCAGTATATGTTTCTAAATTTACGGCCACGCCAGCAGCGGCCGCGGTTGTAGGATCTCTCTCCGCAACAGTCTCAGCATCTTTCCCTTCCTCTCGTCTCCCAATGATGACCGATCCTGCTACGAGGAATGAGGCGCCGAGCCACCACAGACCTACCAATCACGAAAAATCGTCAGCTCGACATGATTCGTTATTGGGCATAAGAACTGAATTGTGCTTACCTGGCAGAGATTCCTTAAAAATTACCCATCCCAAAATCGCCGTAAGCATGAAATTCGCGCTTGTATTGATCACGCTCACGCGGACAGTACTTGATGCGAGACGGAGGGCGTTTGTGAAGAGACCCCACATTACGGCGTTGAAGGCGAGGTTCATTAGGAAGAAGAACTGTGATAGAGAATAATTCAGCAATAGGACGCCGGTGCTTGTAGTGTTCGAGGCTTCTCTTCTTGTTTTTTTCTAGATTGTTTGAGTCCTGACTCCATGGGTTGCATTGTTACTTACACCACGCACGAGACCTTCCACAATTACACTTTCGTCTCTCATGCCGAGGATGTGTGAGATGGCTGTTGCCCAGGTTGTGGTTAATTGGGTTGTGGTGAGTTTTGCGAAGACGCCGTTAAGGGCTGCGCAGCCGCCGGATGCGATGGCGTATGTGAGCCACTGAGGAGTTGGACGGAATGCCATGATGGATGTGAAGATCTAAGTGCCAATAGAGGAGGAGGATGGAAGCGATGCTATGGAGTGAGGTGCAGGGGTGGCTTGGCATGTGCTATGTCTTGGCAGCAGTCGAGTGATGCGATACTGTTCATTCAGGTTGCTGAGAAGCACATTACAGACGAATTATGGTGGCAGAGGGTTGTTAGATTGGGTTCAAAAGCTCCGCGTATTTGACATTGCTGCATGTCTACGTTCGGTCTGCTGTTTCCGAATCTGGGCTTGTGATATGGCTGCTACCGCATGCATGCCTCTAAAACCACCAAAGCCTTAGTCTGTGCCTCCATATCCCAATGGCCACTCTCTCTCGACTTTATGCGCCCTCTCAAGCACGCGCATTGACGTGTTAACTCTCAATAAGCACGCTTGTGTTTCTTGTCATTCCGTTCTCGTGGATATCGTGTTGCAACCTCTCCCAGGCTGCAGGATTGTACTGTGTCATGAAAGGCCTTGCAATCCTCTTCAAGTTTCACTTTCACTCGAGCTTCATGTTCCCATCTGAATTTAGGCCAGTTTTGATGCAAGGATTCGCGTCTGCCATCACACCTGAAATCGTCTTTCTACGGCGCTTTGTCCTTGGACTGGCAAGCCACGATCTTGACCTTCTCTGCCTCCATCATTTGGGAGTTGTCCATCTTGAACTTGACGTCCTTAATGACAAAGGTCCAGACTTCGTCGCAAAACCGGTACACATCGAGATGTCCCTATCAGATGCGTTAGTCTTGCTCCAAACCAACCAATATTGAACTGTCCTCCTCTGGCTATTGAATGCCGTACCTTGAATGTCATGCGTGCCTTGACCTTCTCTCCGAGAACTTGCGCGATGTGCTGGTCGAAGTTCGCCATTATGCGCATAGCAAGTTGCGGCTCAATCCTCCTCGAACTGATCAGATCGTCCAGCGTGTCGGCGAGAGCGAGACCAATACTGCGTGAAGCGGTCAGCGATTATGCCCCTACCTGTTCTTTCATGCGCATACGATGTGCCTCTGTAGAGCTCATAGAAGCCCTGTTGCGCCGGTTGCGCCATCTTTGATCGCGGTTTCGAGCGGTGTTCGTAGTCGAGCGATCCTAGTGCCGCTACTGTCGGCGAACGCGGAGAGCGGATGAGACGTTCGTGAGATCCCCCCTAGCAAATATCGTTGTCGAGGTGTCTGGGGCGAAAGAAGGCAGGACAAAGGGCAGATTGGAAGTGAGTATACAGGGCGGCACATGCCAGGCGGGGCGGAGCCGCGATCCGAAAAGGGTTTAGCGCAGGTTGTGAGCTCGCCGATGTCATGCAGCCACACAGCTCTCACAGGCAAACGTGCAAGTGAATCTTCGACGTGCCTTTCACCTGATCCATCACCGAGGACGAGCGACAACAATGGGCGGCTTATACTGGGGCGCCACTGGCGCGAGCACCGCCCTCACCGTTATTGGGCTATGTACGCGAAGCACAGAGCGCTACAGGAGGCGGAAGAGGCGAAGCTGACGAGATGGGAATACAGATATGCTCTTCCAGGGCGAAGGAGAGGCTTTCAATGTCGGCGCCTTCCTCGAATCGATATCGCCGTACGCGTGGGCTTCAACGGGCATTGGGCTTTGCATCGGGTTATCAGTCGTGGGAGCAGCATGGTCAGTACATCTGGTGGACGCCCGCAAAGAGTCGCGCGAAGGAGAAATGTGGGAAAACATCATCATGGACGATTGCTGAGACGCGAGCAACAGGGGAATTTTTATCACAGGCACATCGATCCTCGGAGGAGGCGTAAAGGCACCACGAATCCGGACGAAGAACTTGATCTCGATCATTTTCTGCGAAGTCGTGGCCATCTACGGCGTCATCATGAGCATCGTGTTCTCTGCGAAGCTGGAGAACGTGTCAGGGCCCGGGATATACTCTGCTGGCAACTACTTCACAGGATACGCACTGTTCTGGTCAGGGCTATTGGTCGGCGCGTGCAATTTGATCTGTGGCGTATCGGTAGGCATCAACGGTTCAAGTGCAGCGCTCGCCGATGCTGCAGATGCGAGCTTGTAAGTTTCGTTTTGACCTGGGTACCAGAAAGCTCTACTAACATTACATAGATTCGTCAAAGTACTGGTCATCGAAATCTTCTCGTCCGTACTTGGGCTGTTTGGCCTCATCATTGGACTGCTTCTCAGCGGAAACGCCGACCCCTTTACAGCGCCTGGTAGCAACTAGATGTCCGTATAGGAAAGGAAGATGTTGCGGCGTCTTTCGCTGTCGCAGTGCCTTCGACAAAGCAATCGCACTGAACCCAGGGCCGCCAACAGGGAGATATGCATTCGCAGGCGCATCAAGGATACACATGCAATTAGCGGGACTGGACTGAGAGCCACAGGTAGGCTTTGTATGTACGTATGTGTTGTCACGAAACGTGGGCAATATCACACCGAATCACTGATCTGATCCCATCAACTCATCGTATGTCCACCTTTCATCTGTGCCTGTGAAGCGGCGACGCCTCCTGAGAGCAAGGACTTTCAAGGTGATCCAATCCGCGATGGTCACACTTCGGAAGCTGTTGACTGGCATACAGGGAACTGTACGTACCCGACACGCTCGAACGATGAGCACGTTTCGAACATAAAGAAAGTGTTAGCAATCGCCCGCAATTCGAGGCGGGCCCGGATGGCAGATATATCATAATATGTGTATGGAACGGTCTCCATGCCTGCGAACTGGAATTGCCAAAGCAGGGCCCCGCAAATGACTTGAGCCGCGTCACAGTTTTGGGTAGGCAGGAGTACTTTGGCAAAGCCGCGGCATTACCTGCGCTCCACTTACCTCGTCACAGGAAGTTCTGGCGCGCGAGCAAACTGAGAAGATAGCGTGTTCGGAAGGGAGGTGAAAAAAGTCAACAGCGCAACAATCTTAGTCCATCTATCCTGACAAAGGAAATTTATCTCTACACAAACAGTTCGAGGTGTGAGGCCCTCATTTCGCACTTCTATTGGTGTCCGATATTCCTATCCAGCATGTTATCCACGAAGTCCCTGAAGAATATTCTGGCTACCTGGTCACCTGGTCCGTATGCCGAGAGGCATTTACCAGGCGTGGTACATCTAGTAGTGCACCTTGTTGTTCTCGACCGCATCAGCACTCTGATCGCCCTCTGGGTCCGCAGTGGACAGCTCGCCACCGTCACGGCGCACACGGAAGTGCACCTTGTTGTTCTCCACGGCATCGGCACTCTGGTCGCCCTCTGGGTCCGCAGTGGACAGCTCTCCTCCATCGCGGCGGTGGTTCACTTTGTTGTTCTCAACCGCATC